CGAGAGTTGCGCAACCGTCGTCCGTCCGATTCTTCTTCTTCTTCTTCTTCTTTTCAATCGGCCCCCCCCCCCCCTCTCTCTCTCTAATACATAATAATGTTTATTTTCGACGGCTATTCCGACGGCTACCGATTGCGCTTCTCTCTCTCTCTCTCTCTCTCTTTCTCTCTCTCTTTCTCCTCCGACCTCCTGGCCCACTTATTTCGTCGCGACGACGGTCCCCCACAGTTCGGTGACGTGAACGACCCTGACGGCAAAGCACGCCGGAAAAGTGCACTTTTCAACGCACAGTTGCGATATTATCGCCTTTCCTTCGACCACACTTTCTACAGACTTGGAGAGGATTCCCAATTCGTCATTGAGCTCTTGAGGCGACTTTTGAATGTTCTCTCAGCCTAATCGTGGCCTAGGATTACAGTTGTCGGATCCAAGGTCATGTCTTGAAGTGTCCATGGCCTAACATTCTCATTCTCGGATCCTAGGCCGTCAAAACATTTTTGCACAAAAGTGAATCAATCCCTCCCCCTTCCTTTTTCTACTTTTTTCCAAATATTGTAGCTCCACCTTTTCCGCTTCCTTTTTCTGGCATTTACGTCAAGTATTACCTCATTTTGTAGCCGGCAAAGCCCAATTTTCTACGCAATCGGCTATGAAATGACAAAACTATCGGCTAGACGTGTACCTTGGCGTTTTGGGCTTATAACGTGAAAATGAAGAAGTTTGGAGCAAAATGATCAACTGCAAAGTTGTAGAGCATAAAATTTGCAACAACTTTTCAGTTGAACACTTTTTGAAATAATTATTAGTTCTCGAGATACGGGTCTCTAAAGATCAAGGTTCCAATTCAGTTAGCAAACGTTCGCAAATGCCCTTTGATAAGCCTGAAAATTTCGATCCCAAGTTCAAAATCTCACCATTTCATTTCTCGGAACGGTCCGATTGAGTCACTAGCCCCGACGCTCATCCGGCTCATCCCAAATCACACGCTTCGCCGATTGCTTACGTGCTCCGGCTCCGCCCCGTTTCCATGTTGCTTCTGCTCGGAAATCCGTGGAGAAATCGCCTTATTCGCTCACAGGCAGCCGGCGCTTAAAACCAATTGAAGTCGGCGGCTGATCTGCTCCGTCGCCACAACCGTTTTTGAGCCGCCGGCGGCTCAAAACGGAGCTCCCCCGGCTGCTTTTTTTCCACTTCACCTCCTCCAGTTACGTCACACCGCCGCCACCGCTTTTCCGCACACTTTGACCTACTCTCTCTCTCTCTCTCTCTCTCTCTCTCTCTCTCTCTCTCTTCCTCTATTGACACTTTCTTCTTCTTCTTCTTCCTCGTCCATGGATTTTATGGCGTGACGGACCGACGGCGGATAGATAATTAGCCGGTTGGTGTTGACCTCTCCAAAATCGAATGAATGCAACATTCGCCTCTCATTATTACTTGGGGCCCTAACTTTTATCGCAACTTTTCACGCTTTTCCTCTAAAAACGGTGTCTGAGATGCCAACCTCCTCGGCTGGCCTAGTTTTTCGCAACTCCGCGGCCGCCGGCAAGCTCATCCTTCTTTTGCCGCTCACTCGTAGCGCTTATCCCGTTATTAAAAATGGGGGGCGTGGCGTGACTTTTGGCGCTCGTGTGTCGTCGCGGATAATCTGTAAGCACGCTCGCGCGCGGCTAGACGGCTAGACGAGTTGGGCCCGGTTTCGAGGGCTCAGGATTCGGGATTACATGGTTCTCAATGCCAGAAGATGCTAGGCTAGGCTAGGCTAGCTGCACAATCCCTCGCTACCGTAACCCGCACTGTCGAGCCACGTAATCGTCTGATTCACACATGTGCTCATTCTAAATTTAGCCGCAAAATCTCGTGTTTGACGACTGGCACACACACTTGATTCAGTCTGAGCTGGATTTCAGATTTACACCGTCATTGGCTCCGCCGCTTTTTCGAATCAAACGTCAGCGCTATAAAGTGTGCTTGCCACGTCATAACTTTTCTCTCTCTCTCTCTCTCTCTCTCTTCCGCACATCTTTCGCTCTTGGATATATAATGGCTTTTTGCTGCTTTTTGCTCCGCGCCTTCATCTTTTTGCTCGCCCCACTTTTTTCCAGTTCCTCATTCTTTTTGCCGAACGTTCAGAAATGCACCTCGAATCGTCGACGCTTCTTCATGTGAAGGCCGAACAAGAAGAAGAAGAAGAAGAAGAAGAAGAAGAAGGAGAAGAGCACGATTACGGTAGCGACGAGAAGGAGGAGGAGATGATGCTCGAGACGGCGCCCGTTAAGACCGTCGGCGAGTTGAAGCGGCCCGATTTGAAGGGTGAGTTCGACGGGGGACTAGTTTTTTTTCGGCGAAAAAGTTAGGCCACGGTCTGATATTGTAAATGTGCCATTTGCAGGCTCGTTCCGATGCTCAATCTGCTCGAAAGTTTTCTGTCACTCGTCGAGCCTGTCGCGCCATCGAATGCAGGCGCACTTTAAGAGTTACAAGTGCACCGTGTGTCGCAAAGACATTTCCAGTGAGTCGGACAATATTACGATATTATCGGGTTCCAAAAAGGTGTGACGAGCTTATCCGGCGGATCCGCGCAGCTTGGTCTATAAGCTTATGTGCTGAACAATTTTTGCATGCAAAATGTATGTCTTGGCGCCTTGTTTGATCAATGGAGTGGTGGTGTTTTGGGAGGATGTAGCTAGAATTGGAAATGGATGATATCGCGAAGCGAGTTACCGTAATCCTGATCCTACAGTAGTCCAAACATCCTCCTTAAAGCGTTGTTTACCCGAAATTCACACGTTTGTTTATGAGAAATCATCGAATTCGCTCGGAAACCCGCTCCGAATTGTTATTGTCGGATTCTCGGTGCCGATCAGGTGTTCCTTCCGTTGTTTACTCGCTCTGTCCGTCTTCCTCTTGATCTCATTCTCGCCGCTTTTCACTGTTTCTTTCTTCTTCTTCTTCTTCTTCTTCTTCTTGTTTCGCTACTATCCATCCCGAAGACGATTGAGGTCATCCGGAGAAAGAGAGAGAGAGAGAGTGAATGGGGTTGCGCAATGGGAGAATCAAGAAGAGGGACGTGCCGAGGTATACTGTATCTTTGACCACTTGTATCTCGGTCGGTTTTTGAGATTTTTGAGTGGTTGAAAAAGGAATCGATAGAAAATTTTAAGCTCTACAACTTTCTAGTAGGCAACTTTTTATGATTCGGTGATCGCGACGAGATAATCGACAATATCTGAACCGCACACAAATCATGGGCACTATGTAGTAAAAGGACAATATCTCAACGCCCACGCATTATCATAAAAACTCAACAACTGGAAAGTTATAGAGCTTAAAATTTTCTATCGATTTGTTTTTTAATCATCTGAAAATCTCAAAAATTGATTGCAAAAACTCTGAGCAAAATTACTGGTCGGTTAGAAGTTGGCTCAAAAAAGGTTCAACTTTGACCCCTTGTATCTCGGTCAGTTTTTGAGATTTTTGAATGGTTAAAAAACGAATCGATAGCAAATTTTAAGCTCTACAACTTTTTAATACATCAAATTTCACCATCTCCCCTCCACGCACAAATATAGCTCAATTTTCAGGCAGTGAATCTCTACGTACCCACATGTTCAAACAACACCATATTTCTCGAATGTACATGTGCCGATGCTGTAATTGGGCGTTTCCGGACAAGTCCCTTCTGCACATCCATCTACAATCGATCAATAATAACAATGAAAGTGTGCCGCATGCGGTGATCAACAGAAGTTGCCACGTCATCACCGATCCGTTTCAGTGTAAGTTTGGAAAAGTATCCAAATGCGATCATTTTGAGTTGAAAACGACCGTAACCCACCGCGATTACAGTAATCCGCAGTCCGCTGCTCACGCTCACGAGTCCGCCAACGACTATTGTCGATCCGATCCCCCTGCCGATCGCCGCCAACTTTCCCATTCCGACTTCGGTTCTGGCACCGCTCGCCACCGACCCCCCAACATTCTCCCATCTCGCCGGCCTTCCCAAACCGATTCCCAGTACGGTTTTCCAGAAAAAAACTTTAAAAAAAAGTGGATTTTTGCAGTCACAACGCCGATTTATCTGCCGGAGAAGAAGGAAAGTGAGGAGAAGACGGAAACGTACACTTCGCAGAGTCCCACTTGTTCTTCTGCCAGTTTCAAGTCCGATTTAAGCGCGTTTCATTTGTTGGTGAGTCTGAAACAGATATTGTAGAGTTCGCAAAAATGATATGGCTCTCAAACTTTTTGTGCATGATCTCGGCATCTAGTAGACTATTTTTGTAGTTGATCACTTTTTTTTACAATCACTTTCAAGACTACTGTAGCGTCTGGAAGTTGGGTCACCGAAAATTCTTTGCACTTTGAGTTGTCTAACTTCCAAGACCTACAGTAATCCGGGATGCAGTCATAGTAAAAAGTTGTCAACTACAAAAGTGTAGTACACATTTGGCAGAACATTTTTGTAGTTCACAATTTTTCTACACAACCGCTCCGAAAAGTACTGTAGCTCTTGGAAGTAAGGTCACCTAAAATGCAAACGCGTCCCGGTGGTCTAACTTCCAAGAGCTACAGTAGTCCAGGGAGGAGTCGTAGAAAAAAGTGATCAACTAGAAAAGTGTAGTTCTAGATGCCTAGAATGTGCACAAAAAATTTGAGAGCGATAGAATTGCGATGAACTCTACAATACTCGTTCAAAGTGTTCTTTTCCACTATTCCAACTGTCACAATTTAATTCCCGTTGCAGACGTGCTCGGAACGCGCGCTAATCGGCTCCCCGGTGGACACGGCCTCTCCCTCTGGATCCTCGGCCTCGTCGCGCATCAGTCCCCGCCACGACTGCTTCGATTGCCACGTCAGCAAGACGAAATTGACGATCGCCGAGAACAAGTGCAAGTACCTCGAGAGCCGAGTGAGCACGCAGCAGCAAGAGGCCTTCGAGACGCACGCCCAGATGAACGGGCTCGAGCAGACGGTGCTCCGTTTGCGGATGGAGGCCCACGTGCTCCGCGAGCACAACGACTTGTTCCAGCGCAAACTTCTCGAGTGTCAGGTTCGTCGATACCGAAAAAGCACCACAAAAAATGCCCAAAATTTCCAGAACCTGGCCGTCAAATACTTGCAAAACGAGAAATCGTGCGAACCGCTGCAACTCAACGCATTTTTGCGCACCCTTATAAATAACACAATTTTGGGCCATGCACCATAGGAGTTGTCCCCCTCAATTTTCCGTCAACAAAGCTTTACCCCCGTGTGTTTTCAATACCCCCCCTGTACATTTTTTTGTGTCTTTCTACAATTTGAGAAACTTCAATTCTTTTGCGCGTTTTCAAAGATCACCTCTCCCTCAAAAAACAAAACAATCAAACATCTCAGAGAGTTGCTGCGGAAAAATAAAACCAGAAAAAGAGAACATTTTTTTATGAAATTTCAATGAAGTTTTACATGCTCTGCGACTTTTTGACACCTCATGCATATTGGAATAGCGAAAAATGGATTACGGTCGGAAACGGCAAAATTTTACGGAATTTTAGCATTTTCTCTGCAAAATCTCTATCTTTGCTTATTTTTCAACCTTATCTATTGTAAAACTTGCATTTTATAACAGATTTTACATGAAAACGGCGAAAAAAGCGAAAAAATTGCAAGCGGGTTACTGTAGATTTAAAGGCGCATAACAGTTGTTGGCGACAATTTTGAATGGAAAACCCGATTTTTGACCGTTTTTTCGTCGTTTTAGGCATATTTGGACTCGATCACGTTAGTTTCGGCAATTCTACAATCGATAAACAAAATTACAGCGAACAATAGTTTAAAGGCGCAGCCCTAACCGAAAAACTTCGCGGAAAGGCCCAAAAGCCCAAAAAATGCACCTTTCTCCAATTTTTCCACTTTTTTCCATCCAAACTTTGGCCCGGAAGTGCTCAAAACGATAACCATAAAAACTTGTGAAATTGAGTTTTCCCCTCCACTTTCATTCGCTTTTCGAAATGGCCCACACAAAATAAGTGGTTTCGAAGGAAACGAGGAGAAGAAGCTCATAAAATAATCGTTTTTATTATGTTTTTCATATTTCGAGCACATTTCGCTCGGCGCTCGCAGCTTTGTGCGATCTAATCGAATTCTGGAGCACAATGCGTGCTCGGCGCCTCCAGAATCTTCGGCTGATGACGTGGCACTCGTGACTTTTCTACCCAACATCCCCCTTTTCTCAAAAAACAATTTTTTACATTTTTCTACATCTTGTGACCTTGCCGCCGGTGGTTTTCTCCTTTTTCTCCCCAGAGACTTTGGTTTTCCCGTTTTTGCTGTCATTCACACTTTCGTATCTTTTTTTTTAACGAAAACATCACAAGGGACCGATTTGTGTGTAAACACCGTGACGGTAGATTGCACACAATTGGCGCAACACTGAAATGACACCAAACTTCCTTGAGCTACAGTACGTTTTTGCGTGGGCGTATCAAAAAGTGGTCAACTAGAAAAATGTTGTACTAGACATGTACTTTAATTTTGTAGTTGAAAACTTTTTTGTAAAACCACTCCCTGGGATACTGTAGCTCTTGGAAGTTAGACCATCTTTGCATTTTAGGTCCAACTTCAAAGAGCTACCGTACTCCAGCGCGTGGGTGTACAAAAAAGTGGTCAACTACAAAAATGTTCTACTAGACCTCAAGATTTCACTCAAAAATTTTCAGACCCCTAACACGTCTCAGAATTGCACAATATCCGTTCAAAGTCTAACTACTATAAAAAGCTAAAAATGATGATCTCTGACTCAGCGAGCGCTCAAAACATTGCTTATAATCCAATTAGGTCCAGTTTTTCCCAGAGATGCCTCCTCCTCCTCATTTGGTCGCCAATTGCAGGCTGGCTGGTCCCTCCGCTCCCAACAAGTTGGTCATGAATAATTGATGTCCGGATTGTTGCTGCTCGCGTCTTTTCGCCTTTTTTATCCCTTGTTTTCTGTTCCAGTTCACTTTCAATCATTTCATCTCCTTCTTCTTCTTCTTCTTCTTCTTCTTCTCTCCAACTACTGGGACCAACTGAAAAGTCACAAGGTCCCATCGGATTCCCCCAGAGTTCCACAAATCTTCGCCATTTCATCTATCCTCCTCCGTCTTTTTCGCAAGGTTTAAGCACTAAAATAGAAGACAGAGGGTGGGGGACTATCAATCTTTGAGGGACCGCCCAGACATGTACCAGAAGGATACACCGCAAAGGGATCTTTTGGGCGGAAAATTTGAAAGTTTTACTTTCTCTACTTTTTCGTCCACTTTTTCATAGTCCCAACTTTATAGAGCTATAGTAGTGTTGTGCGTGGGCGCACAAAAATGTTGTCAACTACAAAGTTAAAGCTGGTCTTAAGTACATTATGTTTGTAGTTGACCACTTTTTTGTACGCCCACGCATAACGCTACTATAGCTCTTTGAAGTTGCAGCTCTTCAGAACTGACCAAATTTTGTGGTGGCAAACTTCGAAGAGCTACAATAGTCTTATACGTGGGCATATAAAAATGTCGCCAATTACAAAAATGTTCTACATAATCTAAACTTTAACTTTACAGTTGACAACTTGTCTGTAAAACCGTTCCCTGAACTACTGTAGCTCCTGGAAGTTGTGGCTCCTAGAAATCCCAGTGCAAACTTCCAAGAGCTACCGTACTCTAATGCGTGGGCCTACAAAAAAGTGATCAACTACAAAAATGCTCTACTAGACCTCAAGAATTCACTCAAAAAATTTCAGATCCCAAGCACGTCTCAGAATCGTACAATATCCATTCAAAGTTTGTCCAGCATCTCTCAAAAATACACCCGCAATTTTGCTCTCGTTTTTCCCGGATCCCCAGACAGGATTACTGTTGTTCTGAGCCGCATCTTGATTTATGAGACACTTTTTTTCCGGGGCTCAATCTATATGCAAATGAGAATGAGCGAGAGAGTGAGAAAATTTGAGTTCCAGGAACTTTTACTCGTCATTTTCTGCCTTTTTCCCCTATAATTTCACGCGTTTGCCAATTTTTAGGCGTAAGCGTCATTCACTGTTGTTTTCCGGGTTGTGAATGCGAAATGACCCACTGCTGAAGTAAGGTATCCGATGACAATGGGTCGGAAAATCAACTTTTCCCATTTTTGGCTCAAAATGACGAAAAGTTACGAAAAAACGTCTAGTAATAGACGTGCACGCGATTGTTTTCGTCGCCGCTCAAACATCTTCGATTTGATGGGATCTCGGTGCTCTTCGAGCCCATCTCAATCGTCCGAGCCACCTCTCCTCTCACTTTTCCGTCCTCCGGGGATACTTTTTTGTGTGTCGGGGAGGGGGAAAAGAGGGAAAAAGGCCAAGATTAGACATACATCATCTATGCATGAATGATGGCCCCTGTTACCCTACGGACCAGTGCGTCGGATGAGCCAGAAAGTGAAATGGGGGCACATCTTTTTGGGGACTACTACTGTACGCGTTCAATTGTCCGTAAACACATGAAGCTACCGTAGTCCTGTATAAATGTGCCGAACTTTACGACAAATCGGGATTACTGTCGATTCAAACACACCAACGACACTTGCGTACTTTTCGTGCTACCGTAATCCCCGTCCATCCAAAATTGGGATTCTCGGCCTAAAAATGCAAATCTCTCGACTTGTGATGCTCCAAAAAACAAGCGGGCCCTTTTATCCCCCTGAAATTTGATTAGCCGCCCCGTCTTTACTTTCTCTCTCTCTCTCTCTCTCTCTCTCTCTCTCTCTCTCTCTCTCTCTCTCTCTCTTTCTCTCTCTTTCTCTCTCTTTCTCTCTCTCTCTTCCCCTCAATTAGGCACTCACGTGGCCGAACTTTGGATTTCTAGGCCACACGCGACAAACTTTGTCGCCGTGTTTTCGACGGTGTGCCCGCCCGTATTTGCATAAAAGGTCGAAGAATCCAGAGCTGTTTTTCCGGATTCTGTTTTCGCGTTTTTAATGTTTTTCCCGGGTGTTTTTTGTCGGAAAGTACCCGTTTTGGCTTTCTTGGCCACCTATTCGAATGGCCTAACTTTCTCTCTTTTGCTTTTCCAGGCCATGGCCTAGCTTTCGCTAGTTTCGATTGCTAGGCCACGTTTCCCTTTCGCTTACCTATTCCATCTTTCCAAATGGCCTAACTTTCTGCTCTCTCGCTTTCCAGGCCATGGCCTAGCTTTCTCTAGTGTCGATTGCTAGGCCACGCCCCCCCCCCCAAAAAAGACGGCTTTGAACCGACAAAGTTTGGCTCCAAAACGCATTGAACCGGAAAAACGGAGTGCGCATCTTTCCGTCCGTCCATTTGTTTTTTTTTTCCATATTTTCGTGTGCTCCACGAGCTGCCCATTATCATGCTCATCATCATCATCCGAAAAAGGCAGAGGAGCTGAATTACTCGTCAAACTTCCGTCTTTTCCCTCTCTTTTTTCTCGGGCCAAGGGGGGCAATCAGAGAGAGAGAGAGAGAGAGAGAAAAAGAGAGAAAAAGAGAGAGTCTATCCATATTCTGTTCCGTTTTTCTTCGCTTTTTGTGTATTTCTTGTTGCTCGCCGCTTTTTCGCAATGTAATATTATCCGTTTCCCACCTGACACACTTTCTGTCAATCTTTTTGTCACTTGTGCGGTTGATCCCAGCGGCGTGGCCTAGTTTTCTCGCAAAAAGTTCGCATAGTCAGGATGGTGACTGTTGTGTACGTTCCGTACACACAAACATTCTTACTTTTCTTCTTCTCTTCCCGGGTACCTCTTTCTCTGCGCCTCCGTGCGCACACACTCTCTCTCAGTGTCGCAAACACCTGAGTTTACGACACTGGACTTTTTTCTCGCCCTCGCTTCTCCGAAGCTCGTTTCTGTTTTTCTACTATTCTTCTCTACTGCTGGTTATTCAAGTATATAAAGTGTATCTCAATTAAACCCGCTTCCGCTCGTCCATCATCATCGGGTTTTTAACCCATAAAACATATCAACTGGCGATCAGGATCACGGATTTCGGCAAGCAAATCGGTAAAAACTTCGTTTTTACGACTCAGTAGAGGCCGGCTCGGATCAAGCCGCGATGGAAAACTTAAATCCTGACGGGTTCGCTCGTCTCTCTGCTGAGATTGCTCGCGCCGTCGCGGAAGCTGTCAGAGAAGCGATGACTCCACAAGCTCAGCCAAATCAGCCGCCGCCGGAGGAGGACAAGTCGGTGAACAGGTCACGCATCATCGACTCACTATCCGCACGTCTCTCGATGTTCAAATACGATCCGGAGGAGGAAATGACGTTCGAAAACTGGTACGTCCGCTACGAGAAGCTCATCGACGAAGAAGGCGGGATCCTGGAAGACAAGGCGAAGGCCCGCCTCATTCTCGCGAAGCTGAACGCCCGGGAGTACGCGCTGTTCGCAAATCGACTTCTGCCGAAATTCCCGGACAGTCTGACGTTCGATGAATTGATTCCAAAGCTGAAAGAGACGTTCAAGTCGACGTCGTCGGAGTTTCGCCGCCGCTACGACTTCCTGCAAGCCTCATACAATGGAGGAGCTCTCGAGGAGTATACGGGAACCATTCTCCGCCGTTTCACCACTTCAAAGTGGAACGACATGACGGACGATCAGGTCTGCTGCCTGATCTGGATCGTCGGTCTGCGAGACGGTTCGTTCGCCGACATTCGAACGAAGGCACTGCAGCTACTGGAGAGCAAGCCGGATACGACTCTTCTGGAACTGGAGGCGAAGATCAAGCGACTTCTGGAGATTCGAGACGATTCGCAACGACTCGGAGCGTCGAAAGGAAAGCCGGAAATCAACGCCATCAAGGCAAGGAAGGCAAGTACTTCCCAGAAAACCGCACCATCGCCATGTCCGAAGTGTGGCGGAGATCACTGGGCTCGAGACTGCAAGCTCGAGAACGTCACCTGCAACGTCTGCGGGAAGGACGGCCACATCGCAAAGTTTTGTTTCAAAAACAAACCGCCGGCCAAGAAATCGACGAAGAAGTTCCAGAAGAAGAAGGTGAACGCCGTGGCAGTCGCGCAACTTGCCCCGACGCGGCGGAGGATCTACCTCAACGTTCCGATCAACGGCACCAGCGTAAAAATGCAGCTTGACACCGGATCCGACGTCACCGTACTCAACATACGGGACTGGAGGAAGATTGGAACGCCGCCGCTCACCAAGTCGACCGAGAAGCTCCTGTCTGCGTGCGGATCCGAGATTCGCACAAAAGGAGAGTTCCGCTGCCAGTTCAAACTGCACGGAAAGGAGTACGAGGGCTCCGCCCACGTTGCCGAGACAGCTACACTTCTTGGCATGGATTGGATGTCCCTCAACTCGGCGCTGCTGCACTCGCTGATCGATTCGCCGGACACTCAGTGTCCAGGTGACCAACAAGAAGGCGCCGCTCAACATGTGCCGCGAGGAACTGCTCAAGAAGTTGAAGAAGAGTCATCCAAACGTCTTCACAACTGGATTGGGCACGTGCACCAAGGGCCGAGCGACTCTTCGACTGAAACCGGACGCGAGACCCGTCTTCCGAAAGGCTCGCCCGGTTCCGTACGCGAGACTACCCGCCATCACCAGGGAGATTGAACGGCTCGTCGCCAAACGAGTCCTGGCCCCAACGAACCATTCGGAATGGGCCGCTCCCATCGTCGTCGTCATGAAGAAGACTGGAGAAATCCGGCTCTGCGCCGATTTCTCGACCGGACTCAACGAGTGCCTCCAGCAACATCAGCATCCGTTGCCAACACTCGAAGACAGTTTCACAAAACTGAACGGTGGATGTCTCTTCACGCAAATCGATCTGGCGGAGGCGTACCTGCAAGTGGAAACCGACGCCAAGTCGGCCGAGTTGCTCTGCGTCAACACACATCTTGGACTCTTCCGCTACCAACGCCTTCCCTTCGGAGTGAAAACTGCGCCGGCGATCTTCCAACAGATCATGGATTCACTCGTAGCTGGAATGGAAGGGACGACGGTATACCTCGACGACCTTATGATCTGCGGAAGGACGGTTGAGGAGCACAACCAACGCGTCGCCGCCGTGTTCGCCCAGCTGGATGAGTACGGGTTCCGCATCAAACCGGAGAAATGCCATTTTCTCATGCCCAGAATCAACTTCTTGGGTTTCCAAATCGACGCAGAGGGACGCCGCCCGGATCCAGCCAAGATCCAAGCGATCATCGACATGCCGCCACCGAAGAACGTGACGGAAGTGCGAGCGTTCCTGGGAATGATCCAGTTCTACGGATCTTTCGTGCCAGCTCTTCACGCTCATCGCCGACCGATCGACGCTCTCACCAAGAAAGACGTCAAGTTCGAGTGGAATGCCTCCTGTCAAAAGGCATTCGAAGCCGTCAAGCGGATTCTGAATTCCGGTCTTCTGCTCACTCACTACGACCCGAGTCTACCGATAATCGTTGCTGCCGACGCCTCGCAATACGGCATCGGTGGCGTGATTTCCCACCGTTGGCCAAACGGAACGGAAAAGGCGATCTTCCACTTCAGTCGTGCTCTGACGGACACCCAACAACGGTATAGTCAGATCGAGAAGGAAGGGCTCGCTCTCGTCACCGCCGTGACGAAATTCCATCGATACCTGCATGGCCGTCGATTCACGCTTCGTACGGATCACAAACCGCTGCTCAACATCTTCGGAGGATCCAAAGGAGTACCGATTTACACTGCAAATCGACTCCAGCGATGGGCCACTATTCTTCTTAACTACGATTTCGACATTTCGTACGTCAAAACGGAAGATTTTGGCCAAGCCGATGCTCTGTCTCGCCTCATCGATCAGCAGGCCCGCCAAGCCGAAGAAACCGAGGTGATCATCGCTCAAATTGAAGTTCAAGCTTCGCCGGAACTCGACAGCCAATGCCACCAACTCCCCGTCACAGCCGCAATGATCCGTAAACACTCAAAAACGGACCATCTCATCCAAAGAGCCATGGCGTGTGCCGAACGAGGAGACTGGCCGGAGAATCTCGAAAAGGAGCCGGCGCTTCAGCAATTTTCGAGACGTCGCCAACAGCTGTCGATCGTCGAAGGCTGTCTGATGATGGCTCATCGTGTCGTCGTTCCGGAACGTCTCCGACAACGTGTGCTCGGTGCGCTGCACAGGGCACACCCGGGAATCGTCCGAATGAAGGCGCTCGCGCGCAGTTTCGTCTTTTGGCCGGGAATCGACAAGGATATCGAGCAGATTGTGCAAAGCTGTGACAACTGCGCTGCCGCTGCAAAGAATCCGATCAAAAACGTGCTCTACTCGTGGCCAAAATCGTCTGCTCCGTGGACACGCGTGCACGCAGATTACGCCGGTCCAATCGACGGAATCTACTACTTGGTGGTGGTGGATTCGTTCTCCAAATGGCCCGAAGTGATGGCGACCAAATCGATCACATCGACGGCAACCATCATGCTCTTCGGGAGGATTTTCGCGCAGTTCGGAAATCCCGAGACGCTGGTGACGGACAATGGAACACAATTCTCCGCGCAGTTGTTCCAGTCTTTCTGCGAGGAACGTGGAATCAACCATCTCTTCTCGCCGCCCTATCACCCGCAGTCTAACGGCCAGGCCGAAAGGTTTGTCGATACGTTCAAGAGAACCATGAAGAAACTACAGGGGGAGTCGGAAAGGGACGACGCTCTCAACGTCTTCTTACAAATCTACCGATCGACTCCGTGTGCAGCCGCACCGCAGCAGAAGTCGCCCGCCGAAAGTTTCCTCAATCGACCGATGCGCACGCCACTCCAGTTGATCCTGCCCACGAAAAGATCCGCGGATTCTGACAGGAATCGTGACATGGAACGACAATTCAATGTTCATCACGGAGCTCGCCGACAGGATTACCGACCGCATCAAGCAATCTACTCAAGGGACTTCCGCAATCCGGCCAGACCAACTTGGAGTGCCGGGATTGTGATCAAGAAGCTCGGGAACACCGTCTACGAGGTAGAAGTAGACGGATTCCGCTGGAAGAGACACGCGAACCATCTGAAGCCGAGGATTCGACGTCAACCGCTGGAGGAGCTGATCGACACGTTCGGATTGGGACAATCGAAGGATTCAACGGCGCCGAGGGATATGGACGACACGAAGGATGTGACGGACATGGACAACTCGGAGAATCTGGATCGGGACGACGCGATGGATACGGACGGTTCGGACGACCCGAAGGATCGAAGGGATGCCGAGGAGTCACAGGACGCTGAGGATACCGAGGATCCGACGGACGGCCCTGGATCGGATGCCGTCTCACCTGCTCAATCGCCGAAGCCTCTCAGACGTTCAACCAGGAATAGAATCGCCGCAAAGCGATTCGAGATGAACCCGTCGAAACAAAGTTACCATTGATAACTAGGCTTCTACCCCCGCTTATTTTCATTTTACCCGGGGAAGATGTTGTGTACGTTCCGTACACACAAACATTCTTACTTTTCTTCTTCTCTTCCCGGGTACCTCTTTTCTCTGCGCCTCCGTGCGCACGCACTCTCTCTCAGTGTCGCAAACACCTGAGTTTACGACACTGGACTTTTTTCTCGCCCTCGCTTCTCCGAAGCTCGTTTCTGTTTTCTACTATTCTTCTCTACTGCTGGTTATTCAAGTATATAAAGTGTATCTCAATTAAACCCGCTTCCGCTCGTCCATCATCATCGGGTTTTTAACCCATAAAACATATCAGTGACAGTTCAAAAAGTTGGACTAGGTTTCCACTCGGTGGCCTAACTTTCTCGATTGCTCGGTTAGGATTCAAATCGTTCAAATTTCGAGCCCTAAACCAAACGTGGCCTAACTTTTTCCATATCCATAGCCTGGCCTAACTTTCTCTCACACTAATAACCTAAATTCCACGTCGATGGCCTAAAAACCCCAAAAATACATCATTTCACTTTCATCTAATTTCACATCGACAACCGTCAATTTTCAATTTTCATCCAAATTTTGGGTTGTCCACACCACCTAAGTGTTCAAAGATTTCCGAGAATTTGCACGAAAACCCCGTCATTTCCTCTGTCAAAATTCGCTATAAAACGAGGAGAAGAGCGGCGACGTTTGGCCGAGGTTTTCCCGCCGCAAAACTTCGGCCATTGCTATTTTGATCGGTTCACGCCCACGCATTTTCGCCCGTTTTCAGCCAGAGATCTCGTTAATTTCAGCCATTTACACGTTTTTTTGGGCGATCAAACAACGGTTCGATAGAAAATTTTGTGATCTACAATATTGCAGTTGATCGTTTTTTACCATACCGTCTTTACTTTTCGATATTTTGTCACTTCTGCACCGCATTTCCCTTTGAACATTTCTAGGTCAATTTTTGAGATTTTTCAATAGTTAAAAAGCGAATTCATTAAAAATCATCTATTACAAAGGTGTAGAGCACATATTTTTCTACTGAATCGTTTTTTAACCAAGCAAAAATCGCAAGATTGGAGCGAGAAAAATGCAAGTGAAATTCGACTACTTTGCGCGATGAGCCTTACAGAAAAGTGAGAATATCTCAATTCCGAGACGGAATGGCAGAAAATGATCAACTACAATATTGTAGATCACAAATTTGTCTATCGAACCGTTTTTTGATCATCCAAAAATTCTGAAAACTGACCGAGATAGGATAGGTCAAAGTAAGATCATGGCCTAATTTATCAGTTAACTCGCTTAGTGTTTCTCAAAGCATTTTCTAACGGGTTAAAAATAGTGAAAATTGGGTGTCAAGTCGGGTCATCGTCATTTCTCCCTGTTCAATTATCCGCCGGCCATCATTTTCTGTCCGCGGCGGCACTATTAAGGCCAACGCGGGGGGACAACTCGAAGGCACTCTTTTTTTGCTTTTTACCCTCTCTCTCTCTCTATCTCTTTTGTGCCAAACTTTGGACTTTTGTGTGTGTGTGTGTGTGCAATGAAATGCAAGAAGAAGAAGAAGAAGAAGAAGAAAAAGATGAACGCGTGTAGGAAAAGGTTGTTTTACCCGTTTGCGAAACGTTTTCCCCTCCTCCTCCGCCTTCTTCTTCTTCTTCTTCTCGTTCTTCTGCTCGGATGCCGACAAACTTTGTCGCTCTTATTGTATTCGAGGACATTTCGCAACTAATGACGCGAGGTGGACGTGAAACGAAAAAAAAAAGAAGGAGAAATTTATGAAATAAAATGAATAAACAAACACAAACTTTTGGCGCCGGCTTTTCCACTCGGCCATATTAGTGCACGTTTGCCCAAATTGTTGAGCAGTTTTCCGCATTTGTTTTACCGAATTTCAGCTCCATTCCATTATTTTGAAGAAAATAGAGAAATTTTATAGAAATTTCCGAGAACAGCCCTATTTTCGAACTTTAATTTCGCGCCGTCAACTTGTCATTGCGCGAAACATCGATTACGTGTGAAATGTGTGCGTCTGCTTCTTTCCTTTGCACCTGGACTTTTTTTTTGGTCGTTTTTCGCCAAAAAACAAATGCCAGTTTTGTTCGTTCCAGGAATGGCCAGATTTTAACGACACAAATGTGCACACAAGACCTTCCGTTGTTCGATTTGGAGAACAACAATACCATCTTTTTTTTCGATCAACTCATCGCGTTTAATAGGTACGTTAACCTATACTGTACGCTTCGAATTCACAATCAAAGTTTGCAGAGTTTACACCCAATTTCACCGCTATCTATGTCTAATCGTCTGCTTTTTCGGCGTTCTCCTCAACAGCCTTCATTTTTATGTGCTCACGTGAGTGTCTAGGCCTTATTATAGGGGCACCGGACAGAAAGAAAGGGCGCGCTATTGAGAAGAGCCCGCGAAAACCTGGGGGACTCTAAATTTGAATGGTGTGAGAAGGGAAAGTTAGTCCGCGGCCACGTAGGCTGCTGCAGAAATTTTTGTTTTCCTTCTGTTTTTTCGTTTTCTTTTTAATAAATCGATTGTGTTCTCACCTTTTTCGTAGTGAATTTAATTAATTGTTTCTTGTTCATGTTCGAAATATGCGTTTCTAAACAGATTCAATCAACAGTTTGCGGAAAATAAGAGAAAACATTGACGACGTGCACCATTTTTCGACTGCGATAGCTTTTTATTGAAATTCTATACATGAAAAAGAAAAAATTAATTAAATTCACTACGAAAAAGGTGAGAACACAATCGATTTATTAAAAAGAAAACGAAAAAACAGAAGGAAAACAAAAATTTCTGCAGCAGCCTACGTGGCCGCGGACTAACTTTCTCTTCTCACACCATTCAAATTTAGAGTCCCCCAGGTTTTCGCGGGCTCTTCTCAATAGCGCGCCCTTTCTGTCCGGTGCCCCTATAAGAGACGCCTATTATGTGAGTTATCGGGATCATGGGCCACGTTTCAGACGAAAAGCGATGCGAGTGTACATAATCAACGCGCTGCTGTGCGCCATGTCGATCTGCGACATCATCACAATGTCCTCCTACTTCATCTACATCCTCCGCTTCCGCGTCTTCGACTCCCCGGCCACGACGATCGGCTATCCGTACCCGTGGCTCGTCTTCCTCATCACACACGTCACGTGCTCGATCGCGCTCCACACGACCGCCCTCTATCTCTCCGTGATTATGGCCTACATCCGATGGACGGCGTTGGATCGGCTCGACGCGAAATGGATCAATCACGGCGCGCTCAAACAGATTCTCATCTTCACCGCGCTCATCGTTTCGATCATCTCGATTCCGACGGTCATGGTTCACAAGATTGTGGCGGTTCGCGAGGTGCTCGGCGTCAACGAGACTGATGTGAGCGGGATGGCGAAAGTGAGTTTGGTTTTTTGATGGCGATTCGAACTCTTTTTTTTTTTGCAGCTGGAGGGTTTGTATACGGTGCAACTGGACGAGACGAAAATCAACGGATGCGCGCTTTTCCGAGTCAATCTCTGGATAACCGGAATCATGTTCAAGGTGGGTACAGTTTTTCGTGGCGAGACCCGCAGACTATTCCAGGCTCTTCCCTGCCTTTTAATCCTTTGGTTCACCATTGCGCTCATCTACAAACTCGTTCAAATGAGCGAGAAACGACGGATACTCCGTGGCGAAAAGAAGAAGAAGGAAAAGGAGGAGTTTCAGTTGTTGGCCACCTCGTCAACGCCCACGAACACCACTCGCGAAGAGACTTCACCGTGAGTCTACAAAGGCGATTTGGCTTTTATCGGCGCCAATTTGCAGACGTCTCCGCAAAGTGTCTCAATGTCGGAACGTGTCGATCGATCGCACGACCCTAATGCTCATCATAATGCTCGTCGTTTTTCTGTGCACCGAGATGCCGCAAGGACTTCTCGCGATTCTCTCGGCCATCTATCCGACGCACGTGCACACAATGATCTACGTCAACGTCGGCGAGGTAGGGCAAAAGTTAGGCCACCCCGAGATCTAGTTTTCCGCTTCAGCTGCTCGACCTAATGTCGCTGATCAACTGTCTCACGTCGTTCATCGTCTACTGCGTGATGAGCACCACGTACCGCGCAACCGTCAAATCGGTGCTGTGTCGACCAACGAATCACCGACGGACCGTCTTCAAAAACACGCATCTTTTGCTCAATTCCTACCGAATACAGGTCTCCTAGATTCTCTTCGTTTTGTGCAATTCGGACTGGTCATTTTTTGCAATAAATGTCTTCTTTTTCTGGTTTTCTTGGGGCGTCTCACGTCGAAAAATCAGTGTTTTTCGAAAGGAAAGCGATAAAAAATCGCTGGAAAGTCGACAACACCGAAAAATCGACAGATTTATCGATTACAGCATCAAAATTTGCCTTGAAATCAACTTTCGCTCGAAAAACGCACAAATTCGAAAACTCGCCGGAAAATCGATACTTTTAGCTGTCGATATGAACAAAAACAGGAAATTTCGATCGAAATACATAGGAGAAGCGGGTTCACTTGAAAACAGATTTAGAAATCTTGTATTTAATCCAAAGAAACGGGAAAATCGATTTTCAAGCACGGAATCCTTCGTTTTTGTTGAAAATATTGCGAAATCTGTCCAAAATTCAGCATAATGCTTCGAAAACTTGAAATCCGTTGAAACTAACCCGCAAAATGGCATTTTTGGGTGCAAAAGACCTCGGTCAAGTGGTTGTCGATGGGGTAGGATCAGTATTGATAACCCACCGACTCCGGACCGTCGCTCTCGAGAGGCGAGAGAATGGCAAACGCGAGAGTTTATATAGGCGGCCGGAGCGAAGCAGCCGACGTTTCACGGGCGATGGCGAGGCCGCAACAGCGCCCCAAAAATGTCGTTTTCCTGGCGAATTTTGGCAGTTTTTCGAGATGAAAATTAGAAAAATAGGTAATTTAAGTGAATTCTTGGTTGAAACGAGAGGAATTCATTGAAAAACTACATTTTCGAGCGAAGAAATGTCGTTTTCAAGGTCGTTTTTCCCAATTTGTCGCTCTTTTCTCTGTTCTTCTGCCCATTAGCCGTTTTCCCCATCGTTTTTCCACGCTGACAGAAGCCATTTTAAGCATACATAGAACTCTCAGGACGCATCCATCTGACACTTTTCTAGAGAAAAATAAGCCTCCTCGCGGCGAAGAACGGCTATTCGATGCTAGTCCCAACTAAATGTGAAAACCCGGCAGGCAACACGAACTTTTTCGATTCAGGACACCACACGTTCGTCGTGGAATTGCAGACAATAGAAAGATGCTGATGATATCTGTCAAAATAATTTTAAATTAAGCTCTCATTCCCACTTTTTTTTCAGAATGCGCGTAAAGTATTGCGCCTGCACGGTTCCGCGGTTTTCGGGAATTCCCCCCGTTTTGGCACGCCCTAGGGACGAAACGGTAGGGATGCGAAGGAAGGAGAAATGATGGGATGGATACAACGGTTTGTACGTTGTTTTCAGTGGTCCTTTGGTTATTTTTATTGCTCTTTTTGCTACTTCCAGTTGTCCTGAACTCATTCCCATCCGATGGTCTTCATTACAATACGTATACCATAAACCACCACCATAAAGTGGGTCCCGGGACCGTCCCCCCTCTCCCACACTATTTTCTCCTTCCCACACTCACGTCATTATTGTTTTAGGGCCCCCCTCTAGGTTTCCGGGGTGTGGGGCGTGGCCTCGTGCAAAGGGGCGTGGCCTCGTGTTACTGCACACAAAGACAGTGCATTCCAGTCCAGTCATTCACAAACAAATAGTTTTTGTTCTCTCTGCCCTCCTACTATTAAACGATTCGTTTCAATTCCAGCTCAACCATGTCCATGACGTTGAAGATGAAGAAGATGTGGAGAGAGGAGATCTCTGTGATCATGATCAGCCAACTCATCACTTCCAACGACGAAATGTTGATGAGAATCGCGGCGAAGCGACTGACGACGGAGAAGTACTCGGACAAGATGCTCATGAAACACAACATCCTCATGCTCGTCGTCGATCACTTTCCCAACGAACTGACCGCCAAAGTGATGAATCATTACATGGAACCGATCTGGGAGGAGACGCATCAGAACGGATACGTTGGCGACGACGAAGGAGAAGAGGAGCAGAAGGAGAATGTGGTCCCAGTGGTCGAAGTGAAGGAGCCGAAGAAGCGGAAGGACCGGCAGAGAAAGAGACACGTCTACGCACCGTACTAACTGATTGTGTCTATAATTCTGTTTTCAAATATTGTACACCCAATCATTTGCGCTCATCTATATTTCTGTTAAATAACTTGTGAATTCCATGACCTGCTCATCTTTGCCTGACAATAAAACTGTAATCACACATCTTTCCTCCTTCCTTCGCATCTTCGGATCCCGATCAAACTGGCGCCTTGCCGTTCACACACACATATCCACAAAGTTATGACATTTTCTGACGGTACACACTCAAAAGTGTTGCCTTGAAGTTATAAAAAAGTAGCCAAATCAAAAATTGCTTATTAAATGGCAGCTAAGAGCAGAAGACGCTTGAAGAAGGGGGAAGCAGGGAAAATGAAGTTAAGGAGAGGAAGATTGGTGCGGAGGATCTTGTATTTCATCCAAAGAAACGGGAAAGTCGATTTTCAAGCACGGAATCCTTCGTTTTTGTTGAAAATATTGCGAAATCTGTCCAAAATTCAGCATAACGCTTCCAAAACTTGAAATTCGTTCAAAATAACACTCAAAATGGCATTTTTGGGTGCAAAAGTCCACGGTCAAGTCGCGTCGATGGGGCAGCTCATTTTTGATAACCCACCGACTCCGGACCGTCGCTCTCGAGAGGCGAGAGAATGGCAAACGCGAGAGTTTATATAGGCGGCCGGAGCGAAGCAGCCGACGTTTCACGGGCGATGGCGAGGCCGCAACAGCGCCCCAAAAATTCCGTTTTCCTGGGGGATTTTGGCGGTTTTTCGAGATGAAAATTAGAAAAATAGGTAATTTAAGTGAATTCTTGATTGAAACGAGAGAAATTAATTGAAAAACTCGGCAAAGGCGCGCCACTTTTGCGCAAACTTTAAGAATTTTCGCAGGTTTTGCGCAAACTTTAAGTGTTCTCGCAGGTTTTGCGCAAACTTTAAGGCATGACGAAATTGCTGTGAAAACATTGCATTTTCAGTACTCTTCGCTTTTTTCAGCTTGTTTTTATGCGTCTTATTGCTTATCAAATTGAAACAACTTGTCTTTTTCCGTATTTCCTCGGTTTGAGCGCATTTCAAGCGAAATTTCGGTCGGATTTCGTTTAGAAGCGAGTGTTATTGAAAATATGGATGAAATCATTTGAATTCGGAGTACTTCACAGTTATAGGGCTATTCAGCGTTCGTTTGTTTTCTGTTTGTTTATTTTTTTACATCGCTGAATTGGGTTTTTTGACGTAAAAAAACGAAAAAAAAAACAAAAAACAAACATTTTTTCACAGCCTGAATAACCGCATTATTTAAGATGTTCGAACGATTCATATGCTCCTACTTTGTACTATTTCGCATTCTTTTGTTATTTAGATCAGACTTGCAACGGGCCGGGCCGGGCCAAAATTGGAAATTTTCCGGCCCGGGAGGATGCACCTAAAAATTCAAAGCGAAATAGAACTTCGAAACGAACATAATTTTATAGACTTAAAATTGTAAAAACCAGCAGAAATAGAAAAAAAGACGAAAAAGGCAATGTTATAGCATAAAAACCTGTTAAACAATAGAAATTGCTGTTTAAAGTCGCAAAATTTTCACAAAAATTACGAAAATTTTCTCAAGAGTGGGCGGAGCGATTGATTGCAACTCTGGCACGCCATTTTAGCAATTTTGCCGCACGCGTTTTCCTCTTCCTTCATATTTTTTTTGCATATTTTTTTTGAGGTCTAACTTCCGGGCCGACCGGGCCGGGCCGGACAAAAACCGGGCCGGGCCGGCCCGGGATTTGGCAAGTCTGATTTAGATAGAACAAAAGCCACTGTGAAGAGAAAAATGGATCCGGACGAAGCTATCGACTTCAGCACAAAAGTTCGAAAGTCATTTGTCTCGAAACGGAGACTCGGTGAGTTCCGGTCGGATAAAGAGTGTTATGTGATTGGACATGCGTGGAGTTTATCTCCCGCCCTCTCTTCTCGTCGGTCCAGTCGACACAAGCGATGAGTAAGTCTCCATTATTTCATTATGTCGAATCTATATTATACTTTCAGGTTTCTTCACAAAGTGGAATGCGAAAATCCAGAAAACGAAGTAGAAAGACGACGATCTCTTCGAGCATCCGCACTCCAACTCATTAATTATGCGATCGGACAATCGTTGTGGGTGCACAAAACTCTCCTCATTACGCTAATTTCTCCGATTTCAGGCGCGTGCTCAGAACTCATCACTTCGATGTTTCGTCCCAGAAACTTGTCACGTGCAGGGTATAATTCCTCTCAGTCTGTGACCACAATAATTTTTCTAGAATCGAAAAGTCTGCCGCACCCATTTGCAATGGATCGACGTGAAGATGTACAGAGAGAACGAATGCGTACCGAACCGACTATTCTGCTCGTTCAATCCGGAAAATTTGATTCGCTCGTAAGACAAACGTTTTGTAGTACATTTATACAACCTAATTGCAGGAAGCAGAAATGTGCGTCGGAGCCTCAGAGGAACTAATGATTACTCTGGCTTGTCCATTGGATCAACAGCATTTGGATTACGAAAGGTAACATCTCCTTTATCTCAGTGCGCTAACAATTGCTCTTTTTCAGTCCCACAGAGGACAGGCAATTGGAGCCCTCCACGGGACACTTCGGACGTCCGTCCACATCCGAAACTGTGCCCAATTATGATGTTGATGAAGACTACACACTCACTGATTTGTAATTCTTCTGTTCACTTTCAACGTATTTTTTGATATTTTTCACGTTTTTTTCCGAATAAAGTTGTATTTTCATGCAGGAATGAAGTGAAAACAAAATGAGCATTTAGCGCAAACTTTAGGCAGCTCTTGCGCAAACTTTTGAAATTGGCAGCTTTTGCGCAGACTTTACGCAGCTTTTGCGGAACTAGCCAGCAGAAGCTGCGCTAACTTTGCGCAAGCTGCGTAAAGTTTGCGCAAAAGTGGCGCGCCTTTGCCGAGAACTACATTTTCGAGCGAAGAAATGTCGTTTTTCCCAATTTGTCGCTCTTTTTTCTGTTCTTCTGCCCATTAGCTGCATTCTCATTTCCTTTTCCCCATCGTTTTTCCACGCTGACAGAAGCCGTTAGAAGCATACATAGAACTCTCAAGACCCATCCAGCTGACACTTTTCTCGAGAAAAATAAGCCTCCTCGCGGCGAAGAACGGCTATTCGATGCTAGTCCCAACTAAATGTGAAAACCCGGCGGGCACGACGAAATTTTTCGATTCAGGACGCCACACGTTCGCCGTGGAATTGCAGACAATAGAAAGATGCTGATGATATCTGTCAAAATAATTTTAAATTGAACTTTCATTTCCAATTTTTTTTTCAGAACTTCCAAACTTCATTATTACTTCCGTTTGATGCGATTCAATTTCAATCCCCTCTATTCAATAGACGCAAAAGTTTTCAAATGCGCGTAAAGTATTGCGCCTGCACGGTTCCGCGGTTTTCGTGAATTCCCCCTCGTTTTGGCACGCCCTAGGGACGAAACGGTAGGGATGCGAAGGAAGGAGAAATGATGGGGTGGATACAACGGTTTGTACGTTGTTTTCAGTGGTCCTTCGGCTATTTTTATTGCTCTTTTTGCTATTTCCAGTTGTCCTGAACTCATTCCCATCCGATGGTCTTCATTACAATACGTATACCATAAACCACCACCATAAAGTGGGTCCCGGGACCGTCCCCCCTCTCCCACACTATTTTCTCATTCCCACATTCACGTCATTATTGTTTTAGGGCCCCCCCCTCTCTAGGTTTCCGGGGTGTGGGGCGTGGCCTCGTGCAAAGGGGCGTGGCCTCGTGTTACTGCGCACAAAAACAGTACATTCCAGTCCAGTCATTCACAAACAAATAGTTTTTGTTCTCTCTGCCCTCCTACTATTAAACGATTCGTTTCAATTCCAGCTCAACCATGTCCATGTCATTGAAAATGAAGAAGATGTGGAGAGAGGAGATCTCTGTGATCATGATCAGCCAACTCATCACTTCCAACGACGACATGTTGATGAGGATCGCGGCGAAGCGACTGACGACGGAGAAGTACTCGGACAAGATGCTCATGAAACACAACATCCTCATGCTCGTCGTCGATCACTTTCCCAACGAACTGACCGCCAAAGTGATGAATCATTACATGGAACCGATCTGGGAGGAGACGCATCAGAACGGATACGTTGGCGACGACGAAGGAGAAGAGGAGCAGAAGGAGAATGTGGTCCCAGTGGTCGAAGTGAAGGAGCCGAAGAAGCGGAAGGACCGGCAGAGAAAGAGACACGTCTACGCACCGTATTAACTGATTGTGTCTATAATTCTGTTTTCAAATATTGTACACCCAATCATTTGCGCTCATCTATATTTCTGTTAAATAACTTGTGAATTCCATGACCTGCTCATCTTTGCCTGACAATAAAACTGTAATAACACATCTTTCCTCCTTCCTTCGCATCATCAGATCCCCACCAAACTGGTCCCCCGCCGTTCACACACACATATCCACAAAGTTATGACATTTTCTGACGGTACACACTCAAAAGTGTTGCCTTGAAGTTATAAAGAAGTAGCCAAATGAAAAATTGCTTATTAACACACAAAGAGATGACGCACAGTTGACCAAAGTCTCAACCAAATGACAGCTAAGAGCAGAAGACGCTTGAAAAAGGGGGAAGCAGCGAAAATGAAGTTAAGGAGAGGAAGATTGGTGCGGAGGATCTTGTTTTTCAAATCGATTTTCAAGTACGGAATCCTTCGTTTTTTTATGTTGAGAATATTGCGAAATCTGTCCAAAATTCAGCATAATGCTTCGAAAACTTAAAATCCGTTGAAACTAACACGCAAAATGGAATCTTTGGGTGCAAAAGTCCACGGTCAAGTGGTTGTCGATGGGGTAGGTTCAACATTGATAACCCACCGACTCCGGACCGTCGCTCTCGAGAGGCGAGAGAATGGCAAACGAGTTTATATAGGCGGCCGGAGCGAAGCAGCCGACGTTTCACGGGCGATGGCGAGGCCGCAACAGCGCCCCAAAAATTCCGTTTTCCTGGGGGATTTTGGCGGTTTTTCGAGATGAAAAACCTGCTCCAACATATCACCGTGGGAGACGTGAGATCAAACGGAGATACCAATCAAACTGATTTCCCCAGTGATTACCCAGAGATGTATGAAATTTTTGTGGTCCCGCCTCCTCCACCTTTGTCACCGTTAATTAAAGGCCGTGGTGGGGGTGGAGCATGATGGTGAAGCACAGTGGGCGTGAAAAAAAGTAGAACACTCGATATCACAAAAATCCAAATTTTATATTCATTCAGGTATCAAACATCACTTCGCGCCGTTTTTCCGAAATGATCAGTTGAACCTGAACTTGCAATAAACCATAAAACCACTTTATCGCCCTCCATTTCGGTATAAAAGAGCCGTCGGACGCTCAGTTCTTCACAGAAGCCTCCAAACTTCTTCCATTCTCAACTATGAACGTCTTCTCTTTCTTCGTCGTCGCCATTCTCGCCGTTTCTTCGGTCGCCGGCATCGGATACGTCAAGGGCGGCTCGAAGGGATGCGGTGGAAACAAGGGATACGGAGGAGGAGGAATCATCATCGGATCCGCCCGCGGCGAATAATCGATTGATTTTGAATGAATAAATCATAAGCATTTCAATCAAAATTGTTGTATTTTCTCGTCAATCTCGTCATTTTGCCAAAATCTCGTCATTTTGCGATACTTTGGTCCCTGGAGACATTTGATTGCACTTTTCGCTTTAAAATTCGGGCGGTCGTTTCGCAGGTGATAATTCTCGTTGTCCTGACGACCTGGACTCGCATTTCGTACCAATTTATCCGCTTTTTCGGCGATTTTCAGACTTTTACAGTGAATTCGCTACGGTTGGCAATTGAGTGCAGTTGCGCGTCGTTTAAAGTGTATTTGAGAGAAACATTTTGAAAATTAGCGCTTTTTCCAGTTTTTTCAGAATGCTCACGATTTATCACGTTTCTCGTTTCAGATGACAGATTCAGAAGACTCGGACGGCTCACAAATCGAACAACCACGGCTAAATTACAAGTTTTTTCCCAAATAAATAATTTTTTTCAACATTTCGAGGAAGGAGTTTTCAGTTTCCGAAACTCGTCGCTCAGCGGTCGAAACGATGATTCAGAGGTCGGCGGATTCACGACGGACGGCGAAACTAACCGACATACCCCGTAAATTGCAATAATTGCAAAAAATCGAAAAAAAAAAATTGTACAGGGAGCGAAAACAGTCGATGTTTCTGGATCGGCGTGAGCTGGAGAAGAAGCATTTCGATATGATCAACGAGCGAATCGTCGAGGACGTCACTATGGATCAACTTTACAAGCCACATAGTCTGACCGTCCTCGCGCTTTTCATCGCTTTTATCGTTTATAAAGCCGTTTATGGGTGAATTTTGTGCAGTTTCCCATTTGAAATATCGATTAATCGTTCAGAAAAACCGAAAATTCGTCGGAAAGGAACTTCTACGACGGATTTCTGGGCGCCGGCGCACTTTTCCTGCTGCTCAGTGCGCTCACGTTCCCGAACGGACCGTTCATTCGGCCGCATCCCATCCTGTGGCGCGTCATTTTCGGCCTTTCCGTCATCTACGTCATCATCCTTCAATTCGCCCTTTTTCAGGACTATGACGACCTCAAAAAGGTGAAAAATGCAAAATTTATGGATTTTCTATGCCCAAAACCATCGGAGGCGTGTATTCTTGAACAATATCTGCAAAAATGAGCATTCTGAGCGCTAGGACGAAATTTCAAACGAATTTATCCCAAATTTCCCTTTTCCCTTAAAAACCTGTTTCTGTTCAGATTCTGACGTGGCTGGATCCGGAAGGACTCGGCCAGAAGAGCCTGGAAGAGAAGGAGTACGCCTCCGATTGCTGGAACCTTTCGTTCGCGAAAATCTGGAGCCACGTGGACTTCTTCGCGTTCTCGCACTTTGCCGGCTGGATCATGAAGACTCTGCTGCTGCGGCACTGGGTCCTCTGCTGGTTCATCTCGATCATTTGGGAGTTCACCGAGCTCATGTTCATCGATTTGCTTCCCAATTTCGCCGAGTGCTGGTGGGATTCCCTCCTGCTCGACGTGCTCATTTGCAACGGCGGCGGCATTTATGTCGGCATGAAACTGTGCAATTTCCTGCAAATGCGCCAATTTCACTGGGAAAGCATACAAAACATAAAGTCGCGCCGCGGCAAAATGAAGCGGTTCGCACTGCAATTCACGCCCGAAAGCTGGAGCGGATACGACTGGTTCTACAGCCGATCCTTCTCGAATTCCCTCCGACGAACCATGCTTTTGACGTTTCTCGTCTCGTTTTGGCTGGTTAGTGAAGGCGAAAAAACCAAATGGTGATAGTTTGTTTTGCAGGTGGCCGAGCTGAACACGTTCTTCATCAAGCACATTTTCGCGATCGACACGCAACACCCGGTGGTTTTCTGGCGCATCATCCTGATCGCGGTGATCGCGGCGCCGACGATCCGCCAATTTTACGTCTTCTCGACGGATCCGCTCACTCGCCGCGTCGGCATGCAGTCCTGGGTGTTTGTGGCGATTTGTGTGCTCGAGTTGGCGATCTGCGTCAAGTGCGGCGGCGACGTTTTCGCGAATACCACGTGGCAAACTGTCGTCGTTTGGATCGCCGTGATAGTAAGCCCAAAAAAGAAAAACCGCCCGAAAAACACGTTTTTTCCAGATAATCGGCACAATTTTCTGTATTTTGGCCTCGACCTGGTACGCCGAACACTTTGGAACGACGGCCCGAGTGATGGTGAAGGGACGGCGCCGCCTGTGTTATTTGGAGTCGTCGCACGAGAATCTCGGAATTCTGCAGGACGACGTCATCAAAAAACGAGAAGAATATTTGAGCACCTCGCCGAGACGATAACATTTTACTGCATTTCTTTTTGTTCCTTTGTTAACTAAATGAAAATTTAAAACTTTGCGCAGCGCTTTCCATTAATTTCATCTTTTTTCTGTTGAGTTTCCACCTTTTATCTTGAATGTTCTGTGAGAAATCGAGGCCGTACCGTTTGGGGAGAAACGAGAAAACGGGAGAAACGAAAAGGGGAGATTCGAAAAGGGGAGAAACGAAAAGGGGAGAAACGAAAAGGGGAGAAAGGGGCGGAGCTTCAATTGCGTGCGGCAAAACTGCAAAAATGTGTGCCCACATTGCAAATCATGCCAAAATTTTGCTTTATCGGCTGATTTAAGTAGAAATTGGATTTCGAAAGAGGAAAATAAACTTCTTAAAAAAATAAAATTTAGAAAAAAACATTGTCATCTGAACACTATACATTTCTTTTTTTGACCAAAAAAACTGCAATTTTTCTTAGGAAATTGTTTCACAGACATCAAATTATCATTCTTATCGATAAAAAGTCTTACGGGGTCTGTCTTTTTTTGTTTGTTTATTTATTTACAAGAAATCGGAAAAAGCCGCTTCCGAGCGTTAGCTCGGACCGCGCAACAGGGCCCACGCTAAAAAGTCTTGTCTGAAATAATAAAAAAAGCATAAACAAAATAATCACTTTACAGTGAAAAACAAGTTCAGGTTATTTGGAACACGAAAAATACAGTTTTAGTTCAACAACTTCCTGACTTTTGGATTTCTGAGATGAGCGCGCGGTGCCCGGCTCATGAATATGTCCAATTTAGCCCGGCCTGGTTCAACACGTTGCAACTTGTAAGCAGGACTAATACGTCCAAGTTTCGGACTATCCGGTCCCAAGATTTTGCGGATGTCGGCTAAAATCGGCCCTCAATCTCTATATCTCGAAAGTGAACAATTCGATCGGTCATATACTTCAATCTGAGTTCAAGAAGCCTGCAAAGTTTGGGGTCGATCGGACCATTGCAAGTGATTCAAAATTCCAGGCGAAGGTCGGTTCTTGAAAATCCCGGGACGGCCGATTTTCCAGCCATGGTTGCAAGAATGGAATCGTGATCACCTCGGTAATGCTGATACTTGTAATACAGGGCTTTTGTACCAGAGTCCGCTGCTCAGAAGAATTGTGTGTAATCGTTTCGAAGCGAATACAAAATATTCACAGTCAACACGATGAGTTTCAGAGAAAATTGTTCCAGAAATTAAGCCCTGGTCGTTCCAATATACACTGTTTTTCTGAAAAGGGCACACTCGACTGGAACAATTTTCATTTCAGTTTTTGGTCAAAAAAAAAGAAATGTATAGTGTTCAGATGACAATGTTTTTCTAAATTTTATTTTTAAGAAGTTTATTTTCCTCTTTCGAAATCCAATTTCTACTTAAATCAGCCGATAAAGCAAAATTTTGGCATGATTTGCAATGTGGGCACACATTTTTGCAGTTTTGCCGCACGCAATTGAAGCTCCGCCCCTTTCTCCCCTTTTCGTTTCTCCCCTTTTCGTTTCTCCCCTTTTCGAATCTCCCCTTTTCGTTTCTCCCGTTTTCTCGTTTCTCCCCAAACGGTACGGCCTCGAGAAATCCCAAAAATTTGAAATTTTTTTTGTGTCACGTAGTACGGTAAGCAAAAGTGTGCAAATGTGCGTCGTGGTGTTTGCAGACGAACATTCAAATTTTGGGCTTGCTCATTGTTTTTTTCAGCGATTTTTGCCTATTTTCCTAGGGAAAACTGTTTTTTCATATAGTTTTTTGCACATTTTGACATTTTAGGCTAAAAATGGACTCGACACCGACGACTCCGTCGCTTGCCGACTCGTTCGGCCTCACTCCGTCCGGCAAAAATCGTTATTTTACGGCGGAAGAGGACAACAACATGTGGAAGTTTCTTATTGCCAAAATAAATGAAACGGCGACGTTCGCCAAGCTGTGGGAGGACTATCGCACCGAATACGGCACGCTCCGCTCTGCCAAAGGCTTGTCGTCGAGGTATTGTTTTGAAAATATATTTTTCTCAAATTTTCTCAATTTTTCTCAATTCTTTGTTGCAGATTCTATAAATTTCTCGCGCCAACGCTGCACAAGACCAACTTTGACACTGAAACCAAGCTGAAGCTCTACATTAAATACCGCATCGCGATTGACAAGACTTTTCTGGCACAGTGAGTGAAAAACCGAGGATTTTTGAATTAGTGGAGTAAAATCGATCAATTTCAGACTGCAAAACTACGTGGACATTGTCGTCGACGAAAACGGCATCGTCATCGACTATTCGCTGCGCCATGGCCTCAAACGCTCGAATTCTGGCGTCGAGACGAGCGGACCGCTGCTTCCGCCGAAGAAACAGGTCCGTTTTGACAGCGGCAACGACGACGACGAGGAGGAAGAGGATCTGAGGGTCGGAGAGATGTCCGTCGAGCCGCCGAGACATGTTTCGGTGAAAATGGAGCCGAAACAGCTGCTTTCGGAGGACGGCGACGAGGAGGAAGACGAGCAGGAGGGAGATCTGTACGATGAGGATCAGGAGGCGATGCCAGCGCTCGCGATCCAGCCGTACGTGCTCCCGGTCGCCCAGGAGATCGTCCCAGTCGCTCCGATCGAGCAGATTGAGCAGGAACGCGAGCAAGAGCCGGCGGATCCGTCGACTGGATACGATATGAGCCACTTCGGCATCGACATGAGCTCGTTCTTCGCCTCACTTAAAGTAGCGGTCATCGACTCGGCGAAGGCGACTCTTCACGACATGGTAAACGAGATGGTCGTCGCGAAGACCGCCGAGCTGAACAAGGAGAAGAGCATGTCGGTGAAAACGTTGCTCGGAAGTCTCAAGGAGTGCGCGGATGTGCTGGACTCGCCGGCTGCGGAGGACATCCAGAAGCGCATCGAGGACGCGCTCAGGAGCACTCAGGAGCAGGAAAAAGTGCTTTTTCTTGACGATTTTCCACTAAAACCCCTATTTTTCTAGATACTGCCCGAAAAGGACGTCATCTCGATCATCGACGTGGCGCTCAAAATGATGGGTCATTAAAGAACCACCTGCAACAATCAACTGTTTTAATTCTTTCTCTCTGTTCTTTTTTTTGTTAAATGCCAACCAACCCAACCAACCCAATTTCGAACAAATTCTGTCTGCATCTGCATCTGCTCCGTTTTTATAGTAATAAAGTTTAACGGAAAGAAATTTCAGCTAAATATTTATTCGAATTCGGAGCGGCTTTTTCTACATGGTAAACGTTTAGAAGAATTTTACGAAAAAGATTACATTTGTTTCAGGAAACGAAGAGAGATCCGGACAAACATTTAATAAGCGTGATTGGCGACGAAGAGCGACTGGGAGGCGGCGGCGTCGGCCGAAGCGTCGCCGGTGTACTTTCCGACCGAGGCGAGCGAGTTGACCTGGGCGCGGTGGAGGAGCACCTCCTGCGCGGCGGCAATGTTCTCGTCCTTTCCGGCCCACTTGGCGAGGCACGACGCCTGCAGGGCACGTCCGTACGAGAACGTCAGCGCCCACGGCTTCTTTCCGACCACCTGCAAGTTTTGTTTTCTAAAAATGTCGTGGTTTTGCCGTCTCACCTGGTTGATGGCGTTCAAGTTCTTGGTGGCCTCCTCCTCGGACTGTCCGCCGGACAAAAAGACGACTCCGGGCACGGCGGCCGGGGTTCCGCGCTGCAAAGCGGTCACGGTGGCGAGTCCGATGTCGGCGTTCGAGGGTTTCGCGCCGGCGAACGACTGTCCCGAAGTGACCATGTTCGGCTTGAGCAGCGTTCCCTCGAGGAACACGTGGTGCTCGTTGAGCGCGCGGTAGACGTACGAGAGCACGGTCTCGGTGATCTTTTGCCCGCGGGCCAGATCGTGCTCGCCGTCCGGCAGGATCTCCGGCTCGACAATCGGGACCAGTCCGTTCTGCTGACAGATACTCGCGTATCTGGCGAGCACCTGAGCAATCTCGTTGAGAGCCGTCACCGACGGCGTCGTTCCCGAGATCTTGTGGACGCAACGCCACTTGGCAAACTGCGCGCCGTCCTTCTTGTACTGCGCGCATCGGGCGTTCAAATCATCGAGTCCCTGCGTGGTTCCCTCTCCTTCGGTTCCGGCCAACGGAATGACACCCTTGTCGACCTTGATGCCGGGAATGATTCCCTGCTCTTGGAGCAGTTGCGTGAACGGCTTTCCGTCGTCGGTCTTCTGGTAGAACGTCTCGTGGAACAGAATGACTCCCGAGATGTACTTGTTGAGGTCGGCGCCGGCGGTGAACAGCAGCTGACGGTACTTGCGGCGGTTCTCCTCGTTGTTCTCGAGTCCGATGCTCGTCAGACGCTTCTCCATCGAACCCGTCGACTCGTCGGCCGCTGCAAAAATGTTGTATTATCGATAAAACATATCGTACTTTCGCTTTGTGCTCACTAGAGTTCAGTAGCTCAAAAATTGAGAGTACATTTTCTCTAGCCATAATCTAATCCGACTATAATCCGATGGTGAGCAGTCAAGCAAGATATCACGAGGTTTTCATTATAGAGTCGCGCTAAGACACTTCGCAACCAATGGGGACGTTTCGCAACCGAACACCTACCGAGAATTCCCTTTCCGGGGGTGACGATGGCGTTGGCGATGGAGCGGAGCTCATCCTCCTGAGCCTTGGTCAAGTATTGCGAGTAGGAAGCCATTACTGAAATAGTTTCAAACTGACTTTTGTTTGCGGAAGGTGAAAAGTGAACGTGAAAGTGCACAAATATTTGAGGTTTTCTACACGTTCTTTGTCAATTCAAAGACAATCGTCAAAAGTTGGGGGGGAGGGGGGCTACCGAGAGCTTCGCGAGTTCTGGCAAGTTGTTGTTGGGCCAATGGCGCTCGAGAAGCGTCGAGAAGAGAGAGAGAGAGAGAGAGAGACAGAGAGCTGATAAAAAGTGAGAGAAGGAGTAGGAGCCGAAGCGGGCCGGTCCCCAGCAGTGTCTAGAAGAATCGATGGGCTCGCTCGAAATAGTGTGGGTGGCGGCGAGGGCGCCGGAGCGCCAGAGCAGACGGGCGACTCGCGTTTACGTGATTTGCACGACATTTTGTGAGAAGAGGAAGAGGAAGAAGAAGAAGAAGAAGAAGAGAGAGAAGAAGATGAACTTTTCATCAGTGTCTGAAGGGATTTCAACAAAAACAGCCAGCACTTGGCACCACATCTGGGGTGCCTTTCGTTGATGTGGGAGTTTGGACGCTTTGCAACCAAGACACTTTGCGACTGAACGCCATTTCACAACCAGAGACACTTTGCAACCCACCCATACATGAACGCAATCCTCACTTGGTGCCCTCAAAAATTGAAATCTAGCAAAGCGTTTCTTTTCCGCACTGGATGCCAAATGTCCAGTTGCAATGTGTCTTTGGTTGCGAAACGTCCATTCAGTTGTAAAATGTCGATTCTACTAGGCTTTCTAACAGAAAAAAGAAGGAAAAGAGGCATAGCGCTTCGGTGAAAAAGTGATGCAAATGGTGCATGCATTGACCAAAAAAGGAGAAAAAGAAGAAGAGGAAGAGAGAGAGAGAGAGAGAGAAAGAGCGAGAGTGACGTAGAAATTGACACCCCCTTTCCCATTTTTTCGTTCCTTTGTCACGGGGTCCATGATGCAAGAGGATTATGAAATGTTGAGAAAAGTCTAGTTTGAAAGAGGGTTAGGACACTTTGCAACCGAGTACACAGTAGTTGCAAAACGTCCAAGACACTTTGCAACCATGGAAATTCTATTGCCAAATGGAAGAGCAATGGCAACGGAGCGTTTGTAGGAAATTGTCGAGTTGCAACCTAGGGGACGTTTCGCAACGAATCGTTTTACAGTTGCAAAACGTCCCCTGGACACTTTGCAACCGCTTTCTCATGAAATTCACGTGCGCTCCCGGCCTATTGACCCAGAAAACGAAAAGAAAACGTTTGGCAGTTGTTCGCGGGCAAAAAGAGCCACCGAGCTCCTCTTTTTGTGCTCCGCCGAGCCCAACGACGAGAGAAATAGACGGAGACGGCCAGAAAGAAAAAAAAAACGTTTTCATTTGAGAAAAAGAGAGAGAAGTGTAGAGGATTTGAGTTGAAACGGGGCGAATTTGAGCAAGAACCCTCTCAGAAGGCAGTCCTCTCGACCCTGGCCCCGCCGCTCGGATTGCGATTGTTGTCGAGGAGCAGGAGGGAGTGGGCAGAGCCTGTGGAGCACTCGGAGCCGCCGTCGGAAGCCGTCGAGAAGGTGAAAGTGATGAGTTGGAGGACGAGCACCAGCAGAGAGACCACCGCGCACCCGTTCAGCAGCACTATCCTGCAATCGGCCACTTTTTAGAGTTGGATGGTATCTGTATACTTTATTTTTACATTAGTCTCACTTTGTTTCGTTGCGACCCCTATTCTTCTAGAAAGTAGATTGAGTGAAGTGTTCAGAAACAAATTTTCAGCCCCATATCTCACCTCCTAGCTCTACAATATATTAAAACTGATATTGTAGGTTTCCAAAAAGCTATTCCACTATTGTATATTCAAAAAAGCGTACCCAATTTCAATAGTAGTGCCGCCAGTCTCGAAATTCTTCAATTCGTTAAAAACAGCTGAGATCCGATCGGAAGTGAACAGTTCACTGGTAATCGATAATATACAAATGCTAAAAAAAAGGTTTTGACTATTGTGCAGTCGCAAAAAAGTGTCGCCCGTACCTCTGTCCGATAATAGACGCAATCATGAGCGGCCGACTGCTTTGCGTGGAGGCGATGAGCGAGAAAATGGAAACGAGCACGACGAACACGAAAACGATGGCCTCTTTCAGTCCGTACGCGTACGTTGTCGAACTTTCCGACCTGAAAATGTGTCTATCGATAGTTTATCGATAAATGTATCCAAAACCCCCGACTCACAAGTTTTTGGGTCCATTCAAATTGGCCTGAGCGGTAAAAATCGCAATGACGAGTGTGCCCAACGAGAAAATGACGGTGCCCAGAGATACGGAGATGGCGGTCAAGGATTTGTGGATCGTCGGTCCTGATGACGTGGCAAGATTGAAAACGGCGACACTGAGGGTGATCCCGGGCAGGACCACCGTCGCAAAGTACAGAAAAGAGGCGACGAGCAGGTCGATCACGTACTTCTCATCCGACGAACCGCCCAGAATGTGTTCCATCGAGATTTTGAAGAAGAAATCGAAAATTGTGTTGAGCCAGAGAAGGACGACGATGGAATTGAAGAGAATGTGGAGGAGTTGGGCCGGACGACGGAGGGACCGGGGCCAGATGGGCCAGAAGCCGAAGAGGGCCGAGACGGACTGGAAGAACGCCGGCACGACCGTCGACAACGCATTCTGCACCGAAAGCGATCGGATGGCCTCGGAGGAGTCGGAGGAGGCGTCCACGTCCTTCGTCTGAAAGATTTATCCATAAATTTTATCGATAGACTTGTTTATATCGAAGAACCACTTATAATGTAGCTCTTAGAAGTTAGACTGCAATTTCCGGACCCCCAATTTCCAAGAGCTACAGTAACCCGGGGAGTGATTGTACAACAAAGTCGTCAACTACAAAAATGTAGTAAAAGACGTCAAGATTCCGATCAAAAATGTTTCCTACCTCCCAATTCTTTCGATTCGTCAAAAATGACGTGGCAATGATGGCGATGGCGGCGAGGAGCTCCAAAGTCGGCAGAACACAGTAAAGGATCATCGCCGGCCGTCGTTCCCCATTTCTTTTCCTGCAATTAAGGACGTGAACCGGTAGGGACCATCCCACCAACTTGTTCGGTCCCTCCATGATCGGCCGCGAACTGTTGACGGACGTCGGCGTTTCCGACGGCTGCTCTTCCGATTCATCCAGGAACTTGAACTGGTCGTAAATCTGGATTATATTGTATATTTATAAATGTTTGTACTATTGTCTATTTGCATAACGTGTCTTCTTCGACCGCAAATCTATGCGTCATTGCTTACCGTTTCGAGGGCATTCTCGCCGAACGTATCGAAGCGGCGAGAAGTTGGTCGACTGTTCTGAAAACGATAATACTGTTGCACTTTTATCGATAAATTTATCGATAAAAACACCAACCTCTCCCACACTGTTATTATTGGATCCTTTCTGGAAGGTGCGGATCGGTTTGACACGTGGAATCGCCTGGCCGATGTACGGCGGCGGAGCTGGACGCTCTTCTTCTTTTCGTCGGATATATCGAATCTGAAAATTGGGAAAATACAAACATTTCCAGTCGAGACCCATTGAAAGTCATTAAACAACCGAAAAGAATGACTGCGCCCGAAGAGATAGCCATTCTGTTGGAGCGAATAGTTCCAAGAGCTACAGTAGTCTTCAAAGTGATGGCATCAAAAAATAGTCAATTACAAAGATGAAGTTCATGTCTAGTACTATAATTTTGTAGTAGACAACTTTTTGGTAAAACCGCTTTTAAGGTTACTGTAACTCTTGAAAGTCAGGTCTCTCAAAACGCCAGCCAATTGTACCTCAACTTCAAAAAGCTACAGTATCCTTATGCGTGGGCGTACAAAAAAGTCATTAACTACAAAAGCATAGTACTAGGGATCAGAAATTTGCACAAAAAGTTTCGGAACCCTAGGATCCTTTCTAACCCTACAATATCCGTTCAAACTACGCCCTTTTTTTTTCAATGTTATCCAAAATGTTCAAAAAGAAAGTCTACCGTATCAGAGGGTTCGGGCGGTGTTTCGTGGTGAGACCGGCGCATAATTCTTGTTGTACTCGGATCGGGCGAGTATTTTTCGGTTCTTTCCGCCTGGCTCATCCCTTCTTTTCGCTACGTGGCATCGCGAATCGGATTACTTTTTGGCTTTGGAGTCTCTCTGCAAACACTTGGATATTATGAATTTCCCTGATAAAACAAAGTGAAAAGTGGCCCAAAAACTGATAATTCGTAATCAGTGCATTCAGAGTTTGGCCTAATAGTTTTATTAGACACCCAACCCTGTCAAAGTTTGGGGGGTAGTGAAACTCCACTCCAACTTCCAGAAGCTACAGTACTCTTATGCGTGGGCGTACAAAAAAGTGATCAACTACAAAAATAAAGTACAAAGTGTCAAGATTAAGCACACCAATTTTCAGAACCCTGCGACTTTTTCTAACTCTACAATATCCATTCAAAGTTGGGTAGCCAAAAAAAAGTGGGGATTTAGGATTCTAGGCGACCAAGTAACCACCAAAAAAAAAAAACAGAAAACGGATAGTTGTGTCTCGCGACTGTTTTCTTCGTTGTTTTCCAACACGAAAAGCCGCCCGCACTCGTGTAAATAGATCGATTCCGGACGGTCGAAAAACAAACAAAATGCTTCTTTTGGAGTGTTCTTCAAAGTAGGTGCGACCTCGGACCGGAGGGGGATTAGGTGACACATTCGGGACATGTTGGAAAGAGTTGGAAGAATAGTCTGGAACACTTGACAGACATTGGAAATATTGTCTTTTTAGGGCGAGGGGACCAGTTGTGCTTCTTTAAAACTTATGAAAGTCGAAACAGTTTTTCAAATTTCGCGGGGTTTTCTGGCCAGGAGGAAGAAGTGGAAGACGAAGGCGACAATCCAAAGAAAAGAAAGTGCGTTGGCAACAATCGAACAGCTTTTAGGGCGCCAACTACACCGTCAATCATCTCGATCGTCAATCGTTTTCGGGGGGGCGGCGGAAAAAAAAAGTTGGACGGCCGGTTGGTTAGTTGTAAAAGTGATTGGGGCAACAAGTTTCTGTCTCTTCCCTCGCAACATTCATCCCGGATTACGGTATTATTGCGGCGGCCTCAATTCTGCACGCGTTTCCATGCACGCATTTGCATTTTCCGCCGACGCATTATAACGCTTTGCGCGCGTCGGATTCTTTCTGGAAGTTACGAAAAGAGAGTCACGCTTCGGTGACCGTCAATAACTGTTCGGATGGTAATTGCTAGCGGGTAACAAAAAGTAACAATTTATCTGCACTTTAGGCATATCTCCGTGTGGCCGGTCTCATGGCGACGGCACTCGAAGTGCTTGCTCTCCGCACTTTTTGCATTTTGGCAGGCAGACGTCGTATTCGTCACGAGCGAACCATTTCGGATTTCCGCGCAGAGAAGTCTTGTTGGAGGCCTAACAAACGACTAATTTTGTGAATTCTGAGGTTGAATATTCACGTACCGAAGCTCTCTCTTCCGCCCATCTTCTCCCGAGCCGAATTCTTGGCGATTCCGACCGGTCTGAAATTGGTTTTGGTTTCGGCGAAAATCAAAGACGAATGTTCGAAAAACAATGGAAATGCGCCAATCAATATCTCGGTTTTCGTTCGCAATGGAGCGCACTTGCATTGTTTTCCAAAAAACAAATCACCTTTTCCACGTGGCATTTCTCTCCGCACTCGCAATTCGTTTTCAGCATTTTCAGCTGCGACATTTCGTCCACAATATAATTGCTTTCACCCGATTTCTTGGGATAAGCTATCGAATTCGTGGCGAGACCTAAAAGTGAAATGTATTGAAATCATCGTTCTCCTACACTCTCTCACTCTTTCTCTTCGCCCATCGTCCGCGAATTCGTGGCACACTTGGCCCAATTCATCACCGATTCAACCGCAGATGATGCCGCCGACGCTCGGGAAAATGACGGTGACGTCTGAATCAGAAATTTAATGAGATTCTCCAGAATTCAGGCGTTTCGCGTATTCTTACATCATTTACAGCAATTTAGGTGAATTTTATCAGTTTTTCCCGGAAAATGTTGATGGATCGGTCCATCCCAATCAGACCGATTATTATTTTATGACATTTTTCTTTAAACAATTTCAGGAATTTTGCACATCACTTCGATTGAATTCTTGACAGACCAGGGTTACCCGGTCACCTGTCCTGCCCTTCCGAACTTTTCCCCAACCTCCACAGGTCATCCTAATCGATTTCCTCTCAATTTCGGAAGATCATGTGGGCAAGTGCTTCTCCGACCAAATCCGCTCAATTGAGAGCACAAAGTGGGCGATGGCTCTGTCAATTTCATCGGAAATCTTTGCTCCTTGTTCAGATGAGCTGGCTGCCGATGAAATTATCGTCAAAATTCTGGATATCGGGTCGGCGAACACCAGATTTCGATCGATAGTCTCTACGGAACAGTTGCTCGAGTTGTTGGATGTCGCCAAGTATATTTTCACAAAAAAAAATCAGAATTAGTCAAACATTCTGAACAACAAATCGGAAGACCTGGTTTCAGCGATCCCTACACACGTTTTTCAATTTTTTACACTATTTTCGATTATTCAAAGCTATTGGAAACTCACTAAATTTGCTAGAAATCATCGCAGGTTCGTAGTCCAGAGCGCAAAATCGTAATTTCCATTAAAACCCTCATTTTTTGCCAAAAAATCTGTAAACTAGCATCTTGTTGTGTTCATAACTTGAAAAGTGTGACAATCAAAAGTTAACAGTGAGAAAAATAAGTTTCTCGAGATAAAAATGTTGAAAATTGAGCGATTTCGCGAGAAAACCTAAATATGTCGTCATTTCTCGTGCAATGTGTGCAAACTCTTCAATGCACACAATTGCTTACCGTACCACAAAACTGGCGAAAAAATGGAGAAAAATCTGCAAAAATCATCCAAATTCGTTGGGAAAAACGCGGAATGCATTGCAGAGACGTGTTCCTAAATCAGGGCTCAATGCTCGAAATCGAGGCGCCCGTCAAAATCTGCGGCGACGTGCACGGCCAATTCGCCGACGTGCTGCGATTGTTCGACCGCGGCTCGTTCCCTCCGCTCGCCAACTACCTCTTTCTGGGCGATTACGTGGATCGCGGACCGCGCAGTGTCGAAGTCGTCACTCTTTTCATCGCCTACAAAGTCAAGTACCCGACGAACTTTTACATGTTGCGCGGCAATCACGAGTGCGGATCCATCAACCGCGTTTACGGATTTTTGGATGAGCTGACAAAAAAGTACGGACCCAAGACCGGCATGACCTTGTGGAACACGTTTCAGGTCTGTCTTCGCTTTCAGTCGTGAGAAAACGTAAGCGAACGCGCTCAACCGCACTTTGCAGTGATTTCCGCAAAATCACGCGATTTTACACTATTCCCTCACAAAATATGTTTAAAAACTCTCAATTTGTACATTTTTTTGGCCAAACAATACCGAAAATCGTAATTTTTCCCATTTTTTCGCTTCAAAGTGCAGTGGAGCGCGTTTGCTGCCCGCCGATAGCTTCATCGTTAAACAACCCCCCAAAACCGCTTGCAGAACTGTTTTTCGTGCATGCCGTACACGGCGCTGGTGTCCGGCAAGATTCTGTGCATGCACGGCGGCATCAGCCGTCGTCTGAGTTCGCTCGAGCAGCTGCGCAGTCTGCCGCGTCCGATGCTCGAGGTTCCGAATCCGGGCCTTGAGACGGACCTCCTCTGGTCGGACCCCGAGCACAAAATTGAGGGATTCGTGAATAACACGCGCGGCGTCGGCCACGTGTTCGGCGAGTCGGCGCTTTTGGAAGTGATGGAGCGGCTGGGCGTCGATTTGGTGGCGAGGGCCCATCAAGTGGTCCAGGACGGCTACGAGTTCTTCGCCAACAAACGACTCGTCACCATCTTCTCGGCGCCGCACTATTGTGGAGAGTTTGACAACGCGGCGGCCATGATGAACGTCGACAAACGACTCGTGTGCTCTTTTCAGGTTTGAGCAGAATCACGATGTCTGGTAGAGCACTTTTTGTACGACCATTTTGAGGGTCACTTTGAAGAGCTACAGTAGGCTTCGGAGTGCATGTACGGAAAAGTTGTCAACTACAAAAATAAACTTCATACCTGATAGTATAATTTTGTAGTTGACCACTTTTCCGTATCACCTTTCCTAGGACTACTGTAGCTCTCCAAACAAGCCATACAATAACCACGAGCTAGAAATACTTTCAGATTCTTCGTCCGGAGCAAGAGGTGAAGCCCAAGAAGAAGGAATGAACTTTTACTTTTTTTTTTTGTTGACAAACACACACACACACAGAGATCTCATAAAATAATCCTTGAACATTCTGGAAAACTCACTCGTCAAGGGGGGGGGGACAAACATTTTGGATTTTGGGAGGGTTTGAGGTATTTCAGGTTGGGGCATCAAGATCGAAAAAGTTTTGGGAAGGGGTTTGGGTGGGAACAAAATGAAACAAAAACAGACTAGGTAAGGGGGGTATCACTATAACTAAAGACCGGGTTAACAATGGAAAGGCCTAGGGCCTGGGGCCTAGGGCCTCTGATGGGCCTGAGCTTGGGCCTGGGCCAACTGGGCCATCATTTGGATCGACGAGTGGTAGGGATGTGGTGTCGCGCCGCGTTCCCCCGTCGATTTCTTCAGTTTGGCTCGTTTGTTCTGCAAAAAAAAAACATTTGAAAATTTTTTTTCGAAAAAACGCCACCTGGGTGGCCAAATTAGTGCCGTGCCGCTCGCCGAAACACGTTTTTTGACGCGAGTTTTTGTTTCAAGTGACAGCGGCGGCACGCGACCCAAAAGATTAGGATCGGAAGGGCGAAACGGAAGAAGAGAAAGACAGTTTAGTGGAAATTGGATGACAGACGATTGAGGGGCGAAACGGCGAACATTTGAATTTGTTTTACACGTTCAAAAATGGAGGATGGGGTACTGTAGGTTCAAAAGTACGCAATTTGTCGTCAGGGTGGTTGAGGAAGCTCCAAAAGTCCGAATTGCGTACCTGTGAAGCTACAGTAACCTCAAAGCATCTCAAGTATTGCCTAGACTATGATTAGTAGAAAACACTCTATTATCGATGTCTATCAGTCCGAAATCAAGTTGACACCCACCAATTACAAGTGTATTACGTCGGCGACTTGCGTATAACCTAATAAATCATCCGATCCCGAACCGTGTCATTAGCCGGCCCCCTCTCCAACTAATTCGAGTCGACAATATCGGCGGGAAACATCTCGAAAAGAGAACTCTTGGTTCAAAACTTCTTCTTCTTCTTTCGTCAAGGTTAGAAATGGTTTAAAACCGATTCGGATTCCAGTTCCAAGTTGGCGAACGAGTATACGGTAGGGAGCGATGAAAAGGTAATCAATCAATGTCGCGGCGACAAAGACAAACATTTCTTCGATGAGTTCCGATGTTCTTTCGCGCCTTTCGCCACCCGAAGACATTGGCGTATTTGAATTTCGACAGTCAAACGCGGTGGCACGAAAGTGCGAACGGACAATATCGGCTAGAAATGGGCGGACTTTTAATGGATATTGTAGGGTTCCGAGTTGTGATATGGTCTTGAAAATTGTTGTGGGCAATCTTGATGTCTAGTAAAGTGTTTTTGTAGTTGACAACATTTTTGTACACTCATGTACAGGACTACTGTAGCGCTTAGAAGTTGGGGTTGCACAAGGGGATGTTAATGTGGCCTAAGTTCCAAGAGCTACAGTACCCTTCGGAGAAGTTGTATAAGAAAATGGTCAACTACAAAAATACTTCACCAAACATGTACTTTAAATTTGTAATTCACAACATTTTCGTATCACCCATCCTAGGACTACTGTAGCTCTTGGAAGTTACGATACGTGTCAAGACTAAACTTAAACTTTGACGGGCTATAGTACTCTTCGGAGTGATTGTACAAAAATGTGATCAACTACAAAAATACTCAACCAGACATGTACTCTATTTTTCTAGTTAACACCTTTTCCGTACCTCCACTCCTAACCCGGCTAGACTCGTTCAAAGTCGGCCCGTCTACCCGTAACCCACTCGATCACCATTCTCGACACCTTTATGGTCCCTTCGTTTTAACGTCCTTGCCACCCGCGTATCGTCATGTCATCTTCTAATTATACACGGTCCCTCTTTGTCGGGGAACAAATGAGAAAGGACCGTTCCCGTTCGGCTATCTTGATTGGGAGGAAAGAGAGAGAAAAAGTGTACGTACCTGGAACCAAATCTTGATTTGCGATTCGTTGAGTCCGAGTTCGTGCGCCAGCTCTTGACGTCTTTTTTCCGTCAGATATCTGCAAATAGGGGCGGTAAAAAAGTGGAATGAGGTTGGTGGTGTAAAATTCAGATGTTCTCAAAAATCTTGGAAAAAATGCATAACATCTCAGCTGCCAGTGGAGATATATAAAAGTGGTCAACTGATGAAATGTGCAAAATTTCTTGTTGAGTATTCCACCAGTTGATAACTTTTTGATAGCTCCACCCACTGCCGAGATATGCCGGTTTGAATAAATGGACAATATAGATGGCCTAGAAAAAGCTAGGCCACCGTTTCCAACGCACCGATTATCATGAAACTGCTGTTTGAGACGGTCCAACTGATCGGAAGTGAACGCGGTCCGCGGCCGTTTCTCCTCCTCCGAACTTCCGCTGCTTCCAGTCGACTCTCGCTTCCGTGGCTTTCGATTTCGGGGACCTACAATATTGATCCATTGGGTCCTGGTCCCAATGGTTCACGCTTACCTGCAGAGGGTCGGTCCGAGTATCGGGTACAAAAGACCCAGGCGGGAAAAAGTGGGTTCGGCTGGTGATGCGGTCCCGAAAAGTTGGGCGAGATGCTCGATGGACTGCTGGCCGGTGAGGATCCGGGCGAATGGGCGCCAAAGTGTGGCGAGAGGATTTGATCGATGCCAAACTTTAGGATCATGATTGTGTTGGTGTTGGTCGGCGGACTGAAAAAGTTAAAGGTTAGCAGCGGTGGTCCCGAGTGGTTGAAGGGTGAAAAAGTTTAAAAAGTTGAGTGATCCGGTGGGGACCGTGTGGTTAGTGCTGGTCCCAGGCGGTTGGAGGACGGCAGAAAGGCGGGTCAGTCAGCCGAAGCTCCGCCCACTTTACCCCCGCCGCCCTTCACACCTAATTACGGAGATTTTGTGAAAAACATTAAGCAAAGTAATCCTATGAACCTTCAGGGACCTTTAGGAAGTCAAAAAGTGAAAAATATTCGCGAAACCCTGCTAGTCAAGAAGCGGTAAGATGCTGTGTCATCAAATTAAACTGACCGACCGAAAGGCGCCAATTTTAATTTTAAAGCAGCTCGCCGCGTGTCATGATGACACGCTCAATTAAGGCGGTCCCCCCTACCCTTTCCGTTATCGCCAAATTAGCCGAGATGGGTGAAGGGGGGGGGGGCCGAGGCAAAAGAGTTTCGCAGTCAGCAGGATTCGAACCTACGCGGGCAAAGCCCAATTGATTTCGAGTCAATCTCCTTAACCACTCGGACATGACTGCCGGCCGGGGAGAGGCGGCGCCAGGGCGTATATATTGATGGCGGCGGAGCGGAACGGCAATGGAAAGGTGAAAGATTTGGAGCAAAAAATTGTCTAAAAAGTGTCCCCCAAAAAATCGAAACGCGGTAAAGTTTGGCGCGCGCAAAAACACAAAAAAAGGTCGTCGCAAAATCAGTCATCAAATGGGACCGTGTAGGGGAGAGATTGTCATCTGAAATTACCCTCGCCCGGCGGAGACGCAGGAGCCCCGCGGGGCGGGCGGGCGGGCGGGCGCTTCAAGATTAGAATCTTCGTGAGAGAATTCGTCGGACACCATCGAGTTTTCAACATGAAAAGGGGCAAAATGACTTCTTCTCCCCTCTTCTTCTTCTCTGCCTCCCTTAATTAGTTTCGATATAGAGATGGAAAGAGGGGTGTCATGTACACAAATTGATGGGGCGAATGCAGAAGAAAAGGTAAACTTCGAGATGATGGGGGAAAACTAAACTTCCGAGAGCCGCAGTAGGCTTAGAAATGATTGTATGAAAAAGTGATCAACTACAAAAATAAAGTACACGTCCGGTAGAGTATTTTTGTAGTTGATCACTTTTTGATACAACCACTCTGAAGCAGAGATGTTGGGAATTCCGTGTTCCGTGTTCCGTGTTCCGCGTTTTTTTGCAATATTTTTTCCGTGTTCCGTGTTCCGTAAAAAAAAATTTCCGTGTTCCGTAGAAATAAGTTTTTTTTCCGTTTTCCGTGTTCCGTGTTCCGTAAAAAAAAAATTTCCGTTTTCCGTGTTCCGTGTTACGTAGAGTAAAATTTTTATTCCCAACATCTCTGCTCTGAAGGCTACTGTAGCGCGTGCGCTTAAAACTTACAGATATTGTATGCCCGGAAAACTTGCACCTACCGTAATCTTTAACCGTCCGTCAATCGAATCCAATCAGATTTCGCGCATTTCAAATCACTCGGAGGTGTCACCGATATCAGCTGTAAACAGGCGTAAACCAGTCAAATGTTGTGGTAATAAATATGATCGGGAACGAACCGTCTGTCCGTCCGAGCGGGGGGGACCGTGATGATGATGATGGTGATGCGTGGCCGGGTTACGCAAGCGGCCACTGCACGGTCGTGACATAACCCGTTAATTCATCATCACTCGATGACAAGATATTGCACCAAGGATCGAGAAGGACCGATAATGAACCGACGAGGACCATATCAGGTTCTAGGGGGGACCCGGTCCCCTAAAGTTCAAGCCTTAAAAAATCAAGTGCTCTTAGGTGATAAGAGATCCTTTCGTGGCGAGACCCATCAGCAAGTATCGTAGTAGCTACAGTGATGTGTCAAAAAATGTGTAAATATCTTGTAACCGCATTAATCCTAATCTCTATTTGCCCTTAAGTACAAAATTTGCGCTATGACCTAGAAAAATCCTAGGCCAGCTAACTAAGCTGCTCATAAAGTTGAGAAAAAAAAAATTGTTCGTGGCGAGACCCAAGATGAGCTCAAAGCACAGAGAGAAATCGGCGAAAAACTGTGTAGCAAAAATTTGTATTACCGTTTATTCAAGCCGCTGTATCTCTGTCGCCGGTGGATATATCAAAAAGTGGTCAACTGATAAAATGTACAGCACTTCCTACTGATTATTTTATCAGTTGACACTTTTTTCATATCTCCACCGGTAGCCGAGATATCTCGATTTGAAAAGACGTTGTTAACAATTATTTAAATCATTTTCCTCTTCTCTATTATGTTACTACAGTAAGCTAATACAGTGCCACTTCCGGCTCAAACATTGCACAATCCTAATCTCAAACATGATGTCTCATGACCTCCTTTTCTCCAAATATTGTATGATTCTTCTAATAAAGGGCCCCCGCGACGAGTAAAAGATACCCATCTCATCTCAAGTTTTCCCCAAGAGACCATCACCGCTACTATCCAATTCTCATTAAAATCCGACAAATTTCGCGCGCGCGCGCGAGAGAAAGAGGTATTCGAAATAATTGTGTCGAAGATTGAGGCAAAAGATCCGATCCGACGCCGTCGAATTTGCCGCAAAACATTAATTAAACGGCGCACTCACTCTTTCTCAGGCGGCGGCGACGGCGGCATTTTTCGACACACTGATTTTGAGAACGGATAAGTAGGTGTTTAAAATGGATATTAGGATTTTGTCTGTGACCGACAGTCCGGGGATTCGTAGAATAGTGAACGGTTGCGAAACGTCCTGACGTTTTGCAACCCTAGCTTTGGAATTGGTTGCGAAACTAATTGGAGAAGGGATCGAGTGGACGCTTGGCAACCAATCACGAAAACCGGAAACTCTTCCACGATCGCTTGCAAAATGTCATACCGGAGACATTTCGCAACCAGACTATTTTCAAACTTTTTGCGAAATGTCCCAAAGTAGACATTTTTCAACTCTTCAAGCAACTGAGAAAGCAATGAAAATCAGCTCCTTCAAAAGATTCAAATTCTACAATTTCTACAGACAATTTTACAGGAATTAGTGCGTTAATTTAAGATTTTTTCTTCCAAAATGAGTCGATGGTAGCTATTTTCTTAGCGGGTTTCCGTCCGTTTCCGCTCGAAAACGCCTTCCGTTTCACGCCCGATTTCTTGTGGCTTTGCACCGAAACGCAAATCAGTTCGAGCTCCTCTTCTCCTTCGTTTCTCCTCTTCAGAATGCACTCGTCCACGTGGCTGTTCATCGACTCCAGACGGTTTTCGACGTCCAATCCACAAATTGGACACGGACGCGTCTCGACGATGACATCTTCGTCTTCCGAATCCGCAATCGCCGCCTTTTTTTCGTTCCAAAAGTCTGCAATCTGAAAAAAAAGTTGTTTAGAAAACACAATATGATCGATTTTCAAGGGGAAAAAAAACGTTTCTCTCTATTTTCTGTTTTGCGCAATTTTAGGCCATCAAACACGATTTTTTTACGGCATTCTACGAAAAATCGATAATGTCACCTTAAGGACACAAAGTCCGCCGAAATTTGACTTTTTTCTCGAAAAAGACAGTGCTAGAATTGCTCTCGCATAAAAAAAAACATCGACGGGCAGGAGGAGGAGGAAAAAAAGCGAACGAGTGCTCTCGGAATGGACGGACCGTCGAGGGAAATCACAGCGACGCGCGATCGAAGTATCAACATTGCTGACCGCTTCAGGGACGGTTCAACCTGTCACAATTGTCATCAAAACATCAAAACAACACGTGTTCGTAGTCTGGTGTCGCGTTGCTGTCCTCTCACTCGACGGTCCGTCCGTTCCGAGCGGACTCGTCCGCTTATTTTCCTCCCCGTCCACTGCCTGCCAGCCTGACCGACGCGGTGCGCATTTTTTGTCGCATCGCTGCGAGACCCGTACATCAATTTGACCTACCGCCGCTGCGAAACTCGAAACATTCGATTTCCGGCGTCATGTTCTAGCACTATTTTCTGCGCTTTCTTCTCAAAATCGACATTTCTAAACGGTTTTATGAACTGCTTGTTGTTGTCCTAAAATAAACTTGTGAATTTATCGATTTTTCGTTTGAGAACCCGTAAAAATGCCGCGTTTGGTAGTCTAGAATGATTCGCTCTTGTATTTTTCGGCATTTCTAAACAAGATTGCGCCAAACACAAAATTCGCCCATTAGTCAGTACCGTTTTGCCCTTCTTCTCCTCCTCGAACACGAGTTGCGAGAGTCGGACCCCGAGCAGCCGGATCTCCTGACCCCGTTCCCGGTCCAGTAACTCCCACGCGTACTTTTGAATGTTTTCGAGTGACGTCACCACTTCCGGCGGCGTCAGCGAGCGTGTCAACACGTCGAAAGAGGCCAATTTCAGTTTGAGAGTTATCGTTTTTCCGCCGACAATCCCCGTCTTCCGGACGTCTTCGGCGAGCATTTTGCATATTTCCGCAAGCTCCGTCCACAATTCGTCGAAATGGGCGGTCGGCGCGAAAGTGCGCTCCACGGAGATGCTTTTGCGACGCGGATCCGATGCGGAAGGCCGCGCGGAAAGGCCGAGTGCCGTGCGCAGAAACGATTCCTGGGCGAGCGGCGAGAAACAGAGCGGGAAGAGGGACTTGCGAAGCAGCATGTCGCCGACCGTTCGGATGCCCATCGACTGGAGGTGCGCTTCCGAGACACGTCCGATTCCGCCCACCTGGAAATTGAATTGTGAGGATTTTTAAGGGAATTCTAAAAAAAAACTAACTTTTCGAATGGGCAAATCGCTCAGAAACGCCATAATGCGGTCCCTCTCGTTGGGGAGCACAAATTGTCCATTCGGTTTGTTGAAATCGGAGCAAATTTTGGCGAGCATGAAATTGGCGGCGATTCCGGCGGAGCAGGTGAGTCCGGTGAGTTGCTCCACTCGAAAACGCATTTCCCGAACGACCTGGAACAGTTGCAGGGTGATTTTTATTGAAATCTGCTCACTTCTTCCCTCCCGACGCCGAATTCCACTCGATCCACGTAGATTTTCCGCGTTTTTTCGCATTTTTCACACGAAATTTGCTCGACTGTCACCGAATTTTCGCAAATCTCCTCGGAATCCACGTGTGGAAGGAAGCATTCGCACTCGCCGCCGTATCTTTTTCGCTCCAACCACCGGGACGCGGTCCGTGATGCCACGTAGTCGGTCACGTCGATGTAGGCCTCGTCTAGGGACATCATCGACACTTCGGCGTCGTATTCGACGAAAATTTCGGAGAATTTCTGGAAAAATTGGGGTTTTTTTTTGGGAAAATTTGGACATTTCATGCCTACCCGACTGGTTTTCTGGTATTTCGGGTAGTTTACATCGACCAGTGTCAGCGAGGGACACAGTTTTTTTGCGATGAAGCCGGGCATGGCGGCACGGACTCCGAAGCGACGAGCCAGGTAGTTGGAGGTGCTCTGAGCGAAAAATGAGAATTTTCCGCATAAACATTTTTTTGAATTTCGTGCTGAATTTGCAGTAGACCTCACGTGCACACTCACCAGCATGGCGGCCGATCCGACAGCCATCGGAACGGTCCGTAACGCCGGATTATCGCGCATTTCGACGGCCGCAAAGTAGGCGTCCATGTCAATACAGACACAATCTCGGCTCAGGTCTCGACACGCTTCCAGCCTCGCCTCAAGTACGGTCATCTGCAAAGGATGACTGAAGTTTGTGCAATTCTCGTTTTTTCGGCCTACCAGGTGCTCGGCACTTTGTTTCTCCTCCCTCGTCGCCGTTTCCAACCGATTTTTAATTTCCAAAACTTTCTCCTCAATCCGAGACTGCTGTTTTTTCGAGAACGTCGAGTAGGAGGCCGACGTGTTTTGCTCTATCACTTTTGTGATTTTCTCCTTATCCAGACCGCCCATTCCGGCTTTATTGTCGTTAAAAGTGAGCATCTTGAGGAGGAAAAGTGTGAAAATTTGAATTGCTTTTGTCGAATTCCAACGACGCTCCGAAATTCCGCCCGAAACGTGTGCAATTTGACGTGACAGTGTTTGCACACTTTTCGGTCATTTCTTTATTTCTTTCGGGAAAAACGCGATTTTCTCCATTTTCCAGCCAAATTTTTGCATTTTTATTCAATTTTTCGGTTTCAGGGTACTCGAAATGTTCGTTTTGAACCGAACGGCCGGTCTAATTCATCGATCGGCGCCCCTCATCGCTCAAATTTCGACGCCCACCACTTCGGCGACAAAATCGTTTCAAAATGGTATGATTTTCAGATTTCCGCTTGGTTTTTCGTGAGTTTAATAAAATCGATACTTCAGCTTCACTTCACACAACGTGCTCGCTGAGCAAAGAAGATTATTACAAGACTTTGGGCGTCGACAAGAAAGCTGATGCAAAATCAATTAAAAAAGCGTATTTTCAGGTGAGTTTCACATTTTTGAGTCAGTTTTTGTATTATTATATAGATTTTCAGCTTGCCAAAAAATACCATCCGGATGTGAACAAAACGAAAGAGGCGCAGACGAAATTTCAAGAGATTTCAGAGGCCTACGAGGTGAATTTTTGAAGTTTTCAGTTTCTGTTAAAATTTTGTTTCAGGTTCTGTCGGATGATACGAAAAGGCAAGAATACGATGCGTACGGAGCTGGCGGAGGTCCGGCGGGAGCCCGCGGAGCTCCTGGAGGTGCTGCAGGCGGAGGATTCCACTATTCTGGAAACGTCGACGTCAATGAGATCTTCAGGAGGGCGTTCGGAGGCGGTGCCGGCGGCGGAATGGTGGGTAGCGAATACCTATAAATAAAATTCCCCCAAAATTTCAGGGCGGTTTCAACTTTGACAACTTCGCGCAGAGCTCGTTCGGCCACTCGGCCGCACAGGAGATGGTGATGGACATTTCGTTCGAGGAGGCCGTCCGCGGCGCCACGAAAAACGTGTTCGTCAACGTGGTCGAGGACTGTCTCAAGTGCCACGGATCGCAGGTGGAGCCGGGCTTCAAGAAGACCTCCTGCCCTTACTGCAACGGCTCCGGGGCCATCTCGCAACGCCTTCAGGGCGGATTCTTCTACCAGACGACGTGCACGCGGTGCAGGGGCAGCGGACACTACAACAAAGTACGGGGAAACGGGCGATCTTACACGAAAACCCTGAAGAAACTGGGGGTTTGGGATAGAAAAGAGTTCAAAATACGCTTTCTGTGAATTCAAAATGTCGAAAAAGTCGAAAAATTGACAGCGAGAAATGCTTGATGGTGTTTTGTATGCGAAATGATACTTTAGGGTAAGAAAGAGCGGGTTGTTCTCATGGTTTGCACCGAAAACATGCAAATTTAGAGTTTTTCGACTGACAGTGCCTAATTTCTTGTAATTTCTTTCGAGCGCGTTTCCAGACCGTTAGTCAAAATCAGCACAAAATGCGATTGGAAAATGCAGTTTTTATGCTGGTCCTACATGTTTACTCGTTCAGAATCCGTGTCAGGAGTGCGAAGGCGAGGGCCAGACGGTCCAACGAAGGCAAGTGACGTTCCAAGTGCCGGCGGGGACGAACAACGGCGACAGTCTCAAGTTCCAAGTGGGCAAGAATCAGGTGTTCGTTCGGTTCAACGTGGCGCCGTCGCTCAAATTCCGCCGCGAAAAGGACGACATCCATTGCGATGTGGAGATTTCAATTGCGCAGGCCGTCCTCGGAGGCACCGCCAAGGTTCGGCAACTTTTCTTGTTAAAAACAATTCAACTGTAATTTTTGCCAAAATTTGTTCAAAAAACGTTTCTGCAGGTGCCAGGCATCAATGGCGACACTTATGTGCACGTTCCCGCCGGTACTGGAAGTCATACGAAAATGAGGTTTGTGTTTTTGCCAATTTGCGCCTTTCAGCGCTTTTTCCGCGCCAACTCGATAATTTGCAGACTGACGGGAAAAGGAGTGAAACGGCTGCATTCGCAGGGCCACGGCGACCAGTACATGCACATTAAAGTGACGGTGCCGAAATATTTGACGGCCGAGCAAAAGGCGATCATTTTGGAGTGGGCGGCCACAGAACAACTCAAGGACGGCACGATAAAGGGACTCGAGAAGAAGGAGAGCGCCGAGAAAACGCAGAAATCCGAGAAAACGACACGGAAAACGAGTCAGGGTTGGTGAAAACGAGCATTTTTAAACAGTTAAGAGAAACAAATCGGGCGAAGCCGATCCGCTCACTTCTTTCTTCAGTTGACAATCTCTTGGTATTTCTTTTGCTGTTTTTGTACAAGTGTCTTCAACAGCCTGCATCTCAAGAATGGAAAACAGAAGAAAGAAGTGATCAACTGAAAAGTTGGGGCAAATGTTATGCTGATCAACTTTGTAGTTGATGGTTGCAAAAAAACACTTTTGTCTGATGCATCTTGAAATTTAAAATTTGTGAAGAAAACTCCAATTTCCCTCCAATTTCTAGGTGCATCAGACACGCGAAAAAGCAGTGAGCCGGTGGCGGAAAACGCGGAAACGATTGACGAAAATCAGGAGAGCGAGGGGATTTTCGGAAAGATCAAACGCAAAATTTTTGGGTTTTTTTTTGGCAGAACTTACCCGAACAATTCGAGATTTTTGCAGATAAACACGAGGAAGACACGGAGCCGAAAGTGGAGGAAACGAGCGGAAATGCGGAGAAAAAAGCGGCTGAATCCTAATTTCTAGTGGACATTTATTGATTTTTTTGATGTTTTGTTTCCCTGTTTTTCGTGTATCTTTTGTAGACTTTTAGGACGATTTCTAGCGAATTTCTTGTTGTTTTCCCCCTGTTTAATTACAACCAAAATTGAGAATGTTGTGTTCGTATGGACGTCTCTTGGAGCAAGCTCGTACTTCTAGTTAGAGAGTTTATTCGAGGCTTCGCTGAGCCAGAACTGTTTGAATCAGATCCCGTCACAACATGACTTTTTGTAACAAGAACTACATACTGCACAGAAAAAATCATTTATTAAGAGGAAAAAATGGAATGTCGCGGAGGATGGAATTGAAAAGATATGAAGTCCGTGTAAGCTGTTCGGTCAAACTTTTTTCAAGGCCAAAAACTCATTTTTTTTGCAAAAATTTGAAAGAGCAGCTCACCTGGATGAGCGGGTGACATTTTTTCGGAGAAATTTCGAACACAAAATATTATAAATGCGCCATTTCTAACCCGTTTTTTTGTTGCAGCGAAAGGGCGGTGGATTTGCGGCAGAAAACGAATTGAATGAGTGAAGAAGAAGAAGAAGAAGAAGAAGAAGGAACAACTATTTGAAGGCTCGATTGAGCGAATATCTCGAGTGACAGAAGCGACAACTCTGCACGTCCTGGGCCGAAGACGACGTGGAAAGGGTGGCGGCGTCGGCGTTCTGATCGATGTAGCGGATGCAGCGAATGTCGGTCGGAATGAACGGAATGATGTGCTTCGAGACGTACAGATTCTCGACGATGAACGCCTCGCGCGACATGTTCCGCGCGCGCTTCTGCATCAGATTCGCGTACAGCTCCGACACGAGCACCACCTGCAAAAACGACGATTTCGAGGCGAGTTTCGACGCCATTTTGCAACTGTCTCCGATCAGCTTTTTTTAGGAGACACTTTGGTTGCGAAACGGACACTACTGACCTTTCCGCCGACGACGGCCAACGCGGAGCGTGCGTCCTGAATCTTGCGCCCGAAATAATGGATCTTGCGGATGTACTGCACGCCGACCAAATCGATGCACATTGTGGTGATGGCGAGTCCGAGAATGATGTACAACAGAATAATGTACATGTATCCGTCGCGACGCGGCATCAAATCACCGAACCCGACCTGGAAAAGAGAGGCTGAGCATTGGGGGACCGGGGGACCGACCGGGCGGGCACTTACAGTAGTCATTGTGATGAACGACCAGTAGAAGGAAGTGAAAAAGGACCAGGGCTCGAGTTTGGACATTAGAACTCCGCCGAACGCGGTGTAGACGATCAGAATGGCCAGGACGAGGAAGGCGGGAATTCTGGAAGGTTAGTGTGGTCCCGAAAGCCCGCGGCAAAAGCACCCTACCTCTTCTCCTCGATGTTCATATCGTGACCCATTCCGTGACTGTGACAGTGCTCGCAAACGTGCTCCCGACGCTCTTTCCGATGCCGCGAGAAGATCAGATATTTCAGTTTTAGATAGTTTCCGTACAGCCATACCAGATGTTCGGATAGGAATTTACCTGAAAATGAGCAAATATTGTAGAGTTTTATAAAGTCTTGTGACTCTTTTCGGCAAGCTTTTAGGCGCTCTTAACTTTCAAGAGCTACAGTAGCCTTCGGAGTGATGGTGCATAAAACTTATCAACTAAAAAAACATAGTGCATGGAAAGTACTGTATTTTTGTAGTTGACAACTTTTTTGTATCACCTTTCCCAGGACTACTGTAGCCCGTCAAAGTTTGAGTTTACAATGAGTTATAGGCTCGGTACATACTGTAACTTTCAAGAGCTACAGTAACCTTAAAAGTAGTTTTACAAAAAAGTGATCAACTACAAATGCAAAGTACTAGGTGTCAAGATTATGAACGTCGAAGAACTCGACAATATCGTACCCAAGTCGGCGATGGTGACAAGAGTGAGAGGTATGCCGAGAAGCGAGAACAAGATGCACCATATGCGTCCGATGTTGGTCACCGGGACCGGGTTACCGTAGCCGATCGTCGTGACCACGGTGACCGCGAAGAAAATCGACGAGGAGAACGTCCACGTCTCCGTCGCCGCGTTCTTCTTCACCTGCAAAAAACGAGGATGTTGTTCGAGAAAAAAGTGAGGCGAAGACGAGGATCTTTCTGTCGGCCGATCATTTTTCCGGGTGAAAAGGGGGTCCCGCGGGAACAGCTGAGACTCCTTCTCTCCCTCTTTCTCTATTGTCGGCTTGTTATTTTGTCGAGCAAGTCACAAGGGACCCCGTTTGTTTTGTTCTTCCAGACACCAGGCGCCACGCGGAAAAGAGAGTGAAGATTACGCGGGGACCATAGGCCTTTTTGCAACCGGCCTCTGGATTTCTTGGACGTTAAACGAAGAAACGCGAGTTTTTGGGTTAAAATAGTTGAATTTGATCGGCAAAAACGCAATTTTAGCAATACGCTTACGAAAATTGGACATTTCGCAACCGGCGACACTTTGCAACCGGTAACCGTGTGGCGCTTACCTCGTTACTCGTCAAAAAGTACTTTTCGAAGGCGACGAACAGCGAATCGGACATGTTGTGCATGTGTCTCTCGGCTAGAGACTCCCACTCGAATCGTCCTGAAACTAGTGGCCTAGAGCATTTGCACGAGGAAAAGTTAGTCCGCCGTGTAGTTGGTGTCGGCAGGCCTAACTTTTCAATAACAAGTAAAATCGTGGCCTAACTTTTCGCGGCCGCCGCCTATCACACTCACGTGTCTCATTTCCGGCGGCCAGTCGAATCAGATCGTCCACAAACGCATTCTGTCGCGTGTAGATCAATTTCAGCTGAAAAATGAGGCGATTTTTGAAGTTTTAAGTGAAAATCGAGTACATCAAGGACTGTAAACAATGAGAAATACACAATATTCAAAGTTTTGCCCTTTCAAGAGTTTACCCCTCCCGCCCACCATTTCTCAAGTGTTTTTGGCCATTTCTCGCTTGGAAATCGCTATAAATGGCATGAAATTGATGGGAAATTTCCAAATTTTCAAAAAACCACTGAAAATGTCCTCGATTTCGTGTCCGAAACCGAAATTTTTCGACCCCGCCGCCTTTTTGTTCTTCATGGCGCTCGTCGCCATTTTCTCAATGGTTCTGGGGTGAGGTGTCGCCGTTTTACGCCGAATTCGACCGAATTTTTCAGCGACACTCGTGTGAAGCGACAATATTACGTGCCGTACGGTGGAGCCGGCAGTTACTACGCGCCTGGAGCCGCCGGATATTGGCCTGGAGCAGCCGGGTACGGATACGGAGCCGCCGCCGCCTATCCCGGCTATAATTATGGCGTTTGGGGCTGATTTGAGTGTGCTTTTTGGCGATTTTCAATAAATTCTTTCTTCTATTGAAGCTACGGAAGAACTTTGGCGAGTTAGGCCACGGAGGAGGAAAAGTTCGGCCACGTAGAACTTTGAGACGTTGTAGCGCGGCCCAAAATTATCGGATTGACACCAAACTTGGACAGGACGTACTTTAGGACTTCTCGTTTTCAAAGAGACATTTTGCAACTGATAGACACTTCGCAACCAAGAGCTGGAAAGGATTTTAGAATGTTTGTAAGTGTAGGCGTTCTCTCGCTATAATAAATGATGATCTTTGTCACTTGAAATAGTTGGAATTGGACGTTTTGTCGTTTAGTTGCAAAAAGTCCTTCAGTTGCAATCTGTCCTATAGTTATATGACTGCTAGGTGCAAATTGTCGCACAGTTGCAAATCGTCCAAGGAAAGAATTGACGAGAAAAAGAAGAAGAAGAAGAAAAGTGAAGGATTCTTTCGCACGACACGGGCTGCTCGTAAAACCAAATGCACCTGTCTGTGTGCTCCGTCCGAAAATCGGCGGAAGCAGTTTGGAGCCCGAATCGAAAGAGTCATGGGCTGTTTGAGCGCATGAGCCATCTGCCACGTCGTCATGAATTGAATGGAAAGACGGAGGAGAAAGGAGAAAGGAGAAAGGAGACAGATGGCGGCGAGAATGAGAAGAAGAGCGTTTATGGATGGGCCATCATTTCGGAACGAGAATGCGCCGCCGCTTCTCGTACTCGTCGTCGTCGCAAATTTCGGGCGGGAAGTGCCACTTTTGGCAGACGCCAATCAAATGAGCGTCGGATTTTGTGGGTTGCACCGAAAATGCCGTATCTTTGAAGCCCGGTATCTCGAGACTCGGTGCTTGTTTCAAAAAGTAATCAACAGAAAAATTGTGGCAAATTTTTTCTACAACTTTGTAATTGATCATTTTTATCAAACATGTTTGCGAATTGAGTTGTGCGCTTATTTCTAAACAGTCCAAGTGGCCCCAAAATTGAATATTGTCCGTGTTTGCTAAACGCCTAGAGAATCTGCCTAAATTTGATCTCTCTACCGCCTACAACTATGCGTGTGGATATGGCTACCGAAATGGATGGTCGAAATGGTCGAAATATTGCGCTAGACTTTCTTGACCAATTTTTAATGCTTTCCCATTCAAAAATTTAATAAATTTCGTTTTGCGACAAAAATTGAAGCGCTCAGATTCCGTTTTTATATCATTTTCCGATTTTGAACCCATATCAAGAAAGAACAAGGAAGGTAGATCAGTAAGGTATGAGTGAGGGGAAGAGGGCAACACAACACACACTCTCTCACCGTCTGGCTGTCGCTCGCGTTCTCGGCCGCGCTGAGTATATAGGCGAGAACCACTCCAAGGCACAGAGGCGGCTCCCATGGCGCAGTCGGTATGTCGGTTACCCCGAAAGCTGGGGCTTGTGTGTTCGACTCCGGGAGCTGTTGAAGGGTTTTTGCCTTTTTTGTTTTACTTATTATTTTGATTTGCGTGAAAGAAGTGGAAAATAAGACACATCACACGGGTTTTGAAGTTTTGTTTTTTATTAAATGACTACTTTTGGTCTCCGAAAAGAGCTGAAGCCATGAAGCAATCTTGATCTCGAAGAGCTCGTCAATGAGTTAAAAATGAAGAATTTCCGCGGCATCTTTATGAGAGACACTTTACCACTTCAAGGAATTAAAGAAAAAGAAGTTGGAATTGTAAATCTAGATTCTTCTGAAGGTAAAGGTACTCATTGGGTTTGTTATTCGAAAAATAAAGGAAAGATTCGTTACTTCGATTCCTTCGGATTGGATCCACCAATAGAACTTCAAAAATATTTAAAAGATAAAAAAGATAAAGATAAAATAGAACTCTCCACATTTCAAATTCAAGAATTCGGAACTAATCACTGCGGTTATTAATGCTTACTTCTTCGAAAGTTACTGGAACATTCTACATTCACACGTTCAATTCTTTCTCTTCTTCACTAAAGTGAATACTTGCAGATTCGTTTAGGATCTCCTATGAAAGGCGATTGAATCCATAGGCATTTGTATCATATGAATTAGGAATTATAATTCGTTTGAATTGCAGCATTTTCGCTTGAGTCATTTCATTATCAAATACAACTTTTTTTCCTGTTCTTGAGTGTATAATTGTTGTTTGATACTTCGAATACAACATTGTTTCTTTCTAACAATACTCTTATTAAAAAGAAAAACTTTTTCGAAAATCGTCAACTTTTAACTTCTTGACAACATTTTTCTTTATTCCTTTACTCTTTTTAACCTCATCACCAGGAGGCTTTGGAACTTTTGGAAGTTTAGGATTCTCTATTTCATCTTGAATCAGGGGTGTGCGGAAAATTTTTTTCGGAAAATTTCGGAAAAATCGGAAAAATCGGAAAACTCACTTGTTCATTGGTTCAATAAAGTGTTTAAACAACGTTCTAATACAAAAAATGCTTATTATGATTTGAAATCACTTGAGTGGGCGGAAGCCAAGCAATGGAATATTTTTTTGCAAAAAAATTAGCCGAGAGAAGCTCTCCGGGTCCACAATCGGTTCATTAGAATGAGAAAAACGAAAGAAATTGCGTAAAATTTAAAAATCAAATTTAAAAAGACGCTCGCTGCTGACCCTTCCAAAAATTTTGTGATGCGCCTTTAAAAAGCATACGGTGGTTTCGGACAAATTGACCTTGAATCCACACTAATTTTCCGAAAATTTTGCCGAAAATTTTCCGAAAATTTCTCGGAAAATCGGAAAATTTCGGAAAATCGAAATATTTTCCGCACACCCCTGATCCTGATAGCATAATTTAATGTCATCTCCATATTTTTTCTTCATAACATTGTAATGAAAATCGTACATCAGCCACTTACTCAACTCGAGGATAGCAAAGCCAACATAAATAGGCTTATCTAGAACCACTATTTTAGTTTGAGCCATTTCAACAAAACTCAATTCTTTGTTTATTATTATATTCCTATTAAAGTTAGGTTTCTTCTTAGCTAACTTAGTTATTCTATTCTATTCTTTGAAATCTAATGCATTTCATCATTTTCCATACATTCATACTCACCGGAATACATCAACTTTACATCTACTCTATTACGAACATTCTCCATAGTTTTCCCAAAAACACTATTATTCAACATCAACTTAAAGAAGTCTTTTTCAAAATATTCATTTTTAGCTTTTTTCCTAAAAGGTTAGTATTCAAATCAATATAGCTCTTAAGAATTCTCATAATTCTTTTTCAATTTCATTCCAAGATCTTGTAAAGCTTGTAGCAAATTTTGATAATGAATAACATAATTTGTTTTATCTTCTAAAGTATTACACAACTTTGAGAAGAAGAGCGTTTATGGATGGGCCATCATTTCGGAACGAGAATGCGCCGCAAATTTCGGGCGGGAAGTGCCACTTTTGGCAGACGCCAATCAAATGAGCGTCGGATTTTGTGGGTTGCACCGAAAATGCCGCATCTTTGAAGCCCGGTATCTCGAGACTCGGTGCTTGTTTCAAAAAGTGACCAACAGAAAAATTGTGGCAAATTTTGTGCTCTACAACTTTGTAATTGATGGTTTTGTTGGAAATCGTTTGCAAATTGAGTTGTGAGCCTTTTTCTAAACAGTCCAAGTGGCCCCAAAGTTGAATATTGTCCGTGTTTGCTAAACGCCTAGAGAATCTGCCTAAATTTGATCTTCTGATGCGTCCAATTCCCTAAACAATTTTACAAAAAGATAAATAAAAAGTTCAGGTATCGGATTGCGTGTGGCCTCAATTAAGAGATCGCCGAATTGACCCTGAAAACAAGAGATGACGGGACCGTATAAAAAGGGGCCACATTTCAGCACACATCCTCTAAAAGTTGATGAAAATGCGCAATTTTCTGCAATTTTTGGTCGTTTTCGCTGTTCTCGCTGCCATTCAGGTTCACGGGTGAGTTATGATGGCTTTTGGGGTTACTGTAGGCTACCGTACCTCTTGGGAAGACTACGGTACCAGACGAGCTCGTAGAGGTACCGTAACCGCCCTCTTCCAGATTCCTATTCCCCTCGTTCACTTCCGGCTACAACTACGATTGTGGATACGGCTACGGTGGCTCTAATTATGGAGGATACTACGGTAGTGGATACGGTGGATATTACCCCGGTGGATACGGTGGATACGGATACGGAAAGTGACCAAATGACAAATTGTATACATCTTGTTGTTTTTAAGTGAATCTACAGTAGTCTCTACTATCTTTAAAGTCTAGAACAGGGATTACTGTAGCTGATTGCATTGGATTGTATTCTTCGTCAAATTGTCGGAAAATGCGACTACCGTAAACTTTATACTGTCGTGCCTATTTTACAAAAAGAGATAAATAAAAAGTTCAGATTGCATGTGGCCGAGAGGTCGCCAAATTGACCGTGAAAACAAGTAGGTGATGACGTCGAGCCAGAAAATGATATAAAAAGGGTGTCTAAGCGCGTATATGTTACGTCAACTACATATTTGTTCAAGTCGACAATATCGGGACAAGAAATGAGCTATTCTCTGCAATTTCTCGTCGCTTTCTTCGCTCTTTTCGCTGCCATTCACGTTCAGGGGTGAGTTCTGACACGGACTGTACGTTCCCAAGGGTTACGGTAGCTTTGGAGCTTCTACAGTAACCCGTCCATACTTGCTTTCAGCTTCACGCTCCCTTCGCTCTCAACCGCCTACAACTATGCGTGTGGATATGGCTACGTCTGCCCAAATTATGGAGCATACAATAGCGGATACGGATCCAGGTATAGCAGCGGATACGGTAACACTGGATACGGTAATGGATACGGTAATGGATACGGTAATGGATACGGTAATGGATACGGATACGGTAACACTGGATACGGTAACAGTGGATACGGTACTGGATACAATTCTGGATACGGTAGTGGATACAATTCCGGATACGGTGGATATTACCCTGGATACGGTGGATATGGATACGGAAAGTGATCAAATGACAAGTTTCTCTGATTTTATTATAATTTTGTAATAAATTGTATATATATATCTTGTTTGTTTTTGAGTGAATCTACAGTAATGAGATGGCTACCGTACTCTTTTCCTACTGTAGCTCTTTGAGGTCATCTACACAAGCCACGGGTAACTTCTACAGTAATCCTCTCATTAGTAGCGATCTATGAGCTCTACAGTAAGAAGATACGGTGACTACAGTAACCTGCTGGCTTGGTTTAGGGCGCGGCGCACCCACAGTATCCTTGAACAACGTGATTCTGTGTGGCTGGCCAACTATAAATATTGTTGTGTGCAAAAGTATTATCGGTGTTTGGTTGCCTAAAACACACCCTGACTGGAACACTTGTACTTGGGGGGTGTCCTGCAGTTTTTGGGGGGACAAACAACAGAGACACGACGCATTTGACGAATGTCTTCAGAAGAAGGGCAACGGAAAGAGAGAGAGAGAGAGAGAGAGAGAGAGAGAAAGAGAGAGAGAGAGAGAGAAAGAGAAAGAGAATACCTGCTGCTCCTTCATCATCTGCTCGTGCGGCTGCTCGACACTGTAGAATATGAGTGCTCCGATGACTGTGTAGGTGCACGTGAGGAGTACGAGTCCGACGTGCGGAAGTACGAGTTTCGCAAACTTCCGTATTCCGGTCTCCTCCTCCTCCTCCTCGTCCTCATCTTTGCTCTCCTCGTCGCTTTCGTCGTCAATGTCTTCGTGTCCGCTCTGAACACTTTTTTTTTGTTTTTTGGCGGCATACTTTTCGGATAGTTCTTGGATAGATTGTTAGTGAATATATTATGAATGTAAACGAGTGGTTATTGCAAACGAAAACGGGGGAAAGAGGGGTCGAAAACGCATGCAACTCACTGCAATCGCTGAAATTAGACTAATTTCAATGTCCAACTCAATTTGCTCGTTTTCAATGTAAATTTTTGGCCGTTTTGCCCGCTTTTTATGCATTTTTGCATACGGACACACCCCCGGCTCCTCGTCGGAGCCACTTTTCTAAAAAAAAAAAAAACATCTGATTGTGAGCGGGTACGGCTTTGGGATTTTGCGACTTTTGAACGAACGAACCTTTTCACAACTATGAATCAGATGACTGTCTTCATAGTATTCGGCTCTTCCGAGGCCCGCTCGTGTCACTTCTTCGCCGAATAGAGCTTCCTGAAAAATGGAGGGCAAAACCATGCGGGTGTGGAACATGCTTCGGGGGGCGGGGGACAACTTTGAGCCTATGTAACTCGGTCAGTTTTGAAGATTTTGATACAGTTTAAAAAGGATTTGAAAGATAATTTTATGCTCTATAACTTTCTAGTTGACACTTTTTATTGAACATGTCTGTGAGCCCGGTTATTTTTAATTTTCTAAAGGGTATTTATAAACAAACATACTCACTTTCAACCTACGTAACTCGGTCAGTTTTGAAGATTTTCATACAATTTAAAAAGGGTTTGAAAGATAATTTTATGCTCTATAACTTTGCAGTTGACACTTTTTATTGAAAATGTCTGTGAGCCCGGATATTTTGAATTTTCTGAACAGTGGCTATACATCGACATAACTTTTTCACTCACTTTAAATCGACATAACTCGGTTAATTTTAAAGATTTTTTGAATGTCTAAAAACGAATTAAAAGATGATTTGATGCTCTATGACTTCATAGTTTAACAGTTAACGAGAAAGCGCAGAAAGCGCACAAAGTGACTGCTTTCCAACTGCGAAATAGGAGCGCTCTAGAAAAGTGGCGAATTCTAAAGCTCACAATAGATTTAGCAAAAAATGATCAATTACAAAGTTGTAGCGCTTGAAATTTTCTTTCAAATGCTTTTTTAACCGTTTTAAAATCTTTAAAATTAACCGAGATACGTGCGCTCAAATTCCAGTGTTACCCTTCTGCGCAATTTGGAGCGCATCCTCAACTCCTCCTCGATTGCCACGTCATCACCGAATATTAGTTGTTCGGCAACATCCAAAACCTCTCTTTTATTCGCATTTTTATCGTTGATAAAAAATTTGGATATGTTGAAAAACTCCATTAACCTTTTTGTTGGCGCTAAATAAAAAAAATGTCGTGTGTCGAAAACTGAGAACCGTACAGAATTTGCGAGGCGAATATTATATGGTTGGTAAAAAATGGAAGAAGGAGAATAAAAGTTAGTACTTGTTCTTTTTCTGACAATTCGAAAAAATGTTTGGTTGGCGCGAGAGTTGTCGGACAATTTTTGATGGACAGCCTATCAGCAAACTCACTTTTTCTGGTCACTTTTTCATTTTTTCTTCTCGTGTTTGGAAGAGAGAAAGAGAGAGAGAGAGGGAACTAGTACTTGCTGAGGACTGGCTTTATTTTTGCAGAAGAACGAGACAAATTTTGGAAGGCAAGTAAAATAACTCTGATTTTCGGGTAGGGTCTGAATAATTGAAAATAGCTCGGTTTGTAGAAGAGATATAAAAAAACTTATAACTGCAAAGTTGTAGAGCATGAAATTGTCTTTCAATTCCTTTTTTAACCTTAGAAAAATGTTCAAAACCAGCTAAGTTACGGAGGTTTAAAGTTAGCCTAAAATGTGGAACTTTTCGCTGGCTCTCTGCAGGTCTCTTGGAAAAATTGAAATATCTCATTTCCCAAACATGACAGTAAAAAACGTTCAACTACAAAGTTGTAAAGCATAAAATTATCTTTCAAATCCTTTTTTAACTTTATAAAAATCTTCAAAACTAACCGAGTTACATAGACTCAAAGTTGAACTTTGATCATACCAGATTTTTTTTTGAAAACTTTGAAAACCATGCAAAAAGACACTCAAAAAAGCATGTCAAACGTGTTCAAACTTGAGAAAGTCAGCAAAAAAGAGGACTAACCCTTCGTTGCCTGCGATGGAATCCTTCCGGAATGTCGGTCACCCGGTCGTCCATCTCGTGCCGTTCCAGCTCGTCGTAGCTGTCGTACTCGACGCCCACGTGATGATACGTCGAGGCTAAATCAGATATTGCTGTCTTAACAGCCGAATCATAAACTTTTATCGCTTATTTGAGCTTTTTAGGGTTTTCGTTGGTTTTTTGGTTCCCAAACTTTGACAAATCGTCATGGTCCATTTCAAGATGATACACAAAAAATTCGGTACGGATTGGAGCAGAATTTCAGAGGAAAATGATACTTTTTCTGGAAAAAAAGATGTTCAAATGCCGCACGGTTATCAATTTCAGCCTGATTATCATTGCACTGGCCGCCCCTGACTCCAAGAGCATCGGTGGAGCAGTGGGGAGTACACTGCTCCGCCGGTGCGCTTTTGGTCGACGCCGGTTCGATTCCCAGTTTGGGAAAAAGTCTTTTGCATTCGAAATTTTGACAAATCTGACAGTTTTTAGGGCTGGGAGCTGTTAGAAACATACTTTTCCTTTCTTTTGGTTGCCGGAAAGGTTCCAACTTCAAATGTTTCATAACTAATTTCAAAAAAATGCTACAGCCGCCCGCAAGCGCTTAAAATGACGGAAATCGTGTCTAGAATACGGAAAAAATAAGGCCATAGCCCTGAAAACGCATTTTGCTCACCATAATCATCGTTGTTGCGATGGATCAGCGCCTCGTGCGGATTGTCGTCTTCTTCCATGAGACTTGCCACATCACTCGAGTCCACTCTGTGATATCCGCGAGATGACGTCATCGCTGATGACGTGGCATCTGTGGAATATGGAAAAATGCAAAAAAAGAAGGTAAGAATTGAACGAAAAGGAGAGGTGAGGTAATCCGAGAAGGGAAATTCAAAACCCGTACATGGAATATGTTTGGGCGGTGAGTGAAAGAAGGAAAAAGAGCACAAACACAAGTTTTTTCTCCTTTTTCGAGTCTTTGCGCAGTGTAGCCGAAGCGCTAAACTGATTAACGTTAGTGGACACCGCCACCACCACCAACACGACCAATTTTGATGATTGACTTGTGGCGGCTGCTTTTGTTTAGGCATCCAGCCAAGATTTGATAGATGAACCCCTTCAACACTTGCCCAAAAGTCCCCCGAGTATTGGAGGATGCAAAAAAGAGGAGCAAAAGTGGTAACGCAGTCAGCAGGATTCGAACCTACGCGGGCAGAGCCCAATTGATTTCTAGTCAATCTCCTTAACCACTCGGACATGACTGCACGCCTGGAAAGCCGCGGCGAGTGCGTACACAATAGAGGCGGCGGGCGGCAGGCGGCCAACTTGCGCGCTCATAAATTTCGATAGAAATCGGATGGGGAGGGGGGGTAAAATATGCGAATTTCGGGGTGTTTCGAAGAGTTTAAAAGTGAGCGGGGGAACTGGCGAGAAGAAGAAGAAGAAGAAGAAGAAGGAGAAGAACTAGGCAAGATTAATGAGCCGCCTTTCGTTTCCCGCTCTTTTGGGCGCGAAAATAGCGAAAACGAGGAAGGAGGCTCTTGTTCCCCGAAGAATACGTGCACGTGAAATGATATATAAACTTGTTTTTTGCTTCCTGGTCAGCTTTTCTTTCCGCTCATTCAATTTCACTTGTTCCGTCGGATTCTCCAGACAATTTCGGTTATTTTGGACCAAAAACGGGCGTTCCAGCTCAATTCCGAACAAAGTTGTCGTTACGGTAGATTACAGTAGCGCCGAAACTGTGCATTTTTGCGTCACGGTGTGTACACGCCACCCGAATCCGATAACTCGAAAAGGACTCTTTGTGAACTTTTCGTTGAAAAATGTGAGGGGTACAAAGGGGCGAGGGAAGGGGGGGCCGTTTGGTTTGAAAAAAATGAGCTCCGTCTCGAAGGAGCACTTTGTTTAAAACTTCATCAGATCTGCCGACCAGATTTTCTTTCCACCGTATGCCTTTGTTTATATTCGGATATTGTAAATTTACGAAAATAATCAACTGGATACGAAGGAGAGTAGTACTAACTGAAAAAAAACGCGAAAAAGTGGGGAGCTCGTAAAAAGGAAAAGGTGTGCGGAAATTGGAAAGGGCATTTTTATGGAATGTGCACGGAAGCACTCAATTTGACGACATACGCATTGCAGAGAGGATTACTGTAGCGCCGAAACTGTGCATTTTTGCGTCATGGTGATCTCCGCTGAATTTCAGTCATTTTGCTTCGAAAACGGGCGTTCTAGCACTTTTCCGAACGATTTTAGAGCGGTTTGAAACGCTTTTTCCTAAGCAAGATCGCAAATTGAATGGAATATTTTCAATTCCAGTTTCCAGGTCACAGATCATGAAAGAATGTGCAACGCAATTATTTATATTATCCTTTTCCATAATACGCGTAGGCTAGGAGCTCGAAAAAACGAAAACGCTTCGCGGCTCTTCGACCAACTCAATTGTTTTTCACTTTTCGTTTTGCCTCCTAATTTTTCGCCTTTTTCTGTCTGCTCCCGCTCACTTTTTGTGTTGGTTGGAAAATGAGTGGAAAAATGAGAAATGGGTGTGTAATCCTGATGGATGAGAGGATTACGGTGCCCAAAAAGGGAAGAGTTTCCAGCGAAAATGGGGTCTTGTGGAAAAGTACAAATATCTCGGCGCACAAAAGTTTTTCGGAGAAATGTTCAACAAACAAGTTGTAGAGCGTTAAATTTGCTACAAGTTTGTTTTTTGATCGTCCGAAAATCTTCAAATTCGACTGATTTATGAGCGAGTAAACTAGACACAACATATGCGCGAGTCGGTTGCGCAAAAGTGGAAAAATCTCAGCGCATCATCAAAACTGTAAAAAGTGATCAATTACAAAGTTGTAGAGCATACAATTATCTACAAATTTCTTTTTTAACCATCTAAAAATCTTCAAAACTGACCAAGATACGCTGCTGTAAATGAACGTTACGCAACTTTGAACGTGTGCAACTGTCGGACGAGTTGCAAAGTGTCCTGCTCACGGTCCTGGTTTTTCACAGTTGCAAAGTGTCCGAGTGGACGAGTAAAAAGTGTATCAAGCGGGTGGGAACAAGTTGAAAACTCGCGCGGCCGCTTCCTCTTCTACTCCTCCGCTCAAAAGTGAGAAGACTCGGCCCCCCCCGGGGGACCGTTTTGCGATTTGACATGAAGAAAATGGCGGAGAGAGTGTGTCGGATGGGGAGACGTAGACGCATGTACGGCTCAAGACACACTCGGAAATGTGCCAACATTCTCGGGTTCTCGCATATTTTCAGTCGAAATTCGAGGAAATTTGAACGATAAGGGGGGGAGGGACAGGATTACTGTAGTTTTGACAGTTTGGCAAATGGTTGGTTGCGAAAAAAAGTGTGTCACGTAGTTGCCAAACGTCCTATTTATCCAGGTTTATCGATAAATTTGCTCATAAAGGTTCGTTGAAGGTGCTGGCAAAAAAGACGGACTATTATCGATAGATTTGAGATAAAGCACTTTGAATTCGATATTGTAGACTTCTTGAAACTTCCAGGAAAAGTGTCAAAACCAGAAAATGTTTTTTTTTTAATTATAAGAAAAGAATCCACCTGTAATAGACTCGTCGATGGCCGGAATCATTTGTTCCTCTCGAGGATGAAATGCTGAAAATGTTTTGGATACATTTATGGATATATTTCTCGATAAATACCCATTTGACAGTGTTGACGTTCCCGACGGATCAGCGGAAGGTACTTGAGAATCGTGTGACGTGGCATTCTCTGAAAAATGGACAATAGTCGGTTTTCGGTCAATTTTCAGCGAAACAGTTGTCAATTTTTTGCGTAGGTTTGCGAAAAAGGGGTCCAAAAACGGAGAAAGGCGTTTTTAATTTGTCTGCGCCCACTTTTACGGGCCCAAAGACGACGGCAAATTGGAAAATGGAGAGAAAGCAGAAAAAGACGAAGAAAGGCGGAACTATCTGAGGAAATTGAAGAAATTGGGAGGATTGGTGGCATCTAAAGGCGTGGGCGGTGTCTGGTGTTTGATTCGTGCGGGAAAAGTAAAGTTTGAGGGTACTTGGAGCGGGCAAAAGACGATTTGAGCGGTGCGGAATTGAACTTTCGCGAGGAAAAGATTGAAAAGGAACAGCGATAGCCGGTAGGCCACGCGCGCAGAGGCAACCGATGCCTTCCGGAGCAGTGATAAAAGTGCTGAAAAGGGCCAGGTCAGCTCGACATTGCCCGACGTTTTCAGATGGATTTTCAGAGAAGAATAGCTGAAATTGGATGGAGATGAATTCTTTATTTATTTTCACACACATTAGATTAGTCACATCCCAGATTGCGGTTCACGAACACGATGGACCAGCCGTCTCCTCTCTAAAACATGAAAAACGTTGAAAAAAACTCGCAAAAGTGTTGAAAAACTCACGTCAGTGGCGGTGAGTTTTGTGTCAAACTCCAATCTGGGTCCCAATTTGGTGCGGACGTCCACGTGGATGAGAAAGTCGCAATGCGCGGGCGACTTTTGCTCGTGCATACTCGTCACTTTGATTTTCGCGTCGAAATGGTTGAGAACAAACTGTTCGAGCCATTTTTTGAACATTTCTGACAATTAACAAGGTTCTTAGGCCCCCAACCCTAAAAACACCTACCGTAGTCCTGGAATTTCGGAGAATAGCACTCGGAGAAGAGGAGTTTGTTGTACAGGTACGTATCGTGGTCCTTATCCGCTTCCGGCGTTTTCGTGTTGATGAGAGCCGTCAGCAGATCCACGTAGTTCTTGGCGAACTCATCCGCAGAGACTTTGCGGGACGGGGCGCTGAAATATCTGGGGAACCAGGATCTGGGGTCCTGGTGCCCAGAGACGGGAACGAAGTACTGTCGGGGATTGATGGACTGGGTACTGGGCTCTGGATCCCCCGGACCAGCAAAGTACTTTGGCGCCTCGACATTCCACTGTAAATTGCAGTTTCAAACAAACAACGTTTGCAGAAAAGTGAACTGACAGTACTGAGGGCTGCGGTGAAAGGTGGAAAAGAGAGAGCGGCGAGGGCGAGCAGAATCGGCAGACGGCACATTTCCGAATGGATTTCCGAGCGGCGAACGGGCCGTTTTAAGCGGCGAACGCAAATCGAATCATCGTTAAAGTGGCCAAATTAAAGTAGAACACTTTGGAGATGGTCAGTGAGCACTCGAACTCTGTGAAACATTGATGGAGCATTGTCTGGGCACGATTGGAAGGAAGAGAGAGAGAGAGAGCTGACGCTTTAGGACCATGTCACGAGGCGGCAATAGCATCAATTAAGAGTATACACTGATATTCCAACTTTCCGTCCCGAATGACCCAAAACTGACAACTGAGTATACTTTTTTCGAAATAGCACTTTTCCGCATTCCGTTTCGTCGTAAAGGCATTCCCAGGAGCAACAGAGATTGTAAAATGTGCAGATACGGATGGGTATACTCGGGGACCGTTTACGACTGTCCCTTACGGTCCCCTTACGATCAAGTAGGAAAAGGGACGGAACCTGAGGGACCGGAGGAATACAGTCGCCACTTGATTCGTGCTCCTCGCAAGACATTTGAGACATTGAAGTCATTGATAAAGATTTGTAAGCATTATGCATTCTGTACTTCTCGTACATTCATGATTCTTCTAGTTTTGGAAGAGAACGCCCTTTTTAGAAGGAATTAGGTTTATTAAGGATAATTAGTTGACATGAAAAGGTATTAACTGGCAATTTGACACGATATTAAACAGATTTAATGATAGTTTCTTCGTTGTCTCTTCCTCTCGGGCTCTCCGAATCGTTTGATGTCCTGGGCCTGTTGGATGCGGAAAAGACGCGACGATTCGAGCATGGAGAGGGTCTCGGACGGGCGGCCACCGGCAGGCACCACTTTCGGAGCAGCGCCCGGCAGGGCTCTCTTCCGGGCGGCCACGAACTGCTGCAGCTTCTCGTTCTCCGCTTCCGACGACAACTTCTTGGGCTTCTGGGCAACGGCGACTCGAGCAGGCGGATCCAACGACATCGCCGGGCACTTGGGCTTCCCGGACACGACGACGGGGGCGGTCCGTTTCGATCGGAGCATCATGTCGACGGAGGGTCTGAAAGAAGAGGAAGTTGATGAAGAGGAAGAGGAAGTGGAAGTGGAGGAGCAGGAGGGGGCTAGGGACGGATTATTCTCGGAGCAACTCGAAGGGACCTGTTTCGGAGCAACCACGGCGAGGGCTCTCTTCCGGGCGGCGAGGAACCGCTGCAGCTTCTCGTCCTCCTCGGATGTCTTCTTCTCGGCTGCTGCTGCGACTGTCGGCGCACTTGTTGAGGATGACGATGGAGTGGAGGATCTGCAAGAAGAAGAAGAGTTAGATGATGAAGAGGAGGGACACGAAGTCTTCTTTTCCGACGGTTGGAGCATTGTCTGGGGGGCACGATTGGAGGCCGAACTGCCGGTGATCTTCTGAATGCACTGTCCCAGCAGCTTGAGCGCGTCTTCCTGAACTTCGACGATTCCGATGAACCGCTTCGCCACGTCCTTAACACATTGTTTGTGAATTATGTCGACGGGCAAGTCCAACTTGATGAGCTCTTCGAAAGAGCGCTTTATGTCGAGACCCGCGCGGATGTTCTCTAGGAGCACAGCGGTCACACGGCACTTTTGCGAGTATCTCATCGTGTGATTTCTGCAAAAAGAAAGAACTAATTTGAAAATGAGAAGTAAAATGCAAACGGAAGAAGAAGTGAGAACGACACTTCACAATGAGGATTGTCTTCCCGACAAAAGAAAGGACTCAAAAATGAGTAGGAAATGAAACGGAGCAAGAAAAGAAAGGAAACGGAGCAAGAAAAGAAAGGAAACGGTCTTCCAGAGTCAAATGGGATGCAAAACGAGAGCAAAGAAAGTGTGCACCTCTCGCGAGGAGGACGCGTGCGCGAATGAATGACGGACTGGCCGGGTATACCTTAGGCCACGCCCCCTTTCCTCATCTACACCTAACATCTACAGGCCACGCCTCCTCGACCCCGCGCGCGTTTGCTTAGGTGTAGATGAGGAAAGGGGGCGTGGCCTAAGGTATACCCGGCCAGTCCGTCATTCATTCGCGCACGCGTCCTCCTCGCGAGAGGTGCACACTTTCTTGCTCTCGTTTGGACCGTTCCTCATTTTCAAACTCACGTTTCTTTATTTGTTTGTCCCCATTACTCTCGTTCTCATTTTTGAATTCTTTCTTTTCTCGAGAAGACAATACTCATTGTGAAGTGTCGTTCTCACTTCTTCTGTTCTTCTTTTACTTCCCATTTCGTTCAAATTAGTTCTTTTTTGCAGAAATCACACGATGAGATACTCGCAAAAGTGCCGTGTCACCGCTGTCCTCCTAGAGAACATCCGCGCGGGTCTCGACATAAAGCGCTCTTTCGAAGAGCTCATCAAGTTGGACTTGCCCGTCGACATAATTCACAAACAATCTGTTAAGGACGTGGCGAAGCGGTTCATCGGAATCGTCGAAGTTCAGGAAGACGCGCTCAAGCTGCTGGGACAGTGCATTCAGAAGATCACCGCCAGTTCGGCCTCCAATCGTGCCCCCCAGACAATGCTCCAACCGTCCGAAAAGAAGACTTCGTGTCCCTCCTCTTCATCATCTAACTCTTCTTCTTCTTGCAGATCCTCCACTCCATCGTCATCCTCAACAAGTGCGCCGACAGTCGCAGCAGCAGCCGAGAAGAAGACATCCGAGGAGGACGAGAAGCTGCAGCGGTTCCTCGCCGCCCGGAAGAGAGCCCTCGCCGTGGTTGCTCCGAAACAGGTCCCTTCGAGTTGCTCCGAGAATAATCCGTCCCTAGCCCCCTCCTGCTCCTCCACTTCCACTTCCTCTTCCTCTTCCTCTTCATCAACTTCCTCTTCTTTCAGACCCTCCGTCGACATGATGCTCCGATCGAAACGGACCGCCCCCGTCGTCGTGTCCGGGAAGCCCAAGTGCCCGGCGATGTCGTTGGATCCGCCTGCTCGAGTCGCCGTTGCCCAGAAGCCCAAGAAGTTGTCGTCGGAAGCGGAGAACGAGAAGCTGCAGCAGTTCGTGGCCGCCCGGAAGAGAGCCCTGCCGGGCGCTGCTCCGAAAGTGGTGCCTGCCGGTGGCCGCCCGTCCGAGACCCTCTCCATGCTCGAATCGTCGCGTCTTTTCCGCATCCAACAGGCCCAGGACATCAAACGATTCGGAGAGCCCGAGAGGAAGAGACAACGAAGAAACTATCATTAATTCTGTTTAATATCATATGAAATTGCCGATTAATACCTTTTCATGTCAACTAATTATCCTTAATAAACCTAATTCCTTATAAAATGTGTCCTCTCTTCCAAAACTAGAAGAATCATGAATGTACGAGAAGTATAGAATGCATAATGCTTGAAAATGTTTATCAATGACCTGAGAGTTAGGTGCATCCAATATCTCGATTAATGAACAGAATCTTCCATCCGCTCTCTTCCAAAGTGGCACTGTACTTGATATCAAACTCCATCCTCGGTCCCATTCTCGTCTTCACGTCAATGTGCAACTGGAATTCGGCACTCGACGCGTCTCCTCTCGCACTGCTGATCGTGATTTTGGGTTTCGAGTGGAAGAGCACAAACTGTTCAAGCCATTTGCGGAACATTTCTGCAAAACGAGAGAAACTATTGAATCCCTGTCTTCATCCTACTATAGTTCTCAGCGGTCTGCGCATAGCACTCGAAGAACAAGAGCTCGACGTCCAAGTACGGGTTGTGCGCCTGGTACGCTTCGGGTGTCTTCTTGTTGATCAGATCGGTGAACAGTTGCGCGTAGAGCTTCGCGAACTCTTCGGCGCTCAATTTGGCCGCCGGTTCGTTGAAGAGTCTCGGGCGGTAGGTGGTGCCGTGTTTCGGGTGCTCGCCAACATCGATCAGACCCTGGGTGCTGGGCTCTGGATGTCCGGGAATCGGAGCAAAGTACTTTCGCGGATTGACAGTGGATCGTCTTCTCTGGCCCCAGGGCCGCGTTGCGCCAAAGTACATTCCTTGGGCGCTCGGTTCCGAATCTCCAGACGCCGGAGCATGGTACTTTATCGTTTTGCCCGTTCTACTACGTATCCACGACTGAGTACTGGGCTCTGGATCCCCTGGACCAGCAAAGTACTTTGGCGCCTCGACATTCCACTGTAACAACCAGTTTCAAACAAAAAACCTCTGCAGAAAAGTGAACTCACAGTACTGAGGGCTGCGGTCAAAGATGGAAAAGAGAGAGCGGCGAGGGCGAGCAGAATCGGCAGACGGCACATTTCCGAATGGATTTCCGAGCGGCGAACGGGCCGTTTTAAGCGGCGAACGCAAATCGAATCATCGTTAAAGTGGCCAAAGTTTTATGATATTGTCGGATTTAATTTGAGGGAGCATGGGAATGAATATGATCCTCCACATCATTCTAGAACGATTAGGAAATGTGTCGTTTCGCAGTTTTTTTGGCTCTAGCGGCTCTCACTTTTCCAGCTTTGAGTGCTGTGAGTTTTTAGGGTTGTAACTTGAGAATGAAGGCTTTTTGAACAAAATGATCAATTACAAAGTAAAAGAACACAAAATTTGCTACGACTTTTTAGTTGTCAACTTTTTGGAATAATCATTGGTTCTCGAGATATAGCGATTTGGAATCGCTATCTTTCACATTTTGTGAATGCTGTCTAGAAATAAGCTCACAACTCAAAATTGAAACACGTTTAAATTTAACAGTCAATTACAAAGTTGTAGAGCACAAAATTTGCAACAACTTTCAAGTTGCAAACTTTTTGAAACAAACAATAGTTGCAGAGATATAAGTCTTTAAAGCTAAGACAAGTATTACAGGCTCTTACCGACGCTTCCTTCAACCAGGCGATCCGCAATCACACCGTCAACGAGTTCGTCAAGATCTATGCGCAACTTTTGACGACTCTCATCAACTCGAAGACCCCCAAAGCCTACCAGGACCACAATGTCTACCTGGACCTCCATCTCCGGTTCTCCGAGTGCTACTCTCCGCAATTCCTCAACTACGGTAACTTTGAGGGACATATATCTTGACGATTAGACTATTTCCAGGAATGTTCCGCAAATGGCTCGATCAGTTGGTCCTCTACCACTCGGACCCCGTGATCAGTGTGTCGAGTATGCGGAAACAAGACAATTCTGTCGTTTTTGTGCTCCATATCGATGTCCGTCCTCGTCTCGGGCACAGAAAACAGTTCGACCTCAAAATTACCGCCTCTAATGTGAGTTTGGCCTAAAAATTTGAAGAATTTAAATGTATAATGTTCAGAAACGGAACGGATGGTCGATTTTGTTCATCAACCGCAACCTAGGATGCTCTAAAACATTGTTGTTGAGCGGTGAATAAAGAATAAAGAGTGCAAAAGAGGTTTGAAATGCAAAGGAATCGAACCGGAGCGGGAAAAGTTTGAAAGGCAAAAGTGTTATCCACTAGGACATACCCGATACTGGGGTTATCACCCTCTAGGGCAATGATAAGACAGCTCAGCGTGCAGCTATCCGAAGCTCTAATTTTGATAATTTTTGACTTATTTCCATCAAAAACACGTTTGAAAGCGCCCAGAATGTTCTGGAAATCATCCTATGCCTCAATTGTTCGCCCGCCTCATCACCGCGATTTTTGATAGATTGACCATAAAAATGCATCAAAACCTCTGACGATATGTACCAGAGTTGAGCGGAATTCCGTCTGCCGTCTTCCGGAATTTTTTCTTCTTACCGTAAAAAAGTAATAGCTTTTCAGAAGCCATTTACTAGCCCCGAAGAACACGAATTTCCACGGGCAGTGACCCAAATCCAAAATTTTTGTTGCTTTAGTTATTAAAAAAAAACCGGAAAAAAAGGTTCTGCATTGACGATTTTTTTGTTCCTTCTTCCGTCTGCCGTCTTCCGTGAGAAAAATTTTTTTCCGTCTTCCGTTTTCCGTAAAAAAATTTTTCTTCCGTCTTCCGAATTTCGAAATTCCATTTCCGCTCAACTCTGGTATGTACTGAAGGCGCAGCACCACCAAAGCTGATGAAATTTTGTTCGTATTGATACCGAAATCTCGGTTGCAAATGCTCAATGGATACAACAACCTTTTTGACACTGCGCCTTTAAGTACGGTACTGTTCTGTTCCAACCGATTGATAGGGTGTGTCCCGATAAATAATTGTACGTGTGTGTGTGTGTCATTGGAACGGAACGGAGAAAAAAAGCGAATAACAAAAAGTGCATCAAAGTGGTTGTTCCGCCAGAATGTTTACGGCTTTCCATCATTTTCGTTCTCACAAACTGTGCTGGAGTGTACGAGAATGGCGTCAAGACTTGGGAGTCGGAAGACGAAATGCTGGCGAAGAACAGTTTATCGGAAGTCGGAAGTCGGGAGTCGGAAGTCGGAAGTCGGAAGTCGGAATTCCGCAAAAAACTGATGGGTCCCTCTCTCCCCTGCCCCCTCCCCCGATGAAATCCTTGTTCCCTCTACGTCACTGCACATTGTGCTCTCGCCCGTTCATCCATCCAATGCACACAAACAAATGTGATTTTCAAAGAGCGCGCTCCCTTTTTCTCTCTCTCTTTCTCTCGCCGAATGTTCTCGAAGTGGTCTTTCCGTGATGCTTTCGGCTTGCTGTAAACAACCATCAAAAGTCGGCTGACACGTGGATTGCACATGAAAAACTGATATGATAAGACGTCAAAAACCGACCCCCGCGACAACCCCAACAAAAGTCGGTCTATTTATAGAATGTGTATTAGGCCAAGAAGACGTGAGACATGACTTTCAAAAGTTGTTGGTTGTTGCGATGCAAAACACGTTTCTTGGTGGATCCCGGATCAAAAACCATTCGTTCCGAGACACTACAACATAGACAAGTTGATAATAGTAATAGCGATATCAGTTGTAGACCACAGAAGGTGCATCGCCGACGTCACATTAAACACAGAGCAAAATAGAGTTGCCCCGAACCAGGATCGAACTGGTGACCTTTAGATCTTCAGTCTAACGCTCTCCCAACTGAGCTATCGAGGCCGACAGCTCCAGCGCCACTCTTTGCGCCTATAAAGAGGCTGCTTTGACCATTCTTGGGACGCCACCAGCCTACCACCGTACCCCACTACACCCACACAGAACGTCACTGATCTCTCCCGGGACGCTGACCACCTGTTGAGTGAGGAGCGAGAAAGAGAGAGAGAGATGTGTTCTTTGAAAATCACTTTCGTCTTTTTTCTCCTTTGAACCCGCTGAGCGCGTATTGTGATCCAATGCGATCAGCGAAGAGATGTGTCACAACAGAGAGCGATGACTTCCGGCGGCGGCGGCGGCGGCGGCGAAGACGTGGTTGCTGATGGGCGGCGCTTCACACGCCGAATAAAAACCCGTCGCGACGCGCCTCCTCGAATCTGTTTATCATCGTCTTCTCCCTTTTCGTGTACGAGAAAAGTTCTCGAAGCTTCTCGTTCTGGCGTTCTTTGAAAAGAGCGCTGGTTTGTTGACTTTGCCTCGCTTCGCACTTTTTGTTTTCCACACTTCTCTTTCTGCAAAGTGGTATATTCCGCCCCCCGCGTGACTGAACCGACTCCGCCCTCCTCTTCTTTTTTGTTGCTGCAACCACAACAACAACATGCGAACGTTTAAAAAGCGAGGCAAGTGCACACTGTTGCAAACTCCGAATTGGAGGCATTCGGGTTCGCAACGTTTACACGTCACGCGGTCAAGACACCCTTTTTTGCCGCCCCGCCCCGCCCCGTCCCGTATCTTATCGTTCTCTCGTGTTTGCCCACAGGACCAACACGCATTGTTTCAGTTCAACCATTCCCACGCAGCCGGCAGTCGTCACGATGGTCATCTCGATGCCGACAATCCCTTCGGTCGCACCGATCAACTGCGAGCTCTCGCTAGACTCTGGCCGATGCATCAAGTACGTGGCGACTCGCAACGCGAACCCGAAAAGCCACGTGGCCGACGAGCTGCCCGTCATCCGCAAGAACAGCCATCAGGATCACCACGACGACTGGGAGAGCGTCAACAACCTGTGCCACATCATCGACAGCATCGTCACCGTCGAGATGGAGACCGACTTTTTCGACGGCAAGGCGGTGCTCGAGATCGGATTCGTCACCGGCCTTCCGTCGGTGTACGCGTTCGAGAACGGCGCCGACGAGATTGCGATGCACACGGCCGACAAGGCGAGTCTGGAGCTGTACTGTCGGGCGACACTCAAACGGAACAGTATTCCACTCAACAAGACCAAACTCTCGTTCGGAACCATCGAGGATCTTCGAAAGTTCCTGGGCGGCCGTAAATACGACATCATTCTGGCTCCAGATCTGCTGAATCGTCAGGAATCCGAGTTTGAGATGGTCCACGAGCTCATTCATGAGGCGCTCAGCTACGATGGCATTTGGTGAGTTGCAAAAAAAAAATTGCCCCGAACCAGGATCGAACTGGTGACCTTTAGATCTTCAGTCTAACGCTCTCCCAACTGAGCTATCGAGGCGGCTGTCCCCGGCGCCGCTCTTTGCGCCTATAAACTCGGTCGTTTTGCAGTCTCTTCTCGTGCCGCACTCACTACGCCAACGTGGACGGGTCGCTCAACGCATTCTTGCAACTGGCCAAAAGACGTCGCGAATTCGACGCAATCGAGCGATGGTCGTCGCCGCGAACCGATATCATCCAACAAAAGGTTTGTGCCCTGCCACATCACATCGACAATATCAAATCTATCGCCGTTTTTGCAGGTCTTCCAACTCACTCGCTCACTTTTCTGATCACCTCATCTCGCGGCAATTTTGATAATATTTAATCTAACTGTACATCAGTCGAACCGTGTACCCAATTGGTACTGACTATTTTTGAATTCTCCCCACTCGCGCTACGGTTATTGTCCTTCCACTCAAGTTTTACTTTAGCTTCTCGAACAACCACTCAAAACAAATGAATGCCTAATAAATATTGTTTCTTTTACGAATTCTGATTATTGACGTTTTACAACTGGTTCATTTTCGACAAAAAAGCAGAAAACGAAAAACAGAACCGTTTGGATACGGTTTTTAAAGGCGCAGCACAGAGTTTGAGAAACTTTTGCTGGATTTTGTGTGCTGCGCCTTTAATACCGTACCGCCAACGCTTTTGCGGCATTTTCGACGGTTGCGAAAAATAGTTAACAATAATGCATTTATTCAATCCCCAGGCATTGTTCAATTCAAAAGTTTAGTGATTAACAGGCACACACACGCACAATTGGACACACTTTTTTTTGGGGTTTAACGATAGACCAACTGCAACTCGGGCTCTCCGGCGATGCGAATGAACTCGGCTCCTTCGGCTCCACCACTGGTCCCGCCAGCTCGTCCGAAGCGTAGAAAGTCCTGAAAACCCGATAAAAAGTCGTTGAAAAGCAGTGAGAACGGCTCACATTTGTTCTAGGCGGCGCGATTTGGGTCAAATGGGACTGGCGTTTCGTACTCGTACTCGTACTCGGACTCGGCGACGAAAATGAGAATGCGTGGGCGGTGGGTGTCTCGTGCACACAGATTTTGTCGATGACGCACTGACGACCGGCGGTGAACAGGCACGGAACGAAGATGTCCACTTCGCGGCACGTTGGGGCCGCTTTCTGATGGACGTTTTGCAACTAGAGGGGGGACGTTTTGCAACCAACCAACAAACTATTTTGTCTAGCTACAATCCATCTCCAAAACTAGGTCTGACCCCAACATCCTCGCCCGCGCACTCAATTCTAGATGAGACACAGTGACCGACTGATTTATCAATGTGAAATCATCAAATCTCAAGCCGAAAATAGATGAAATACGGCTAAATGCGGCCTTCCGGTCTTTTCTTATCACTAATTCACTCACTTTTCATTTCAAAATGCGAGATTTCTGGGGGGTTTTGGAGGCAATACTGCCGTGCTCTTTAATTTGCGCTGTATCTCAGCTGCCAATAAAGATAACGGCAAGTTGTAAACTGATAAAATGTACTAGATTTTATGCTGAACATTTTACTAGTTGACAACTTTTTGATAGCTCCATCCATAACTGCGATACATCAATTTGGAGCGACAACACTAGGGTTCGTCTTCAATTCCAGTTTTAACGATATTATCGAATTCTTACCTGTTGTCCTGGCACCCGCTCGTAGGGCACAGCCCTACCGGACCGGAATAGGGCTCCGCGCACTGCAGCGGACTCCCGGAGCACCAAGAAAAGCAGCAGAAGGACCGAGAGCTTGAGCATCATCGACTTCATCAGAGAATAGAATGAGTTCCCGAGGGTTTTGGGGCACTTTTATACCGTTTTTGAGCTCGTTTTGTGTCAATCTTTCAATCTTTTAATTAAAATTCCTTAATTTCGACCCTTAAAACCTATAAATCCATCGAAAACCTCGTCCACTTCCACATTTCCGGCGGTTAACCACATGACGCCACTTCCCGTTTGCCCTCGCTCTCGCACTCTCCCCACCGCGCGTGTCTACCCCCTCACCTCCCCGATTTCCCAGCGGCCGGATGGTCTAGGGGTATGATTCTCGCTTCGGGTGCGAGAGGTCCCGGGTTCGACTCCCGGTTCGGCCCAAACCATTTTGCAAAAGCTCTCTCTCTCTCTCTCTCTCATTTTGCGCGTGATGTCCGGGTTTTAAATGAAACTTGAGGTGTTTTGGGAAGTATTCCCAAGTTTTTCGCTCGAATCAAGAAGAATTTGATCAAGAATGTAAGTATTTCTTGAGAACTGGGTCTTTATTGCGTTTTGAAGAATGGATAATACTCCGTCCCCAGTGCCGGCCTCCGATTCGCCGAGTCGCACGTTCAAAGTGACCGTTTCGAGTGTGATGCAAGGCGTCAAACAGGTGGCCTAGGAAAAGTTAGGCCACAAAAACAAAAGTTCGCTTCAGATCATCATCGAAGTCAAGGAGAATGATACGGTGTTGGCGCTGAAAAATCAAATCGAACGGGAAGTGGACGTGTTGGCCGAGCGCCAGATATTGTTGTTCCAGGGAAAAGAGCTGAAGGACAACAACCGTCCGATCGCCGGATACGGTATCAAGGACGAGTGTACGGTGACGATGAACATCAAAATGAGCACCGGACTGTTCAGGTAAGCTCCTGTTTATTCAAAACAATATATCTCAGTTGTTTGTAGAGATATCAAAAAGTTGTCAACTGATGAAATGTGCAAAATTTGCCAGTGAACAATTTGTCCGTTGACAACTTTTTACTATCTCTTCATCCAGCTGAGATATATAGTTTTGAATGAACAGCACTCGAGTGCCCCTTCTATTTCAGTATTTACGGTCAAGAATTCCACCAACTTACAGTAACCCGACAGCGACCGAGATGGTCCTCTTGACTCCGCCAATTTTCCCGGCCAATCCGGATCAGTTGCGAAAACAGATCAAGGGCATGAATACGGTGCATCGGAAGCCGAAAAAAATGAGCGGTGTGGATGAGACGGCGAAAATTTGGACGCCCGAGAAGCAGATGGAGCACGAGTTGACGAGAAACCGAATGAAGACGTTGTTGCGGAGGAAAAGGACCACGATTCTATCGGAGACGCCCGTCGAATCGGAGGCCAACTCCGTGCAGACGTAAGGGCAAAGTTCTAGAAATTGGTCAACTTCAACGAGTTACAGTACGCTTAGATTGTGTTCTATAGAAATATTGTCAATTAGAAAAATTAAGTAAACGTCTAGTACGTCAATTTTGTAGTTGACATCTTTTTTGTACAACCATCCCCAAGAGTACTGTAGCTCTTGGAAGTTTGCCACCTAGTTATAACTTCCAAGCGCTACAGTACTGTTAGGAGTGGTTTTACAAAAACGTTGTCAACTACAAAAATGACGTACCAGACATGCACTTTCTTTTTGTAGTTGATCACTTTTCTCTACGACCTCTCCTAACCGCTTTTTTTCCAGTTTCTCCCCAGTGGCGACTCCGCCCGGCGAGCTCGCCATCCGATCGAGCTCCGCGTCGAGCGTCGGCAATGTATCGCGTGCTCACTCGGACTCTGAAGAGAGTCCGGTGTCCGAGAAGGAGCTAAAGTTGTTTTTCGATCCGCCCGAGTCGATTGACGAGTACAAACGCTCGCGACGGAGCATGTTCCTGCCGCCGAGCACCGTGCAGGAGCTCGTCGAGTACGAGAAGAAGTTCGAGGAGGATCGGAAGAGCAAGTGCAACGTGGGTGACTCAAACTCGACTATAATAGACTTCTCCAACATGTTCCAAGCGAACCACACGGCATTTCTAGTCCGCCTCATTTGCAGACGTGCTTCAAAAAGTTGTCGGCGGCGCAGCAGACGATGCACTGCAAGTGTGGCCGCATTTTTTGCGATCGGCACCGTCGTCCGGCCGCGCACACGTGCGTCATCGACTACAAACAGGACGGACGTATCAAACTGAAAAAGCAGACGTCGAAAGTGGGCGACGGCGGCATTCGCAAGGCGAAATTCGAGTCGGAACGCGAGAAAACTCATCATCACAAAAAGTCGTGAAGTTTTGAATGAAGACGTTGAATTGCCGCTATGAGCATACCGGTTTATGTCATAAACATTAAAAACTCTTTAAAAATCAATAAATTTGACAAGAAAACGCCGCAAATCACATAATACTGAACAGAAGAACGAAAGAGACCAGATCAAACTTTAAGAACAATATAATTTCGATTCGGATTGTACACAATCCTAAACGGCGCTATCCGAGAATAGTCTTTCGAGTTGGCCGCCAAAATCCATAAATCGCACAACGATGTTCGGCCCGAATTCTTCGGATCCTCCTCGTCCCACATGCCGCGGTACACGCATTCGGGCCTGAAAAACGAAAAAGCATTTATCTCGATTCGGGGAATGAGATATTGTTGTGAAAATTGTTTTGCAAAATCTTGAGGTCTAGTACTATATTTTTGTAGTTGATCATTTTTTTATAGGACCAGTCCCTCGAGTTGTGTGGCGCTTGGAAGTTGGGACCAGGTTGGTGAGCACCTCGCCGACAGTTGTTTTCAAAGCGCTACAGTAGCCTTCGAAATGATGGTACAAAAAAGTTGTCAACTACAAAAATGTAGTGCATGTCTGGTACGTCATTTTTGTAGTTATCAACTTTTTTCTAAAACCACTCCCAGGACTACTGTACCCCTTTAAAGTAGAGACATGTTTTTAATGCACTGTAACTTCAAAGCGCTACAGTACTCGCAGAATTGATGCTAGCAAAATGTGATCAACTACAAAAATGCAGTACTATATGTCAAGTTTTCAAAAATCTTACCGTCTTTCATCATTCGAACAATTCATGAGTTGAAAAATGAAATAATTGACGCCCATTTCCTTCATAGTCTGGTGGACCTCTCCGATCGGTTTCTTGCTGAACATTGAGTACACTTTGAGTGTTCGTTCTCTGAAAATGTTCAAGTATACTGTAGATCAACTATGTTCTGATCTACCTACCGTATACCAACGTGCTCGTAGTGCGGATGGTTGACAATCGGCCGAAGTGTCGTCAATTTGACATTGGCCATGACCGGCATCGTTCCGGCGAATACTGCGTCTACAAAATGGTACTGTAGGATTACTGTAGACCCCAAATGACTACTGTACCTTTCCTAGTATTGTGCTCGATCCAATCGAACAACATTTCCTGATCCGGGTTACTGTACTCGCCCTTAACGCTCAATTGTTGTCGGATATTGGGAATTCCTGAAAACTGTGAGGTTTGCGATTACTGTAGGATTACTGTACCTTTGTAGAAGAGGATGGCAATTAGGCCGACTAAAAATGAGATTCTGGCCGTTTGGGAGACGCCCAGAAATTTGGAATTGGCGAGAAGAGCGGCGATTATGCAGAGATGGGGGGTCATGAAGAGTTTCAGACGCATTATGAGCACTGCCATCACTGTGGAGCACGCCAATTGCACAATATTGTAGAGGATCTGAAATTATGTCGAAATACAGTAATCCTGCCGGTTTATTTAGCCTACAATAGCGGTTAGAAGGCAAATAAACTTGAAATCAAAAAATGGGTAAAACACAGTTGTGCTATAGTTTCAAATTGGTTTTCTGTGAATTTTTGGGGCCTAGTACTTTGTTTTCGTTGTTGACAACTTTTTTATAAAACTACGCTTAAGGTTACTGTAGCTTCGCAAAGTTACGGTACTTTGAGAACATGTCGAACGTATCTCCACTTCCAGGAGCTACAGTAGTCCTGAGAGTAGGTTTCAAAAAAAGTTGTCAACTACAAAGTTGATGTACTAGACATGTACTACATTTTTGTAGTAGATCATTTTTTGATAAAACCACATCTAAGAGTACTGTAGCGCTTGGAAGTTAAGGTACTTTGCCAGCACACAAATGTGGCCCTCAACTTTCAAGACCTACAATACTCTTAGATTTGGCCGTAGAAAAAATCGGTCAACGACAAAAACCAAGTACAAGACGTCCCGATTTCAAAAAACATCTCCAAACCCTACAATATCCGTTCGTACCTCTCCGTTCTCGCCAACTTCACTTCTCCACACCAAATTCGTGTTTCGCAGGTAGTTGAACACAAAAATCGCGACGGAACCGAGTGCAAATGGAATCAGCATTGTGCCAAGCAATTTTTCGAGCGTCGCATATTGCAGAAAGTCAAATTCCGCCGAGCACGTGTACAGTCTCGTGTGAAAATTGGCAAAACTCGTAAACTTCGAGCGGAGAATGTCGAAAATGTGGGCCTAAAGAGTTTATCGATTCTTTTTTGGGTATTTTAGACGGTCCTTTACATCGTCCTCAATGCCCAGTCCCTTGGATAGTCCAACTTTTAGGCCCAAAGTGATTCCGCCGAAAATCAGAGCCAAAATAAGGACGTAGGCCGGTCGGAATCGGATTTGTTCCAAAAACGGTGAAATGTGAATGACGGCCTGAAAGTTTAGCGGTTTAGGATTACTGTAGCCGGGGGTACGGTACCGCCAGACCGATAATACTCGGAAAATAGAGAGCGGTGATCATCATTTCGTTGCCGAACAGCAAAATGAAGCTGGCGAAGAATGAGATGATGTGCGACACAATCACACTTTTCGCCGTGGAAATCGGCAGTAAATCGAGAGAGAAAACGATGAAAATCGAGCAAATTTGGGTGAAAAATGCGAATTGAGTGAATTGCCAGAAGAGTAGGGCCGGAATTGCGGCGGAAGTGAGGAGCAGCAGGACCGGCGGGCCGGATTTTCGGTTTCTGAACTTTAGAGGTATTATGGATCCATTGCGGACCGTTCTTACTTGATAATATAGGTCAGAATTGCGATGTGGCCAATGATGAATGGAAAGGCGAAACTTTCGCGGAGCGGTGGAGTCCACTGAACTCGCGTCGCCTCACCGTGATTGAACGCGAAGCAGAGGACAGCGAGAAGGCCGCCGAAGATGGAGTCACTGAAAAGAAAGTGATATATCTCGAGAACTAATTATTATTTCAAAAACTGTTCAACTAGAAAGTTGTTGCAAATTCCATGTTCTACAACTTTTCAGTTGAACACTTTCTTGCAAAACGGTCCGTTCTCAAGTTATACGCCCATTTTCAAACACTATACATACCTCACAAGTACTCCGAGGTAAAAGATCGAAGTGGCGACGGTGCCAGCGACCAGGAACACTCCGGTAATGTAGAAATAGTGTGGGTTCCCGATGCCCTCGCAGCTCTCCACCGGTTTCAGTTCGCCCCGATTCACTTGCCAACACAGTTCCACTTGCCAGTTGGCCGATTTGGCGAACGCGCGGAACGGACGGTAGAGGAACGCGAGGAGGACCTGAACAAAAAAAAACGGAGAAATGTTGTTTTGAGCAACGAGGGACCGGGGGATCATACTTCTGGATACAAGTTGAACCGGTTCAGCGTGTTGATTTCGTGGCCGTGCTCGGTGACCGTGTCGCGCGTGATTTGTTCGACGCCTTCCAGGAATGAGGGCGCCGTGATGATGGTCTTGTAGTACGAGTAGTAGAGTCCCTGCAAGTTTGAGCTTTGAACGCCTACACGTTTAGGCTTCGTTTCAGGCTGTTCAGGTCCGTCGTTCGATCTGCTCACCATCTCGGTCCGATAGGCCATTTCTCGCTCGAAATCGGCCAAATGCGAAAAGTGTTTGTCGTTCTCGAACAGCGTGTACACATGTCGATAATTGAGGAAACCGACGAGGATTCCTGCAAAACTCTCTTTCTTTCTTTCTTTCTCTCTCTCTCTCTCTTTCTCTCTCTCTCTCTCTCTCTCTCTCTCTCTCTTGCATTTTCAAAACACATCCAGTTTTCAACGACAACAGGGTGTCTCTGTAATTATCGACTTTGGGAGGCAAGGGGGGAGAGAGTGCGGATCCGCGCGGAGACGGAGACGTGGCAAACCGTGTCGGTGACGCAGGCAAAGGGAAGTTGCGTTGGCTGGCGATTCGGAGGAGGAGGAGGAGGAGGTCGTCTTCTTCCCGACAAATTTCGACAAACTTTTGTATAGTTTTGAACCACCTCCTCTTTTTTTGCGACTTTCTTTGCTCACTGATACAATAGTCGATTCAATTCGACTCAATGATGCTCGAAAAAGAGAGAGGAAAAAAACAGAGTAAATGTGCAAATAGTGTGTATGTGTAATTCAACCGTTCTCATGACATTTTGAATGGAAACCAGTTTCAACTTGACACTCATTTTCGTTCCTCTCCTCCCTCCCTCCCTCTCTCTCTTTTTTTCTCTTTTTCCGCACGTGTGTGTGTGTGCTCGCGGAGCTCCAGCTTATTTGCAATTTATAATGTGGTTTTCGAGCGCTTGATTGGCGGTTAATCTAATTTGCGAGCGAGTATTTTGTAGATTTTCGACTTTCCGGATAAAGGTCCACTTTCAAGCCACGTATCTTGGTTGGTTTTGAAGATTTTTGCAAACTTAAAAAATGAATTGAAAGATAATTTTGTGCTCTACAACTGTGTAGTTGATCATTTTTTACTAGCTTCCCGGTGAGCCATGATATTTCCACTTTTCCATCGGCCACTCGATTCAGCCCACAAGTTTCTACTTCTTGGGTTCAAATCGAAATATCAAGACGCACTGTCTATTTCATGGACTATCATGAATTACAAAGTTGTAGAGCACAAACTTATCTTCCAATTTCTTTTTTAACCTTGCAAAAATCTTAAAAATGGACCAAGTTACAGAGACTGAAAGTTAAAACATCTGCAACATTGATCAAAAATAGAAGAAACGAGAAGTTTCGATAATTTCCGATTCCAGTTCCACCTGTCTAACACCTCGTGATAATCATATCCTTTCCGAGATATTGTCCATAATCATTTCTTGTCACTAGAAAGAGAAAGAGAGAGAGAGAGAGAGATGACCGATAATAAATGGATGGATAATAGTGGATGGATGGATGGATGATACAAGCGTTCAATGTGTTATTGTTGGTGTCTGTGACTATTAGACACTATTTGTTACAAACATTTTCCTTCCCTCTTTCTCCTTCTTCCATTTTTGACCTACATATTCAAGGTCAAAGTTGGTGGTCCAGAAAACTCATCGGTCACCACCGATTTGCGTCGAAAAAAGAATGAAAAATGTGCGGCGAGCTCGTGATTTTGGTCATTTTTCATGTGCTTCCGGCCACACGCTCAATCAATCACATGAGCATGAGCACATGGAGCACGAGTCGCGGCTCCTCCCACGCATTTTGAACCAAAAAAAAAACGGTTTTTGATCATTTTTCTTATTCCAGATGAAATTCGCTCTGCTTCTCCTCTTCATGACGCGTTTCGTGAGCTCCGAGGAGGAGTCAAGTGGCGAGGAGCCGCCCGAAAAGCTCCCTGAGCCATCGGGTCCGGATGACGTACTTCTGATCATGGTGAGGCGGTGCCTATCGATTGGTGTCTAAAAATCCGAGTTTAGGGCGAAAACGCGACGTTTCTCAATGACAACGGGACGATTTACGAGTCGACGGAGCCGAAATACGCGTTCAGTCTGCTCGAGACGTACCTTCCGCTCTTCCTGTTCGTCCTGGATCTGCCCGCAAAGGATCGGGACACTCTGCGCGCGTACATGTCGGAGAAAACGTACGAGAAGTTAAAGTACGATATCGATTCGAGGGTGCGCGCGCGGAGGGACCACGAAGACGACAATATTCTCGGCAAGATCAACGAGTCACTGGTCGGATCCATTGAGACGGTCGAGCAGTTCGACGAGATTACGATACTTCTCGTGCACGGATATCATGTGAGTGATAAGGTGCCTTGGCGTCTCTTCCCAATTTCTCATTTTCAGAACGCCTCGGTCTACAACGCAATCCGTTCGGTCTACCTGAAACAATTGCGTCCGTTCCTCCCACTCATCGATCAAATGGCCATCATGCAGTACTTTGCGCAAAGGTGCCGTAATACCGGCCACGCGAAATTCCTTTTTTTTTGTCAATTTCAGAAAAGTGTCCGAGTACGAGCGCATGTCGATTTGGGCGCGAATCTGGGAGAATCTGAGTGTGTGGATGTACGGAAAGAAGCAGCTGAACGAGTGCTACGCGACGGAACCAAAGTGCGTCAGGCGTGCGTTGGAGGCGTTGAATTTCGAGCAGAGGATCAGTCTGGACGCGGCCGCCTACGAGAACAAGTTTGACAGCGTCGACGGGATTATTAGGGACAAGGTAGGAGAAAGTTGCGCAGAAGTTGCATGCATTAGTTGCTTAAAATTTTTACAAAAGTTGCATAAGTCTACAAATTTAGCTGGACGAGAACCAGAAAAGCAGTGAACTGGACGAATGGCTGCTCCGAAATCGACCGCCCGTCGCGTTGCAAGCGATTCTGGACGAGAGAAGTGACGTGGAGGAAGAGTAGGATTTGCAGAAAGTTACACAACTATTGTCCGTTTCCAGAGCGCTCCAACGGCTACGCGACAACGGAGTTTTGAGCTCGCTCAAGCACTACTACAAGGCGGTCATCGAGACGCGGAATCATGAGGAACAGGAGGTGCGTTGGCAGTCAAAGAAGGCTGCGTCGAAGCAAATATATGCGTTGCAGGAAATTCGAAGCTATTTCGACGCGATGAACGACACATTCGCCCGGTGTTTCGACCCACTTCGCGGACAATATCACGATTTTTAGGCCCTCCCCCCCCCCTCTCCTCATTGTTTTTCTCTGAAAATCTTGCCACTTTTCCTGTGTGATACGTGTACTTCGGTTTGAATAAAAATGCTGAAAACTGACCGATTAACACAACCGATATTGTCCATGCATTCGAGGAAATCGACGACGTGGATGAGGACTTTCCAGGTTTTTTTGCCATTTTTCCGCCTGAAAATCAAGAAAATAAGGGGGAAACGAGGGGGAAAGCAAAAGAAAGAGCTTTTGATTAATTTGTGGACGCAAATGGGGGCACAGAAGGAAAAGATCGAAAATCAGAGAAAAAAAGGGGGAGGGGGGGGAGCTCTCACGACAGCAGCCACCAAATGGACGTTGCTCTCACGACAGCAGCTACCAAATGGGAGCTGCTCTCACGACAGCAGCTACCAAATGGGAGCTGCTCTCACGACAGCAGCTACCAAATGGACGCTACTCTCACGACAGCAGATACCAAATGGACGCTACTCTCACGACAGCAGATACCAAATGGGCGCTGCTCTCACGACAGCAGCTACCAAATGGGCGCTGTTCTCACGACAGCAGATACCAAATGGGCGCTGCTCTCACGACAGCAGCTATCAAATGGGCGCTGCTCTCACGATAGCAGCTACCAAATGTACGCTGCTCTCACGATAGCAGCTACCAAATGTACGCTGCTCTCACGACAGCAGCTACCAAATGGGAGCTGCTCTCACGACAGCAGCTACCAAATGGACGCTACTCTCACGACAGCAGATACCAAATGGGAGCTGCTCCCACGACAGCAGCTACCAGATGGGAGCTGCTCTCACGACAGCAGCTACCAAATGGACGCTACTCTCACGACAGCAGATACCAAATGGGCGCTGTTCTCACGACAGCAGCTACCAAATGGGAGCTGCTCTCACGACAGCAGCTACCAAATGGACGCTACTCTCACGACAGTAGATACCAAATGAGCGCTGCTCTCACGACAGCAGCTACCAAATGGACGCTACTCTCACGACAGTAGATACCAAATGGGCGCTGCTCTCACGATAGCAGCTACCAAATGGGCGCTGTTCTCACGACAGCAGCTACCAAATGGGCGCTGTTCTCACGACAGCAGCTACCAAATGGGAGCTGCTCTCACGACAGCAGCTACCAAATGGGCGCTGTTCTCACGACAGCAGCTACCAAATGGGAGCTGCTCTCACGACAGCAGCTACCAAATGGGAGCTGCTCTCACGACAGCAGCTACCAAATGGACGCTACTCTCACGACAGTAGATACCAAATGAGCGCTGCTCTCACGACAGCAGCTACCAAATGGACGCTACTCTCACGACAGTAGATACCAAATGGGCGCTGCTCTCACGATAGCAGCTACCAAATGGACGCTACTCTCACGACAGTAGATACCAAATGGGCGCTGCTCTCACGACAGCAGCTACCAAATGGGCGCTGTTCTCACGACAGCAGCTACCAAATGGGAGCTGCTCTCACGACAGCAGCTACCAAATGGACGCTACTCTCACGACAGTAGATACCAAATGAGCGCTGCTCTCACGACAGCAGCTACCAAATGGGCGCTGTTCTCACGACAGCAGCTACCAAATGGGAGCTGCTCTCACGACAGCAGCTACCAAATGGACGCTACTCTCACGACAGTAGATACCAAATGAGCGCTGCTCTCACGACAGCAGCTACCAAATGGACGCTACTCTCACGACAGTAGATACCAAATGGGCGCTGCTCTCACGATAGCAGCTACCAAATGGACGCTACTCTCACGACAGTAGATACCAAATGGGCGCTGCTCTCACGACAGCAGCTACCAAATGGGCGCTGTTCTCACGACAGCAGCTACCAAATGGGCGCTGCTCTCACGACAGCAGCTACCAAATGGACGCTACTCTCACGACAGTAGATACCAAATGAGCGCTGCTCTCACGACAGCAGCTACCAAATGGACGCTACTCTCACGACAGTAGATACCAAATGGGCGCTGCTCTCACGATAGCAGCTACCAAATGGACGCTACTCTCACGACAGTAGATACCAAATGGGCGCTGCTCTCACGACAGCAGCTACCAAATGGGCGCTGTTCTCACGACAGCAGCTACCAAATGGGCGCTGCTCTCACGACAGCAGCTATCAAATGTGCGCTGCTCTCACGACAGCAGCTACCAAATGGGAGCTGCTCTCTCGACTAAGGTGGGGCAAAAACGCGGATACCTTCTACTAAAGTGGATTGGAAAGTGAGGGAAACTATAGAATTCAGTTGACGATAACTGTATCCATAATTATAGAATAAAATTTATATACTTTTTCGCTAAATTCCAGGACTAAACCTTTATGGCAATGAATTCAAAGAGATACTCATGAAAAATGGAGGTACGCACTTTAGTTGACAAGTTTGAATTATTTACATTCTGGTGGGTCTCACCACGATTAAATGTTTCATACTTTCACAAAGTGCTCTACAATTCCTGTCGAACACAGCGAAATTTTCTATTATTTTTGAAACATCATAACTTATTTCAAAAAAATGCTCCAATGTCCAGCTTGAAAATTGTCAAGGAATCTAGCATTTTCAGCTGGAAGGGGGGAGGTGCAGAAAAAGACGAGAAAAATAGGTTTTGTTGGCGGACAAGTCAATTTGCATGATAAAAACACGGCTCAATAGCCATAGAAAACTCGATTTTTGGGCGGAAAAATGGCCAAAATCAAACAAAGTCTGAACAAATATATTTGGTTTTTTTGCAAAAACTCTTTTTTGCAACAAATATTTGAAAGATAAGACAAAAGGGAAAAGCCTAAAATAAAATAAAATGAATTGTGACTATTGTCGTTTTCGACGAAATGCATTGGTGGGCCAATCCAATCCATTTGACAGGCGGGAGGGGCGAGGAAGTGTGTGGACGGCGGAGACGCAGACGTGTAGGCAGTAATACACACGGCAGATCTTCCCGTGTGTGAGGAGTACACCGTTTTGACCTCGATTACTCCCTAGAATCAGGTGGATGAGCGGGTTTTGAGAGGAGTTTTTAGAAGATTACCTTAAAAAAGAGTACCGTCTAATCAAAACGCTTGTATCTCATCTGCCATTTGAGATATTAAAAAGTTGCCAACTACAAAAGTATTCACTAGAAAATTTTGTAAATTTTTGTAGTTGACAACTTTTTGATATCTCTTTAGACAACTGAGATATAGCAGTTTGAATGAAGTAGTCGGGGTACTATGACTCATTTATTGACAAGTTGTGAGTTCAAGTGGGGAACGGAACGTGTTCGAAAATGTGGATACTTTGCAACTAAAAATCAACAAAAATGTCCACTCGAATCAATTTGGTAACTATTGTAGCAGTTGCAGCTAAGGAGCACACTATCTTTGAGAAGTTGGCGCTGAAACTTTAGCTTTCAGGTGATCCTAACTTCCAAGATCTACAGTACTACAGGGAGAGGTTGTACAAAAAAGTGATCAACTACAAAAATGCTCTACTAGATGTCAATACTCTGCTCAAAATTTTTCAGATCGAAAGCGCATCCCCAAACGCTACACGTCGAAACTAATATCAGAAAAACATTTATTGTCGAGGCAAAATCGGTGAGATTGCCGATCAGAGAGCGATCGAAGTGCCGCCGCCAGTGGAGGTCGACGTGCCGGTCGAGGTGTCGTCAGCTGGAAGAAGAAAAAGTTAGGCCACGGCGTGGAAGTCCCCCGCCCCGAAAACTCACATTTCTTCGAGGTGCTGCCGCTTTTCTTGCCCTTCTTTCCGCCCTTCTTTCCCTTCTTCACCTTCACTTTGCGCACTTTCGGGATGTGGCGGGCGCGCGCCTTCACGAGGCACTTGACGATGCAGACGTGCGCGATGAGCATCACGATTCCGAAGAGGGCGCCGACGATCATTCCGGCCACCATCGCCATCGGAATCGACTCGCCGACGACGGTGCCCGATTGGTAGTCGGGATGGTCTACGGCGGGAGCGTGCGCCGGCGCCACGGTCGTGACCGAACTGTTTGTTGCGTTGGGCATCTGGAAGAGCGAAAGTTAGGCCATCGCCGTTGAGAGCGGGAACTCACTTTCGTTGAAGTTCACAATACAAAATGTCAAGCAGCGATTGTTCCGGAGAAGACTATTTGACGTTTTCGTGGAAACGATTTAATGAACAACACGGGGGGCACGGGTCAAACGGACCGAAGTTTACGAAAAGTTCACGGAAATTATTGACTTTTCAAAAATTGCTCAAAATCAATCAGCGACTGCAAGAGGTTTGTTCGGCCTACTGTAATTTAAAGGCGCATAACGCTTGCCCGGTGAAATTTGTAATTTTAGATACATTTTCAACGGCGACAGCACTATTTTTTATTAAAATTACAATAAAAAATCGCATCAATCCAAATCGATATTCTCCCGGTTCGCCACTTTTCGGCTCTCCAAAAACGCGTGCACTCTGCCCATAATCGTCTCGATGACCGGCGCCAAACGCTGAATTTCTCGTTCGGCACGTCTCTGCAAAAACACCGGTTTACATTGGAATCGCGCTTCAACGCAGCAATTCTCAATAGGGCGCGCTTGCTCTCACCGATTCTCGCCAAATGCGAACTCGACGGTTCGGCACCATTTGTGTGCCCAAAAAAATGGTGAAATAGATGAGGGCACAGTAAAAGAGCACGCGCAGCATCGTCGGAAACTCGAGCCCATCCGGCGTTCCGTCGATTTGAGCAATTTGACGGAGACGGGCGGCTGCAAACAAAAAAATTGTTGCGCAAAAGGTTTTTTGCGAAGAAACGTACTTATTCCCTGTTCTGGCGGTTGTCGCGGTCGGCCCAAAATCATAATAGTTCCGTTGACACGTTTGTCATGCACACAAAACGTTTTCAGGCCGGAAATCTGAAAAATAGACGATTGGGCCGAGCTTTTTCTAGGCCACTACCTCACTGAACAGAGAGTAATAGTAGCGGTAGGCGCCGTTTCGATTCGTGTACCTCGTCACCAGACCGTTCTCGTCGGCGTGCTCGAAATCGTCGAAATGGAACGTTTCCGAGTGCTGAATTAGGCTAATTTTATCGCAAAGCTATATATTTAAAAAAAAAGAGTGAAAACGTACCGTCAACAAGTGAAAAACTTTGAAAAACATGTGCCCGTTCTCGAGATATCGCTGATAATTGATCCGATAAATCCATTGGCCTTTGTGATGGATCAGAATGTAATCGAAGCCGTCGCTGTCGGCGTACGAGTGAAAACTATCAAAGCTGAGATAGTTGGGCAGCGAAAATCGATTTTCTCTGCGGAAAATTTCGAAAATTGAACTCGATTTTATCCTACCGAATCTGGAGTTGTCGGTTGAGCGGATAGTGTCCAACAGTCACAATTTTATCGATAATCGACACGCAAACCGAAGCTCTCTGCAAGAAAAAATTCACAAAAATTCGCGCCGACGCCCGAGAACCTCACAGCCCTTCGCGCCACCGCTTCCGGTGTTGCGCTTGGCGCAGTGGTTGCATTTTGGCCCGCTGTTCTCGGGGTCGCGGGTTCGGAACCCACTGCCCGGAATTCTCATTTGCTTTCCTTATTCGACCTCACCTTCTCAATATTATAATGACACGTGTACGGTTCTGTCAGATTACGAGATCTCGTCAACATTCCAGCTCTTTTGATTGCAAAATCCTCTTTTCCACCGTTTGTCAAGTTCAAATAGTTGTCATAGAAGAGTCTGGAAGAAGAATTTTGTGGAATTACACTTAGAACACATTTGTCACAGACACATAATATCGAAAAGCTCGATCCGGGACTAAAAAGTGGAAAAGCTGTCGGTCCCAGTCCCGCGCGACCGTAATCCCGTCGACAAATGTGATATTGTCGGGACTGTTGAAACTTGGCGTCGGGGTTACGGTAGTCGATCCATTGGCCGCCGGATCCGGGGTACTTGTGAAAGTTTGAGAAACGGAAGCAGTTGTTACTTTTCTCGATAGGATCCGGGCATTCGGAAAGTTCAGCAAGTTTTGAATGGGCTGTGACGGATGGAAAAACGATTTGAAGTCGAATTTCGCGTCCGCACCGCTGATTTTCACCATTGAACCGTTCTTTTTGACGCCGATTACGTGGAAAATCTGGAAAAGTAGTTGAGTGAAAAGCTGAAAAACGCGCCTCCGCCCGCCACAATATCAACGCCCTGGACGCCACAGGAAACAGTTCTGCGCATAGCTCTGTGGTTACGTTTTGGCCTGTCACACATTTTGTCCGCGCAGGTTCGAGCCCCCGAGCCCCCAAATCATTTTTGCATTTCCTAACTGACCTCTACTTGCTCTAGCATCGCCTCGCTGATCCAACAATCGGCCGTATCCGGCGGAATCGACGCAAACGGGTCCGGAATCTGCGGGAACGGCGGGAGCCATGTGCTTGATGACGTGGAAGAAGTGTTGGAGGTCGAATTCCCATTACTCCGCGACGTGGCATTCGGAGTGGAGCCCGAAAAGTTTGCAGGTGACGTGGCAGAAGAATTTCTCGTTTGATCCTGATAATTACAAACATTTCGTAACAGAAACAACTATTTGCAAGCCTACTGGGACCGTAGTTGAGTTCAGAACGTTTGCAGATGACGTGGCAGTTGCCAGGATACTTTGTGACGTGGCATTCTGATGATTTTCGATTCGTAAGTTGATGCAATCGCGCTCTATTGCAAAAAAGCCTACTGTAAGCAAATCCGTGCTTTGCGCGCTGTCTCAGTGCAGAAAATTTTTGAAAAACGTAAAAACTCACCGGCGCTGATGACGTGGCATCTGTTGGAGCTTCTGATGACGTGGAATGTGATCCAGAAGTGGGACCCTGACGATATTCGGGTTACGTTTTTCTGAAAAAACTCAAAAACTCACTGCCGAGGACGTGGCTGAGCTCGGAATGTTTGTAGAACTTCCAGGGACCGTAGTCAAGTCCGTAGATGACGTGGCATCTCTAGTTGTGCTTTCTGGTGACGTGGAAGAGCTAGAAGTCGCCTGGCCGGCCGGTGTCGTGGCAAATTCAGATGAAGTAGTTGGATTCTGCACATTTTCGGTTTGTCTTTCAGAAAAAGTCTAAAACTCACTTCTGATGAGCTGAGATTGTTTGTGGATGATGACGTGGCATCTGATGACGTGGATTGTGTGGACGGAACAGTTTGAGGCGTGCTGGCTTCGGTTGTTGAACTCAGAATGCTCGTGGATGACGTGGATTGTGTGGTGCTGGTGGGATTCTGAAGGTTTTCGATCAATAATTGAAAAAACATTTCTAAAACTCACTGCTGCCACGTGTAATAGAGCTAAAATTGAAAGATTGACAATATTGGAGAGGCGCATCGTCGATTCTCGATTGTCAATCCGAACTTTTCCAACTTTGCGACGTTGAAACGGTCAACACGGCACCACGTGACCGCATTGCCACGTGGCATTCGGGGACTCTTCGGGGACCGTTCAAAATAGTTCAAAGTCAGTTCATCAAGCGAATGGCGTCGTCGGAGAAAACGAAGAAGAAGGCGGAGGAGGAGTCGTCTTCGCAGAGCGGCAGCCAGAAGGATCAGTTGGAGGGCGGGGCGAGCGGCGGAGTTCGCATTCGGAAGAGGAAGAGAAAGTCGCGGAAGACGAGGGAGCACCGGGTAAGGAAAGGGGAAAATTAGGTCGTGCCCCAACTTCCCAAACTTTTCCCTTTTCCAGTCCTCGAAATCGCAAAAGAAAGGCGACGTGGTGCCGGCGGACAAGAGTTCTTCAAAATCGGCGACGTCGAACAATTCGGAAAGTTCGCAGTCCGAGTGGCTCAACGACATTGCTCCCTCGGCGCCCGCACAGTCGCGCTGGTCGACGGTCCGCAAATTCCTGGCCGACTACAAGTATCCGATCGTCGGAACGGTCCTTCTCGCCGGCGTTCTCGTCTTTTTCACGGTCCGCAAGACTCGAACCGCGCGCGGCGGCACATGTCCGTTTACCGGAAAAAAGAGCGGATGAAAGGAGAATTATCGCATTTTTTGTTGTTTTAATTGGTCCCACCCAAACGTAATGAAGATTTGTTTTCGTTTTTTTTCTCTTGTCGGCCGGCGTGACCTTTTCCGCACAAATTTTCGGCTTTTTGAGCTCGGATTCAGTTCTCCGACAACGTTTTCAATGTTTCCGTTATGTCTGCCACCACTGATCCTTTTTTTCGCCGTCGCCACGACAATTATCGATTGTTTGGGCGTCAAAATGGAGAAAAACGGTCTTGTCGCGAAGTGTTCGGCTAAAATTGCGAAATTTTTGCAGAAAACACGAAAAAAGCACCAATTGATGATGAGACGGAGAAGGAGAAACAAGAGGATTTCGAGAAGGAGAACGAGAGGCTGAGCGCGCTGGCACTCGAGGCGCTTTACAGTGTTCCCAAAGTTTCGACGCAAGCGTATTTCGGAAAATTGCACGGCGATGCGAGAATAAATGTGAGCAGACGCGCGAAATTCGCAAGTTTTTGAGAAATGCTTTGGAAAATTTTTGAATTTTTTGCAGAAAACTGTGCAAGAAGAGGATAATGTCGACAAATTGATAGACGGATCCGACGGCATCCGCCCCGTGAACAATGATCCGGACACGGACACTCTGAAAAAAGTGGTTTCGATTCAACCGGAATCTCAATTGTTGGGCGTTTAGAAGGTACGCGGCAAGTGCACTTCATAGCACAAAACGCGGCCGCTGCTAGAGTTTATTTTGACAATAAATGTTAAGTATTTCACAGATTTTTTAAAATAATGAGATCAGAATCAGAGACTAGGTCTTCGTTACATGAAAAGTCGATAAAATGGTTAGAGTTAAAATCAATCAATAAAATGTATTAAAAGTTATCCTTGAGTTCGGGAATGTTTCGTTTGAGTGAAAGCACAATTTTTCCAGCCTCGCGGAGCCCGGAAAGGTAGGCTCCGGCCATCGTCTGCGGCTCGGCGGCAATCGTGTGCTCGCCCGCAAAGTACACCTTCTCGTCGACCGTCTCCTTCAGCTTGTTGTACGTGGCGTCGCCGGCGCTGCCGAACGGCACGAACGTGTACGACATGCCAATATGCGGGTCGCGGCCCCAATGCGAGACCATCTGACCGAGCGGACGGATCGTCTCGTCTGGGAACATTCGACGGAGAGTGCCCACAAACTGCTCGGCCACTTGTTCGTCGGAGAGCTCGTTGACGAGGTTCACGTGCTCCGCCGTCACGTACGACATCAGCACGAACGTGTCTTCGCCGTCGGCCGTCTGCAAACCCGGATTTTTTTCGCATATTTTCCAGCTAGACAAACCTTTCCAGAAAAGTCGTAAAAAATGTTGAAGAGACTGCGATCGCGGCTCGCGTCGGGCACCTTGCCAAAGTACTCGGTCTGTTTGTCGTCGACGTCGAGAAACGCCCAGAAGCGGCGGTCGAATTTGACGGCGATCTTTTCGATGAGTCCGGCGCCGAGCGCGTCGATCGCATTCCGTTTTTCGGCGGGCAATTCCGGTCGAAACAATTGCGGATTGCGTTTGAGTACCGAAAGTGAGCACGTCACGACGACTTTATCGAATTCTTCCACTTGTTCGCCGTTTTCAAACTCCAGCCGCACTTTTCGATCCGTCCAATCGATACGGGCGACGGGCGAGTTGAGGCGTATGTCCAAGTCACGCGCCAGGAAATCGACAACAGTCTGCGCGCCGTCCGTGATGACCGCGTGCTCGCCGGCAAAGTTGCCAAACTTCTCGTTGTGGTCGTACTCTTTGGCGGAGAGCGACGCCACGTGTGTGCCGCACGAGAACTCGAGGTTGCCGAGGTGGAAGTCCAGGAGGCGCTGGAACTGGCGAGTGTACAGCCGGTCGAGTTGCGTCGCCGACAGCAGGCCCGAGCTCATTTTTTTGAACATTTCTGCAAATTTTACACATTTTTCGCTGAATTCGAGTTGAAAATTAGGCAAATGCGCGATTTACAAACAAATTGTTTTTCCAGGACGATTACCTTCAAGAGAAACGTCAGGAAAGTTGCGATCGCTCTGATATTTGTTGCGAATCGCGTCGAGCACGTTGTTATAGTGCAAATCAACCTGATCGTCGAGCTCTTTCTGCTCTTGCGTCAGGCACCGGCCCCGCTCGTCGATCAACGGGCAGAAAAAGTGCGAATTGCGATAATTGATTCCAATTTGTTCGCAGAGCAGTGTGATCGGGTTGTTGATGTTGCCCACGATGATCTGAGCGCCTTTTCCGACCGCCACGCCCAGGTTGTTATCGTCCTAAATTTAAAACTTTCGAAAAACTCGCAAAATGTTTGGTTTTCTTACATTCATTCGACCTCCATGGCGGTCTTTTGCCTCAAAAATCACCGCATCGATGCCGAGATGCTTCAGATGACGGGCGGTGCTCAATCCCGAGATTCCGGCTCCGATTATCGCCACTTTCTGTAAACAAATTCAAATTATTACCGCGCTTTTTCTCAATGGAGCGCGTTTGCATTCTCCTCGTTTTTCAAACAGTTTCCCTTGTTTTTCCCGCATTTTTCGCAAATTTCCCAACATTTTCAATGGTTTTCAGGTGAACATGAGTCCGTGGGAGAGGCAGGTGTGCTTGGCGCCGAGTACCGATCGATTCGTGCCGAATGAATCGGAAAAATCGACAAGAAACGACACATGTACGACGTTTGGCCACAAAACTCGAATTTCACCCATATTTCGAGCATTTTTTCAGGCTATTGGTACTTTGTGAGCGATGCGATCAGCAGGGAGATATTGCGACAAAGCGACGTTCTCGGAAAGTTGTGCTTCGCCGCCGCGTTTCCGCACGGCCGCGCGCTCGTTCACCAGGCGTTCCGACTTTTTCCGCGTGGCGCCGCGTTCGTGGAAGAGCACGGAATTGTAGAATTGTGTCGGCGGCTGTTCATCGAACGCATCACGTTCCGAGTTCGTTGGTCCGAATCGCGAAAACAATTCATTGTACGAGAAACATGGGGAAATTTGCGTCTTTTGCCTTTCTCACTTTTCACGTTGCAGGTGTTCTCTCCGCGCTCGACGCGCGTGCTTCCGTCCGAACCGCCCGTGCTCCCGCTTCCGATTCCGCCGAAAGCGCTTCGTTATCTGCGTAAAAAGTCGGCGTTCGAGGCGTTGTTCAACACGAAAACAGCGGCCCACTTTATAATCGGAATGGGCAATTCGTGCGACTTCAGATTCCACCAAGACTAGGGAAAAACCCCTGTAAATTACTGTACGATTCACTTCCTTTTCTGTTCTTCTGTTACAATTTTTCGCTGTTTCGCGCCTTTTTAGGCCCATTTAGTGTGTTTTTCTAGCCCTACTCATGTCACATTCCCGTCTTCTCCGTTCTGCACTTGTATTATTATTGCTGTTGTCTTTTTTTTCTTGCTAATCGATTCCACTTTTGCGCTCTCACCGCATTCGTTCTGACGGGTTCGATGCGAAAATCGAACGCGCCATAATTGACGACTCCTTTGATCGTCAAAAACTCGAGAATCGGCTGAATGAGGTGTTCGATGAAGAAGATCCGTGCGTGGCCGCGCACGATTATTTGAGATTCCACCATTCGGACGGTTAGTTCCACCTGAAAATGAATTGGTGCGATAATAAAATCGTTTGAAAATTGCGTTTCGCCATCAAACAGAAACATTTTGTGAGAATGTTCATTTTTTTCAAAATGATGTTGAAAATGGCTTACAAACGGGTGCTTCAGCCACATGGCTATGATCGTGTTGCGCACTTGAAGATAGTAGATCGACCAGGGATCGTCGGCGAATTTGGGAAACGCGAATTTCTCGTCGGTCTCCATGAACTCGGGGTGTACAATGTTGGCGATGACGTCGGTGAACGGCACGTAGAACATGTTCATAATCTTGCGGGTGTCTCTGAACGCCACTCCGCCGTCCTCGATCAATTCGGCCTTCTCCTGACACGTGGCGTCCATTCCGGAAGTGCGCGTCACGTAGTGATCCACGAGCAGGTCGTAGCTCACGTTGTTCTGCAGAAGCGGCGGGTGGCCAAAGTCGTTGGCGTACCAGTTCGTGTTCCGACGCACTTTCTCGATGATCGCCTCCTCGTCGGTGCTCTCGCAGTTCTCGCAGCGGAAAGAGGCGAGCTGGCGGGCGGAGAGACTGTCGGCCGTCACTTCCGACGTGTACTTTCCGCATTCCGAACACTTTTTGTAGTAGGGCAGGAATTGACTCTGAAAATAACGAACATTTGTGCTGAAAACAGTGCGCTTTGTCGAAAGAAGTGATTTTCAAGAAAATAGTTTCATTTTGAAGAAAACAACGCTTTCTTTAATACGTCCCGACATTTTTTCTCCGGTTTTAAAAGTTTGGACAGTCACGGTCTCCAGAGCTGACAATATGGGCGTGGACTCGGCGGCCAAATGACGTTTTCATGAATTGAGAACGTTTTCTCTGATTTTTGTGGTCAAAGGCGATGAAAAATGATTGTTCGACATGAAAACACACTAATTCTCAGAATGAATGACGTTTTGGCGCATTTTTCGCGGACTTTGCATTTTCGTCTTCGCCGCCGATCGCCGCCTAAAAACCGCACTTCTCATTTTGCGCTTTCTTGACCGTTTTCCGACAGAATTGGTTTTGAGAATGATAAATCACGTAAATACAAGCATTTTGAGCGCTCGAACCGCGAAAATTACCGAAAAGCAACTGAAATTCACGCAGTTTTAGCGAAAAACCTTCAAACGGATAAATGTGATTTGCGACTTGACCAAATTTGACGCTTTTTCGCTTAAAAAATTCGTAATAGCCTATACAATCGGTCTATCGAGAGAGACAAATGAGAAATTATCGGTTTTTCGTGGCTAATCTGGCAAAAAACACAAATTTTGCTGTTAAAATTTGAATTTCGCGCCAATGTATCGCTCTATTGGGCGGGCGCACTTGCGCCCATTGTCAGCTCTGGAGACCGTGTCCACAGTTTAAAACCGAACATTTTCAGAATCGACTCACATTCACAAATCGTTTGACGAACTGTTCGGATCGGATGTGCGTCTGTCCGTCCATCGCCTTCTTCTTCCAAATCAGAAAGCCGTTCTCGTAGTCTCTTCCGCGGAAAGTGGTCATGAAACACGAGGCACAGCAGGCTTCGGTGCTGCTCAGTCGGTGGCCGCCCGTCACGGACGTCTTGCAGTTTCCGAGTCGGAGCACACAGTTCGAGCCCTCGAGGGTCAGCGACCGTTTCGCCCGTTTCGCCTCCTCTTTCATCGCCTCCGTCGCGATTGCACACGCTCGTTTTACGCGTTCCATCTGGAAGTTTTGACAGTTTTTTAAAATATGTTTGGTTTAGGCTCAGCACACAATTTTTGTGCATTTTTACGGCCGTTTTTCAATGATTTCCGAGTTTTAGTTTTTCTTTTTCTTTTCGCAATTAAAGTCAAACCTAAATTTCTTCAATTTCTACGAATCTTTACTGTTTCTTTCACTAATTTTGCCTGTGCAAGTGGGAGTGGGTCAGAGTTGTTTGCTTTAAGAAAATTATAGCCAATTCAATGCGAAACTGGTCGAAAAATGCTTGATTCTCTGAAAACGTTGTCATTGCGCCAAAGGCCACGTGAAAATTGAGCAATTTCGGCCGATTTTTGCAGTTTTTTATATAAATTTCGCGATTTGAATGCAAAAATCGATAGGACGATATTTTTCGATTCCGATAATATTCTCTTCTTTCTCCGTCTCTAGAAGTACTCACCCGGACAGGTTCTTGCTCTTCTTCGCTGCTTTCTTCCTCTACCCTTTCTTCTTCTGTCATTTCCACGTCTTCTTCTTCTCCTTCTTCTCCTTCTTCTTCTTCTTCTTCTTCCTTCTTCTGCTCCTTCTGTGCTCTTCCGTCCGGCGCGTTCATCTCCATTTCCATGTGCTTCGACGTGTGCTGCTGTCGTTCTAGAAGAAGGATAATATCAGTTTTCAGCCTCAAAACGTACCTTCCACACTATTCTCTGCGGTCGTCGTCATTCGGCCAGTGTCGGTGACGCACAACGCGGTCCCCGGAATCGGTTCGCCCCTTCCGGGTGGGTCAATTTCTGTGGAGCGCGCTTGCACACGGCCCGCAAGATCCAGCCGATTTGATTGTCACTTTTTGCATTAAAATTCCTGCAAAATCGAGAAAGTTTTGGTGAACACTGAAAAATCGATAATTGTCGGGGCAAGTTGTCTTTTTGCCAGAAAAAATCCTACTAAAAAGGTTCAACTGAACACTGCAAACTTTATTACACTTTCAAAAGATCGGCATGGTCCCTAGAGGGTTCGTTATCAATGGAAAATCATGATTTAGGCGATTTTTATCGATTTTCGAGTGATTTCTGTGGAAAATCGACAAAAAAGTGTCCGGCTTGCACCTGGAAAAACCGGACATTCGCCTGATTTTCGCAGTAACTATTCAGAAGCAAAACGCTGCTTGTATGCTCAAAAAACCTGTAATTTTCGAAATTCCTACTGAAAATAAGCCCAAAAACAAGTTTATTCCGATCAAGCGCATCCGCCGACGCCCCATTCACCAACGTTAACTTCATAATAATACGAGTGATCCATGACGTTATACAACAAAATCTGATTGCTGCACAAGTCGCCGTCGGCTTCGGCGCACACGCGACGCTCCGAAAGCGGCCACATCTCGGTCGGGTACCACACTTCGGTGCCGTGGTGGAAAAGGGCGAGCGGTCCGATTTTCGGCGGGATGTGCGGCACCGGATCGCGTCCGTTTATGACGCGGAACGAGTACGGAAACGTGGCGTCGTGCCACGCGGCGTGGTCGTAATCCGCGGTTCGCGGCTGCCCGAACGTCATCAGTTTTGTGCGGTTCGGCGCGAACATTTCGAGTTTGGCAATGTACGAGGAGGTCACCGAGGCCAACGCGCCGCCCAGGGAATAGCCGGTGATCTGGAATAGAATGAGATCTAGGTCATTTGTTTTTTTTTTTGGAAAAATGTGCTGTAGAGCGAGTTTGGAGTTATTAGTTATTGTAGCACTCACCCAGAGCTCATAGTCCTCCTGAGCCTGAGCCAACGTCTCTCGAACTCCATTTTCCAGGCCGCCGGTCCAAAGTAGATGGAATGCGTTGTAAAAGTACTCGTAAATGCGGCCATTCTCGAAAAACGGCTTCGTCCCTCTGAAATCTCAATTTCCGGGCCTAAAATGCGTTTCGACGGGTACCGGTGGTATTGTAGCACTTGCTCCAACAACTGCAAAGTGCCTTCGGTGCCTCGAAACGACATGACCACCACTTTTGCCACGTCATCGATCGCGACGAACGCGGTGCAGTCGGAGGAGATGAGCGGCGGCGGATTGTAGTCGATCCAGTGGAGTTCGTCGAACAAATAGGCGAGCCACGAGGTGGAAATGTGAAAGAACGCTGAAAGTTCGGTGGGGCGCACTTGCATACGAAGGAAGCGTACAATCGGTTTCGTAGGAACATCGGACTCGATAAGTGCTCAGGTCTTTCGCATCTGGCAGGACTTTTCTGGAACTTTTGAGAGAAATTTCAGAGAAATTGGTCAGTGGGCCACCTCAAACACTTTATCGGGTCGGCTGAATAGGCGGCCGCCGCCAGGGGCATCATTTTGGTCCTCGCGAATTGTTCATCGTACGCCACAGTCAGATTTCTGGTATCCGGACAGTTTAGGAGTTTCTGAAAGGCTTGGGTCTCGCCACGAAAGTGATAGTGGGCGTTATGCGCCTTTAAGTACGGTAGCCCTTTTGTTTCGATAAAATTTTGCAGAAAGCAGGGTTTTGTGAAAATTTTGACTTATTAGAATCGCAATTTTCCCCAGAAAAATCAGGCTACCGTACTTTAAAGGCGCATGCCGTCTAGAAAATGCAAAATTTTTGCAAAAACAAACGCACATCAATCCATCGGAGGCACAACGGAAGAACGCCGCATCGATCGAATCCCGGACAGTAAACTTCGCCACGTTGGATACATTTGGCGCATTTTCCCGCGCTGTTGACGAATTGCAATAAATTGAGTAGAAAAAATAGAGCAGTTAACATTTTTCCACCAAAATACGACCCTATTTGCTCTTTTTATGTCGAAAAGAAGCGCTTGTTTTTTATTTGATGTTCGTCGAAATCGAAATTAAAACAAAAATGGTGTGTGTGTGTTCACTTCACTGTTCAGTGCGCAAATATTATGCGATCACAGTTGCGGACATCCCGCCGCTCCCCAATCGGGCATGTTGATGTCGAAATAGGTGAGGTGGTCCGGCGGGTACGAGTCCAGTTGGCGGTTGCTGCAGTAGAGACCGTCGGCTTCGGGGCACACGTGGTACGTGTCGGCCGACGTCATGTTGTTGTTGTACCTGAAAAAAAACAATGATTAAATGGGTTGCGCCACAGAAATTTTGCGTTTTCGGGTCAATTCTGCTGCTTTTCGTCAAAAATTGCATTTCCGACAGAGAAAAAGCGTTGGTGATAGTGAATTAAAGGCGCAGAGTCAAATTCGAGTGAAATACAGAAAAGCGCGAGAAATTTGAAATGTCGTATTATAGGGGCACCGCACAGAAATGGCGCTCTGTTGAGAAACTCTTTTTGCAGTGCAAATTGAGCGACCTCGGCCGATTTTGAAAAGTTAGGCCACGTTTTCAGTGGAAAATTACTTCGCGGCCTAGAAATTCGGACAGATTGCGAACAGCGCGCCCTTTCTGTCCGGTGCCCCTATAATAGTAATTTTTCGCAAAAGCGCGATACACGGTCTCCAGAGCTGACAATATGGGCGTGGCATCGGCGGACAAATGGCGTTTTCGTGAATTGAGCAGGTTTTCTCTGATTTTTGTGGTCAAAGGCGATGAAAAATGATTGTTCGACATGAAAACACACGAATTCTCAGAATTAATGACGTTTTGGCACATTTTTCGCGGACTTTGCTTTTTCGCCTTCGCCGCCGATCGCCGCCTAAAAACCGCATTTCTTATTTTGCGCTTTCTTGGCCGTTTTCAGACACAATTGGTTTTGAGAATGGTAAATCACGTAAATACAAGCATTTTGAGCGCTCGAACCGCGAAAATTACCGAAAAGCAACTGAAATTCACGCAGTTTTAGCGAAAAACCTTCAAACGGATAAATGTGATTTGCGACTTGACCAAATTTGACGCTCTTGCGCTTAAGAAATTCGTAATAGCCTATATAATCGGTTTATCAAGAAACAAATGAGAAATTATCGGTTTTTCGTGACTGATCTGGCAAAAAACACAAATTTTGCTGTTAAAATTTGAATTTCGCGCCAATGTATCGCTCTATTGGGCGGGGCGCACTTGCGCATTGCCAGCTCTGGAGACCGAGTCAAATTCGAGGGAAATACGCGCTTTCGTTGCGAGGCCAGAAAAGCGCGAGAAATTTGAAATGTCGTAGTAATTTTTCGCAATAGAGCTCACTGATTATCGATTTTTCGTCCGCAGACTCACCAAATCTCGGTCCGATGATGGAAGAGTTCGTCGGCGCCGTACATTGGCGGAATGTGCGGCACAATATCGCGGTGATGAACGATGCGGAACGAGTAGGGGAATGTGGCGTCGTGCCACGTGGCAAATGCGTAATCGCCGGTCCGCGGCTGTCCCATAGTCACCAGCTTGACTCTGTCGGCCGTGTAAATGCCCGAATGGACGACGTACGAGGCGGCGATCGACGCGATCGCGCCGCCGAGAGAGTGTCCGTTCACCCAGAGTTCGTAGTCCGGATACTGGTATTTCAGTTTTCGGAGGTCCGTCTGAAGGCCGGCGTTCCACAGAAAGAAGAAGGCGTCGTAGAAATAGGTGAAAATGTGGCCGGCGTCGTCGAAAAACGGTTTCTTCCCCGTGAAAAAGTCGAGAATCTCCTCGGTGAGCTGTGTGGATCCCTGAGTTCCACGGAACGACATGACCACCACTTTTTGGGTGGTGTCGAAAGAGGTGTAGCCGAAGCAGTTCGTCTGTGGGCCCACCTCTGAACAGTTCACACTGAAGGTCTTCGAGAGAGTCATTGTTGGCATCGAATTACTGAAAGAAAAACGGGTACTGTAGAGGTTGAAACTTTTTTTGGGAAATCTTCACGTCTAGTACTTTAGTTTCTCAGTTGACAACATTTTTGTACAATCACTCCGAATAGTACTGTAGCTCTTTGAAGTTAGGACTTTCTGTCAATGCTTTGAAGTAGTCCCAACTTCCAAGAGCTACAGTAGTCTCCAGAGTGGTTGTACAAGAATATTGTCAACTAGCAAAATGTAGTTTATGTCTAGTACTATAATTTCTCAGTTTACACCTTCTTTGAACAACCACTCCCAAGAGTACTGTAGCTCTTGGAAGTAAGGATTCGTTTAGCGCGGATCGATTCTAACTTTCCGGAGCTACAGTAGTCTTCAGAGAGCTTCTACAAAAATATTGTCAACTACAAAAAGAAAGCACTATCCATCCGAAACACGTACCTGAAGCATTTCTGCGGATTGCTATTAAACGCGGCCGCCGTCGTCACAAGGACCTTTGACCGAACGAACGCGTCATCGTAGGCATGTGCCTTATCAGGCAGTTCCGGACAGTTTAACAATTTCTAGAAACAAGAAGATGATAGACACGTGGTCATCAGCGACATCGATAATAGTTGGGGTTGGAGTCGAGACGAGCAGAGATCAATTTTGCGACAAAAAAACGTACCGAGATGGAAGTGGGACATGGCGAGAATCCGCATTCACTGACAGTTACGCACCAGCTAAAACAAATTGTTAAACTAAAATTTCCGATCTCAAAACTCACTGTTTTCCGCTTGCAATACAATCGGAACACTTGGATGCGTCCACAGTTCCGACCAGAACAATTCCTATCCAAAATGCTACTAACAACGACATTTTGCCGAAACGGCGGACAAAAGCAAAAGAGCAGTCTTATCAGCAAAATTCGTTTTATTCGACCAAAAACGCTTATCAAGGCGAGTCCCCAATCGACGAAATTGATGGCAAAGTGCCAGACGTGATCCTCGGCGCACTACAAAAATGTGGTCTACTTTTGCGGCCTTGTATCTAAGCGTGTATTGCAGATTTTCACAAAGTGCAAAAACGAATCGAAAGACAATTTTGTGCTCTACAACTTTGTACTAGAACATTTTACATAGAATTGCCTACGCGCCGAGATATTTTCAGTTTTATAACATGCGCACTGTAGTTAATCGACAATATCTCAATTCTTGTGCGTGTTAGGAAAACATTGTCAACTACAAAGTTGGAGAGCATACATTTGGCTATCGATTTGTTGTTTGAATGTGCAAAAATCTTGAAAAATGGCCGAGATACGTGGCATTGACTGAATGTGAGTAAACGTGCAAAGAATTCATCAAAATAATTGAGATCATTTTCACAAATTGTCAGTCTATTCGTTCAGATTCGTCGTCGCTAACGAATCCAAAGGGTCGGACAGCCCATTCCACCCCACGCGGGCATCTCCTTCACAAAGTACAGTCCGTGGTCGTCGTAGCTCAAGCCGAAATCCAGTGTCGCACTGCAATAGTATCCGTCGGCGCTCTCGCACTTTCGGAACTCGGCGCCCTGTCCCATGTCGTTCGGGTACCAGACCTCCGTTCGATGATGGTACATACTGTAGCCGATGCCGAGTTGCGGCGGCACGTGCGGCACAATATCACGATTGTGAATGATGCGATACGAGTAGGGAAACGTCTGTGCGTGCCACAACGCGTAGTCGTAGTCGCCGGTCCGCGGCTGGCCCATCGTGATCAGTTTGATGTTCTCCGCCGCGAAAATCCGCTCGTCGACCATGAAAGAGGCGGCGACTGAGGCGAGCGCGCCGCCGAGCGAGTGTCCGTTTATCCACACTTCGAATTTCGGATGCGTCTTTTTGAGGTGCAGCACGTCTTTGTGGAGTCCGCCCTCCCAGAGGAACATGAACGCGTCGTAGAAGTAGGAGAAGATGGCGCCGTGTGTCGAGAATTTGCGTTGTGAACTGTAATGATATACATATTGTAAACTCGATGGAAGAACACGGAAGAATTTTTATCTTTTTTAGAAAATTTTTTCATGAAATGTGATCAACTGGCGAAATGTATAACAAAGTGAAGTCTGCTCATAAAAAAATAGTTATAAAATTAGCTTTTCATACAAAAAAGTTATTCGAGTTGTAAGGACATTTTCACGGAACAACTCGAATAATTTTTTTGTACGAAAAGCTAAAATTACAATTATTTTTCTATGAGCACAGTTCAGTTTACTATACATTTCGTCAGTTGATCACATTTCATGAAAAAATTTTCTAAAAAAGATAAAAATTCTTCCGTTGAGTTTTTCCGCTCAACTCTGATTGTAATGCAAAACAGAGATGTTGGGAATAAAAATTTTACTCTACGGAACACGGAACACGGAAAACGGAAAATTTTTTTTTTACGGAACACGGAACACGGAACACGGAAAAAACTTATTTCTACGGAACACGGAACACGGAAATTTTTTTTTTACGGAACACGGAACACGGAAAAAATATTGCAAAAAAACGCGGAACACGGAACACGGAACACGGAATTCCCAACATCTCTGATGCAAAAGTCAATGAGAAAATCGATTTTAGACACGAGAATCTATCGGTACGAATATAACCAGAATGTGAGGAATTTACACACACACACAGAGACACACAAAAATGGCTCCACGTGGCGCTTATCATTGTTTGTGCGTGTTCCGATGCTGGCTGATTCACAACTCACTTATAAAAATAGGTGATAAGCTCTTCGGCCAATTGTAGGTTGTTTTGAGTGCCGCGGAACGAGATCGCAATCACTTTTTGCGTCACATCGACGGCAGTGTAGGCGAAGCACGGAACCGCCGGCGGAAGCGACGAGCAGTTCACGTCGTACGTGTTGTACACCTTCATCGTCGGCATTTGATTACTGTACTCTTGGGGGACGGGTTACTGTAGTTCGTCGAGAGGCTACGCTACTTACTCGAAACACTGCTGCGGTTTGTTCGAATTCACCGCCGCCGTCGTGATCAGAATCTTCTTGCGAACAAACGTGTCGTCGTACTCGAATTTCGCGTCACGTTGCTCTTGCGGACAGTTTAGCTTGTTCTGCAAGAGTACGGTGTCATTCGACGCAGAATTTTATGGAGAACAAAAAAGTCTTTTACACTGAATTCGAAAAATTTATGTGGAAGGCTCTAGAACGTCTCAAAGTTTGAATGGTCATTTGGTAAAATTTAAGTATCACAAAAACTTGAAAAACTAGATTTCTGGGGTAATTTTAGGCAGTTTAACGTGATTCTAAAGCCCTAGAAGTTGAAAAATATCGAAAACTTACCAGAATCGAATGCTCAGAAGGGCACCAGAGCACATCGCAAGTTTTCATGGAACTGCACCACTCTTTGCCACGGCTCACACACGAAAGACAGTCCTCGTCGGTCTTGGCAATCACTCCGGCGGCTGCAATACTCAAAAATGGCAAAAGAGCCACGAGACGAAGCATTCTGGGGGGGAAGATGAGAAATCCCAGCGCAACCCGCGCATTTTTATAATTCGGGGGGTGTGGCCGACCTCAAAACAATATAGAATTGGCTGATAATAGGACACCTTTGCGTGTGGAGTAGAAACACGTGGGCGCCCGCGGAATTTGCACTTTTTTGGAGCCATGTGACAGTACACGAGGTCCAAGTCGGCCATTCCGACGGTTTACGCGGTGCAAACCACCATTTTCGGTCTAAAAATACTCTATATCACTGTTTTTCTTATCTTTCCCAACTCGTCTCCACCGATTTTGCACTTTTTTCGATCGAAAAGTCCGTTTGGACCAGCCGGGGTGCTCTGCGCGTCGTTTGTCGTGTAATGTCCGCAAGTGCGCGTGTCCGTGTTTGCATACCGCGCGGCGAACGCTCGCATTTTCGAAAATGTTTCCGCCGTCTCGTGCCTATATTCTTGTTTTGCCTCGTGCTTTTCGCCGTTTTTTGAGTGTACTAGTGAAAAATATGAATTTTACGAGTCTAATGCACCACTTTTTGTGTATTATGACATCAATAAACCGAAAAATCGCTGTTATTCTGCTCAAACTTTATTTTCCCTCCTCTTTCCAATTTTCCGATTTCAGAACCGAAAATGTCGGCGAGAAAACTGCAAAAGGTGATGGTTCAGCCGGTGAACCTTATCTTCAGATACCTCCAGAATCGCACACGCGTCCAAATCTGGCTCTACGAGGACGTCACCCACCGGCTCGAGGGATACATCATCGGTAAGCCTCTAAAATCGGCCGTTTCCAATCAATATTATCGATTTTCTTCCAGGATTCGACGAGTTCATGAACGTCGTGTTCGACGAGGCCGAGGAGGTCAACGTCAAGTCCAGGGCTCGCAACAAGATCGGCCGAATTCTGCTCAAGGGCGACAACATTACTCTGATCCACGCCGCCCAACAGGAAGCCTAATTTTGTTTCGTTTGCTCGTGGTGGTAATACGGATCTCTCTCCATATATATTATTCTGTCCCCCTTCTCGCTTCTGTTCCCACACACCTTCGCACTTTTTAATGTAATCATCATTTTTCTACAAGGCTCTGAAAATTCATTTACATTGATCGAAAGAGGGTCTACATAGGATTGAGAATAGTACAATATACATTGGGGGAGGGGGTTAGATGAGTTGTGCTTGCATGAGTGGTGGAGGTGGCTTCTGGAAGAATCCTTCAGGAAATCTTTCGGGCTCCGATAGCGGCGGCGGCGGCGCGAGTTCGGGAATCAGAAGCAGCGGTTGCGGCGTCGGCGCCTGGTCCATCACCGGTGTCGGAGCCATCGGCTGATAGTAGTAGGTCGGCTGCGGCGCGTACATTGGCATTCTGCAAGAAATCGCAAAAATTTCGAACAAATTAGAAAAAATACGTCTGATTGAGCTCATTGGTGAGGTAGGTGGGCACAAAATACGGCTGGGCGGGCACAAAGCACTGTCCGTTTTGATAGAACGGCATCGGCGATTCGGACGGCACGTAGAGCGACACATTCTGATCGTAGACCGCCATTTGCTCGCGGTGAATGTATTTGCATCTGGAATTTTTAAATCACCAAATTTTAAAGCGGAAAATTGACAAATCGCACCTGGGTCCATATCTGCAGTTGCCGCGTTCGAAATTTTTGCAAATTTGACGAGACATCGTCGTCGATGTATACTTTCGATTCTAAACAAATGTTACAAATTGAGCCAACACATTTTAGCTCGTAATTTTACTTCCTGATGCCTGTGCGGCTGAACTCGTACCGAGACGTCGGGCGATTCTTTGCGATAGCGCAACGGCTCAATGTTGCGTATGAATGGGCGACGGCGCTGCAAAAATGTCGATAATTTTCAGATATTTCTCAATTTTTGGGGTTTACGGGCGGCATGCGGAGCTCATCGGTGCCGTGCGCGTACGGGCAGTCGTCGTTGTAAACGCAGTGCCCCTGGCGGCGGAACGCGTCGCACAATTTCGTCTTGTAGCTGTCCGGGTACTGAAACACGAGCGATCTTTTTAAAAAGTAAAAAAAAACATTTTTATTTTCTTATTCCTCCTCCTCGACTCACTCTCGAAATGTGGCGCCGCGACGACGACGACGAGTGCGGCGGCACCTCGTCAATCTGTTCGAGCGGCGAAATCTTGAACGGCTCGCGTTTCGGACGGCGTATCGCCCCGCGCGACGAGGATCCGCCGTACTCGCTGAGCAGCGACGTGTTGCCGGCGTTCTGGATGCGTGCCGGACACGTGGCATTCAGAAGACTGTTCGAGGCGAACGACGTCGAGTCGGCCGTCTCGTCAAAGTTGTTGAACGCGGCCATCTGATCGGCCAGCTGCTTTTGCGCCATCGCTGAAAATGTTTATCGATCGATTCTTGTTGATTCGCTGAAAAAACGGCTGAAAACGACTGGAAATGACCCGAAATTCATCCCTTTGTCCGCCGACCCTCCAATTCTGAAAGTGCCCGCCAGTCTATCGAAACAAACAGCTTTCGTGGCGAGACCCGAACATGAATTTTGACATGCGCCTTTAAGATATCGTAGCTTTTCAGCTGAAAACTTTGATTTTTAAATGTAAAAAATGTAGTTCGGCACAAAGTTCGCAACTTTTTTTGTGTTCCATGATTTCCGCTATTGTCAACCTTCAATCCAAGTGTGAAATCGAATCGTTCCATTTCGAACTCAACAAAACACCGTCCGATTCTACGCTTCCCCGATTCGATTCGTGTCCGCTTCCGAAGGTCATTTCCTCAAGGTCTTCAGCGAAATAGCCGTTTGGCATTTTGCCAAATTCTTCGTCCTTCTTCTTCTTTTTCCCCGTTTTTACCGAGTACACGATATACTTTTCGGTGAAATTGCTTCGCCTATTATCAGTTTGTCGAAAAGGGTGTATCGGGCGGGAGATGTGATCGAAAAGAGAAAGAGAAATAGAATTTTGTGTTAGAGAACAAAAAAACCAGTTTTCTCAGTTTGCCATCGATGTGAATAGCAGAAGAAACGAGACGTCAAATGTCGATCTTTGCCACCTTTTATGAGGAAAAATCAGGGGATTTTATACCTTTTTTTTCACATTTTTACCCATAAACTGCGCCTCCTCACTATTTTTCACCAAATTCTTCATTTCTCTACATAACTCTGAACGCCTGAATGCCTGCTGCACCTAATAAAATGTGTTTTTCCATTTTAACTACAATAACACCATTTCTTTTGCTTAAAAACATCCCACGTCATATGAAAATATGCGTTGTGTAAATATCGACAAAAGTGAAGAAAAGAGAGACGCAGACGGCGCCCCCCGACAGTTACCCGAATCGAAGACCGATCGAATGAGGTGACACACACACGCACTTCCTGCCTCTTCTTTGTTTGTTTCACATTTTTTTTCTCCAACTCGAATTAACCTTTCGTTCGCCGCTTTTCGTCTGTTTCAAATGAAATTCGATATTTTGTTTATGACTTTCTAGTGTGTTATCTATCTCACGCTAGTTGATTCGATAGTCGGTTTATGTACAATATATACAATACAATTGAGTTGGTTGTCGATCAGAAAGATGACGGTCATACTTCGTAATGCATAGACAGGATTCATAGGCAAGTCACAAATCACAGCCAAGTGTTTGTGTTTGTGAAAAGTTCTTAATACTTAGTAAACGATGATTTTGAAATTTTCAAAACCCTGATGGTACGGCATGATTTTACTTTGAAAGCCGTGTAGAACAGTGGAAAACGTTTTGGGTAAAACCAAATTTCTTATATATATTTAAGCAGCTTCTAATTAAAAGTTACCGGAAAGTTTGCTTAAACTATGCGTAAAATTAGCTTTAACTTGGTTTAGGACGTGCTTAAAAGTTGTTGTTTGCCGAATAGTTCGCTTAAAAATTGCTTAAAGTGTGTTCAAAGTCGGGCACACTTTAAGCAACGTTTAAGAACAGTTTCAACAAAGTTTTAGCACTTCTAATCAAAAGTTGCTTAAGATGTGCTTAAATACAAAAACTTGTGCTTTTCGAAAATTGCACAGAAAAGCTGCCAGTGTTCTTGTCAGTAAAGTCGGCATTCCTAAAAGATGCTCGCAAAAATCTCATAAATCTTCGCCTTTTTTGCTCATGCACACACTATTTTCCGAGTTCTTCCTCATGTCGTCTTGCTTCTATTTTCCGTAAAATGAAACTTCACTTTCATACGGCTCTGGTCGTCTTCCTCACTCCTCCCTGCGATCATAAACTTTGCAGAAAACTTTGCATTGAGGCAGTTGCAGTACACTTTTTCAAAAAGCGCTTTGAGAAAATGTGCGTGCAGAACAGCAAAAATGAGAAATATTTGCAAATTTTACGCAGACTAACAGTGGTTTTAAGTCATTCAAACAGCTCAACCTCAGTAGTTTAGTACCCTTTTAAGTTAACATTTCTGAGCGCCAAAATTTCAAGGCTTTCTTGCCACGGCACCCACATTCTCTGACTTCTGTCTCTCTGCGTGTCATCGTCATTTTACCCCCTGCCAGTCTCCTCAAAGCATGCGTGTGAGAGCACAGAGCGATTAGACGACTCGTCTCCCTCTCTGCGTCCTCTCACTTCCGCCCACTATTTCTTCTCGTGGAAGGAAAACGAAAAAAACATGTCAAAAGCACAGGCGAAAAAAAGAAGAAGACGGGCGGTTGGCAAGAGGTCCCCCCGAATACGTCGTCATTTTTTCTCTCAAAATATACAAGTTTCCTGGGGTGGAAACCATCATGTTTTCCTATATGAATCACTCGTTCGATTCACAACATTTTGTGTATTTATTTAAACGCACGAAAAATAAGAGACGTACTTGGGTCTAGTACACCTTTTTTTCGCTGCTTTCGAACGAACATTGTTTGTTTTTGCGCGCGCGCGCGTTTCCGTGTGCGCAAAGCGAAAAATTGACCCGAAAATTGGAGGATACGAGTTTCTCTTGGTTTTCAAGAGATTTTGTGGACAAAAGATCGATTTTACACTGAAATTAACTAAAAACGTGATTTGCAAAGTCAAATTCAGAAAAACTAATGATTGCCTCACAAACACGCATTTTTCGCCAAACGTTTCATTAATTGCTCGTCTCTTCTCATCTCTTTTTTCATTTAGGACCGCTGTAGCCTCGCCGCCACGTTTCATTTATGCCAGTCAATCGATAGCAACAAAACAGTGGGTTTTTGACGATTTTTCGCCGGAAAATCGATAAAATCTGTGCAGACGTCGTCAAATTGTCAACAAATGCCGTCGTCGCCGCGAGAGGCAAACGACAATAATCGGCACTTTCATCTCGGTGAGATTTTGGCATTTTTCTGAAAGTTTTTACGAGAAAAAAAAATTTTCAGGCACAGTTGTAGACCATCGGACACATGCCAAACGGTTTTGTAGCAATAGGATAAGGTGAGGCTTTGATTTCGGATTTTTTAAAATGTATAAACGGAAAAAGCGTTATATTTATCAAATTTCTAAGAATTTCAGCACGTGCAAATACAATGGCTTCTCGTTCCTTCCTCGGTTTTTGTACGAACAGTTCCGGAGGTACAACAACATATTCTTCCTCGTCATCGCCTTACTTCAGGTACTCTTTTTTCGAATTTTTCCCAACAGCCATCCTAAATTCTTCCAAAATTGCAGCAAATCCCGGACGTGAGCCCGACGGGACGGTACACGACCGCAGTGCCATTCCTCATAATCCTCTCGGTTTCGGCGCTCAAAGAAATCTTCGAAGACGTGAAACGACGGAGGAGCGACCACAAAGTCAACGGTTTTTCGGTCGAGATTCTCGTGGACGGGCGGTGGACCGAACGGCAGTGGCGCGACGTGAAAGTCGGCGATTTCATTCGCATCGACAATGACAGCCTGTTTCCGGCGGATCTTTTGCTCATTTCCTCGTCGGAACAACAGGGAATGGCGTACATTGAGACGTCGAATCTGGACGGAGAGACTAATTTGAAGATCAAGCAGGCGTTGGACGTGACCGCCAACGTCACTTCTTCGGAAGGACTCGCCGCTTTCCGGGCTGAAATCACTTGCGAACCGCCCTCTCGACATGTCAACGAATTCAACGGAAACATTGAGATTAACGGTAAGTTAGTAGGACACTGATGCAATTTTAAAAGAGGTCAGAACGGTAGAACATTTGATAAAGAGAGTATTCAGGTGTGCAACGACACTTTGGCATCGATCAGCTGCTGCTCCGCGGCGCCCGTCTCAAGAACACGGCGTGGATATTCGGCGCGGTCATCTACACGGGACACGATTCGAAACTGCTGATGAACTCGAAGCGCGCGCCGTTGAAGAGCGGAACGATCGACGTGCAGACCAACTATCGCATAATTTTCCTCTTTTTCGTCCTGGTCGCACTCGCGTTGATATCGGCACTCGGATCGGAAATCTGGCGGTCCGGCAACATTCCGCAGGCCTGGTACTTGTCGTTTTTAGGTTCGGTTTTCATGAGAACTTTGTCATTCTTCACACAAAAACCTCCGCATGTGCACTTTTCGACATAGTTGCCACGGGCCGGGCCGGGCCGGGCCGGGCCGGGCCGAAATTTCCAAAACTCCGGCCCGGCCCGGCCCGTCGGCCCGGCCCGGCCCGGCCCGGCCCGACCCGGCCCGGCCCGGTCGGCCCGGTTCAAAAAGCGGGAATTCAAAATTTGAATTATTGATCGCATGAAGCCATTTTTTGTAGAATTAGGGGTTTTTTGCAAGCATCGAACATTGAAAAAAACAAATGTATTTCTCATAAAAAAATTCATAATAGCAAAAACAAAGAAGAAACACTAAAACTTTAGTTCGAAAAATTTTTTTGTAATAACGAAAAATTTCCTCGAAAAATTTTAATTCCCGCCTTTTTGAACCGGGCCGACCGGGCCGGGCCGGGCCGGCACTTTACCGACCCTGGCCCGGCCCGGGCCGGCACTTTACCGGCCCGGCCCGGCCCGGCCCGGGCCGACCCGGGCCGGCCCGCATGGCCGGCCCGAAATCTGGCAAGTCTGCTTTTCGAGTTTGTTGGCTGAAAATTTTAGCCACTTTTTAGAGTGATTTGCTCAAAAACGGTTAAGGGCCACACTTTTTCCTAATTTTATCAATTGTACACTGAACAATTTGCAGAACACGATCCGAAAGGCTCATTTCTGTGGGGCGTGCTCACCTTCTTCATTCTCTACAACAATCTGATTCCGATTTCGTTGCAAGTCACTCTCGAAATTGTGCGCTTCTTCCAGGTATGATTATGGCCTAGAAAAACCTCTTCCATCATCGCTTAAACGTTTTAGGCCATCTACATCAACAACGACATCGAAATGTACGATGTGAACAGCGATTCGTGCGCGATCGCCCGCACTTCGAACTTGAACGAGGAACTGGGACAGGTCAAATTTATAATGTCCGACAAAACGGGCACTCTGACGCGGAACGTGATGAAGTTCAAGCGAGTATCGATCGGAAATCGGAATTATGGAAACAACGAGGACGATGAGTTCGCCGACCCGAGACTTTTGACGGATTTTCATAATGGCGAGCACTCGGATGCGATTCTAGAGCTGCTGAAAATGATGGCGGTGTGTCATACGGTCGTGCCGGAGCACAAAGACGGTCAGCTCGTCTATCAGAGTTCGTCGCCCGACGAAGCGGCGTTGGTACGAGGCGCCGCCTCCCAGGATGTCGTCTTCCACACCCGACAACCGCAGAAAGTGATTTGCAAGGTTTTCGACGAAGACGTCACCATTGACATCCTCGACGTTATTGATTTCACGTCGGACCGCAAACGGATGAGCGTCATTGTGCGGGATAACGGCGAGATTAAGTTGTACACGAAAGGAGCGGACACGGTGATTTTCGAGCGACTCGTCCAGGACCACAACTCGGAAGAGGCCGAAAAATGTTGTATAGAGCATTTGGAGGACTATGCCTCATTTGGATACCGGACATTGTGCTTCGCGACCCGGAAACTTACGGAGCAGGAGTATGCGCAATGGGCGCCAGAGTACAAAAAGGCCATTCTGGCTATTGAAAACCGTTCCCAACTCTTGGCCTCGGCGGCCGAGAAACTGGAAACCGAAATGATTCTTCTGGGCGCGACGGCAATAGAGGATAAGCTGCAGGAATGGGTGCCAGAGACCATCCAAGCACTCATGGCCGCAGATATCCGAGTCTGGATGCTGACGGGCGACAAACGCGAAACGGCAATCAACATAGCTCACTCGTGCGCCCTGGCTCATCCGCACACCGAATTATTGATTGTCGACAAGACGACGTACGACGAGACGTTCCATAAACTCGAGCAGTTTGTAGAGCGGGCTGTCGAGTTGGAAAGGCAGGAGAAGGAGTTTGCGATGGTGATCGACGGCAAATCGTTGTTGCACGCGTTGACGGGCGAGGCGCGCAAGCACTTTGGAGACCTCGCACTGAGATGCCACGCAGTCGTGTGCTGCCGAATGAGCCCGATGCAGAAGGCCGAAGTCGTGGAGATGGTGCGGAAGTTGGCGAAACACGTGGTGCTTGCGATCGGCGACGGCGCCAACGACGTCGCGATGATCCAGGCGGCCAACGTGGGCGTCGGCATTTCTGGCGAAGAGGGTCTGCAGGCGGCGTCGGCCTCCGACTACGCGATCCCGAGATTCCACTTCCTTCGGCGACTCCTACTCGTGCACGGCGCCTGGAATCACGATCGATCCGTCAAAGTGATCCTCTACTCGTTCTACAAAAACATTTGCCTGTACATCATCGAACTCTGGTTCGCCATCTTCTCCGCCTGGTCGGGACAGACCATCTTCGAGCGATGGACGATCGGCATGTTCAATGTGATATTCACCGCGTGGCCGCCCGTCGTACTCGGACTCTTCGATCATCCCGTGCCTGCCGATCAGATCATGAAGTATCCGGCACTCTATGCAAGCTTCCAGAATCGAGCGTTCAGCATTGGGGTACGGTTTTGTCACGGCGCTCCAAACGTCACGGCGCTCTATCTTGGAATGTTTATAAGGTTTGTAACTTTCAGAACTTTTCGCTCTGGATCGGCCTGGCAATTGTGCACTCGCTCTCGCTGTTCTTCCTGACGTACGCGACACTGGAGAACCAGGTGGTGTGGGCGGACGGACGGGCGGGCGGCTGGCTGATGCTCGGCAACTGCGCCTACACGTTCGTCGTGGCGACCGTCTGCTTCAAAGCGCTGCTCGAATGCGACTCGTGGACGTGGCCCGTCGTCGTCGCGTGTCTCGGATCCATCGGCCTCTGGATCGTCTTCGTCATCGTCTACGCGCTCGTCTTTCCGCATTTGGGCGGAATCGGCGCCGATATGGCCGGAATGGCGTGGATTATGATGTCGTCGTGGACGTTCTGGCTCGCACTCCTCTTCATTCCCATCGCCACCCTTTTGTGGGATCTCGTTATCAAAAGGTAGCAGCTGTTTGATTTCACTTTAAAAGAAAATCTCTCGTTTTTTTTTGCAGTCTGTTCACGATCGCAATGCCGACGCCGCGCGAGCTGGCGGTGATGTACAACAAGCGGAATTCGTCGTTGAACGGATTCGAACGGTTAGCCAGGTTGGCTTGCGCATTCGCTTCTTCTCTCTCTTTCTCGTTTCCACTTTGGTTTTTGTTTCCCAATCAATCGATAATAGAGCGGGTCGCCTGGACACAGAGAAATATTGTGTGAATTTACAGCAAACGCGTCCACCTTCAAACCATTCTAGTAGGCATTGAACGCAGGTTTAAGGCATGCGAATGGGTCTAGTTGCGGGTAAGAAAGCGACAGTGTTTACGTTAGTATTGTGACAGTGAAAGTGAAAGTGAATATTGTCCATTTCCTAAAAAAAAAAACGGAGTACATTGTGATACGAATGGTGCCTGACAGAATGTGTGCTCGTTTTCTGGAGCTAGTGGTTAGTGCCAAAGTATAGTAATCCTACAGTAACCCGTTTTGGGAGATGGTCTCGCCGCGAAAGCTTTCCAAAATGCAAAAAATGGTTTTGAACATTTGAAACATTCCCTTCGAATCGCCTCCCCCCCCCAGACCCGATATTGTCGTGTTTTGCGTTTGTGTGCGTGCGTGTAAGTCAATTTTTTGGTCCGCATCGTCATTGTTGTTCACTTTTTCAGCGCTCTTTTCTCTGTGTTGTCGTCCAGGTGCTCTGCTGCTCTTTCTCTCTCTCTCTCTCTCTCTCTCTCTCTCTCTCTCCCGTCGACGTGTCATTTTCTTGCTCTTCTTTTAGCTCGTGGGCCGCCAATCAGGGACCGACCAAGGACGGCGCGCACGTCTTCGCCAACCGATTCAGTCTCCGCAAGAGAATCGCGCCGACGCAGAGTGTTGTGCCGGAAAAAAATCCGTTGAGAAATGGCCAGAACGCCGGCGCATCGTCGTCGCCAGAGTACGGTAGCACGGAAATGTCGACGTGGCATCGGATGCGCAACGGAAAACAGTCCTATACGAATAATGGATTTGTTGGCGACCACCGCGCGGACAGTGTTAATGTGACCAGAATTGTGGTCAATGAGGATTCGGATGCTCCGCCCAGGAGCACTCGACTCTGAGGGACCGTCTTCGTCTTCGTCTCTTTTTGTGTATGTTTCTCCTCGAGAAGTCGTTTTAGAAGGAAGTTGTGAAAAAACTGGAAAAAATTGATCGAGGTGGTACCAAACGATGAGCGAATTTATGATATTAACAGTGTTCGCTTGATAGACCTGTCTGATGTTATACGAATTTTTGAAGTCAATTCAGGGAATTGACCTTGAAAATTCGAATGAAATCGGTCAGGACTAGTAGGCCGATACTGCCAAAGTCTGCAAATTCTCTCATCTTGTGGTACCACTCTGATCAATTTGTTTTGCAGACTTTTCACAAGTTTAACACTTTCTAAAAGGACGTTTATGTGCATTTTTGTGTAGTGACGTGTCTGCCTGCCTTTTCACCTGCTTTTCCCCTTTGCCCCCCGCTTTTTTTTGACCGATTGAGAAGAGAGGGAGAAAATGAAAGAAAAGAGCATGATATTTGTAGAACAATGGTTTTTAGGGCACTTTTAACTCTTCACCTCATTACATCACTCTGCTAACGCCGGGGATTTCTTCAAAGGACCATATCCCGTCTGAATCCAAACTCGCAGAAATGCCTATGAACGGATCGGTGCGCAATCAAAGTTGGTGGCCGTGGCCTAGGAAAACCTGAGCTTTCTAGGCCACACAACTTTGATTGCGCACCGATCCGTTCATCGGCATTTCTGAGAGTTCGGACTCGGAGAGTTCACTGGTCGTTTCTGATTGTTATTTGGAATGATAGGTTGAAAATTGTGAATTCCCTATGGCCGAATGGAAACTTATTCGGAAAGCTATGCTGGATTTGAAGCAAAATGCTCTTAGAATCATAGACGTTCAGAATTTCGCTAGAGATTTTAGGAGAATGTAGATAAGAAACCGCTTTTACCCTGGTCCCTGCTTACACCCCCTTCTCATTGAATCCTCGTGCATTCGTCTGCCCTCTGGTCGTTGTGACATCCATCACAGTACAGTACACCTTCATCTAACTACACACATACATTCGTAAATCTCATTCAAATCATGTGTTTGCAGCTACTCGTCGAACGTCATCGAAAACATGCGTCTGCTGACGTCGTCTCTGCGCGGAAGCACCGCCAACGGAATGCGCTCGAGGAATGCTTCGGAGGCGTCGTTGGCGTTGGCTGAACAGACTAGATGTAAGTTTTTGGGCACGGAATGATGTTCATTTGAAAAAATGCGGGCGAAAGTTTGGTTTTGAGCATTCAGGGAACATCGAAAATGGTTTATTCTTGCAGACGGCTACGCATTTTCGCAAGACGAATCGGCGGCAGTGGCGCAGACGGAACTCATCCGAAACGTGGATTCGACTCGTCAAAAACCCACCGGAAGATGATTTCCACTTCTTTTTGTTTGAATTTCTCTCCCCATTTTCCTCATGTGTTTTCGTGTCTGAAAACGAGTAGACGCCCACCAAAAAAGAGACTACGGTAGATTTTTGCTGATTTTTTTTTCTAGCGGGACTTTGACAATATTATCCATTTTCTTTGCCAATTCGCCGATCTTTTTCTCTATCGATTTTATGTTCAGTGATACTGTGGATTTGTTATTTTCCTTACGGGCACCAGTTTTTTTAAAAACCTTTTTTTTGTACTCACTGTCATTTCTTTTCCCCGTAATTACCAGTTTTTTGCTCAGAAATCATTCGAGTAGCCCCACACACTTTTCACAACGATTTTTTTGTAAATATATACGATTTAAAGTATTTTCGAACACATTTTTTGTAGCAAATTCGTATAGTCCGGGGGTGGTGGATGAGCGTCGAGTCAGAAGTTTTTGACTATAAAATCGCGTTTCCCCCGGTCACTCCCGCTCTTTTTGCGTCGATTTTAGCGTTTTTGGGTCCTGCCACGAAAATGCGTTACTGTAGCCGGATTTAAAGGCGCAGCATTTGATTTACGCGAAAATCGTCCTAAATTTGGCTGTATTTTGCTTTTTTTACCCATTTTTCGGGTCCCGCCACGAAAATTCATGCTAAAAAGTGTGATGCGCCTTTAAAAAGTACTGTAGCCGAATTTAAAGGCGCACCACTCGTTCTACGCAGAAATGTCCGACAACAAAACGCGATTTTGGGTCTCGCCGCGAAAGAGCGATTACCAATTGCGATTATAGTTTGCACATAAAAACCTCAAAAAAGAGCGCATAAAATTGCACGCGAAATTTAGTTCATTTATGTACCTTTTCCATCAAATAGTTGTGCTTTATCGAAGAAATATCGATAGGTTTATTGAATAAAAATGTATCGAGAAAATTTATCGATAAATTTCGCTGAAAAATGTGACGTTTCCTATCCAATTTCCCCCGACACGTGGCAGCATTTTCTCATCAAGAGACCTCGTTTTGCTCATTTATGGGGCCGTGCTCATTTTGTGCTCACATTCACTCAATCTTGCCCCTTTTCGGGCTCTTTTCGAGCACAAAAATGGGCTAAATGTGCTGCATTCGGCACTACGACATTTCATTTCATTCGAGCCTTCTCGAGAGCCCCAATGAGTTTGTAACTTTGAGTTGTGCTCGCCTTTAGGCCAGGATTACTGTAGCTGTTTTTGGTGGCCGTGGCCTAGAATCCGACAAATTGAAAGTTTCAGAAATTACATGAGCTCGGAAGCGTCGAAACTCGTCAACAAGCTACATATCACCGAGATCAAGACTCGGGAGGAAATGACGAAAAAGTCGGAGACACCGCATCCGGAATGGCGGGTTTATAGGTGAGTTAGAGGTACGCCGACGCACAAATCTTGAATTTTGACATCATTTCCAACATTTTTGTAGTTGAACACTTTTTTCTAGGCCCACGCACAAGCCTACTGTAGCGCTTTGAAGTTGGGACTGAAAAATGAGCAGGTTTTTCTATCCCAACTTTCCAGCGCTACAGTACTCTTCGGAGTGGTTGTACAAAAAAATGATCAATTACAAAAATATTGTACTAGACATAAACTTTAGTTTTGTAGTTGATCATATATCTCTAGGCCTACGCATAAGTGTACTGTAGCGCTTGAAAGTTAGGACAAATTTTGTATGCTTTTGAAGTATTGTAACTTTGAAAGACTAAACTACTTTTCGTAGTCGTCGGATCGGAAAGTGATCAACTACAAAACTATAGTACTAAATGTCAAGATTATGCTCAAAAGTTTTCAGAAGCACAGTCCACCGCCAAAGCCTACAATATTCATTTTCATCTTTCAGGCTCACGCTCTTCATGGAGCACGCGGCGTTCTGCCAAAAAGAGCGTTGTGTCAAGTATTTCTGTCCGAGCATCAAGTCGATTTTGGAGCACATTGACGAGTGTTTCGACCTGAAATGCGATGCGTGTCTCCGGTTTAACGTGCTCATTTTCGAGCACGTCCGCAACTGCGAAGACAGCCGAACGTGCCGAATTCCCGGTTGTTTATCGATTGCTCGGGCCATTGGGACCAATAAAGAGACTGCCGGTACGTGGCGGACCGACTCGAACAGATCAAATGTACTCGTTTTCAGAGGAACAGGGGCCTTCTGCTCTGAACAGCAAGAATCAGAAGCGTCGGAATCGGCGCAAAGCGAAAAAGGCGGAAAAACAAGTGATGGATCAACTTTGAGCGGATATTGTAGGCTTAAAAGTTGTGCAATGGTTCTGAAAATTTTTGAGCATTATTTTGACACCTACTACTCTACTTTTGTAGTTGAACACTTTTCTGTAAAACCATGTCCTAGAGTTCTTGGAAGTAAGGATATCAATCGATGTGCTTCAAGAGTCCCCTAACTTTCAAGAGCTACAATAACCTAGAGGGAGGTCCTAGCAAAGAAGTTGTGAGGTACAAAAATAAAGTACATAAAGTACGTAAAAAGTGTACAATGGATAATAAATAAATATTCGTTTGTCACAACACAATTCAATCTTCATCGTCATCGGAGAGCGAATCGATGGGCGGCAGTTGCAAATCGGTCAAACTCGGCGGTTCGTCGGCCTCATCTTCTCGCGATTTTCCGTATTTCGGGTAGAAAACGTATTTGGGAGTGAGTTTCTAGAAAAATGATAATGCAAATGAGAGAGACAATTTCCGACCTCATCCACCGACATCATACTTCGATGGGTTAGCGCCGAAAAAGTGGTCACTTCTGCGTAGGTCGGGGTGCGAGGGTCTGAATTTGGATAGTTTTATCGATGAATCTATCGAAAAATCTATCGAAAAATCTATCGAAAAATCTATCGAAAAATCTATCAAAAAAGTCTATCGAAAAATCTATCAAAAAAATCTATCAAAAAATCTATCAAAAAATCTATCAAAAAATCTATCAAAAAATCTATCAAAAAAACTATCGATAAATCTATCGAAAAATCTATCGAAAAACGTACCGATACTATCGTCTTTGAGCGGTGTCGATCCGATAATGATCGGACACTCGGCCTTTACAGAATTTCGAATTCTGCACTTGACGTGCAGTTTGACGACCACAAAATAGTCCACGTGGATGAGAGTACTGTCGAAAGTGGGACACGAGCACGGAATCTTGAGCCGCATCCGCGATTTCTGCTCGGAACGCGGCTCGATGTGAACCTCCTGGATCACCGCGGCGATTTTCGTCTCGTCGCGTTTTCGCGAGAGATAACGGTCGTTTTTAACGGGGTGTGTGTGGGCGGAAGAGGTACTCGAGTCGTCCGATGAGCCACTGGGACCGGAGATTCCGTAGCGGTAGGCCAGGAAACGACACTGCTGCACGAGGTAGAATTCGGCCTGGAATTTCGACTTTTTTAGCGTTCACAGATGTACTATGGGTCTGAAAAAGTTTTTGGATAATCTTGATATCTAGTACGTCACTTTTCTAGTTGATCACTTTTTGTTACGCCCACGCACAAGGCTACTGTAGCGCTTAGAACTTCCACCTTCTGTATCCCAACTTCCAAGCGCTACAGTACTCCAGGCGGTGGTGGTACAGAAATGTTGTCAACTACAAAAACACAGTACTAGGTGTCAAAATGAAGCTCAACAATTTTCAGAGCCATAGCACTACTCGAAAACCGACAATATCCGTTACTGCTCACCTTCAAAATCGGTCGAGACGATGCGTTCTCAATGTCGGTTTCCACAACAATAGTCTCTCCCGGCACGTATCCTTTTTTCGGAATTCGAATCTGAAAAAGCGTTGAATAGGAGGATTTTAAGATTTTACGGAATATTGAACTCTCAGCCTCACCTGCAAGTTGACTTTTCCATATCGAAACAGAAAGAATCCGACGTTTTTGGCCTTCCAACTGCTCGTCTCCTCCCCAGCCGTCGGCACCACATTCAGGTCCTTCTTCGGCAGAACCGTCAAATATCGCGTCACCGATCGATTCGTCTTCCACGGCCGTTCGACCGTCGCCTTCACGTGGTACCTGATGTTGCCGTGATCGCCCTCGAAACTCGGCGGCACACCGACGGGAATCGCGAATTTGAACGGGTACACGTGGATTCCGGGAAACACCGATGACTTGGCGTGGCCTTCTGAAGGCCTCCACACCATTTGCTCCTCCTCCAAATACGTCACTTTGGCCGAATAGGAGACTTCGCGCGAGCGCCCGTGCGACGACTTTGAGCTCTCCGACATCAACCATTTTGTCGTGGCGAGACCCTCGGCGGCGATTCGAATCGCTTTTACCTTCAAAATGTTTGAATTCTTTATCCACTCTCCAAGTTTCGTGTCAAACTGATCATTTTTCGGCGAGTTATATCGCTTTGAATGTTTGACGGGTCTCGCCACGAAGGGTACGGTAGATTAAAGGCGCAGAGTCAATTCCCAAAAAGTTTTCGGTACAGTTAAAGTGCTCCAACTCATCGGAGCATGATCAGATTGACACCAAACTTGGACAGTGGTTAGAAAAAGAGAAAATCGATACGTCTAGTCGGTTACTGTAACTTTAAAGGCGCATTACACGGACAAACCTTGACGCTTTCGCGTAGATCAAAAGTGACGAAGCCTTCGATCGTGGCTCCGGGCTCGTAAACTTGTTCGCAATTCGACAAGCCGAGCGCCAAGTGAAACGGCATTTTTGTGGTCGGAAAACGTGTGAAAAATGTGTGTGTGTGTGTGTGTTGAAACGGAAGTGAAAATGTGAAGTGAAGTGAGGCGGATACCAATTTAAGTGAAATGCGGTCCCCGTCGGCTCAGGCGGTCCCCGCCCGACATTTCAGAGCTTTCAACAAATCATTTATTCTCTTTTTATGTTGTTTTAGTTTGGCAACCGATGGAATTGTGTGAGGGGGGAATGATGAAATGACAGGAAATATGGACATGACGTAGAGATACTTATTGATCTTGGGTCCGTACTTGCGACAGGCTCAGCAGACGGTTCTCACGTGACAAACGAGTGTTGTCGGCGGTCAGCGTGTCCACGGAACTCTGAAATCACAAAATATCCGTCTTAATTTTATAAGTTTTCACATTTTCTAACCAGTGTCCAAGTTTGATGTCAAACGGAGCATTTTGCGGCGAGTTATTTCGCTTTGAAGGTTCGACGGGTCTCGCCACGAAGGGTACGGTAGGTTAAAGGCGCAGGGTCAATATTCAAAACGTTTCCGGTGACTTTAAAGTGCTCCAACTCATCGGTAAATGATCAGATTCACACCAAACTTGGACAGTGGTTAGAAAAAGAGAAAATCGATACTTCTAGTTGATTTTCAGACAAAAACGTTTGTCGTTTTTCGTGGCGAGACCCACGTACTTTTGTAAACCAAAAAACTGACCCGCATACAAATATTTTTCTGGATGACATCTTCGAGAACGGCCTGTAGACGCGAGTTGACTTCCGTCAAAATCTGCGTCTGCTTCTTTTCGCCGCCCGTGAACATGGCGCCCATTAGAGCGTAAGCGGAGCTTTTTCGTACGATTGGCACCTGAAAAAGTGTGCGAAAAAGTTGTTTTCATTTCGCTTCTTCGGTTTCTAAACGACCACACTAAAGGGCACTACAACGGAAACAACGAGGACTCACTTGGACGAATTCGCAAGTTGCGAAAAGCTGGAAACGGGGCGGTTTTTTCTGTGAAAGTTGATGAAAAAGGGTCAAACCTTGTCGAGAGATCCTTCGGAAGGCATCAAAAGTGACGCTTCTTCGCGGAGTGCAAAGTGTTGGATGATTCTGAAAATAGCAAATCACTTTTCGACACCTTTTCCCTTTTGGCGCTTTTTTCTATCTGTCACCGTTCAAAAGTTCGCTACCGTACTCACTTGGTCTTCTTTTGCAGCTCTTCCAGACACTGCCGAACGTGCTCCTCGAGAAATTCGCACTTTTCGGTGCGTCTGGCCAATTTCCGCTGCAGAATAACGATTTTATCGATCATTATCTGCTGCACATTCTGTTTTTGCACTTGCTCTTCTTGTCGCTTCGCTTCTTCGCCGGCCGCTGACGAGACTTCTTCTTCCCGCGAATTGCTCTGAAATTGTAGCCTTCGGAGTGGTTTTAACGAAAAATTGTCAACTACAAAGTTGAAGTAAATGTCTAGCACTATATTTTTGTAGTTGGCCACTTTTTTATAGAACAACTTCTAAAGCTACTGTGGCTCTTCAAAGTTATAGTACTCCCAATTGTATCCCAAGTTCTAAGAGGTACAGTAACCTGCAGAGTAGACATACCGATAAGTTGTCAACTACAAAGTTATAGTACATGTTTATTACTGCATTATTGTAATTGACAACTTTTTTGTACCGCCACTCTCAGGGGTGCTGTAGCTCTTCCCAAGAGCATTGTCTCGGGAATATGGGTGAGATTACAACCACACCTCCTTGTTCGTCGTTGTTTTCGAGTGAACACATGTGCACCTGTTCAAAGAAAACAACAATATGCGTAGTAAACAATTCTCCAAGATTACTGTAGCTCTTGGGAAGGATTGGGATACGGTTTGTAGAGATAGAAAGGTCCGCAAAGCTTTGAACAGCTACAATGGTTTTATGCGGGGGTGTACAAAAAAGTGATCAACTATAAAGTTGAAGTACATGTCTGGTACGATATTTTTGTAGTTGACCACTTTTTTTTACCATCACTTTTAAAGGTACTATAGTGTTTGAAAGTTGGGCTGCAAGTTTTCATGGCTTCTAGTGTGTCCCAAGTTTGAAGAGCTACAGTACTCCAGGGAGTGGTTGTACAAAAACGTTGTCAACTACAAAAATACAGTACTAAATGCCAAAATTACGTATGCAATTTTTCAGAACGATAGGACGTCTCCAAAGTCTACAATACTCGTTCAAAGTTTGACATTCAGCTCTGTATGGGAACTTTTCAAACGTTTGAGTTTTCTAGACTTCAAAGCACTATTACAGCTCAAAAAAACGTACCGTAACTCTGTCATCGCTCGTTATCGAACTGGCCCTGGATCTCGATGACATCGAAGGATCGGAACTGCCACGTGGCGCCAGACACGGTCCCTGATCGCCGGAATGCGGGGCCGTCCGTCGGTATCCGCTGAGCTCGGCCCTCAATTCCTTCATGCTCGCGCTCGTTTTCTTCTTGAACGCCGCAAAGTTGTTCTTCTCCTCTGTCCATTTGTTCTCCATTTGTTCTACTAGAAAAATGTGCAACTTTTGTGTTTTCGTTGAAAAACAAAACTGTCAACTTTAAGGGTATCTATCAGGGTCCAAATGTTTTTGATGGTCCCCAAAAGTTGTTAGGTAAACTGTTGTGACCTAGTAGAGTATTATTGTAGTTCACCACTTTTTTATACTATCAATTTCTGGACTACTGTAGCTCTTGGAAGTTAGGACACAATTGGCATGCGTTTTGAGTGCTGCAACTTTGAACAGCTACAGTAGGCTTAGGAGTGGTAGCACAAAAATATTGTCAACTAGGAAAATGTAGTTCATGTCCGGTACTGTACTTTTGTAGTTGGCCACTTTTTAATAACACAACTCCTAAGGCTACTGTAGCTCTTCAAAGTTACAACACTTCAGATCAATTCAACTCACACTGCTGACTGCATTCCTCAAACTTTTTCCGATAAAAGTTCTCTTCCAGCGATTCGAGGGTGACCGGCCGGGACGCTTCTTGTTTTATCGCTTTCAGTTGCTCCAGGAGCTCCAAATTTTCATCTTCAAACGTTTTGGACGTCTGGTAGGCCGTCGTCAGTTCCGCGGTCAGCTCGCCGATTTTCGAGGCCAAGGAGGTGTTCTGAAAAGTTGAAAATGCTCAAAATTTTCCGGTTTTTCGATGATTCTTGTTTATTTTGTGTTTTAAGGTGAATTTTATCACTTTCCAATCTTAAAATTGTTTGGAAATATCACTTATCACAAATCTCCAGATCCGTAGGCTCCGCCCCTTTAACCCCTCTTTACCAACATCTTCGCATCAGCGCAGTATACCTCCCGACCACGCCCCTTTCCCCCCTATTGGTGGTCCCCTCGAGTTCCATTCATTCATTGTCTCATTCCATCTTTCATCTACCATCCTTCCATCTCTCTCTCCCTCTATCAATCATGCCACGCAACGAGCAGGTCCTTTCCGGAGACCAGATCCACGAGGCCGCCGAGAATCTGCTCGCAGAAACCGCCGAATTCATCGAATTCATGGTGGAATTTGGCCGGCCCAACGTCAAGGTGCCTCAATTCTTCGTCATCGCCTTCAACTACTTGCGTCGACAAGCGGCTCAACTCGGAATCCGTGAGCCGCTGCTCGAGTCTCTGCCCGCCGCCGTCGAGATGATCCTGGTCGCGGAGGCCGGCACCCCACTCGCCGGAACCCTGCCGTTCGCCGATGCCGATGGAATGCTCGTGGAACCGTCGTCCGATGGAACCGTTCTCTCCGATGCCGTTGGACTCATGGCCGACGTCGTCGAGTATTGTCGGAATTGCGCTCGGATGTCCGGACGACTTCCACTGCTGCCCTTCGGATACATCCTCTCGCTGCTGTCGCTTCAGGAGACGTACCTCGTGGATCGGAACTCTCACGACTACCGAATAGTCGACAGTATCCCCGACACTCTTCAAGGGTATTTGGCTCGAACTTTGGGGAACCTTGTGCCGCCGGGGTATGTGCGCGGAGCCGTTCCACCCTAATTAATTACGATAATAATTGTACTACATACATTTCTCATTTTATCCTTTCGTTTCTATGACTAATAAACTTGATACTAGAAAACCGATTCGTAAACTTCTGGGGGCCACCTCATTCCCAAAGGCATTGTACCGATGTGGGCCATATTTTGGGGATAGCTACACATTGTTGTAAAACTAAATAGGTGCATCTTTTTATGACCACAACTGGACGCATCTGCACGTCTCTGGTCAGCAAGCAAGTCGATAATACTCGTGAGAAGACTTTGACGAACTACTGTAGTCTTGTGCGTCGGCGTACTATGAAATTGTCAATCACAAAGTTGAAGTACATGTCTGGCGCAGTGATTTTGTAATTGATACCATTCCTGTACAATAACTCCGAAGGATACTCTAGCTCTATAAAGCTTTGATAGGAAAAATGTGAAAGAAACGAGACGGGAAATGGATCACTACATCCAAGAGCTACAGTACCCCAGAAGCTGGTCGTACAGAAAAGTGATCAACTACAAAAATATAGTGCAAGACATGCTCTTCAACTTTGTAATTGACAACTATTCAGTACAGCCATTCCCTAAAGTACCGTAAGCTCTCAAAGTTACAACACCTTTTTCAGCAAGCATATTATAGCCTAACTTCCAATAGCTACAGTATCCTTCAAAGTGGTCGTACAAAAAAGTCATCAACTACAGAAATATAGTAAAACTTGTCAAGATTTCAGTCGGCTTCTCAGCACGCCACAAAACGCTCACCTGCTCGTGCTCAGTCTGCAACTGCCTCTGCAACTCCATGTTCCGCTCGGTGAGCTCCTGCGTGAGCCGTAGCATCTTCTCGGCGTGCAGTCTGCACTCGGAAGCTTCCCGCTCCGCCTGCTCCCTCTCCTCCTCCGCACTCTCTCTCTCCTTTTGCGATTCCTCGATCTGGACGCTGCTGCTCGCGACGAAGCTCTCGACGCCTTTGAGTCGTTCGATTTGCTCTTCGCACAGTTTGCGGCGGTCCTCCTCCAGACTCAGCTGGTCCTGGAGAATGTCGATTTTGGCGAGGAGGTCCGCGTTTTCACGGCCCGCCTCTTCGAACTTGGTGGCCATGTCGAGTTGGGAGGTGCGTAGGCGTTCCAGGTCCGAATCCGCTTCTCGGAGCCGTTTTTCGAGGTCCGCAGTGTTGGTTTGGAGTTTTGTTTCGTATTGCTGCAAAACTGACGGGTTACTGTAGTGTCGTAAGATTCTATGCACTCACCGATTGCTTATCGTCTTTCGTTTGGATCAACTGCTTGCGAAGCACCTCCGACTGCTGCTTCGTCTCGCTTAAACTCGCTGTCAACGTCTGTAACAATTCTAGCATGAGGTACAGTAATCCCAATCCCACCCCCACGTACCTCAACCCTCTTCTCGGCGATCTTCATGCGATTCTCAAAGTCGAACCTCTCATGCTTCAGCTTCTCCGCCTCCACCTTCAAATTGTGCACACTCTTCTCGAGCACGTCGACGTTCTCCTGACTCTGAGCCCGTCTCGCGGCGTCCAATTCGTTGCGACACGTCGCCAGAAGGCCGTCTTTCGTCTTGATCTCCTCTCGCAACTTCATCATTTCGCCCTCTCGCATCGCGTACTTCACCACCGCCTCGTTCTTTTCCTTCTCACTTTGCTCCGCTTTTCTGGTCGCCTGGAAATTGAGAAATTGTCGGATTTCGGGCCGAGAAAGTCTAGAATTTCGTCGATTCTATGGGTGCCTCGCCGACGTACCTGCTGCACGGCACTCGTCGTCTTCTGGGTCATCTCCCTGACGGTCACATTGAAATGTGCCTCCTGAGCCGTCGCCCGGTCCGCACTCGCCTTCAGCTGCCCCTCCAGATCCCTAATCCTCTTCGTCTGCGCCTCAATCTCCTTCTTGTGCTGTCCTTGAACATTTCTGCAAAACGTGTTCGGTAGAGCGCACTTGCTTTGAGACTTTCCCACTTTAAAAGTTCCTCGTTGAGATCGCGCTCGCGAATCGTTCGCAGCAATTTTTCGCGGTATTCGGCGTTTTGGGCCTCCAATCTGAACGAATTTATATGGTTTTTGTGAAATTTTCGTCCATGCCAATTTCCAGAAAAATTCCATGGAACCGTGACCGTCTAAAGTTCAAATATCGTCGTTCCCACTGAAAATCGTAGAAACTTGTCAACTACAAAGTTTTAGAGCATTCAATTCTCTATCGATTTGTCTTCTAACCTTACAAAAATCTTCAAAACCACTCAAAATACGTCTGCTCAAAGTTCAAACATTTCGCCAACCTCTCCATCTCCACACTGCACTTGTTGTACAGCGAATTCTCGACGGCGCACGGCTCTTTCGGCTCTTTCACGGGCGTTCCGTACTCGGAATTCGGCTCCACCGGCTCCGCGGACGTTTCCTTTTCCATTATGACGTCATCGACTGAAAATTCAAATAAACTTTCAGCGAAAAAGGGAAAAACGCGAGAAAATCTAATGCAATCGTGTGAAATTAGCTCATAATAGCGTGCGAGCTTTGAGCTCTTTAAGCACCAAATGAGGCTCCGAGCACACGGAGCCGTGACGAAGCACGAGCCCTCTGCGTCTCCGCATTATCGATTTTTCGGCGGCGGAGCACTCGCGGCGCTGAATAGCCAAATTAGGCTATTAACCGACAAAAGGGCTGACACATGCTATATTTTACGCATTTTTTTAATTCCACACGACACAAACTTTGTACTTTTCTTAAAAATAGCTTTAAAGTGATGACAAATGGTCAATCTTCTCAAATTATTCAAGAGCGCACTATCCACAAAAACATGTTTCATTTATTGGGATGGAGAGAAAGCAAAGCGGAAAAAAGTGTGGATAAAAAGAGTGAATCGCCGCAATTTTTTAAAGTTATAACACATTAATTGGGCGGTAAAATCTGACAGTTTTCTGTTAACAAGATGTGCAAAAGGAGTGCGTGGGCGCGGCGAGAAATGGATGGCTTTTATCAGGGGGGGAGCAAAACGAGAATATTAGCGGAAAAAACGGAGAAGAGTTAGAGTTCGTAATTATCCCTGCACAATCGGATTTCTCCACGTGCACAACTGTCTCGACGTCGAGTTGATCACCGACAGCCATTTGAGCAGGTCCGGCTGCGTGTCCGCCGCCAGCATCACTCTGCAAAACATTCGTTTTGGCCTATCCAATTGTTTGCGTGTTAAATTTTGGATTCCGTACCTCAACTGCTCGATTCCCGCTCGAGTTATCGTCGTCTGCGAGGCGATCGTGTCGGCGTCGGATCCCATCGCCACGGGCACCGGCGCGTCGTCCTTTGGCACCCACACGTCAATGTGGAAGCTGTTCGGGTAGGGACAAATGTCGGTGACCGTCGACGCGCCCTCCGATCGACAGCACGTGCTCAGATCCAGCAGGACCAGCCATCCCTTCGTGCCCTCGTCCTCCGGATGCCTCCAGAACTTCATCTCGCCATTGTCGAGCACACACCAGTAGCGCGTCCACGAGCCGAGGCCCTCGCGCGTGCGTTGGTACATCGAGAGGAAGCCGTTGAACGAGATGTCGGCGCCGTCGACCGCCTGCTTCCGCACCTTCATCAGCGTGACGCCTTCGAGCGGATGGACAGTGTGCGACATGTTGTACATCTGAAAACAGTTGATATTGCACTATTCGCTAGTATTGCCGCACAAAATTGCAGGCCTGTGCAAATGGTTTACGGGGTCGGCACTTTTGAGTCACTTGCTCCAAATTTTGAAATTCCATCCCAAAAACTCACATGTTTGCCGGGACAATTAATGTCAAACGAAAAGGTGCCGAGAAGAGTAAAGTTGGAGGTTCCCGACGAGGACAGAATCGGCTGCACAAATGCCGAAGTGTTCGCCGACGATCCGCTTCCGAGGAACGTGTTTCGGGTCTAAAAAGTTAATGGACGTGGGGAAGTTCAAGAATGGAAACAAAAAAGAACAAAAAGACACACAGAGAGACACATACAGACACATACATGCAACTTTCTCCACAATCTACACGGCAACCGCATCTTGCCGCCTCGATCTTCATTGGGCGTCTTCAATCTCGACTCGTACTCACTTCTGTCCACATAATAACACCATTCGTCAGCGTTCTGTAGGGCGGGTTAGTAAGATCATGCGGGGAACAGAGGACACGGTTGGGTTACACAAAAAACATACAAAAAATAAACAGTCTTCAGTTGGAAATCGTGCAATTCGATTGGAAAAGCGCTCTCTCACCTTGGCCTTGAGCGTCGAGCTCTTCAACTTGAACTTGTCCTCGTGGCTCGTCGCCTCGCGCATCGTTCGTTGTCCGTAAATCTCGACGGTGGCGCGGAAGTCGGCGGGGATCGCGTGCAGCTGGAGAGGCACCGGAAACTCGAGGATGCCCTTCCGATTGAGTCCTCCGTCGCTCGTCACCATCTTCGACACGTCCACTTGTTCGCCGTAGCGAAGGACGGCCACGAAGTAGAAGACCTCGTCTGGAACATCTTTCAAATGTAATTCGTCGTTGTTTCTTTTCGATGGAATGGTACCTGGCTTCTTGCTGGCCGCTATATGGGCGGCCACATAGTCTCTGGCCATGTGGACGGTCAGCTGCACGACTGTGATCGTTCCGCGCGGTCCGTCGACACTGAAATGAAATGTTTTGGCTTCGGCCTCCCTGAAACCCGCTTACATTCTCGGTCCTTCTCTCTTCAGTCGTTCGTACTCGGCCACGAGTGCCCGGTGCTTCTCTCCATGCACGAGGAGTGCCCACTGGGCCTCAAATTCCTCGCGCGATCCCCTAAAGTTCGGTTTCTCTCGCGAGAACGCCATCGCTCGTTTCGACTGCGTGATGAGCTCCTCTTCGACGCGCATCGCCTTGAGCAGCCGATCGCGCGTCTCCCGCTCACTTTCGAGCACACGTCCACCGGGCGGAACGGCTCCGACGCCCGACGTCAGCTGCCGTAGCTTCTGCGGCGATGTCAACGAGGCGATCGGCGCCGAGGGGCTGATCGGGGTGGGCGTGGTGCTCGCCGCGTCGCCGACTCGTTCTCGCTGTATTTTGCGGTAGAACGAGACCGAGTAAGGGAGGCTCGAGTTGCCCTTCTCCACCTCCTTCTCGTGCTCTCCGATCGTCGCCGTCGTCTCAACCCGATCCGTTCCCGTTTGGGTTCGATCGCCCATCTCCGTCACCTCCTCCTCCTCGTCCGTTTCTCCCTCGCCGACCGGCACGTCTTCCTCCTCAATCACATCCGATTCGAGCTGAAGTTCTTTGCGTCCACGTCTTCCGCTGCTGAATCCCTCGAGGCGGGCGAGCGGTGCCTGTCCGTCCGACGGGCGGAACGGCGACGGCGTGCCTGTCCCCGGTCCTTCGATGAATCCGAATGCATTATCGATGAAGCGCGACGTGTCCGTTGACGGAATCTCGTCGCCCGAGAATTCGTCTTCGATCGCCTCTCCATCGTCGTCGTTGTGTTCGGGCGACATCGGCGGATCGTCGAACACCTCGTCCTCAAACTCCTCCTCCTCCTCCTGATGCTCGTTCTTTCGTTGTCCGTATCGCGTGTTCTTGGCCGCCGGCGACGCGGTCGTGCTTCTCGGCTGCGAATTGATCGACGACTCCGACGGTCCTTTGCGGCCCGTCATCGAGCGGTGACCAATCTGCAACTGACACAGGGGGTTGAAAAATGGGATCTAGAATAAGAAAAAACGATAAGACCGGGTCGTACCTTGTTCGGAATCGTCGACTCCTTCATCTTGATGGCGGTGGCGATGAGCGAGTCCTCGGTGGCGTCCGGATGGATCGGAGTGCCCGTCGCCGACGAGAATTCCCACCGCGACTTGAGGTTCTTGAGTCTTCCGACGCCCGCACCGCGCACATCCTCCCCGGCCGTCTTGTCGGCGGCGCGCGCTCCCTGCACGACCGGCGTGTTCCCCTTTCCGCGCCATTGGGTCTGAACGACGGGCACCGGGACCGGTGCTGGTGCGTGGGCGTTTTCTGCTTTTCTGGTGGCAAACAGATCCTTCTGGTGTGGTGCCACGTGCACGTGTGGCGTCGCCGTGATTCCCGCGTGACGGGGCGTCGGCACCGGGACGGATGGAGTTGGAACAGACTGAAAACAATGCTCGTTTCTGGGTCAGAGAGAGAGAATTTTATGGCCAACAACTTTCTGAGTTGGCCGTTTTTCATTTTTGTATTATCCAATGGTACCCCAACTTTTCCCGATTATCAATTTTGGTTTGGAGCATCCACTTTGTAAATTTCAGCCCGCAAAGATCATCCAATCTGAAGATATGTCGGTTTAAAGCCGAAAACGTCAGGTACTCGCTAAAACCTGGCATTTTCATTTTCAAATCCAAGAACATCTCCAGATAGTATCCTCTTTTAGGGCTGAAAGAGAGAGAGAGAGTTAAGCGAGTACCCACTCACAATGTTAGTCTTATTCTGGAATTTCTGCTCAAATTGTGCTCGACGCGTTTTCGCCAGCTCTCCCTCCAATGCGGCGGATTTCGACGGCGACATCACCACGACCGCTTCCGGCTGGATCGTCATTTTCGGCGACGACGTACTTTTCGGCGTCTGCAATCGAAATTGACAGTTAGTGGGCGGAGTCAGACAGCAGAAAAAGAAGAGGAAAAGAAAGAAGCATGGTGCAAGTGACTCACAAAGTGAACCGGTGAGAACACAGATTTGCCAATCTCCTTCGAGAACGGCTTCGGCGACGAGATCAGCGCGTGGATCGGCGGGCGCGAAAACGTCTGCGGGGCTCCGGCGGAAGCGGTAGAAGTGGTCGAGGTAGTCCCGGTGGTCCCACTTGTTCCGATTGGCTTCTCGTCGATCGTCTTCTCTTTCGGCGCCTTCTATCCAGGAAAAAACACAAAATATTAGAGGGGTGAGTGCGTGAGGGGAAGACCAAGCATTTATTCAAAAAAAAACTTAATAAATATTTTTTTAAAGGGGCGTGGCTCGCGCAATTAGCAAAAAAAGTTAATTTCACTGGAAATGTTTCAGAATACATTTTAAAAATTTTCAAATGTTCAGCCAAAATCACCAGGCCACGCCCCTTTCCTCATCCATCTTACACGAACCTTTCTCATAAACGTATGCGCCCCATACTCATCGGCCGACGCATTTCGCTCGCGCAAAATCGCCTCCCGGTTGTCGCACGATTGAGCATTAATGACCGTGTTCTCGTGGGTGATCTGCTGGTTCATCGAGAGTTCGCCGCACGAAAGAGACGACGTCGTCACGTTCATCATCTCCGCCGAGCCGCCGAGCACCGTGCTCATGTCGTGCGAGCTGGCCGAGAACGACACGTTCGGCAGGTAGTTCACGTTGACGATCGGCTGCGCGAACTTTATCCGACGCGCCTCGAAATCCGAGATGATCGGCGCGCTTTTCGACGGAATCGCCGTCCTGAGGCCCGTGGAGATGCGCGGACTCGGTCCCTTCATGTACGCCTCCTTCGGCTTGTTGTACTGGCTTGTGTAGTCGAATTCGTAATCGTCCAACTCGGCGGCCAACATCGAAAATCGATTTTTCTTGTTTCCACTCGCCGTCGATTCGTTTTCCGTGGTATTTGATGGGTCCGGAGACGTTTCTTTCGGTTCTGGCTGACGGAAAACCACGGGCGTCTTCGTATTCGGGGTGTTCGAAGAATTTCCGAAGACTTTCGTCGGCGACGTCACTTCTTCGATCTTCACCGTCGACGCCGCCTCGGTTTCGTTCTCTTTGCCGGTCACCTCGCCCTGTCGGACGCGGATTCGTTCCATGATACTGTCAAACTGATTTTCCATCGTATGTACAGTGTGCGTCTGCAAAACTCTGCGATTTTCGGAGCAAATTTACGATTATATCGCATTTTTCGACCAACAATTTGGACAAACTCGTAAAAAGACGAAATTTTGAGCTCCTTGTACGTTAACAATGACGAAAATCCGGTCGAAAAGCGTTGAAAACGAGGGGAAAAGTTCACGCGCGGTGTCACAACAAAATTCAAATCAGCGTGTTTGCCGCGCAGGAAATCCGCTTTCGTGGCGAGACCCGCGCAAGATTCGGCATGTGTTCCTTTGAGCGCGACGTCTGCGTCTCCTCGATCCACACGCTCTTTCGTCGATCGTATCTCGGCGATTCATTTCGCGCCGAATTACAACTGGTTCTTCGCGTTTTCGCAATTTCGAGAATAATCAAGGTCACAAATAGGAAGCAATTCAAATTTATACAAAAAATGCCGAATATTTAAGGGGAAAGAGCTCCGAAAAAGAGCACCAATGGGGGAAAATCGAAACACGTGAGTAAGTTTTTAGTAAAGTTCAGTAATTACACATTCTAACCTGCTTTTATCGAGGTTTTACATCAAATTAAGTATCACAAGCAATACAATCACTACAAAATGTCAATTTTAGGTTAAAAAGTGGGGAAATGTGAATTTTCTATGCGATCGGCGCGGTTTCCGTCTGTTCCGGCTCTTCCTCGTCGTCCTCCTCGAGCACGAGCCGTCCGTATTCGTCGTCGTTTGTTTGGCGCTGAAAATTGGAGATTTTCTGGTTTTTTCAGTAAAGAAAAGTTACCGTGTACACAATAATGACCACAAACACGGCGAGCCACGCGATAAGGCCGAGAGACAGGCTGACGACGCCGCCGATGAACGAATAGTGTCTGCAAAATGAATATTGTCGATTCGAAAGTGCTAAAATCGTTAAAAAAGCGTACTTTGCATTAAAAATGTCCAAGAGTTGATCGCGGGTGCCCTGGTCGAAATAGGCGGTCTCATTGATCCACAGGACCGGCACGATGACATTTGTGGTGTTTTCGGTGACGCTCAGCGATCCCTTCACCATTCCCACGTTGATTTGCATGATCCGTTTCGCCTGCGTCGGAACTCCGGCCGTCGGCTCCAAATCCACAGAGGTGAGGTCGTTGGCGGCCGAAGGGACCGACAATCCGCTCACCGCGTGCCACAATTCCATCGGCGAATTGTAAAAGTGCGGCTGCGAGAGGTAGACTCGCGGCGAGCCGGATTGGCACCGCGACAGGTCGATCAGACCCGCCGGCAGACAGTTTTCTGCAAATTTTTCGTGCGATTTTTGCCATGAATTTGTAAAAAGAAAAACCTCACTAAAAGTCAAGCATTTTTAGCTAAAAACGAACAAATTCTGTCACTCTCGAAATGCGGAAAAGATTTTCTGCTAGAAACTCAAAAGCGCACATCCCTCACTCACCAATCTGAACGGTGGTATTGTCGAAGAACCGGGGCACTCCGTTCTTATTGCAGAACGCGCGATTCTGCGGAAGAGCCGGGTCGTACAGATCCGCCGGGGGGACGTATCTCCACGATGGAATGCCGGCCACGGACACGTCCTTCTGGTACTCCATCTGCACGGATCGGCAGATCGCCGGCACGAAGATGGTCAGCCGATCTTCTCTTTTGAGAAGCGGACTGAACATTTGTCCGTCGGTGCCGTTGATCATCTCGGCGTACTCGGTGTCCCAGGTGCCTTCGGGCATTTTCGTCAAATTATTCCACGTGGCCATTTTGCCAATGTCGAATGCCGACGGAACGCCCGTTTTCACTTCCCACACCCCGTCCGTCGAGCCGTTTTGACCATAGAAGAAGCCGATTTTGCGTTGGAGCGTGTTGGTTTCGCAGAGGAATTGCAAAATTCGATTTTTGCACACCAGATCAACTATCGGGTCTTCGTAGCCGTCGAAAAGGGCGTCTCGGACCAAGACGGTGATGTATGGGGCCTCGGAGACGAGTTTCAGCACCGATTCGATCGCGAATCGGATCCGCACGCCGAATATTGTCGTTTCGGCGGCGTCGACGAGCTTCTGGAAGACAATGTTCGGAATGACGACCTTCGTGTCGAGCTGGCATTTGGGACACGAGGCGGTGGCGTTGAAAAAGTAGAGCTTCTTGTTTTTGTAGAACACGCGTGTGTCGTTCTCCGCGAATCGGTGGTAGATCTTCTCCTGGATTTCACTGAAAATATACGGAAATTGCAGTGAAAATGAACCCTTCCCAATCGATTTTCTCGAAAAACTAACTCAAAAACAAAGGGTCCGATCTGCTGAAGGTTCGGTTTTTCGTGTCTCTTCAGAATTCCGTCCACATTTGTCACGTTGAACATCCAAATGTTCAGCTGAAACGAATACGGCGGCTTCAGCCACGATTCCGTCATTTTATTCGGCACTTCTGTGCCATTTTCGTCGCGAGTGTACCCGAGCCAATCTTGCTGCAAAAAAATGTTTTTTTTTTCGAAAATTTCGCAATTTTCCCCATTTTTTTGGGGTGACTCACCGCTATCACCTGATTGTTGACGATCCGGTCGATCGGGATTCCGATGAGGAGCAGGACTCCGGCGGCGGCAAGCAAAAGCCCGAGGATTGTGGCCGAGCCGAACAGGCACGGCGTCTTGCCGAGCATTTTTCTGCAAAAATCAGAAATCGATAAAGGACTGGATTCTGGGGCAGTCGCGGAGACTGTTTTTTGCGGTTGGGGAGTGTAAACACACACAAGATTGGCTACAAACCCCCATGTTTATGTGTGTGTGGTTGGTGGTGGTGCTGATCACGCGGCGGCCGTGGCCGCCGACTTGGGGATTTCTAGGCCACTGATAATTTTTTTATGATTTCAGCTGGGAAATTGGTTGTTTTGAGGCGTAATGGGGCTATTCAGCGTATGTTTGTTTTCCGTTTTTTTCGTTTTTTTACATCGCTGAATTGGATTTTTTGACGTAAAAAAACGAAAAAAACGGAAAACAATCATTTTTTTCACAGTCTGAATAGCCCCATAAAAATTACTAAAAAGTTGAGAAACAAAAAAAAATCAACACTTTTCATAACTTTCAGCTCGGAATGCAGGCGCTGCTAGATCAACTGCGACAGATCAACGACACCGTCGGTTACGGAACTTGGGACCTCCTTTTGGCTGTAAGTACATTAAAACAGCCGAAAAATCTATAACCGTTCAGTCACACGAAGATCTAAAGCACGAGGTGGTTTATCTGCGGAAACTGGAGCAAGAAAAAGAGGAAAAGGCGCAGGAAACGATCAAATCGCTTCAAAACGCCAAAAAAGAGCTAACCAGCATCAAGAATCAAGTTAACTCCCTGAAAATCGATTATGCAGATCATATCGAATCGGTAAAATCGCAATTGGCCGCCAACGGACTCGAAATGAACAAAGTGGTCCAAGTTTTCGAAAAAGTGCTCGCCGACGCGTTGAGCACTCAAAAATCGCAAATTCTCGCCGAAATTCAGTCGAATGGCACGAAAAGATCGTTCGGAGAGCTCGAAAACGCTGTCCGACACGTTTTGGCGGTGCTGGAGCAGCAAAAAGGGACGCAGTTGAGGAGTATGATCGCGGCGGAGCTCGACGAGTTTTACGCAGAAGCCGTACAAGTTTTCCGGCTCGAATTGTGGAATTTGATGCAAAGCATGGAGTTGCCCATGAAAAAGCCGGCAAAAAACGCGAGTTTACACGAAAATCTGCAAAAAATCTGTCAATTCTCGTGCGATTTGGACGTTGTGCACACGGGAAACTCGTCCGAATCCATTGCGAATCTGATTTCCGCCGCGTTCGGCCAACTCGTCAATCTTTGTGTGGATATGGTCGAGAACGAGAAGGGCGACGCCGATTTCGAATGGATTCTCAAGTGCGCCGACGAATGGGCCGTGAATCTGCGGGATGTGCTCGCGGAGACGATCGGAGAGCTCAACGTGGACGGAAAAGAGCGAGTGAGCGGCGTTTTCGATGCGACATTCGTGAAATTCGTGCACACAATCACCGAGACGTTTTTGACTAAGGTTTGTTGGTTTTTATTGAAAAATAATCTACCAACCTTATTTATTGCAGAACGTCAAAAACCCGCTGCTCTTCTCGAATGTCTGCTCCCTCCTCCGCTGCTTCGAATCCACGTCATCGTTCGATCTGCTCGACGCGGACCTCTTCGAACCGCTCTATTCTTCGCACTTCCTCAGCCGCTGGATCTGCTTCGAAGTCGAGTTCTTCACGTATTCGGCGTCGAAACTGCTCCAGAATCCCGCGTGTTTCCGCCCTCTTCCGGCTCTTTCGATCGGCTCCGCCCCCTCGAACATCTGGGCTTCAGAAGTGACACTGTTCTTCGAAGAATGGCTGAGCCGGGTGGATAAAGACGTATCGGTGCTGGGAAATCTGGAGGCTCAAAAGACGTTCTACGAGACGCTGCACATTTTGATGCTCGATTTGCGCTCCAGAATCCGTGGAATCGCGGGGAACCTTTATTCGGGCGCTTCCTGGTCGAATGACGTGTATCTCGTGATGAACACAATCTGGGAACTGCGACGAATCGTCGAGAATCTGACACTCGCCTGGCCGATTTCGTCGTTTGAAATCGAAAAAGCGTACGAGAAAGAGTGGAAAAGACTTGGTAGTCTCATCTCGGAGTATTTGAATGATATTGTCGATTCGATGGACAACGAAGTCCGAGCTCGGTACATTCCGCCGGCGGAGAAGAATCGATTGATTTCGGAGACGTTCGACCACATCCACAAATGTCTGCACAACGCCTCGTTCAAGGCGAGCAAACCGTCGCGGAGCCCGTTGATTAACATATTGGTCGAAGAGTTGTTCAAGAATTTGCAAGTTCGATTCGATCGCTGGAAGGATCTGTGCAGGTAAGGAGAGGAGTTTTCAGGAGTGATGCGCCTTTAAAATTATATCACAGGTCCCTTTTTTCAGTTTTTTAACACGATTTCGCGGCAGACAAATTTATAAAACAGCGCTAGTGAAACGATCTTAAAGGTAGAGCGGTTCAAAAATTGTGTTCGTGGCAAGACCCACAGGCCACGAAATTGTGCTGCGCCTTTAGTGGTAGCGTACCTCGGTGTCGAATTACGAGTGGGACAAATTTAAAAAAAGCGAGTTTTCACTTGAAAAATCGAACAATTTTCTAGCGTGGATGTGCTCTCGAACTTTTACGCGCAAATCTACTCGATCCTCCTGCCACATCTCGACCAACTCCAAAATTCGACAGCGTGGACACGTGGCGACGCGGCGCGCACCGAAATCTGTAATCTGGACGTTTTGATGAAGATGGCGGCGAACCGGGATCCGTCGGGCGAGCTCGTGCGCACGGCGTTCCGATCGATCGACGAGGAGCAAGTGCTGAAAATGCTCGGCGAGCTCGGAATCCACGCGAGCAGCGACCACGCCTTCCAGGACTATCAAATACTCGCCGAGAACTGGAACACCATCCGAGACCGGGGATACGGATACGGAAATTGATTTTATTACGGTTTTTTAACGCCTCTTCTGATAATAAATGTATTTTTACGGTTTTATCCGGGTTTCTTTTTGTTTGAGAATTGGTCAAAATTCGCTCAGCACCAGCTGTACATGTTTTATCGCGTTTCTCGTGAATTGTTAAAGTTTTTCCAGAAAAATGGCCCTAATACTTGTTATGGGCATTCCGGCAGCCGGTAAATCGACTTTTCGACGGGAAATTCAAAATTCCGCTCCGCATTTGGTCGCCACCACCTCGTTTGACGATTTTCGATGCGAAAAGTGAGTTTTTACGGAATTTCAGGCCAGAATAGCCTGGCCTAGAATTACACACTTTTAGCTCACTGGAAACCGCCCGCAGGACACGAAAATCGTTTGAGAGCCACGTGGAACACGCGCTATCGGCAACGGATCGTCCGATTTGGCTGATCGAAGACATTTTCTACCTGCAAAGTATGCGGCGACCGTTCGAGCGAATCGCCCGCCGCCGCGCTTTTCAATTCGGAATCGTCTATCTAAAAGTGCCGTTTGAGGAGGCGATTCGACGGAATTCGCTAAGAAAAGTGGGAAAAATGAGAGAGGAGACGATTCGGAAGGTGTCCGAACGAATGGAGCCGCCTGCGGTTGCGGTGGTGGTCCCCGAGAGTGGAATCGGACTCGCCGAACTGCTCAGACGGCTCAAAATCAGAATGCCGCACAAGGTTCCGGAAGTTCGTAGGGCTAAGGATCTCGAGACAGTGCAAGAGGTTAGAATTTTCAAAAATTCTGTGCTTTATCGACTTTTAGTGCCCGCGGCCGAGTTATTGTCGAATTTCACCAATCTTCTCAGAAAAGAGTGGATTTATTTTCAGTTGCCCTCGACGCCTTCCGTTCTCGAATCGCTGGACGTGCTTACGCGTCGAATCGTCAGCGACATAATGCAAAACTCGTCGCTCGACGGCCGAAAATTGAGCACAGCGCGTCGGATGTTGTTAAAAAACACCGGTCCCTCTTCCTCTTTTTTGCCCGATTCGGTCGACGTTCTCAAACACGCACTGCTCGATATTTACAATAAACTGTAGCCTTTGGACACATCGACACCTCGCCCAATCGTTTTGCAATTCGACACGTCAGCTTTCCCACCGTGGCTCTTTTCATACGCAAAACAGGCATCATTTGAATAGAGGCCGTCCGTTTCTTTTTCGCTTTTTGTTGCCTGTTCCCTTGTGATACTATAGTCACTGTGTGGTGCTGCGACCAAACGGATTCCCGAATGATCTCGAAGGTCCTGCTAGTTTCAGGTCAGTTTTTATTCTGATCGTTTCGAAACCAAAATTTTGACGCTATTCTAGTCACTAAAGTGTCCTTCAATACATAGCTTTTCGTAGTAAGACCCAACGTCTGATTGCCAGTTGTAGGCTAACGCGCTCTACCGCAATTCACGTGGCATTCAGTTGCAAAATTGTGGGCTGTTAGTTTTCTTCGCGCAAAACTCGTCGCATTCACAAACCGACAGTATCTGTAACTTTTGCAGTATTGTGCCTATCCGTGTGGTGCCAAGGCCAAGGAGCACCGCCCCCAGCACAACCACCGGCTCAACAACAAGCTCCGGCACAACCAGTCCAAACTCAGCAACCGAAGCCAGTGGTCCCAGCTCAACCACCGCCGCAACCACAAGCACCCGTTCAAACGCAACAACCAACACCAGCTGCTCCACCAGCACCGGCGGCTCCTGAAGCTCCCCCTGTTCAAGCCCAACAACCGAAGCCAGTGGTTCAACCTCCAGTCCAACAACAAGCTCCAGTTGCTCAGCAGGTCAACTCTGCAGCTCCAGCACCAGTTGCTCCGGTTCAACCTCAACAACCGAAGCCAGTGGTTCAACCTCCAGTTCAACAACAAGCTCCAGTTGCTCAGCAGGTCAACTCTGCAGCTCCAGCACCAGTTGCTCCGGTCCAACCTCAACAGCCGAAGCCGGTAACTCCTGCCCAACCACCAGTTCAGCCAGCAGCTCCTGTTGCTCCGGCCCAGGCTCAGCAACCGAAGCCCGCTGCTCCAGCACAACCACAACCTCCGGCTGCTCCAGTCGCTCCGGTCCAGGCTCAACCACAACCTCCGGCTGCTCCAGTCGCTCCGGTCCAGGCTCAACCACAACCTCCGGCTGCTCCTGTAGCTCCTCCTGTCCAAGCGCAAGAACCGAAACCAGTGGCTCAACCACCAGTCCAACCACAAGTTCAACAGCAGAAGCAAGCAGCTCCAGAACCAGCTGCTCCACAAGTCAAACCGGCCGCTCCTATCCCCGTGGCTCCGGTTCCGGTCCCTGTTCAAGCACCGCAACCAGTGGTTCCCGCTGCCCCTCAAGTAAAGCCGTTCCCGGCAGCTCCGGCGCCAGTCCAACCACCACAGAATGCGGCGCCTCCAGCTTCTAGTGCTCCGGCTCCGGCAACTTCAACTGCAGCACCTGCTCAACCTGCTGCGGCAAGGCCAGTTGCTGCTGCGGTCCCAACAGCTCCGGCTCCGGCGCCGGCAGCTCCACAACCAGCTCAACCGACTCCGGCGCCAGTTAAGCCTGTAGTTGCTCAGGCTCAAGGTCAGTTTTTGGGTTTAACTGGGGTCCATCTATGAGTCCCACTAAGGGTCTAGCTTGGGATCCAAAGGTCCGACTGGGGGGTCTAGGTATATTTCTATCTAAAACTACTAAAGTTTCAGGTCAAGCTCCGACTCCAACCACTACGACCCGAAGCCCAAAGGCCAAAAGATCGGCACCAACTGCCCAGGACCTGAAAAAGAAACAGTTAGTTCTTGCTGCCCAGAAAATAGGGACCACTTTACCTTTTTCCAGAAACCCGAGCCCTCTGGCGAGTCTCACCAACCTCGGCCCCAGCACAGTTTTCCTCGGCGCCTGCGTCTTCTTCACCGTCGTCGGCCTCGGACTCCTTCGATGCTTCCGCCGCTCCCCGACGGATAATAAACTGAAATTGTTGTAAAATGGACGGGCCTTTCGATTTTTGATGATTTTGTTAAGTTCGAACGTCAACCTTTCACTAGTAAAACGTGTTTCCGTGTTATTCCCACTTTCAAATGTTTCAAAAATTTACAAAGCCGACATTTTTCTTCGAGTTCGACTAAATCGGTAAGATTTTTTGCTAAAAATGAGTGCAATCGCGCTCTGTCACTCAAATTGCAGTTGCTATTCCCTTTTTGTGCAAGAATTTCGAATAGTCAAAAAAATCGATACTCTCTTCGAATCATAAATAATCAACTATTACGGCGGAAAAGCCCGCGAAGTTTGCAATTTTTGCAACAAAAAAAAGCGTACACTTTAAAGGCGCATAACAAAACGAAACGAATTCAGTACGATAGTTCCATCCAACATTTCGATGTGTTCAACCGTCCGCCCACTTCTTTTCCTGCTCCTTTTGATATGGAACATCCGACTGGCCCGTCCGGAAGGGACCAGTCTCGAGAATGAGTTTTTCGATCGATATTGGGTAAGAGAAGAGAGTGGGTACACACAATTTTCGGGGGAAAATACAATAATCGAGTTTTGAGGAAATGTGCCATCTCCAGCGGCTTCAGGACAGGCTCAGGTCACGAAAGATCCGGCTCAAAGTGCAACTCAGGCACCACCGGCGGCAGGTCCAACTCAAAGTTCATCAACTTCTGCGGCTCCGACGACTGATCCTAAGCCAGTCCCAAGCACCCTGGCTCCAAGCACCCGGGCTCCGAGTACCCGTGCCCCTTCAACCGCCCCGCCAACTACTACCAAAGTTCCCACTACACCAGCTCCAAGTACCGTGGCTCCCAGTACCTTGGCTCCGAGCACAGTGGCTCCTAGTACCTTGGCTCCTAGTACCTTGGCTCCTAGTACCTTGGCTCCCAGTACCTTGGCTCCGAGCACAGTGGCTCCCAGTACCTTGGCTCCCAGTACCGTGGCTCCCAGTACCGTGGCTCCAAGTACTGTGGCTCCAAGTACCATGGCTCCAAGTACCTTAACTCCGAGCACAGTGGATTCAAGCACTTCTGCTCCCAGTACCCTGGCCTCCAGTACCGTGGCTCCAGGTACATTGGCTCCAAATCCCAGTACCCCGGCTCCAGTGGTCCCCCCGAACCCGACCTCAATCCCGCCTACGCATTCTCAGTCACAATCTCAATCTCAAAGTCCGCCAACTTCGACCGCCGGTACCGATTCGATTCCAACAACTGACACGACCCACGCACCAACCCCGGCGGCCCAAAAACTGGTCAAAACGAAACAGTGAGTGGGGACTAGAGTATTTTTAGGCCACCTCTAACCAAATCTTCGTTCAGCTCCAAACAATTCGCCTATGAAGTGACCACGTGCGTTCTGATGATTGGTGCATCGGCCGGCGCCCTCTACACATCGATGCAAATGCTCAAACTGGGAAAATCGTTGAGGAAACTCGTGTTGTACGTTGTTGAAATATTATCGATTTTTGTTGTAAAAATTGATACATTTTCCAGAAAAACCCAGAAAACCGATTGATTCCAGCAGGTTTTCGAGTGAAAAGTCGTCCGGAAGATCATAACTATGAACTCGTTTTTCAGAGAGTTACAAAAAAAGATACATTTATCGAAAGCGCTTACTGTTTGGACTGTTCTTGTTGTTTTTTGATCTATTCATGCACAGTAGGAATTATTGATTTTCGAGTGCGGTCTTTTATGCGGCGGTCCCGTCATTCGCTCCACTTTCTCTCTCTCTCTCTCTCTTATTCCTCTACTACAATGTGTGTCCCACTCCCGGGCCTCGAATCGTCGAATTTGGCGCCTGCGGACATTCGTCGTGGCGCCCAACATCTTCTCCGCGAGATCACCGACTTCATCGAGCACAAAGCGGAACTCGGGCGGCCCGTCGTCAAACTTCCGCTTTTCTACGTCGCCGGTTTCAACTTTCTGAAGCAACACGCCGAGAAGACGGGAATCCGGGACCCGGTCCTTGATTTTTTGCCCAACGCCGTCGAAATGGTCCTGTTCACGGAATGCGGACCGCCGCCGCCCGGAACTCTTCCGATCCTCGATGCGCGGCGAATGCTCGTTGAGCCGGCCGCCTCCGAAACATCGCTTCTGGCCGACGTCGCCCGATTTTTGGGCGATATTCTCGAGTATTGTCGGAACGCGGTCCAAATCAATGGAGGACGGACGATGCCGCCGCTTCCGTACGCGTATCTGATGACTCTCGTCTGGTTCCAGGAGACGTACCGCGACGATCCGAGCACGCAAAACTTGCGATTGGTGGCGAGCATTCCGCGCCTGATGCAGGAGTATCTTCGTCGAGCACTCGGCGATCTCGTGCCGCCCGCCTACGTCGATATTGCGGCGAATGGATCGAAGTGATCATCAATGTGATGTTTTGTACTTTTCCTCTTGTTTTTTTTCCCCTAATTCTTTGTTCCAAATAAATTAATGATTCAAATCGGCAATTTCTGGGGCGCCTCGTTGTTCCGTCCCCAATTCGTGTTTTTCAAGCATTTTTTGAATTGAAAATCTGTTATTCGTCAAAAATCGGCTCAACTCATTTTTCGAATTCGGCAAACGAACGCAAAGAGTCCGAAGATCTTCCAGAAGACGAGAATCGCGGCGACGGCGACAAAGTCCCAGTAAAAGTGGCCGACGGCAAAGTCCTGATCGTGAATCAGTTTTAGGCCCGTCGAGCATTCAATGTCAAACTGCGGATTCACTTTTTGATTGCATCCTGAAAAACGAAAGTTTATATGCGCTCTAAAGCATTTTTGGCGTTTTTCTCCTCAAAAAACCGATTGTTACCGTACTTCAAAGGCGCATGACTAATTTTTCAAGAAAATATAATGAAAGAAACAGGACAGACCATCAATCGGTCCGATATCTTTGAAAAACGCAATCATAATCGCCTCGAACGCGTAGTGGTACCAGGAGACGTAGCTGAGCGGCTTGTAGTACCACGGAACCGCGTCGACCGTGATCAGAAATCCGCCGAAAACCATTACGGGCACCGAGATCAGCGGCGCCACCATCATCGACATTGTCACGTTTCCGCACAGCGAAACGACGGCGTGAGCTGCAAAACACATGACGTTTTGGAATTTTTGCTATCGATTTTTGATAAAACGCGTATTTTCACGACTAACTATGCAATCGCGCTCTGTCGCACACATTTTTAGGTAATTCTAGGCCAGAAAAGCCCGCGGCGATTTGTTTTTCGACTGATTTTTTTGCAAAACTCACACAACGACGTGATAATCATGGACATTGCAATGCACATGACCAAAAACGTCGACATTCCGATTGCGGTCACAGGGAGTCCGGTCATAGAATAGATGATTCCAAAGAAAATGAGCGGGAAGCCGAGATGAAGAAGAGACTAAACACAAAAAAATCAATACTTTTTTGAAACACATTTAGATCCCCGACGTCTGTGAACGATCTGGCCATGAAATAGGCGCTCGGCGAGTACATATTCGACTGATATTCTCGTACGACAACCGGATAGTCGTCCCAGAAGCTCTGCAAAGATTACTGTAGCATGGGGTGGTCCCGTAACTTGTCGTAAAGTCGAGCGCATACGTACAATGAGGCTGGGCATCATGTAGAGAATGTTGTTCATTTGCAACGTGGCAAATATGACGCCCTTGATTCCGAGAATGTGATCTTTGTGGATCGGCACTTGGAGATAGACCATTCCGAGGAACCACGAGACTAACTGGAAGGCAAATAGGCTACAAGGGGCGTGGGTTGAGGACGAACCACAGTGAGAATGAGTCTCGCCAAAATGTACTTTTTCCGGCGAGAAATCTGCACAAGACCTCGACGAGTCAGCGCGCAGAACTGGAAACACCAAGTGCGCGCAGCGACCGTCCGTCTCGTTTTTCGAGTTTCCGATTCGCTTTTTGCCGGAGACTCGGTGCACGTCTTCTGGCGGCGCAGAATTCGGTCCATCCGACGGTCATAGTCGGATTTCGATTCGTCGACGGCTCGGGAGAGCACTCGAATGAAATGATCGCTGACGCTCGCGAACGGAGGAAGTGGCGAACCGATTCTGGACGCATAGAAGATGAGTTTTGACTGTCAAACTTTTTTTTTTCGGAATCTACACATCTAGTATGTTATTTTTGTAGTTTATCACTTCTAGGCCTAGTGTAGCGCTTGGAAGTTAGAGCCTAAACTTGCGAGACAACTTGTTACCTCTGCAAAAACCGTTCGACGTTCCGGGCGGCGCCATCGTACGCGACTCGTCCCTGACACATGAGGATCAGCCGATCGGCCATCTGCCAGACCCACGTGCTCGGCTGATGGACGGTACAAACCACGATCATTCCCTCTGCCGCCAGTGCTTTCAGGCACCGCATCGCCTGCAGAGACATGTACGAATCGAGTCCGGAGGTGGGCTCGTCGCAGAAAAGGATCGGAGGATCGGTGAGAATTTCACAGGCGAACGCGAGCCGCTTCTTCTCGCCCCTCGAGATTCCCTTCTCTCGCAACGAGCCGATCCTCGTGTGCTCGCACTTTTTCAGGCCGAAAGTGGAGAGCATGTGCTCCACGAGTCGGGCTCTTTCCTCTCGCGGCAGCACTTTCGGCGAACGCATCTCGACGGCAAAGTGCAGCACTTCGGAGACGGTCTGACTGGCGATGAACACGTCTTCCTGCTGCACGTACGCACTTATCCGTTTCAGGTCCGATGCGTCCAGTAGGCGTCTGAATCGTGAAATTTTAATGAACTGTAGCACCGAAAGTGCGCAAACACGACGTACCCGTTGAGTGTGATCTCTCCGCTCATCGCCAATCCGCTTTTGTTGCGCCCGGTGAGCACGTTGAGCAGAGTCGTCTTTCCGGCGCCACTGGAGCCCATTATGAAGGTGAGCTGTCCGCCGAGAGCCCGTCCACTCGCTAAAGATTATTTTAGGCGGTACTGTACACGTGGACGCCACGCACCGCACCTTCACTCAAAATCGTCTTCTCTACCTTTTTTCGTCGGATCAACTCCACGTCGACTCGTTTCCACTTCAAAATTCTCTGCTTCTTCGATTTTTTCTTCGATTTTTTCAGTTTTTTCAGCTCTTTTTCTTCGAATTTCACTGGGGCCGGAGCGCGGAACCTTAAATCGGCGCCCTCGAAATCCTCGTCGACCATCTGAGCTTGCACATTTTTGGCCGGAGCCTCTCGGTCCGAACGGGCGGTCTGTGCCGTCTCGTCTTGTGTCCGTTCGGTCGCGTTCTCGCTTTTTGTGGCAATTTGAGTTTGTTGCTAATAAAAATGGACAGAGTGCGGTGGAGCGCACTTGCATACCCACCTCAGTCGCATCGGAAATCGCATCGTCGACGGTTAATTCGTTGCTCATTTTGTTTTTGTGAAAAAAGAAAAGGTGAAAAAGTATTGCGGACTTGAGAAGGGTCACGTGCGAAAAAGTGAAGATAATTATTGCTCGAGTTTTTGAATATCGCCAATATAAACTCCACATGGAAGTAGAAACATTTTTCGACTCTTGGTTTAAGTTGCACACTTCAGTCAAGTCGTACAACTTTTTCAAAGGTTAAAAGATATTCTCTCCACATTTTTTCGGGATTTCACGCTGATGCTGTTGCTGCAAAGTGTAAGTTTTTTCTTTGTTAAATACTAAAATGATGTGTACGCGATTGCGCGATTGCAGAATTTTCTTGAAATTTCGTCATAAAATTCTCGTTTTTTTGTACTTTTCGCCCCTAATGCGCCGAAGAAATTGATAAAATTGAGAATATCAGACAAAAATTCATTCCATAAGTTCATCATTTAAAAAAAAAGAGTTCAGTGTTCCGAAAATTCCTCGTCAGACTCGTCCATCCAATCGAGATTATCGCCTTCCTCATTCAATTCCTGCTCTTGAAAACTGCCACAAAATCCGATTCCGATAAATTCCCAATACAATTCTCGGGTCGCAACGAACAGAAGAGAGCCGAGGAAGAGCAGGCCGAGGCATTGGTAAACCAGGTCAAGGTTTTCTTTCGCCATCGGCGTTTTCTGAATAAAATGTGATTTTTCGCGAAAATCATCAACTTCTTGTCGTAACTTTGTGAACGTTTCGCCGGCAAATTTTTTACCCTTCTCATGATACGGTAAGCAATTCTGTGCATTCGAGCAGTTGTGTCACACATTTCATGAAAAATCACGCGAAATTTTCCGGGTTTTATGCTATTTTTTCAGAAACAAATGTAAATTTACACTCACCCAGAGCACCATCGGCGGTTTTTCGCCGCACAACTCCATGAAATACGCCTCGATCGCATCGAACCGGGCGGCAAATCGCAAATCGATCTTCACGAGACTCATCAGCAGTTCTTCTTGAGCGGTCCCATTCGCGAAACATAGCTCCACGTCGACTTCGTTAAATTTGACGGCCGGAAAACGCTGAAGTTTCGAAATTCGTGTCCAGAAATTCACTCTTTCGCTCGAGCTCCCGTCAATCTCATCAAAAGCCCGCAAAAGTTCGCCGAGAAACGTTGCGATTTCATTTCTTTGCTTCCCGTTCGACTGCAGAAGTGCTTTGAGCTCTTCGCGTCGACACCACGAGTTCCAAATGATTTCCATCGATTCGACAGCCGAATGAAGCTCTGCGGAGATGCGCTCAACATTCTCAAGCACTGGAATTCGGCGGTCCGGCACTTTTTGAAATTTTCGGGCGGCTCGGAAAAGCTTGTACGCTTCCACGGGACCTTCTCCGATAGATTTGACTCGCTTTTTAAGTTCGTCCAAATTGCCACTCCCGAGATTTGCACGAACTTGATAGAGAGATGATGTCAAATTCATGAACCCACTTATCGCGTCTTCCGCTTTTTTCGGCTCAACACACTTTAAAGCCTTGTTGGCGCCAGTTGCTTCTTTCCAATCGAGCACCGCTTTGTACGCGTATTCAAAGTCCGGCAAGAGCGAACTCCAGTACGTTTTCCCTTGATTCATCACTTTTTGAATATCGTCTTTTCGCTGTGTAAGCCTTGATTGGACCTCGGTCAAATTTGGGAACATTTTGAGGTTTTCCAAGATTACGCTATTATTTTTAAGCGAAAATTGAGCTTGAAACTTTGAGATGAGCTCATCGGAAAAGCCATCATCAGTGCCTTGAATTGCTGTCATAAAGTTTTTAAATTCCACGTCGAACGTCCCGAATTTCGTCTCCAAACTCGTCCAATATGTCGGCGAAACCCTAGGGTCCAAGTTGAGGTCTTTTGTGCATTTCAAATATTTCGAAACTTCCATAAGATTCTCAAGAATTCGCGAAGATTCCCCGCCACATACCATATTGTACGAAATACCAATTTTTGTCCAGGCGTCGAGCACTTTCTCAAAATCCGCGTGGAAAGTGAGAATCGGCTCTAGTAGGGTGGCAAGTTTTTCGGCGCCTTTTCGATTTGACACCATTTTATTGATTTTTTGCAGATCGTTCTCCTCAAAGTCCTTGAGAAACAGATGGAGATGTCCGGGTTTTGCGGGAAGTTTTTCGAGGTCCTCTGTGAACTTTTGAAGTTTTTTGAGGGTTCTCAGGCCCCACAACTCTTGGAAACGCGTCAATAGAATCTCAACATTCGGCGCTTCTTCTCGCACTTTTTTAAATACGTATTGGTTCGGAAAGTTGTCTATAAGGCCCCTGACCTTCGAAACTTGAGCCAAAAGATCGTCCTGAGCGTCCAGAAGCGTCGAATTCGCCGATTTAAAGCTTTTCTCAAAGGTCGTCGCGACGCTCAGTCCGTCTCTCATCGAATTTATAAAAGTCTTCAAATTTTGTGGTCGTTGAAAATTCGGGATCTGACCAATCGAATCGATGAGCGTCTCGATGAGGCTTGGATACTTTTGGGAATGAATGACCAGGTCCAGGAAGCGTTTGAACTCTTGCAACACGCGACCACCCAGTTCTTCATTGAGTTCCGTAAATTTCTCGCCGAAAACTTTGACGCTTTCGATGAAAGGAGTATGAATGAAATCCGGACACACTAAGGGACGACAGGAGAAATTGTCCGCCGATCGGATTGGGATATCGCCCAATTCCGATTGCAAGTCGTCGACGAGCCCATCCAGTGTCAATCCTTCGCCGACTTCCATCAGTTGGCCAATGATTTCCGATTCTTTTGTGGATAGTTCTTGTCCCAGCCAGATTACATCGATAACTCGAGACAACAAACGAGTGTCGTTGAGGAGTTGAGCAATGGGCGGAGCTAAAAAATTGCGATCGGGTCTCGACACGAATTTATGCGATTTCAGAGGCATTTCTACGTTTTTGCCTGTATTTCTAACCCGTTCGGCTAAGCAAACATGCTCCGCTGCACGCAGCACTTTTCTAAATGCATTTTTCTTGAAATTACATTTAAAATGTTAGGTTTTTCCCACTAAACTGGGAGTTGCAAAGTCGTGAGTGCAGCGGAGCGCGTTTGCATACCAAGGCTCACCTTGTGCTTGTACTCCATTAGTATAAACTGCCAGGAGATAGACAATCACTATAGAGAACCCTGCAAAAATGTTCCTATGTTTAGGTACGCGTCTTTAAATCCTTTCTTACCTGTCATTTTGACGATTGCTCAACGCAAGACGTTCTCGAACAATAATAATTTCTCTCTCAATCGGGCGGGGGCGGTCAATTAAAAAAAGGTGGTCACGTTAAAAATAGAAAAAAGTTCGACGCGAGTAATTTATTTTTCATGAAAAAGTCGACAAAATCTACAACTGAAATTCACGAGTACATACAAATACGTGACCCGTTGGTCGAGCACAAGAAAAAATTACGTGAGAAGATTGATAAGATTGATAAAATTATGTGAGAAGATTGATAAAATTGGGTTAAATTTTAAAGTTTTTTTTTAAATTGCACAATTATCCGTAGTCCATGTTCTGTTGTCCGTCGTGCTGGAAATTAATGCGTGAAATTTGTGGGCAGCTGATTTGCGACAGGTACGGATCGAGCGAGGCGGCAATCTCGTTGAGCACCTCTTCGAACACCTTTTCCTTCTCGATATCTCTATTCACAACGGCCGTTTTGTAGAAGAGTTCCGCCAGAAGCATTTCTCCGTTGGCGCGCGATTTTTGGGACGCAAACGTCGCCTGTTTCACGTTTGACATGTCCTGGCCCATCACCGCATTGTATTTGTCCTGAGCATTCGTGTAACTCTGAAAACAAAATTTTTTCAATAAAACAAGCATTAAAGTATTCCAAAACGGCACATTTTTGCAATTTTTTCCGCAGCAAATTGCTGTTTATCGATTTTTGCAATTATCTGCTGAAAAAATCAATAAAATTCGAGGAAAAATGGTAAAAATATGTCTTTTTAGGGTTATTCTGGAACAATGCCAAAGCACTGAATTGACTATGAAAATTACCAGCTTCAGTTCATGAATATGACCATCCTGCTTCTCGCTGATTCTCCTGAACACTTCCTCCCTCTGGCTCTCGATCAATCCATAGAATGCTGCAATTGTTAGGTACAACTTTCAAATTTTTCTTAATTTTCTCTACCTTCCGGCATTCCGTACGGCGCGTTATTATCGAAACGGGATGCGTTCGCATAGGCATTTCTAATTTGCCTCTCGTGGTCCTCATTCTTTATTGTGAGCTTTTCTAATTTCTCCTTCAGCCCCGGCAGTTCTATTTTCATCTTCTCTTTCGCTTCTTTCCGGCGCGCAACGCAATTACTCGCATTCTTGCGGTTCTGCTCCATTTTCAGCAATTTTCTATCTTCCTCGGTCTGCAAGAAACGATCTTATTCTGCGCGAAAAATCGAGTCAAAAAATGATTACCATCGCCTCCATGTCGGCCTTTGTTCGTCGCGCACGGAACGTCGGCTTCTCGTAGGCGACGAATTTGCGCGATTTTTCGCTTTTCACCGAGCACACCGACATCTTACGGCCGCCACGTGTACGCATATCCGCCGACGATTCGTTGCTGTCTGCAAACAAAATTATGCATCTCAAAATTTGAAAAAAAAATCGGCTTTTTGAGGCCTGGACTTTTGGCGCACTTGTAATAATACGATCGGACCGAAACTTTGCAGGCTTCTGGGACTTGGATTGAAGTATTTTGGGTCCAAGTTTCAACCCGATTGGATTAGCTGATCCGAGATATACTGGCTTGAGGCCGCCAAGGCCGCAATTTTCGCAGGCCTTTTCGGCCTCAATCAGACCGGATGATCGGATCGGTCTGAAACTCGTTTCCAACATACTTCAGTCCAAGAACAAGAAGTCTGCAAAGTTTGGGTGCGATCGAATAATTGCAAGTGGGTCAAAAGTCCAGGCCTCTTGATAAATTCAGGTTTACAGACATTTCAAAATCGGAAAACAATAAAAATGGCTTACTATTCGAGCGAACGTCTCCGATCGGCAGGTCCGAGACGGTGAAGGCGGGGCTTGCGGGCGAGGAGAACGGCGAGAGAAGTTCCGATGGAGAAAGGGTGAATTCATGTGGATCCGAGTACGGACGGTACTCGGACTGCCCGAATTGGACCTCGAAAGCGGGCGTCGGCGACTGCAGCTGTTGCGAATAATGGAAACTGTATTTTGTGCCTGGAAAAAGCAACAAGTTGAAAAAAGTGAATGTATTTTTTTCAAATCGATTAATACAGCACAGAAGGGCACCTTGCCACTTACTACACGTTGAAAAAATCTGCTAAATGGAGGCTACAACGAAGTAGAACTCGCACGGTGTTCGGAATGGAATTGTTACGATTTGAAACTCGATTACCAATTCAGAGCGCTTGCATTCATATGCACATTGTTTCCGCGAAAATTGACGGAATATTCGAGTTCGTGACAAAAGGTCGGAAAACCAGAAAGGCCCGAAGCCAAACGGTCGGAAACAGTGCTAAAAGGTCGGAAAACGTTTTTTTTTCGCCCAGTTTTCCGACCTTTTGGCATTTTTTCCGATTTTTTGGCTTCCGACCTTTTTGGTTTTCCGACCTTTTGTCACGGACTCGAATATTCCGTCAATTTTCGCGGGAACAATGTGCCATGAATGGAAGCGTGCTCCATTGCTAATCGAATTCTGAGAAACTTACACGGCTGAAAATCCGCTCTGTATGGTTCGTAAATCGGCTCGCGAGGACAGAGTTCGGACGCTTTCGGAGTCATTTGATGATCCAAGTCTGGAACTCAAATGGTGCATACTCAGAAAGAACAATTCCCCCGGGGAAAGACCTGAAAATGGAAAAAAACAAATCTTAGGAAAGTCCAATCACGCTTAGCATTAGCAATCCTAACAGGAAAGGGGGTGTGGCACTATGAAACGTTCGAATTGCTCATTCTTGCCTCAAACTCACCAAAAAACTCCTTCTCCTCAACGTCCATCGGTGGGCAGTGCAACTCAGAAAGGCTAATGTCACAACGCGGCTAAAACGTGAGTTTCTGCCCATTTTCAATGATTCTCTACTATTCTTACCTTTTCCTCCTGGTCAAACATGTCAATTTCGCATCGAATTTCGTCGTTTCCGACCGTCGGCACCGATCGCTTATCCGATATCACCGGGTACATGGGCAGTAAACCGACGGCCGCAATTTCTTGCTCCGGCACCAAATCCGCCTAAATTTTATATCGACAAATTTTAAATTTGAATGATTTCTCAATTCTAGTGCTTCAAAAACTCGCGACGAGACCCATTTCAAAAAGCCGATTCCTTACCGCGTTGCCGAGAAAATTCAAATCGCCCACGGAGAGTTCGTCGATGTCATCGTTTCGATTGTTGCTCATTTTATCTGTATACACTAATTTTCATTTAATTTGGCAAAAATAAATAAATCGAATTAAAATAGAAATTGAAGCGAAAAAGTGTCACGAGAGAAGTGTAAAGACGCGGCGGCGGCGCCCTTCTCCCTTGCTAGCCCTTAAATTGATTTTTCGCTCGATTGATAAGACCGGGCAAGAGAGGCGAAACGGCCGACGAGCAGAGTGATCTGATAACGAAAAACGAGGGTAAACACTTTTCCGGGTGGAAAAATTCAGAACAAATTTTCTCTCAGAAATTTCGCAATGCGACCCCGGCCGGCCGAAGGAGGCTGGCCAAAGAAGTGCTTGTGGAGGGGGTTGCAGGGTTATCACAAATTTTAAAACTGAAAGACGTCAATATAAATTCGAAAATGTATTTATTTTCACTTGTTTTTCCAGGAAAAACGGTTTTCTCGGAAATGAACTTGATTTTTCAGGTTTTCTGGAATTTTTCAGCAAAACATTACCATTAAAAGATCTCATTTTGCAGTTCTCGATCATCGGAATATGACGGTCTGAAACCTCTGTAGATTGTCTCATGAAATTAAGCAATTTTCGGTGAAGACGAGAAAATTTTTTCCCAAAAGCTTTGCGAAAATGGGCTATGCGCCTTTAAACTACCGTAGCCCGGCAACTAATTTTGAATTTTGAAGTTTTCGAGCGGAAAAATAGACAAAATCTAAGCAAAGAATGCTTTGTTATTCGATTATTTTCAGATTTTGATAAAACATTTCTTGAACTGTGTACTTTCAAAATAAAAATTTCGATAATAATTGCATTGAAAAATATACACTTGAAAACCATTTTTCTCTTCACAAATTCCATTCCTTCTCGAATCGCAAAAAGAACCTTCTAGTTTGGCCAAGTCCTCGTCAGCGTAACCGCGAACACGGCCACGCGAAAATGCACAGAAGCCTTCGGCGCCGCGGGGAAATATTTGAAAAAAAAAAGACTTAATATGTCTGAGTTGCAGGCTTCTTGGGCCTGGATTGAAGTTTCAGCCCGAATTGGTCGAAAGCCCGGGCTTTTCGGCCAAAATCGACAAAGTTTGGATTCGATCGGAATATTACAAGTGGTTCAAAAGTGCAGAACAACGCCCCGCTTTTTTCAACAAAATGTTTTATTTAACAACAGATTCATCGTGAACACATGTCCAAACTTCCTGATAATTCTCCACGAATCGAATGAATTCTTCGAGTTGCGCCGTCCGATTCAGCTGTATCAGATCGTTGAGCAACTGCTTCGGAATCGCTTTGACGAGTGGCGCCGCCCGTGGCACTATGCTCCGTACGTACTCGTCCGCCAGTTTCGAAAGATCTTTTTCGCGTGCGAGTTGCTAAAAATTTGTCGTCTTATTCTCACGTTTATAAAATGTCAGAAAATAAAGGGAACGCACGTGTTCGTAGAGCGAAATCTGATATAAATGGGTTCGCCACTCCATATGCTGCTTGGCGCGGATCTTTCTCGAGCCCAGCGTTCCGATAACTCCTCTTTTGTCGCGCAGATCGTCGGACGCCTTTTTGAACTCTTCCTTCGCGTCTTCTAGTCTCTGCAAGTCGCAAAGTCTGTTTTTTTCCGAAAACAAGTACGTTTCCGAAAAACTAACACAATAATTAATGTTGACGGTCTCGTCGCGGGCCTCCAATTTCTGCCACTTTGCCACCGCCGCCGCCCGTGTCTTCTCATAATCCGTCCGATTTTTCGTCTCAATTTCCTCGGACATGGTGAGTAAATCGACGGCGAAACCCGCGTTCCGCTCCTTGTATTCCGTCGTGTTTTTCAGCGAATTTATCTGATCGACGAGCCGTTTACACCGAATTTCCGCCTCTCGCCGCTGATCCTTCTTCTTTTGCACGCACTTTCGCGCGTATTCACGATTTTTTGCCATTTGACGACGACGTTCCTGTGCGAAATCGATTTTGACGACTATTTTTGAAGTGCTAAACGGTTTTGCGTCGAGAAATTTGAATGGAAACGTAGATTTTCGGGAATTTTTCGAAAAACGAAGCAAATTTTTTGCGTTGCGAAACCTCTTCTTTGCCTTTGGGCTGACGCCTCCTGGGACTCGTCCAATTCGAGTCAATTCCATTGAAATTATTGTCGAACTCGGTCTCGGCTTGCAAAATCGGCGGCAAATCGTTATCATTGGGCGGCGCGTCCGAGTCGGCAATGTCCATTTTCAACGCCTCGGCCAACAGTTGAAATATCGATTTGTTCGGACTCTGACTCGTCAGCTCATCCAACATTTGCGTCATCATTTCGTTGTTATAGTCCAGTGGTCCGGTTTCGGGCTCTTCCGCCATTCTGCAACCGATATTTTTTCAGTTTTTGGGGGGGGGATTTTGTTCGGAACCGGGGTTGAGACACTTTGCAACTGTGTGAGTGTGAGCGATGGGATGCCTCGCAGTTGCAAAGTGTCCAAACGTAACTTTAATGCTATAGGGTGTTCCATAGAGTGTCTGACGTTTTGCAACCAAATAGTGTTCGGTTGCGAAACGTCGTTAGCTTGCACAATACTACGGTGGTGCCTATAAAACGGTCGGAAAACGGGAAGCGCCTGGGTTGTTTGGGACGGCGAGACGACTGATAAGAGAACAACTTCTTGCTAAGGATGGCGACGAAGAAGAAGAAGAAGAAGAAGAAGAATGGAGAGAAGAGAGGGTAACACGACGTGTTTGCTGACATCTTTTGATGATGACGATGAAAGGGGAGAAAGAGAAAGAGAGAGAGAGAGAGCGAGAGAGAGAGAGAGAGACTGTTATGCCTTTCGACCTGAGCAGGACGAATTGCGATGTGATTAGCGAGTGATAAGGGCGGGAAATTGCCTTGTGGCCTGCAAAAACGTCGGGCTGTTTTGACACCACGGCTATTGAGGACTAGAACGCGTTGTAGACAGTTGCAGAGTGTCGTGTAGTTGCAGAACGTCACAGTGCGAGATGGTACAATGGAGCACATAGAAGAAACAATGCTGCTGCCGCTGACTCATTCGTTTCGTTCTAAGCGTAGACGTGTTGGTTGGTCACCCCCGAGGAGAGCCTTCCCACAATTATCATATCACCACCATTCGTCCGATTGTTCGATTCAAAGTGCCTATGGAGGTGGGGAAGGCGGGAGAACCAGTTGATATGATACATTCCCTCTCTCTCTCTCTTTTCCCCCCGCTCTCAGTTTGCTGCTAAGATAGACATGTTTGTGTGCGTGTGTGTTGCCATCCACCGTACACTGTACAAAGTGTGGAGACCGCAGACATGCCTCCCCACATCACAAAGGTGATAAGGGACGAATGACGCGATCGTGTCTCCATCGAACTGTGTGTCATGAGAAGACCCCTCCGAAGGTGCTGAGCATGTATTTGTGTGTAGGGGCTATTGGAGCACAGAACGATCGAGCAGTGTACAGTTTAAAACGAAAAGCAAGGAAGTGGTACAAAGCGCGCTCTTCCACACGTTTCGACAACTTTGCAGACGGACAAGACTCCAGTACTCGTTGAGCAATTTGCTCAGCGTGACGAGCATCCTCTCCCAGCACGACGTGTTTGGCTCTGTCTCCGGAATGAACGGACCCAAACCCCAAAACTTGGGCACCTCTACTGAATCGATTGATTGGCATCAACCGTTTCTGCTCATTCTACACTGCGCGTCATAAAGATCCAATTATAGTGTGTTCGAAGATTTCGAATTTTGTCCGGAAGCACTTAACATCAGACTTGCCAAATCCCGGGCCGGGCCGGGCCAGCAAATCGTCGGCCCGGCCCGGCCCGGTCGGCCCGGAAGTTAGACCTCAAAAAAAAATGCAAAAAAAATATGAAGGAAGAGGAAAACGCGTGCGGCAAAATTGCTAAAATGGCGTGCCAGAGTTGCAATCAATCGCTCCGCCCACTCTTGAGAAAATTTTCGTAATTTTTGTGAAAATTTTGCAATTGCAAAGAAAATTCAAAGAAAAGAAAATGCAAAGAAAATTTTAAACAGCAATTTCTATTTTTTAACAGGTTTTTATGCTATAACATTGCCTTTTTAAGTCTATAAAATTATGCTCGTTTCGAAGTTCTAGTTCGCTTTGAATTTTTAGGTGCATCCTCCCGGGCCGACCGGGCCGGGCCGGGCCGGAAAATTTCCAATTTTGGCCCGGCCCGGCCCGTTGCAAGTCTGCTTAACATCTATCAGAACAACACTATAATTGGATCGTTTTGTTAGAAACTCAATAAAAACACAAAAGAATAATGAAACTTTAATAATACAACCCAAAAACCTGAAAATTATCTGAAAAAAGCACAAAAAGTTGAAAAATTCCTCTATTTTTGGGGGGTGTCCTATCATTATGGCGCGCCCGATTTTAAGACTTTTCAGTGCTGTAGCTTTAATTTTCGAGGTAGGAATCTAAAAAATCGGTTTTGTAGGTTATTTTGAATGCTGAATCGAATGGCATTTACAGTTTTTCTCGAAAATGTTTAGTTCTCTCTAGAACGTCATTTTAAGGGGGGTGTCCTATCTTTATGACGCGCACTGTATTCGCTATCAGAAACAATTAAGAAATGTACAGTTTAAAACGAAAAGCCATTGATTTATCCGGGATTGAGAGCAAGGAAGTGGTACAAAGCGCGGAATGCGTCGATCTGACCACTTCTCGCCGCCAACACTCCTCCAGACGTTTCGAGAATTTCGCAGACGGACGGACGCACAAGACTCCAGTGCTCGTTGAGCAATTTGTTTAATCGTTGCAGCTTGACGAGCTCCTGAACATGAATTTGATCAGTTTTCAACCGGCTGTACAATATTCGATACGTTTGACACAGTATTTTCAGGATCCGGGCCGCAAAATCACAAGTTCAAAGTGAATGCAATCAGTTTTGTGATCTCCGAGGCCCACCGTTTTTTTTTCACTGTGCCCCGCCTGGAGATCTCAATTGTAACGGAGCGCATTCACTTTTAAGTGAGCCGCACGGCGACCAAAAAAAACATAGAAAGGGGCGTGGCCTAGCGTGCACGGTTTTGTCACCATTTTGGCGCGAAATTCGAAATTTAACCCCATTTTTTTCATGTTTTTCGTCAAAAATTACCCACGTTTTGTGCGATTTCAACGATGTAATTGCATAACTTTGTTAAACTAATCATCGCGCGCACTTTTTGAGCTAACATTCAAAAATTCAATCAATTGATGCGATTTTCAAGTTTTGTGCTGAAAATGCGCGAATTTCAGTCATTCGCCGATACTTTTTGCCGTTTGATCGCTTAAAATACGTGTATGAACGTGCTTAATCACTTCCGACACTCACTTCGTCTCAAAACTATTCAGATCGGCCGGTATGAAAATTCCGAAATTGCGAAATATGCCAAAAACGTCTCAAACGCGGCGTTTTCACGAAAATATCGATTTTTTCTCTCTTTAATGTCTCTTCTTTCGTCGATATCAACACACACAAAAATGGCGGAAAAGTGCTGGAATTGCGACAATTTTCAGAAAGGCCACGCCCCCCTTTCTAGACTTTTGGTCGCCGTGAGCCGATAGAGCCGACTCACATGCCGATTCCACACAATCAAGTACTCGCAGTCACAGTACTGGTGCAGGTCCTTGGCGCGAGTCCTCCGCGATCCAAAAGTTCCGGGCGCGATCCCGAGTTGTGCGGCCATCACGTGCTTGTTCTTGAGATTGTACTCGGCTTCCGCGAGCATCTTCTCCGCCTCCGCCAACTTTTGCACCTTCTCAATCAGCTCCGCGTCGTGAAGACGTGTCTCTTCCGTGCTCAACTCAATTCGCCTCTTCTCCTCGTTCAAAGCATTGGCGAAATGCTCGATTCGCTCGCCACTCCACTCCACCTCATTGTTCAAACTGTTCGAGGACGGCGCGAGCAGCACGTTGTAGAAGGCAAAGTTGAGCAAATGCTCTTCTCTTGCGTTCTTCGCACTCTGCTCCTCGACCTTCTTCTGCAGTTTGGCCACACTTTCGCCTGCATTCTGAAACGCCGTCTTCTTCTTTTTCAGACTGTTCGCCGAGTAGATTTTGTTCTTCTCCCTCTGGATGGCCTTCTAAAACAGTACCGGGAATCAGAAGCATTTTGAAGTCTCCTAAAAGCTCACCTCAAGAAGAACAGTATTCGAAGCGGGACTTTTGGGCTCGTTTCGCTGAAAGTCGAGAGACTCCAAACACTGGTAGTTGTACCGGTCTTGCTGCTGCACTTGATGATCTGAAAAACGTGCTCATTTCTGTATCGTCTCCCAACATATCTGACTCACACGCTTCGTTATTGTTGTTGCCTTGAAACACAACCGCTGGATCCATTTCGGAACGCCGAAAGTCCAGCGGCATCAGCTGCCCATCCGACGGGTACTGTACCTCTTGAACGCAAATCGGAGCGGGGTGGTCCACCAGCAGTTCGCACTGCGCCTTCTGAAACTCATCGTCGACCGTGTTGCTCCACGGCTTCCCCGGATTCTGCTGTTCGTGTGGGTAGAATTGGTTGTGGTTCATTATCATGTGGTCCTCATCGAAATCCATGGCAGCCCACCCCATTCTGAAAGCAAAAAGTGTTAATACGGTACGTGTCTAAACTGTTGAAAGAGCAGTAATATAGCGGCTATGCATCAATTTTAAAGGACCAGGGAACGCTCCGAGTTTATGTGTCTGACTGAATTGCTTTTTATTGCCACATTCACTGTCCGAGCCCCAAATACCTGTGAATGGAACAGCGCTTAGTCAAAGTTGTGGCCGTGGCCCAGAAAAGTTCTAGGCCTTGTGATCTTTTCCGGATTTTTTTTGCGCTCGGCACGGCGACCAAAACTGTAGAAAGGGTCTGAGACACGTTTTCTGAGAATTGCCGCAATTCCAGCACACTTTTCCGATATTTTTGTGTGTTGATATCGACGAAAGAAGAGACATTAAAGAGAGAAAACGATGAAATTTTCGTGAAAACGTCGCGTTTGAGACGTTTTTGGCATATTTCGCAATTTCGGAATTTTCATACCGGCCGATCTGGATAGTTTTGAGACGAAATGAGTGTCGGAAGTGACTAAGCACGTTAATAAAAGTATTTTAAGCGTTCAAACGGCAAAAAGTATCGGCGAATGACTGAAATTCGCGCATTTTCAGCACAAAACTTGAAAATCGCATCAATTGATTCATTTCTGAATGAAACCTGCTCGTTTTAAGCTCGAAAAAGTGCGCGCGATGATTAGTTTAACAAAGTTATGCAATTACATCGTCGAAATCGCACAAAATTTGGGTGATTTTTGACGAAAAACATGAAAAATAGGGGGTTAAATTTCGAATTTCGCGCCAAAATGGTGACAAAACCGTGCACGCTAGGCCACGCCCCTTTCTACGTATTTGATCGCCGTGCTGGTCCTTTAACTTTCTTCGAGAAAAAGTGTGCATAACGTCACACACACACACACACTATCAATGAATTGGAAAGCGACGAGCAGTTTGGAGAAATGAAGCGGAAAAAACACACAACTACAATGATTCATAGTAGATAACATTTGACAGAGTGTGCAAAGAGCATCAATTGTGAGCGAGAATGCTAAATAACAAAAGACGGTCTCCAGAGCTGACAATATGGGCGTGGCCTCGGCCAAATGACGTTTTCATGAATTGAGCAAGTTTTCTCTGATTTTTGTGGGTAAAGGCGATGAAAAATGAATGATTGTTCGACATGAAAACACACTAATTCTCGAGAATTAATGACGTTTTGGCGCATTTTTCGCGGACTTTGCTTTTTCGCCGCCGCCGCCTAAAAACCGCACTTCTCATTTTGCGCTTTCTTGACCGTTTTCAGACAGAATTAGTTTTGAGAATGATAAATCACGTAAATACAAGCATTTTGAGCGCTCGAACCGCGAAAACTAGCGACAAGCAACTTAAATTCACGCAGTTTTAGCGAAAAACCTTCAAACGGATAAATGTGATTTGCGACTTGACGCTCTTGCGCTTAAAAAATTCGTAATAGCCTATATAATCGGTCTATCGAGAGAAAAATGAGAAATTATCGGTTTTTCGTGGCTAATCTGCCAAAAAAAAAACAAATTTTGCTGCTAACATTTGAATTTCGCGCCAATGTATCGCTCTAATGGGCGGGGCGGGCGCACTTTCGCCCATTGACAGCTCTGGAGACCGTGCAAAAGACGATAATGGGTCGGCAAGAGGCGGAGAACAATGACATCATTATTTAGGTAACTTTAATGGAAAAGCTCGAAATGTATGCTCGTGGATAATGTTTTTCATTGCGAAAGCAAAAAAAATAAGACCGTCTTGCTCATCACAACAATCTTCCGCAACTTTTCTGCTACAATCACAACCTGCCTGACCAATGTGTGGCGAGTTTGGCTGAAGTGTCAACTGTTTCTTTTATGTGAGTTTCTTATCTTGCCCGTAAGAATCGGGTACGGTGAGTCATCTCGAAGCTCCGAATTGATAGTGACATCAAAATCAGGTGAGTTTTCGGAAAGACCACTAGAGTGAGTGTACAATCTAGACATATTGTACTGCATTTTTGTAGTTGATCCCTTTTTTGTAGCGCTTGGAAGTTTGGAGTGGCTGGCAATTGTGCCTTGAGTTGTTCAAAGCGCTACAGTAGCCCTAGGAATGATTGTACGATAAAGTTATCAACTAACAATATGTTTTGCCTAACTTTTACTTTGTTTTTGTAGTTGACAACTTTTCCATACAACCACTGCTTGGAGTACTGTAGCTCTTAGAAGTTACGATTTTCAAATTGCGTTGCAACTGTGTTTCCTAGTTTTCAAAGCGTTACAGTAACCTGGAGAGTGATTGTACAAACAAGTTGTCAACTACAAAAATGTTCTGCTAGATGTGTACTTTACTTTGATAGTTGACACTTTTTCGATCCAAACACGCCCAAGGCTACAATAACGCAGTATCTTATCGAGTCTGTCAAATGTACCCTACTGTATTCACAATGTGTGACCCCCGAAAAACAGCTCTTCCAGAGGAACAACAATGTGTTTGTATGGCTGGCAGACCAAATTCAAATTCACATGATCAATTGATATATGGTGCATCATGTTCAGTTTCAAAAACTTTTTCGCCCAGCCGGGAAATAATGCAAATGATGATCGCATTATCGCGGCGGCAATGGACTCGGCGTGACGCGTTCTGGAACCAACTGAAAGTGATCGGGTGGCCGTGAATCGAACGAGATGTCAGTTGGCATCGGAGGAAAGTCTATAAAGGTCGGACACACTCTCGGCCCGGTCCGATAATATAATTGGAGGAGTGAGTGGATGACCGAACGAGAATGAGCTATCAACAAGAGTGCTTCGGACTCCAAAACAAGGTTTGCCGCCCTTTCTTCTTTTTTCCTAAACCCGTTTGCGTGTAATCTTTACCGATTTGCCAGCTTTTTAGCGATTCAAAACAGCTTTCTTAAAGGTGGTGTCCAATGTGACATACAACATCTTTTTTAAAATAAACTTCGAAGTGGGGCATTCATTTTCTCAAAGTCCCGAATTACGAAAAAAATTCCCCGATTTTTAAGATTTTTTTCAAAAAAGTTAATAGTACCGAAAGAAGCACACGGCGAAATGGAAGAGCTGGCCTAGATTTTTCCAGTCCCCGGATGGAATTCCCTTTTCTTCCGAATTTTTTCCGTTTTCGTGCAAATTTTTTATGGGGCTATTCAGCGTATGTTTGTTTTCCGTTTTTTTCGTTTTTTACATCGCTGAATTGGATTTTTTGACGTAAAAAAACGAAAAAAACGGAAAACAATCATTTTTTTTCACAGCCTGAATAACCCCATTAGATTTTCAATAGTTTTTTTCACTGAACACACTTATTTACAATATTTAAAAAAATTTATGACTTTTTCTGTGCCGTGACGCCAAAAAAATCGATAATCTGAAACTTTCAAAATTCAGGCAAAATTCAGAAATTCAGAAAAAAATCAGCCACTTTTTGTAAAACCGAAAATGGGAAGTTTTGGATTGTTCGCATTACTTTGAAAAATATAACTTTCTGTAGCTCGCAAACTTTGATTAAGACTCAGGAAATGATTGAGCGATCTCTTTCTATTTACTTTTCTTACTTTTTTTTTCAAATCGAAGATTGAGCGAAAAAAAGTTTCAGATTATCGATTTTTTTGGCGTCACGGCACAGAAAGCAAAACATAAATTTTTTTTAAATATTGTAAATAAGTGTGTTCAGTGAAAAAACGATTGAAATTTTAAGAAAATTGCACGAAAACGGAAAAAAAATCGGAAGAAAGGGGAATTCCATCCGGGGACTAGAAAAATCTAGGCCAGCTCTTCCATTTCGCCGTGTGATGTTGTATGTCACGTTGGACACCACCTTTAAACTTGGACCACTCAAAATAGCACAATATCCGTGTTGAGGAGCCGTACTGCCTTCTGTTTCGAGACGCGATCGCCGCCATTCCACTTGTGGCCTTCTGGCTTCTCATTCCCGTCTACATTCACATCATTCGGACAAGCGAGCCAAAATTGAGAGCGCCAAAGCTGTTCTGGGCACATTTGGTGAGTTGTTCGTGATGAACAAGTCGTGGAAAACATCGCGTGCTGCCTCCTTGTGCACATGATCCACGTCTCAAAAGTGTACCTGATGTGCGGGACCGTCCCCCGTTTTTTCAGACACTTCAAGTGCTCTTGCTCGTCAACAATGCCGTCTTCGGGGCGTTGGTCTTCAATCGTTCCGATCATTTTCTGCCACTTTTACGCTTTTTCCAAGTGCTCTCCTATGTGAGTTTCGAGGTTTCTGAAAAAATGAACAAGGGAAGGTTTTGACTCCCCCCAACTTGGAAAATTCTGAAAAAATTTTTTTCAGAATTATGCCAAATTTTTTTTTTTTGGATTTTCTGGAACGTTCCAAAGTGCTTTTGAAGTGCTTATTTGACCTTCCCCACGTGACCATATTTGAATTTTCTTCGGCTTATCCTAAACTTGCTGAAAAAGTGGACAAAGCCAAAAAATTGAGCGTGCTATTCAGAATTTTTCTGATTTTTGAGAATTTTTTGAGAATTTTCCAAGAATTTTTATCTTTTTTAGAAAATGTTTTCATGGAATGTGATCAACTGACGAAATGTATAGCAAAGTGAACTCTGCTCATAGAAAAATAATTGTAAATTTAGCTTTTTATACAAAAAAGTTATTCGATGGCCCTTTTTTCACGCAACAACTCGAATAACTTTTTTGTATGAAAAGCTAAATTTACAATTATTTTTCTATGAGCACAGTTCACTTTGCTATACATTTCGTCAGTTGATCACATTTCATGAAAAAATTTTCTAAAAAAGATAAAAATTCTTCCGTGTTCTTCCATCGAGTTTTTCCGCTCAACTCTAGTCCAAATGGCTTGTCTTAGGGCTTGCCCCAAAGACCAGTAGGATAACTCTAAAATCCATAGTCCCTGCGCCAAAGTTCAACCTAAGGCTCACAAAATCGCTCTTCGGTTGCTTACAACATTCTAAAAATGTATCTAAAGACATCCTAATGCTCAATGTTTATATCTTTTCTATGTCAAAAAACAGAAATCCCTCTCGTCAGTCTGCTTGCCCTTCCTATTATCATTCCACACCACCGAGAGTGTGAAAATCAAAAAAATAAACATTGCCCCCCTTGTGCTGCTGCTGCTGCCGATTGCGAAAAAGCCGTGCGTGTTATCATTGATATCGAATTGCATTCGTGGTGTGCGTGGATCCGATTACGTCCGACTTTTTCGAGAATCCGTGATCAGTTCGGCGTCGGATCACTTTTCACTTTTTCTTGTTCGACACGGTCCTCTTCTCCTCTTACTCGAAACCGAGTTTTTCGGCATTTTGCCCCACAGTTTACGGAAATTGCATTCTAGGAATGTCTAAATCTCTGGCAATTCGATATTAATCTAATTAGAAATTTACTGAAATAACGCGATCTAATTAAATTCGACTGTTTTTTGTTGGCGCAATCGAGATTTGAGCCAGCAGACGGTTGGCGTGAAACTTGATTTGAGAGCACTTATTAATCTAGCTAGAAGATTTATTAATCTAGCTAGACAATTTATTAATCTAGCTAGAAGATTTATTAATCTAACTAGAAGATTTATTAATTTAGCTAGAAGATTTATTAATCTAGCTAGAAGATTTATTAATCTAGCTAGACAGTTTATTAATCTAGCTAGAAGATTTATTAATCTAGCTAGACAGTTTATTAATCTAGCTAGAAGATTTATTAATCTAGCTAGACAGTTTATTAATCTAGCTAGAAGATTTATTAATCTAGCTAGACAGTTTATTAATCTAGCTAGAAGATTTATTAATCTAGCTAGAAGATTTATTAATCTAGCTAGAAGATTTATTAATCTAGCTAGACAATTTATTAATCTAGCTAGACAATTTATTAATCTAAATAGGTGTCATATAAATCTTATTAGGCCGCCGTTAGATTAATAACAAAATGCCAGAGATGGCCAAAATGGTTCAATTTAATCCAAATATCTAAAGCCCTCCCCCCCCTCAAAAAATGACATCACAGTTCGTAAAGAGCACATAACTTTGTGAGCAGAAGGCTCAAAAAACGTTGTTTCGTTTCGCAATGCTAGGTGTCGGAGGGAACAAATAAGCGGCCGAAAAGTTGATTTTTATTGGATCCTCTGGGGCTCATTGATTGATGGTGTTAAACGGGCGGTCCGATGAGAGGTGTTTTCTTCAAAATTTGCTCCTAGAGCTCATATTTCAGGCTAGTACAAAGTTTGTACAAAAAAAATGTGGAGTGACATGATAACATGGTAATTTTCTTATCAGTTTTTCCGGTTCCAGGCGAAAATTAGAAAATTTCCTCTTTTCGTTTCCTCTCTCTCTCTATTTTTCCTGCTCTCCCCTCTATTTTCGTGTTGTCATGACAACTTTCACCGAAAAAATGGGGAAGTGTATAATAGCGTGACAAAAAGAAGAAAACAGAGCTTGATCTCTTGGTAAATAGAGGGGCTCAACATCAGTGACAAAGTGGGGGAAGGCATCAAAAATTAGAAATTTAGAGAGGGGGGAAGCCACATAGAACAATCACACGTTTTTGAGCATTGTCTTCAAGCGTCTATTGCAAAGTTAGGAGTAGTCCTGTCGTTCTGAAAAATTTTGTGTATAATCTAGACGTATTGTACTGCATTTTTGTAGTTGATCACTTTTTTGTGCGACCACTCCCTGGAGTACTGTAGCGCTTGGAAGTTTGGAGTGCCTGGCAATTGTGCCTTGAGTTCAAAGCGCTGCAGTAGCCCTAGGAATGATTGAACGATTAAGTTATCAACTAACAATATGTTTTGCCCAACTTTTACTTTGTTTTTGTAGTTGACAACTTTTCCGTACACCCACTGCCTGGAGTACTGTAGCTCTTAGAAGTTACGATTTTCAAAATGCGTTGCAACTGTGTTTCCTTGTTTTCAAAGCGCTACAGTAATCTGGAGAGTGATTGTACAAAAAAGTTGTCAACTACAAAAATGTTTCGCTTAATCTGTAATTTATTTTTGTAGTTGACATCTTTTATGTACAACCTCTCCCTGGAGTACTGTAGCTCTTAGAAGTTACGGTCCTCAAAGTGTCTCTGCATTACGCCCTACTTTCAAGCGCTACAGTACTCCAGGTAGTGGTCGGACCCTATAAAACCCATATAGAGAGAGAACTAAACATTCCCAGACTCAAATTGTGTCTTCTCCGGGACACTTACAATATATGAATTGCCTGTGTTGTAGGCCAACTGCAGCGTGTGGTTCAGTCTTCTTTCAAAGCGTCGCCACTCGATCCATCCCTCCTTCTGCGTCGTTTTCTTCGTTTTGCTCACGCTCAAACTCGTCCAACTTCTCATTCTCGTCAGTTTTCTCTTGCTTTTCGCGCGATCCAACTCTCACTTTTCAGGCATTCGAACAGACTGTCGACGTCGGCGTCATCGCCGAGTTCGTCCTTCTGATGGCCGAGACTGCGTTGCTCTCCACGTCGACGAAACGGACCGGAGAGAATGTGAGTGCGTGGGGGGGACGAGGGAAAAGTTAGGCCAGCCTACAAGTGATAAGATTGTCAGTCTACAACTCACTCGTTTGCAGGAAGAAAAGGAGCAACTGACGCCGGAGGATAACAGCTCGTTCCTATCGAAAGTGTTCTTCTGCTGGCTGAACCGTCTCATCCGCATCGGCGCCAAGAACCCGCTAGTCCATGAGAATCTGCATAGTCTCAACAAAAATGCCACGTCGGAATGGCTGTACACGCGCTGGAGGACCGAATTCAAAAAGGCGAAAGCTAGTGAGAGCGCCCAAAAAAATCGAGGTTGACTTATTATAAACATTGCTTTTTTTGCAGAGAATACCGGCACAAAAACGCGTGAAACGTCAATCGTTTGGCCGTTTATCCAAATTCAGAAATCCACAATAATCACTTTGACGTTCGCTCGCCTCACCGCCGATATTGTCCATTATCTCAATCCTATCCTGTTGAAGTGAGTGGTCATGAACAGTTTTTTTCCAACAACAAAACGCATTTTCATAGGCAATTAATCGATTACGTATCTCTTCATGACCAGCCACTTTCATTCGGAATCGCCATCGCGTGCATAATGTTTTTAAGCGCAACCACAAGATCACTTCTTCAAAACTATCAGGTAGAGGACGACGTTTCGCAACCCGGGGGGGGGGGGACACTTTGCAACCACAGGAATGCGGTTGCAAAGTGTTCCTACCTCACCGCTTCTCCTTACAGATTGCGGGAATGTGCCGTCAAGCGGTCTACTATCAAACGGTCCTTAGCAATGCGATCCTTCACAAAATCCTGCGACTCAGTCCCTCGGCGCGGTCGAATCGAACCGCCGGCGAGATTCTGAACCACGCGGCCGTCGACATTGAGATCATCGTCCACTCGGTGCCGTACCTCCAGAATATGTGGTCCGTCCCGTTTCAGGTCACCCTCGCCATGATCATGTTGGCGATCACTCTCGGATGGGCCGCCATCGCCGGTGTCATTATTATGATCCTTTTTATTCCGCTCAACCTGTTCACCTCGAACTTCATCAAGTCTTCGCAGCAAAAACAGATGAAGATCAAGGATGAGAGGACGAAACTTTCGAATGAGGTAAGGTCTTTTTGAACGGTTATTGTAGCGTTCAAAATTTTTTTGCTGAAATCTTCCAGTCTGGTACTGTATTTTTGTAGTTGGTCTCTTTTTTGTACAATCACCTTCTGGAGTACTGTAGCGCTTGGAAGTGAGAGCTTCAAAAACGATCGGCTATTGTACTCTAACTTTGCCGAGCTACACTAGTCTTAAGAGTGCTCGTACAAAAAAGCGATCAACTACAAAAATAATGTGCATAATATGAGCTTTCATTTTGTAGTTGAACATTTTTTCGTCAGACCTATTCTAAAAGTACTGTAGCGCTTCGAAGTGGTCATAACTTTGCAGCGCTACAAAAAAGTTAGCGGTTAGTTTCACCAAAACTTCTGGAAAAGTGTGTATCGTCTCCGAAGGCTACAATATCCGGATTTGTTACCGTAAAAAAGTTCAGATGCTGAATGGAATAAAAGTGGTGAAACTGTACGCGTGGGAGGAGTCTTTCGAGGAGCAAATCAACAAATTGCGTGCCCGGGAGGTGCGGATGCTCCGTAACGTGTGCATTCTCAGCCGCATCGTCGACATCGCCAACTCGGCGTCGCCGTTCCTCGTCGCCATCGGCTCGTTCACCTGCTACGTCGTCCTCTCGTCCGATCCGAACGGACTGACGCCGTCGGTCGCATTCGTCGCGCTCACAATATTCAATCAGCTGAGACAGCCGATGCGGATGGTCGCCAATCTCATCAACACTTTGGTGCAGGCGAGAGTGTCCAACAAGCGGTTGAGACACTTTTTGAACGATGAAGAGCTGGAGAGAAAGACGGAAATCGCATTCGGAAATGCGATCGTGTTCAGGAACGCCAACCTCAACTGGAAGGGACCCGAGTATCCGCCGGTCCTTAAAAATGTGAGTGCGCTTGAAAAGTGGGTGTAAAACAGGGGTGTGCGGAAAATTTTTTTCGGAAAATTTCGGAAAAATCGGAAAAATCGGAAAACTCACTTGTTCATTGGTTCAATAAAGTGTTTAAACAACGTTCTAATACAAAAAAATGCTTATTATGATTTGAAATCACTTGAGTGGGCGGAAGCCAAGCAATGGAATATTTTTTTGCAAAAAAATTAGCCGAGAGAAGCTCTCCGGGTCCAGTGTTTTCCGATTGTCAGTGAGAATCAGGGGTGTGCGGAAAATATTTCGATTTTCCGAAATTTTCCGATTTTCCGAGAAATTTTCGGAAAAAAGACGTTCGCTGCTAGACCCTTCCAAAAATTTTGTGATGCGCCTTTAAAAAGCATACGGTGGTTTCGGACAAATTGACCTTGAATCCACACTAATTTTCCGAAAATTTTGCCGAACATTTTCGGAAAATTTTCCGAAAATTTCTCGGAAAATCGGAAAATTTCGGAAAATCGAAATATTTTCCGCACACCCCTGGTGTAAAAGCACAAGTGTTCTCGCAGCTCGACGCCACAATCCGAACGGGTCAGCTGATCGCGGTGGTCGGCAGCGTCGGCGGCGGCAAATCGAGCCTCCTCAGCGCGGTGCTCGACGAAATGAATGTTTTGAGCGGACGCGTCAAAGTGGGCGGATCGATCGCGTACGTACCTCAACACTCGTGGATCTTCAACAAATCGATCAAGGACAACGTTCTGTTCGGCAACGAATTCTCTCAATATTTCTACGAACAAATCGTGTCGGCGTGCCAACTACGCACCGATTTCCGACATTTTCAGCAGGGCGACGAGACGATGGTCGGCGAGAATGTGAGTGTGATCGGATAATAGTCGAAACCAATTTTTTTTAAAGGGAATAACGTTGTCCGGAGGCCAGAAAGCGAGGATTTCACTGGCGCGCGCCGTCTATCAGGACAAGGAGGTGTACCTTTTGGACGATCCGTTGTCGGCGGTCGACGCGCACGTCGGACGCGCTCTTTTCGACAAAGTCATCGGAAAAGAGGGTCTTTTGAGGTCGAAGACACGGGTACTCGTGACGCACAATCTACAGTACACCCGATACGTCGACACCATTTACGTCATTGAAGGTGGGTTAGAGAACACACGGAAGAATTTTTTTATCTTTTTTAGAAAATTTTTTCATGAAATGTGATCAACTGACGAAATGTATAGAAAAGTGAACTGTGCTCATAGAAAAATAATTGTAAATTTAGCTTTTCATACAAAAAAGTTATTCCTTCCGTCTTCCCCGTTAGCCCCCTTTTTCACGTAACAACTCGAATAACTTTTTTGTATGAAAAGCTAAATTTACCATTATTTTTCTATGAGCACAGTTCACTTTTCTATACATTCCGTCAGTTGATCACATTCCATGAAAAAATTTTCTAAAAAAGATAAAAATTCTTCCGTGTTCTTCCATCGAGTTCTTCCGCTCAACTCTGGCGCAGCATAACAAACGTACACTTTGCAACCAAACTAGACGGTTGCCAGAAGTGTGTCAGGACGTTTCGCAACCAAGGCTTGGTTGCAAAACGTCTATTAGTTGCAAAATCTGAACAGATTTCAATGGCATAGTTGCAAAGTGTCCATTCCTTGCGAAGCGTGTACAACTTGTGAAATATCTGTACCTAGTCATTTCGCAACCAACGCTTTTGCAAAGTGTCCATCGGTTGCAAAACGTCTTCTAATTTTCAGACGGTCAAATCGTCCAACACGGTCATTTCGACGACATTGCGCATCTAGAAGGCCCGTTCGGCCGGCTCTGGTCGGAATGCGAGGATTCGAAAGAGGAAGAGAAAGAAGAAGAAGAAGAAGAAGAAGAAGAAGAAGCGACGACTCCAGAAGACGTCGTCGAAATCGTCGAAACTTTGAATGGAGACGCGAAAAAAGTGGACCGTACAAATTCGAGATTCTCGGAAAAATCGCAACTACAAAAGCACGAGAAACAGGTGCAAAACGCGGAAAACGTGCAGCTGGGGCGAGTCAAAAAAAGTGTGTACAAACTGTACATTCGAACGATGGGAATATGCAACAGCGCCGGCTTTTTGCTCTTTTTCGTCGCCCATTTTGGTGTCATGATCATGCGGTCGCTGTGGTTGTCCGATTGGTCCAACGAGAATGCGGAGATCAAAAGGGCGGCGGGCAATCTGACCGGAATGGGCGTGGATACTCGACTGATCGTCTACGCGGCTTTTGGTGGAATGGAGAGTGAGTCGGCAGAGAGAATCGGATAATGTTCAACAGTTTTGAATAGATATTGTAGAGCCTGGAGTTGAGCTACTAGTCTGAAGAGCAGAGTTGAGCGGAAGAACACGGAAGAATTTTTATCTTTTTTCGAAAATTTTTTCATGAAATGTGATCAACTGACGAAATGTATAGCAAAGTGAACTCTGCTCATAGAAAAATAATTGTAAATTTAGCTTTTCATACAAAAAAGTTATTCGAGTTGTTCCGCGAAAAAAGGGCCAACGGAACAACTCGAATAACTTTTTTGTATGAAAAGCGAAAATTACAATTATTTTTTTATGAGCAGAATTCACTTTTCCATACATTTCGTCAGTTAATCACATTAAATGAAAAAATTTTCTAAAAAAGATAAAAATTCTTCCGTGTTCTCCCGTTGAGTTGTTCCGCTCAACTCTGCTGAAGAGTGTTCCTACTTCCAAGCGCTACAGTACTCTTAGAAGTGGTTGTACGGAAAAGTTGTCAATTACAAAAATATCCGGCTCGATGTGTACTTTCATTTTGTAGTTGACAACATTTTGATCCGATCACTTCTAGCGCTATTGTAGCTCTTAAAGGCCCGCAAGTTGCACTCCAACTTCCCGGCGCTACAGTAGTCCTACGAGTTTCTGTACAAAAAAGTGAGGTGTCAAGATTGTACACAAAAAAGCGTATTTGCATAGCACGTCTCGGAACTCTACAATATCCGCTCAAACTTTTAGGAACACTAATTTTTTGAAAATTTTTAGTGCTTCTCCTGGGACTGGCGTTTACCGTGCTGACGATCGGAAGTCTCCGAGCCTCGTACGGCCTCCACGCCCCGCTAATTCACTCGCTCCTCCGGGCGCCAATATCGTTCTTCGACACAACTCCCATCGGCCGAATCATCAACCGACTCTCCCGGGTAACGTCTTTCGCTGCATCTCATAAACGTTTATCGTGTTTTGTCAGGATTTGGACGTCATTGACAAACTGCAAGACAACATCCGGATGTGCACTCAGACGACGCTGAACGCCCTCATGATCCTCGTGCTCATCTCCATCTCCACTCCGATCTTTCTCGTCTGCGCCGCGCCTCTCATCTTCATTTACTATTTTGTGATGGTCTATTATATTCCGACGTCGCGGCAATTGAAGCGGCTGGAAAGTGCGAATCGCTCGCCGATCCTTTCGATCATCGCCGAGTCAATTCATGGTGCATCTTCGATTCGCGCGTTTGATAAGGTCTGTTTGCATGGATCTACTATTAATGAGTATTGTAGCTTTCAAACTTCTTTCATCGGGAAATAGGTGTCTAGTACTGTAGTTTTGTAGTTGATCATCACTTTTTTCTACGACCACTCTGAAGTTGGGCTAAACTTAAATTCGATGAGCTACAGTAACCCTAGAAGTGATTGGATCAAAAAGTGATCAACTACAAAAATACTATACATCTCTAGTACTTTATTTTTGTAGTTGACAACTTTTTGGTACAATCACTCCTAGGGTTACTGTAGTTCCTAGAAGTTAGGGCTCTTTTAAGGGTCGTTTTGAGAGCTCTAACTTCCAAAGGCTACCGTACTCTTGGGAATGGTCGGATCAAAAAGTTGTCAACTACAAAAACATAGTACACAACAATTTCTAGAACAGTATATCGTCTTCGAACTCTACAATATCCGCTCAAAGTTTGTTTTCTTCCAGACGGACCGCACGACGCACTCGCTCGCCACGTCCGTCGACAAATTCGCCCAATGCCGTTACCTCTCGCACATGTCGAACCGCTGGTTGGCCACGCGACTCGAGCTGCTCGGCAACACGACCGTCCTTTTCGCATCGCTTTCGGCGACGCTCTCCACCAAATATTTCGGATTGACGCCCGGAATGGCGGGCCTGTCCGTCTCCTACGCGCTCACAATCACCGAAGTGCTCAATATCTGTGTGCGGTCGGTCAGCGAGATCGAGTCGAATATTGTGAGTGTCGAGCGAGTCAACGAGTACCAGAACATTGAATCGGAGGCCGAGTGGACGGTCCCAGGGCGTGCGGAGACGTGGCCCGAGACGGGAAAGATCGAGTTAGAGGGATTCTCGATGCGGTACCGAGAGAACCTTCCGTTGGTCCTCAAGAACATGAGCCTGAAGATCCGGGGCGGCGAGCGGATCGGAGTGATTGGTCGGACCGGATCGGGAAAGTCCTCGTTGACGATGGCACTCTTCCGCATGATCGAAGCAGAATCGGGAAGGATTCTGATCGATGACGTGGCGATTGAGACCGTCGGATTGCATCAGCTACGCTCGAAACTCATCATTATCCCGCAGGAACCGGTCGTCTTCTCGGGAACACTTCGCTTCAATTTGGACCCTTTCGGCGAGCATTCCGACGAGCAGATCTGGAAGTGTTTGGACATTTGCCAGCTGAAACAGTTCGCGCAGGACGATCCAAAGACCCTCGATCGGCACATTGCCGAGGGCGGAAAGAACATGAGGTGGGTACTTTGCAAACTTTGATCCTTCCGTTCTCTGTCGATTTTCAACATTTTTGAGTGGTTCAAAAACGAAATGAAAGGAAATTTCAAGCTCTACAACTTTCTAGTTGATCAATTTTCACTAAAATGTGGGGGCGCTGAGATATTTTCAATATTCAAAACCATACATTTTGCAAGAACTTTTTCAGCGTCGGCGAGCGCCAACTGCTCTGTCTGTGCCGGGCGCTGCTCCGCGGTGCCCGAATAGTGATCCTGGACGAGGCGACGGCTTCCGTCGACACCGTAACCGACGGGATCGTGCAACGGGCGGTCCGCACGCATTTCCCGCACTCGACGACCATTTCCATCGCTCATCGCTTGGACACCATCGTCGATTCTGATCGGTTCGTTTTTTCTTAAACAATCTGAAACAAAAACTCATTTTAACAATTGATTGAATGAAAAAACGCACAAAATTCTCCGGTGTCAGCAAGTGCGCTCCAATGCCAATCCTTTCAGAATCGTGGTGCTGGACGGTGGCCGAGTGGCCGAATTCGACACGCCCGCCAATTTGTTGCTCAATCCCGACTCTCTCTATTCTCAATTGCTACTTGAGAAAAACAGAAAATCATGAATTGGTCATGAATACATTTATACGTTTTCCCCTCCCTACAATGATGCATATTCATGTTCAATTTGAGAATAAAAATAAAAATTAAAGTGGTTGGCAGAGAAAAAGAGGAAGATGGGGGGGGGGGGAGAAAATGAAACAAAAATAAAATGAAATAAGAGAACATATAAAGCCAATGGATACAAGTGGTTATATGGAAAAAATGCTTTAAAACAATCGATTTTCCCTCATATTATGGTTTGTTCTGAGAAGGTCCTTGAGGCGTTTCGGACGTCGTCGATGTCGGAGCCGCTGCCGGTGGTGGAGCCGTCGGTCCGATGGATCTTTGCATGTGAAGGACGGGCGGTCCGCCTCCGCCTCCACCGCCCGTCTGCAGTCCCGTCGGCGGCGCGACGACCACTTGGGCGACCGTCGGCGCCGTCGGGTCGATTCTCTGGCTGAGCGGCCGGCCGACGAGTTGCCGTCGCACGCCGCCCGCGCCGCCCATTCCGCCGCCGCCAACGCCCTGTCCGACCACCGGACGCATGTTCGGCGCCGTGCTCAGCATCACGTTGATGCGTTGCTGACCGTTGTAGCCGCCACGTCTGAAACTTTTACAAGTTCGAAAAAGTGGTCAATATAAGAGCTGCGCAAAAGACCGGCTCAGGCTTTTTGAAGGCGTGCCGAGGCTTGGACTTTTGACCCAGTTTCAATTTTCTGATTCGGTCTAATTTTTGCAGGCTTCTTAAACTTGGATAGAAGTATATTGGAATCAAGTTTCAGAACGATCGGATCATCTGGTAAGCAGATCAGAGGGCATTTTACGCCTCAAACCAGGGTATCTCGGGACCAGATAATTGGACCCAATATACTTCAATCCAAGTCCAAGAAGCCTGTAAAGTTTGGATCCGATCAAGTCGGTCAAAAGTCCAGGCCTCGGCAGTCCTTCAGAAGGCCTGTACCGGGCTTTTCCTTGTCCCTTGTCAATAGAGCTCTTTTTTAGTTTGTTCGCTAAACTATGAAAACTTTTGAAAACTTTGAAAAAAGGCGCCTACCCGATAGGTCTCATCTGCGCGACTCCGCCGTTCTGCCGGTTCGGCAGCACCATCGCGGCGACAGTTCCGGGCGCCGGCGCCTGTCTACGTTGTCCGGTGAGCATTCGTTGTCCGGAAGGCATCACTCGGACCGGGACCATCTGGGGCATCGGGTAGCCGCGGTCCGGCGCTATGTAGACACGTTGTTGACCGACAGTTCCGGCAGGCTGAAAAGTAGATTCGTTTTAAACTTTTGTTCTGGACCTCAGAGCTTTTAGTGATCTGTACTTTTTCTGTCATCCGATCGAACTCGAACGATCGAACACAATTATCAGTTTTGGATTGAAGTTTCTACCTTGAAAGTTTCAGCCTAATAGGATCATCTGATCTGGAGATATATTGAGTTGAAACCGAGCGTTTTCAGATTCCAGATCACCTGATCTTTTTGGACTAAAACTGTCAATGCAGACACTACAAACCAAAACGAATGTTGCAAAGTTAGGGATAGTTCCAAGTGGCTCAAAAGTACAATATACAGCCCTGGACAATAGATTGCGCCAAAACAGGACAAAACAACCCAAAGTTTCGAAACCTACCCTGACAACTCGTCCTCCGGCTCCCCTCATCACCAGCGTACTATTGTATCCTCCCCGTCCGCCCTGCTGCACGTACTGCACTCTCTGCGGCTGTCCGCCTTCTCCGCCCTGCCCTCCGGCGTTCCCGCCCGTCGGCATGACCACGTAGCTCTGTCCCTGCGGCTGCATCTGTCCCTGTCCCAGATATTGCACATTCGATCCGGAAGCGGTGCGTCGTTGGATCGGCTGAAGTCCGGAAGTGGTCGACGAGACGACAGTGTGGGCGTGTGCGCCCATCGGCTGCTGTTGTGGTCCCCCGTTGTCCGATGGGTTTTGGCCCATTCCGACCTGTCGGATCGGCATCGGTTGTTGCGAAGTGGGCGGGGCCTGTTGTTGCTGATGCGTCGACGGTTGGCTCATTTGCTGTTGATGTTGCTGATGTTGCTGCATTTGATGCGATTGAAGCGACGGAAGTTGTTGCTGATGTTGTTGCTGATGTTGCTGCTGCTGCTGCTGCTGCTGTTGCTGTTGTTGCTGAAGGTGTTGCTGGAGTTGCGAAGCCTGCGTGGGCGTCGGTGTGGCGCCTCGCAATTGCTGTGAAATGTGCTGGTTTTGTGGCGGTTGAGCCATTTGCTGGGCGGCCGCCTGTTGCTGTTGTGCTTGCTGTTGCTGCTGCTGTTGCTGCTGCTGCTGTTGGAGGGCCATCGGAATCGGCGCAGGCTGGAGTGGTGGCACCGGAATGCGCATATCTCTGCGAGCGGGCATCGGCTCGTACTCGTTCGACAGCGGAACCGTGTAGGGACGGAGCACGAGCGTGTGGTAGCGCGCTTCGTTGCGTGGACACTGCAATAATTGAAAAGTTGTAAAGCATGGCATTTAAGTTTGATATGTTTTTTGAAAATCTCCACAACTGGCTCAGAAAATCGACGAAAAAAACGTACGGGTCTCGGATTCTTCGTGGTCATCATCATCTTCCTCTTTCCGGCCTCCACGACGGCGATCTCCTCCTCGGACATGGTGACGACGTCTTCTGCGTCCAAAACGACGCCGAGCCGCACCTCGAACTCCTCCATTTTCGCCTCGTGTCTCGGCGGCATTCCGCCCGTCAACGACTGCAGATTGCGCGTCTCCACTGCTGCAAGTCGACCTTTTCAGAAACATGTTATATCGAAAACCGACGGTCATTTTACACTTTTCCACTATTATCAATTATATCCAATCTAATCCTAACTTTAGTCTTGAGGAGTCAGATCTTACAGATATTCTTCAAAAACTCTTTCTCTTTTTGACCTAAAACAGCCCCAAATGACTAGTTTTCCGCCGGTCTCACCTCGAGGACCCCTCCAAAACTGCACTTGTCTCTTCTGCGAGCACGTGCGTACCATCCGGAACCGACTGATGTGCTTCTTGTCGGTCATCACGCCGTAATCGTGCTGATACTGACTGTCGGTGGTCATGCGTCCCCTGCGCAGATGCGACAGTTCCGTCGTCGACAAGTCCACCTTCATCGTCCGTTTCGTGATCGGATCCGACGCGACGAGCTGTCCGAGTTCCTTCGGCCGCACAAACATCTGGTAGCGGATCGAGCACTGGCGCGCCGATCGGTAGAACCGCGTCTGTTTGTTGACGGCGCCGGCGACGAGCTCCCAATTGAGCACCATCCCCTCGTGCTGACTCTTCTCCACCAAATGCGAGTTGGCAAACTCGAGCTGGACGGCCTGCAGCAGAGCGTAGTCCTCCACAATGTTCCACTCGGCGCCGTCGTAGTCGGGCTCTTCGCGGAACGGCGACGGCGGCGTCGTCGCTCTCTTCACGCCCACTTCCTGGTTACGGTGGTTCGGCGTCTGCAACGATACAACAATATCTTTTTTCAGAGATCTCGAGCAATTTTTTTGGGCAAATACGCTTTATCGCAGTGGAATTTTAGGCCAGTGTTCCTTTAAAAGTCTGACAAATTCGTGTTTTTGGCCTAAACGTATGCGATAAGGCGCATTTTCGATGCGACAATATAGATCTCGACAATAGCACAAGCACAATCACCACCACCATCATAATGATGAGACAACAACGAATTGTGCGTAGGAATGAATCGTGCTCAAAAACTTACACCGATCTGGCTCTGCTTCTGGTTTAATTTAGGGCCAATTTCGTTCAACTGAGAGGCTGTGTAGCTTTTTATCAGAAATTGGCCAATCTAAAACATGGGATCGATTGGGTGCGTATGTGTGTGTGTAAGAGAGTTAGTATTCCTTTCTTGCTTCTCCGATCGAGCCCAAACTTTTGCAGGCTTCTTCATGGGCACGTTTCAGACCGAATATAGGATATAGGATATCTCGGGAAAAAAAAACAGGATCGGTCTGAGACTTATGGACCCAAAATACTTGAATCCAATTGCAAAAAGCCTGCAAAGTTTGGGCCCGATCAGATTATTGCAAATGGACCAAACAAAAGTTCTTCAAAAATCCAGGGCCGGCAATTCACAATGTTCGCATTCTATGGGCCGTTTCTGTACTTAAAATGAGTGCCTCAGTGCTGAACTTGTCTTTAAAAACGGAGAAATCAGGGAATGACTGACACAATTTCTCTCTCGAAATGATACAACATTCTCTCACCTGTCGATTGTCGGTTCGCCGCCGTTTCGGCGGTTTCGGCGCCTGCAGAACGGGCGTCTGATGCTGGTGCATCTGAAGGTGTTCGTTGACGTCGATACGCGCGTCCTGACTGCTGTCGTCCATCGAAAACGAGTTTTCCGTGTAGGCGGGCGACGCGGACACGGCTCCGGAGGACGGCAGTTGGATGCTCTTCGCGAGCGCGTCGAACGCACTCATCGCCTCTTTTTCCTTCGTCGGCGAGCGAATCTCTGAAACGTTAGTAATTTTTCTTCTGCTATAAAGGCGATTTTCTACAGTTTCTTCAAAAATTACGCCTTCAGGCCTGTGTGAACAACGAAGTGAGTCCGATATCATTAAAATTAGGAAGCTTACTTCAAAACTATATAATTTCAGCTTTAAACTCTGTTTTTCAACTGTCTGTTTATCCTTCGTACACCAAAATGTTTGATCAGCCTAAAATCTAGAGGTTTTCTTTCAGAAAACGCCAGAATTAGACTTCTAGCTCTAATTTTGACCCATGTTTACATCGCTCTTCGTTTTCTAACAATCCTTTGAGATCTCCCTCTGTCTAGACTAGTTTGGCTAACAGAAACCCTCCAAATGTCAAGTTTCCCGCCCGTTCCCGTACCGCTGATCGTCGGCTGCTTCTGCTTCTCGGCCAGAGGTCTCCGCAGCTCGTGAATGTGCGACGGGAGGCGCGCCTCGCTCATCGGATCGATCTCGTAGAGCAGATCGAACGCGTCGTCCTCCATTCGCAAATCAAAGTCGGCGTCCGAGTCGGGCGGCGAAGGCGGCAGCCACAGCGGCATGATATCGTCGAATCCGTCGGCCAGCATCTAGAAAATCAGGGCTAGCTTCGACAATGTGTTTTTTATTGCATCAGAAATCAACATTTTGTAAGCGTACTGTCAATTTTCGGTTCACCGCAAAGACAAACGAATTTTGCCAAACTTTCTAAGTCCTTCTACCGGTTTGGGAACTGATTCCAAGCCCGTATCCATTAGAACTTTCCATTTTCCCCCGAAATTCTCAGTTCTTCCCTAAAATTTCCCAAGTTCAGGCTCGTCGACGTTATCTCGCTCTTTCCTTCCTTCCGCTCTCTCTCTCTCTGCCACGTGTACAATCCATCCGAATCCCCGTTCTCTTCCACATTTCCATCGTTTTTCTCTCTGCAACGACCTGTACCCGTTTCCCGCAGACTCTTTCTCTCGTTCTCTCTCTTTTTCTCGCTTCTTCTCTCGCTTCCTCTCACCACCATTACCGTTTCACTGCACTTTTTCGTAAGAAAAAAAGGGGGAGAAATAGTGGATAACTGAAAAATCTCTTTTTTTTGTCGTTTTCAAAAGACGATCAAGTTTCTCGCCACTTTCGCATTCGTTTACTCTCTTGATATGAAATTGTGTTTGTGCGAGAAAAATGGGGGCGTTTTTTCGGGAGGCGGCGTAGTGAAACGGTTTTTTCTGGAGCTCCGCGAGTCAGAGTGCGAGACAGAGAGAGCCGAGATGCGAAAGTTTTGGTGGAAAAAAAACGAGATGCACAATATTTCTCCCCCTTTTGAGCAGTGCGCGAAAGCGATCCGGGTGGCGACAAGTTGGAGGAGACAATGAAGAAGGCAGAGAAGAAGAAGAAGAAGAAGACAAAGAAGAAGACGTCGGCGAAAACTCTAAAGGCACACTGTCATTGAGCGGAAAAACGATGAAATCGACATGGAAAAGAACAAAAAAATGGTTATATTATAAACGTGACATGGAAAGAAAGAAAGAAAGAAAGAAAGAACAGGACAACGTTTATAAACGAGCGATGAGCGGGGACTCGGGATGGGGGAAATAACCGAAATGATGTGTGATGAATGAAAATTGAAAACAAAGTTTGACAAAAAACAAGGAAATTGATACGTTTTGGTGTAATAAAACAATAAAGGACCCCCTAGGGTGGTGGTGGTTGGGCGGAAAGAACGGGTTTCGGTGGAGCCGGTTGAGCCGAAGAAGGAGAAGGAGCCGGAGCCGGAAAACGAGAAGATCCCAGCTCGGACTCACCGCGTTGACGCAGAGAAAGTCGCGGTCGCTCGTAGATCCCAAAAGTTGGGCGGTCGGCGCTGGAACCCGACGGATTGGCGCCCGCAGATTGGACGGGAACGCGTTGGACCACTCGCACCGGGAACATCATCTTTCCGGGCGTTCCCGAAGTCGAAGGAGCCGGGCGGGCTCTCATCGGAACCACGAATCGCGGATGTTGCGGTTGCGAACTCGACGATGCAGAAGTCGAAGAAGTAGAAGTTGAAGGTCCTTGCGAAGACGACGACGGCAATCGGACAATCGGGAAACGAGTGGGACCGCCGACTGTGCTCGCCACTCCTCCGGCTCCAACTGGTCGACGCACAAAATGAGTGGCGGAGGTGAGCCCGTGCGCCCCGGTTTGTCCTGTTCCCATTTTGATAACTTTCACCGGCATCAACGTCGGCGGACGGTTCAGCACTGTTCGAATCGGTCGCGGAGCAGGTCCAGAAGTGGAAGGTCCGGATGGAATTGAAACGGGAGGACGTGGCGGCGAGATGAGCGGTCCCTGCTTCGGAAGCGTCGTTGAGGGGGTTCCCATAGGTGTGATCGGTCGGGCGATCACCTTCCGCACCACCGTAACCTTCTTTCTGCTCGGCATCACTGGCTCCTTGTACTCTTCCTCTTCTTCTTCCGCGTCCGCATCGTCTTCCCCCTCCTCTTCTTTCGTCGTTTTCTCCTTGATCATCACTGTCCGTTTGACGCTTTTTCTCGCCGATCGCACCTTCCCACTACCACCAACCCCACCGGCTACCGTACCACCACCCGCCACACACCGTCTACTAATCTTTTTGGGGGGAGAATCGGGAGGAGACGAGAGAACATGGGGGGCAATCGAAATGTAGGGGTTGAACGAGGGCGCCGTCGATTTACGCTTCGACGGCGAACGGCCTCGCGCCGTTACCGAAGAAGAAGAAGTGCCCTGAGCCGACGACGTCGCCTTTTTCGGCTTCACCTTCGCCTTTTTCTTCGCCGCATGGGCACCTGTCGTTTTCTGTTTGCGACGATCGCGTACCTCGTCTAGAAGACTGCCGCCCTGGTAGAAATCGCCGCCACCGCCGAGCAGATCCTCGTTCAGCAGATCGTCCGCATCGTGTGCCGCCGTCTCGTTCAGATTCTTGTCCCACTCTTCGCGCTTCTGCTCGATCATCGCCTGCAAAAAGGATGTTTTACTCGATATTGAAAATCGCGATCAATTTTGAGTCAAAGTTTCGCGGATTTTCGAGATATATTCCGGTAATTTCCGTACAAACCTCGGCCTCCTTGCACTCCTCCTCAAACTCTGGCTTGTACTCGGCCTCCAACAGGTTGATCGCGAATCTCTCGATTGGTTTGAGCTGAAAAACGCAATTTTAGCCCGGGAACGTCTAGGAAAAGCGCTGAAAACCTGCTGAATGAGCTCCATGTACTTCTCGTCGGTCTCCTCGTCGCCGCCGGCCAGATTGCTCGTCGGCGCCTTCGCGTTCTCGTCAAACTCGGCCACGTCGACTCGTGCCTCCGCAGCGGCCACCTTCGCCGCGTTCACATCCACCTCGTCCTCGCACTTGGCCATCGCCTTCTCCAGCTCTTTCTCGTTCAACGGCACGTCCTTCGGCGCCTCCACATCCACATTTTCGCCGTCGAACAGATCGCGAATGTTGTCGGTCTGCTTGAAGAACTCAGGCGTGAAGCCGGCCTCGTCGATCGCGAGCTCGCCGAGCCGTCGCTTCTGCGTCGCCTTCTTCAAAATGTTCTCCTCGATCGTGCGCTCGGAGATCAAGCGATAGATCGAGACGTTGCGGGTCTGTCCGATGCGATGGCATCTGTCCTGCGCCTGAGCGTCCATCGTCGGATTCCAATCCGAATCGTAGAAGATGACAGTGTCGGCGCCGGTCAGATTGATACCCACTCCGCCGGATCGGGTCGAGAGGATGAAGCAGAACACCTTCGGATCCGCGTTGAACCGCTCCATCATCGCCTGTCTCTGTTCAACGCCCGTCGTGCCGTCCAGCCGGAAATACTGGTATCCGTGATGCGAGAGGAACGTCTGCAGCACGTCGAGCATCTTCGACATTTGAGTGAAGATGAGGCAGCGATGTTTGTAGAGGTACAATTGACGGAGAAGAACCGCCAGCGTCTGCAGCTTTCCGCAGTCGTACTCGATGAGTCGAAGCTCGGGGAATTGGAGGGAGCGGCAGATGGACATGCGGGTGTCCGTGTCCGAGGAGGAGCCGAGCAGGTACGCGCGCGAGTCCCTCTCGATCTTTTGGAAGTTGTGGCGAATGTAGGAGGGAAGGCCCGACGAGGATGGGCGGCATTGCCACGCGTCCGTCAGCACCGGTTCGACGTACATTCCGAATCTGCAAAGAAAATTGTGGACTTTGGCGTTTTTCTCCGATTATTGACAACATTTCACCGGCCAAAATAGAGTCTTGAGGATTATTGTGAATTTCTTTGAAATTTTTAGAATTTTTGGGTTTATCAAACTGCTGAACTGTTTTTTTGCGGCGAATCAACATTTTTCTAATTCTTACCTTTCCGCGAGCAAATCCACGTATTCCGCCAGTCTCTTCTGCACTTTCTCGTCGTTTTCCACACAAAGACTCGGAAACTCTCCGACAATCTCCTCGCGCAGCAACGTCAACAGCTCTCTCGCGATCGTCGGCGCGCGGATTTGTCCGAAGCGTCGACGGACGACCTCCAACTGCTGCCTCTTCGACTCTTCCATCCTCTCCACCACGTCCCTCGGCACGTAGTCCGTCCAATTCGGCGGCGCTCCTGTCAATTTCGCCCTTTTGAGTGGCGGACTGTACGGCGCGCGCTCGTCGAGCTGGCTGCGTCCGTTGCTCGCGAGCGTGTAGTGGAAGCCGCTGCGGTCGGTGGTGATTGTCAACGGCGCCGTGTTCATGACGGTCCGCGAGCGGATCAGCGACGCTGTGCGGTTCAGCGTTTGCGACAAAGGAGAAGAAGAAGATCCAGAAGAACCAGAAGCGGTCCCATTGGCCCGATGAACCTCCTCCTCCGAAGCCATCGTCTCTATCGCGTCGCGCGCGTTCTTCGTCACGTAGGCGGTACGATTGAAGCGGAATCCGTCGACGACGGGCGGCCGCAACTCGAGCGCCGTCTCCATCGCCTCCATCTCCTCGATGAGCGGCCTCGTCGACGAGACCTGCGTCTGCCATCCGATGCGCAACTTGAGCATCTCCGGCACCGGCTCCTCCTCGCTCTTCTGCTCGGCGATACCGAAAAGGAACGCAGGCACGTCGACTTGCATCTTCTGGACGACGAACGGCGCGACGACAGGACGTGGCTCGAACAGATTCGGATGGTTGCAGCACTTGCGCAGTTGCATGACGATGTTGAGCACCGACATCATGTTGCCGCTCTTCAGATTCTCCTTCGTCGAGCGGCGGCTCATGAAATCGTCGTAGAGATAGCGTTGGCGTTTCGACAGCGAACAATTGATGATGTGCTCCGTCTTCTCGGGCAACTGCTTCTCCACCTCCTTCTTCAGCCGACGCAGTATGAACGGGCGCAGCACTTTATGGAGACGTTGAATCAGCGGCGCGTTGAACTCCATGTTCCCCTCCATCATTCCGGTCAACGGATTCGAGAACCAGTCTTTGAAGTCGTCGTGCGACGAGAAGATGGTCGGCATCAGGAAGTGCATAAGTGACCACAACTCCATCAACGAATTCTGCAGCGGTGTTCCGGTGAGGAGAAGACGTCGTCGGGCGCGGACGTTGAGCAGAGCCTGCCAGCGCTGCGACTTCCAATTCTTGATGTTTTGCGCTTCGTCGAGGATCAGATACTGCCACGCGCGCTGTTTGAACGCCCGAATGTCCTGGGTGACCGTTTTGTAGGAGGTGATGCAGACGTGGAAACAGTTGGGCTTCATCCAACCCTTTCGCTTCTCGGCTCGCTCTTTTGCCGTCCCGAAGTAGGTGAGAATCTTGAGGGACGGACACCACTTCTTGAACTCCATTTCCCAGTTGAGTATGACCGAGGTGGGCACGACGATCAGGTGCGGTCCCCAGATGGACTCGCTGCACGCCAAGTGCGCCAGCAACGAGATCGTCTGGATCGTCTTTCCCAGTCCCATCTCGTCGGCGAGAATTCCGTTCAGATTCTTCTCGTACAACGTGACCATCCAATCTAATCCGACCATCTGGTACTCACGAAGCTGTCCGCGGATCAGGAACGGCACCGGCGTCTTCACTTGCGTCGTCTCGAGCGTGTAGCCCTTCGGCTGGAACTTCAGCGCCTCCTCGGCAATGTTGGCCAGCTCCTGCTGTCGTTCGTCGGAATCGTGCGAGTTCAGCTTCAGGTAGTCCACGTTCTGCAGCACTCCGCGACCGTCTCCGTTTCCGTCCTCGGCCGCCGTGTCCTGCGATTTCTCCTCTTCTGGGACCGGTGCCGTGGATGGTCCTGGAGCCGGATCATCTGCCACCTTCTCTTCCCGCTTCCCCTTCTCCTCTCTTTCTCGCTGATTCTCGCGTTTCATCTCCTCCAGATCCTCCTGCGTCAGTCCGTACGCCTCGAGGTATTCGGGCGGTAGTGTCGACAAAAAGTCGTCCATCTCGACGGTCGCCTCGTTCTGAAGGGCGTCCACCTCGATCCGAACATCGTCTTTCCGCTGTGACTTCTCCGCGTTCGCAATCGTCTGCTCGTCGTCGGATTCCGACTCGCCGACCTCGAACTCTTTGTCGTTGATGTCGTCCGAGGCGATGGAAGGCGTTTTCGAGGGGACCAAGCGCTCCTGCACAATGTTGCTCATCTCGTCGACCTGTCCGATCATGAACATGAGATGTTTGTTTCGTGCCTTCCGCAGCCGCGACTCCAGAATCTCCTTGGCGCGAATGTCGACCATCTTGTCGACTCCCTGCCAGAAGTCGCGGATCATCTTCGCAATGCTCGCGCACATCCGCTTCTTCTCCTTGATCTCTCGCTCCGCCGCCCGCTCGACCACAATCTCGCGATCGCGGTGCTGCTTGGCTATTGCGTGGGCGATCGCCTTCGCAATCCGCCGCTTCGTGTTCGTTTCGGCGCGGAAGTCGGTCGCCATCCATTTCACCTCCTCCAACAGGTAGTCCCAGTGCGTTTTGTTGCGCTCCGGCTCCATGCACTTTGGCAGACGCGAATTCGACCAAAGACCGTTTCTGCGGAGCTCTGCGATTCGCGCGAGTACGTGTGCTTCCTGCAAAAAGAAACAAAATTGGACAAAGGTGATCTGTACGTGAATTCACGGATTTGGGAGTTATTTTGTATGGGAAAAAGTTGCAGTTTCTTTTTTAATTTCACCCAAATCCTAGTAGAAAAATGCGAATTTTTCGCTAAGATAAGACTTTCAAACTCACTCGTTTCGCCGCCCTCTCCACATTCGTCTCTCCGCCGCTCGCCGACGGCAGCACCGAAGCACTCGGCGCCGCGCCGGCCGTCTCGCCCTCCTCGATCTTCACCTCGATCGGATGCATCGCCCGTCCGACGTCTTCCGGCGTCTCGACCGCCTTCGTCAGATCCGCCAGCACCGCGTACTTTGGATCCTTCAGCACCTCCTCGAGCGTCTCGTTGAGAACTCTGCAACAAATCAAAGTTTTTGATGCATTTTATATACAAAAAATGAGGGGCTTACGCTTGTTCGACTCTCTGAATTTGTTCAACGACTGGCTGAGTACGGGTCTCGGGCCCTCCGTCGTCCGTCAGATTGATCTGTGCGATTCCGGTGTGCCTAAAAGTTGCAAAAACGAGTTAGAATCCATGAACAACAAGGAAACCGCCTACAATTTGTCTCGGACTTCTCGATTTTCGGCGAGAAGAATCGCGGCGATGTAGGCCCGCGCGTTGGCCGCGTCGATCGGCCCTCCCTCGTCCGTTTCCATGGGAATCGGCTCCTCCTCGTCGACGTCTTCGTCTTCGAGCGGCGCGGTCGACGTCGACGGCTCGTCGCCCGTCACTCTGGACGTCGTCCGACGTCTGCCGCTTCGACTCGTCGGCCTGCTGCTGCTGCTCACTGTGTCCGGCATTTCCCAATCTGCTTTTGCTTTTGAGATTTTTTGAATCTGAAAGTAAGTAAGTAAGTAACAATTTATTGTTTTTTTTTAGTTAGGAAATGACGAGAAAATTAAGGACGAAAGATGAAGAGGTGAAGATTATGCAATTTTTTCCGGTTGAATTTGGCAGAAATTCGATAACGACCCTTTTGAAAAAGTGAGAAGTAGAAAAATTATAGAATTTTTCTATTAGAATTCCAACAATTTTTCCGAAATTTCAGCCAATTTTCAGCGTCCAATCGATTTTTTTGTCATTTTCAGACTGTCCGTAGCCAATTTTCAGGCGATTCCACACACGGACGTTGCCTGAAACTGATAACAACATGCAAAACTTTCGACAAATACTTTTTAGAACCAAAACACAATTCGAGAAGATTCAAAAAATTCCCAAAAAATGGGATTATCGCGAAATTTCACCGATTTCAATGCGGTTTTTTGGATGAAAATCGAAAAAATGGCTTGTAAACTATGAAAAGAGCACATTTTCGAGGAGAATGCGTGCCGGATCGTCGAGTGCGACGGCCTCGAAACGCCCGCGAAAATCGCATTCAAAAAGGGCTGCGACCGCGACGCGAGGGGCAAGCGTCGCGGTCGCCGACGAAACAGCACACGGAAGCGAGAGATGCAGAGATGGGCCAATTGGCGGGGCTCTCTGCGTCTCGGCAACAAATAATCAAGGGAAATTTATTTTTGACCAGACAAAAGGACCAAAATCACAGTGTCTAAAGCAGCAGAAAATGCACATACACACACAAATGACCGACAATTCAACAGAGAAAATTCCATAAAAAGAAAGCTATAAAACCAGATGAATAAGTTATTAAAATAGGAATTACAAAAACAAGCAATAAATATATTACTATTTGATGACTAGATCTCCCCATCGAAATCACTGCGTCTTCACTTCCGTTGTCGTGCTCGGCGCCTCCTTCTTCGGCGACGCACTCGACAGTTTTCCGTCGACGACGTCGGCCGTCAGCGCGCTGAAAACGACGGTCGTCGCGAGGATTTGACGGCCCGACAGCGGATGGTTCATGAACAGCACCTGCAATAAAAATATCGACTTTCAGTGTTTTCAACTCCATTTGAACAGCAAACTTTTGAAATCAATTGAAATCTCTTACCGAAATGATAATAGTGAAGAGTTTGCGGGTAGTGGTCACAATGGAGCACGTCAACGGCGAGAACTCCTCGATCGTCTTGAAGATGCACCATTGGCCGAGGCAGGAGGCGATCGCCAGCCCGACGAGGTCCCAGAATACGTACGAATGGCGCTGGACAAAGTAGAAAAAGGACCAAAGCTCGCCGGTGAGCAAAAGGCCGGCGGAGAGGTAGAGCGACGAGTAAAGGTTCGTGTAGAACATCATGGAAGTGCCCGTCCGCTGGTAGCTCTTCTTGATCCGCTCCTGAATCGACGTCGTCGTGCCGTCCATCGCCAGCGAGAAGATCAAAAGCAGTTCTCCGAAGCCAAAGTCTTTCTGGTCGGCCGTCTTCTTGTCTTTGTAGAGGAACATGGCGACGCCGATGACGATGAGCAGCACGTAGCAGTACTTGCGCCAGTTGTAACTTTTATGGGCGAACAGCACGCCGAACACCATCACCGGAATCGGTTTGCACGACTTTGCGAGAACCTGCGTCGGGTATGGAAGATACTGGAGCGCCTGATTGGAGGAGATCATCGCCAGAAGGTAACTGCCTGCCGACGCGGCGTACATCCTGAATAAAACTCAGGTTTTTTTGAAATTTTCAGACTGCGAATGAGAATTTTTGTGTTTCATAATCTCCGGAATGAATTTAGCACTTTTAACCTGATTTTTGTGGTCAAAAGCGGTGAAGAACGGTACTTTGACATGAAAACACGATAATTTTCGGAATGTCCGACATCTTGCGCGAAATTGTCGGTTTTTCGTGGCGTTTGCGTTTACAGCGCCAAGTTTTCCACAAAAAAAATGCTTGCCTGGTCGGCACACTGTCGACTTCATGCTTCTTGCGAATCAGGTAGGCGTAGATGGTGTTGGCGGTGCACAAAAAGAAGACGAGCGCCTGAGTGAATGTGAACTTTTCGACACTCTCGTCCGGAAGCTCGTACTTTCCTTGCACACTGAAAAATGGGAAAAGTTTGTGAGATTGATAAATTCAAAAGCGATTTTTCAATTTTTTTACACACTAAACTTCAGTTTTTCTTCAATTTCCTGGCATTTCCCAATGACACAGCGCAAGTAGAAAAATGAAGTAAACCTGGAGTTTTTTTGGGATTTTCAAGCAAAGGATCTTACATTCGTTCTTGTTGAATTCCAAAAACGAAATAGCAGGCGAGAATTCCGCCGGCACAAATTAAAAAGTGCCCACTTTCGGAGGCCCACGATCGGTGCTGATGGTGATGCATCGGCGGTTCGTGTCCTTTCGGCATCTGCAAGGGAAGCATCGTCTTCACTGAGAAGAAAAACGAAAAGAAACGGATAATATCAAAACATTTATGGTCACAGAAAGGGAAAGAGAGAGAAAGCGGAACAGTGATCAATGCAAACAAATATTATTAGAATGGGGGAAACAGCGTCGCGTCGGATAGTGCATTTGTGCGTCGCGGTGAACTATTGCCCGGCGGTGCCTGCACACAAGCCACGAAAGCTTGCAAAGTCATCGAAAAAAATTCGTTCGATAGCAAAAAAATCAAATTTTTCATGTTCTCGTTTCAAAAACAATGCAAAAAATCAAGGTTTCCTTACTATTTTTGGGTTCACGTTCATTTGCGTGGAGCACAGACGCACAGACAGAGGTGGTGGTGGGGCGATGAAGAAAATACAAATAAATAAGAATTTTGTTTGGGGGGAGAATATCAAATGGGGTTACAAATAGAGAAAAAGAGTTATTTCCAGAGCTTCTTGATCGACATGTTCTTCTCCGAGTCCTTCTGCATCACCTTTCCGACGGCCATCTCAAAGTCCTCCTGCGTGACGTGGATGCGCCGTTCGCGGAGGGCGAACATGCCCGCTTCCGTGCACACCGCCTTCACTTCGGCGCCGCTCGCGCCCGGTATCTGCTCGGCGATCTTGCTCATGTTGATGCCGCGCATCAGATTCATCTTGCGCGAGTGGATCTTCAGAATGTCCGCGCGCGCCTTCTCGTCCGGAGCCGGAAACTCGATCTTACGGTCGATGCGGCCCGGGCGGAGGAGTGCAGGGTCCAGAATATCGATGCGGTTCGTAGCCATGATCACCTGGAAAAAGTGGGCTTATTGGTTGGGACCATGAGCTAATAACTGACCTTAATGTTCTTGGTAGCCTCGAATCCGTCGAGCTGATTGAGAAGCTCGAGCATAGTACGCTGAACCTCCGAGTCTCCACCACTGGATCCTTCAACTCTGCTCGATCCGATTGAGTCGATCTCGTCCATGAAGATGATAGAGGGCGCGTGCTCGCGGGCCATCACAAATAGCTCGCGGACCATGCGGGCGCCTTCTCCGATGAACTTCTGCACGAGTTCGGATCCGGAGACGCGAATGAACGTACACTCGGTGTGATGGGCGACCGCGCGCGCCAACAGCGTCTTTCCGGTGCCGGGCGGTCCGTAGAGCAGCACTCCCTTTGGTTGGGCGATTCCGAGCGCGTCGAACAGCTCCGGATGCTTGACGGGCAGCTCGATCACCTCCTTGATCTCCTTGATCTGTTTGTCGAGTCCTCCGACCATCTCATACGTCGAATCGGGCACCTTCTCGACCATCATAAGGGAGACCAGCGGGTCCACCTTGTTCGGAAGCACTTTGTGGAGAGCGTAGCTGTCGGCGCGAAGAGCAACACGGGCTCCGGTGTTCAGCGAGTTGATATCGATCGATTTATCGACGTCGACCACGTATTTCCCCTCCGGATGCACTTTCACCAGCACTTTCTTCTTGTCCATTGCTTTGCTAACCTCTCCGACGTAACTTCCTTGTTCGTGTAGCTGCTGCAGCTCCTCCTTCAGCATACGTACCTTGGTGTTGAGCTCATTTCGCTGCGCCTGAAGCCGACGCACATTTTGGCTTTTATCCGCCACTTTTTGCTGAAAACTGACTGGGATTATCAACAATTCTGCAATTTTTCAGTAAACCTGAGCATCATCGACTTTGGTGCGAAAATAATTGCGCAAAGTCTCTTCGTCGGTGTCCTCGGTGAGTTTTTGAGTCGCCGGCCGGGTAGATTCACTGCTAGCGGACGGAGGTACCATTTCTGCAAAAAAAACGGTAAAAAACGGTGAAAAATTGCGCAGAAATTCGGGCCTCGAGGAAATGATGACTTCCCTTTAAAAAGTGTCGTCGAATCGTGTGCCAGGTACGCGGCGAATGTTCACCGCTACGCACAGTTGCACGAGCGCGCAACGACCAGCGATTCGAATCGAAACGACGCACTTCGGCGCGGAAAAGAGAGCAGTGAGGTCGGCGAAGAGACGCGAGAGAAACGATAGGGTCGCGAAGAGAGTGTACGCGTCGGAGAGTGTGTACTAGCGGGTGCGGCAAGAAATTGAGGACGCGCAAAAATGTATTCCGTTCCGACTGGAAAAAATTGTAGTCGTGGCGATGCGCGCTTCGTTTTCCGTCATTTCTGGTCCGATCCGGCTCAAAATTCCTGTATTCGTTCTTTGGCCCATTTTCTCGGATTCTGTCAATTTTCAGCCGAATCGCTCCGGTGGTTCTCTTAAGATCGGCTCCAAAAGTTTCGGGTAAAAAATTCCGACCAAATTTTCGACCCTAATCCAGAATTCGGCTGAAAATCCACGTATCGTCACACTTTTTGCACCGATCGGCAGCTTTTCAAGAGGCCAATCCAATTCTGCCGTTAATTTGCCAATGCTCCCCCGGTTTTCCCGTTTTTATGCGGATTTCTGGAGATTTGCGATCGATATTTCGCAGAGTAGGCGGAGACTTGGCCGCCAGCCAAGTCGGGCCATTTTTGCTGCTCGGGGCGGCCGTCACGTGCCGTCTTGGCTGAGTATTCAACGTTATAACGTGTACACCAATTTGGCTTCGTACTTGTTTCCCGGGCCCTCCCTCTCCGCACCGCATCACCACCGCCACCATTCGAATCTCTGTCAGTTGTGCGGTTTGTTGGCCCGGCGGTAGGTGCGCTCTCTCGTTTTCTCTTGTTTCTACCCGCTTTCTATTCGTTGCCACGTCGCGCGCGCGGATACGGCTGAAATTGGCTGAAAATTTCGCAATCCTGACTTTACGAAAATTTAGAAAATTTAGATTTTTTAAGCTTTGGGCTGAATTTTGTTGTTCCTTGATCATTTCGTGATCATTTCATCGGGTAGAAGACTAAAAATCGATTTTATCGATTTTTCGGGAAAATCTCAATTTCACCGATTTCGCTCAACGTTTCTACAGATTTCCGCCGCGAAACACTCTCGTTCTCTTGTGACAGGCAAATTATCGATTTTTCGTCGGAATTACATTTTCTGACGACAAAGAGCGATTTTCTCAATTCCGCGCGACATTTCTCTGCTCTTCCGCCGCCAAGCGCTTCTTCTCGCTCATCTGACCGGCGACTTATTGATTCTCCGCCGGAATTACCTTCGCGAAGCTTCCACGCTCTGTCGCATCGATTTACCGTAAATTATGCCCATTTTTGCAGTGAATCATGGCTCGTACCAAGCAAACCGCCCGTAAATCGACCGGAGGAAAGGCTCCGCGTAAGCAGCTCGCCACCAAGGCCGCCCGTAAATCGGCGCCAACCACCGGCGGAGTCAAGAAGCCGCATCGCTATCGTCCGGGAACCGTCGCTCTCCGCGAGATTCGCCGCTACCAAAAGTCGACGGAGCTGCTGATCCGCAAGCTTCCGTTCCAACGTCTCGTCCGTGAGATCGCCCAGGACTTCAAGACCGATCTGCGCTTCCAGTCGGCCGCCATCGGAGCTCTTCAGGTAGGAATTTCCGCGTTTTTAAGTCAGTTTTCTCATTTTTTGCGTATTTCAGGAGGCTTCCGAAGCCTACCTCGTCGGACTGTTCGAGGACACCAACCTGTGCGCGATCCACGCTAAACGCGTCACCATCATGCCGAAGGACATGCAGCTGGCCCGTCGCATCCGCGGAGAGCGCGCCTAAACGGGCGGGGCCCGAATGAAGCACAAGACACACAAACATGATATCCTAATTAATTCCTCTCATTACTCGATTTTCATTTTATCCCTCGCTGTATAATAATACACAACCCACGAGATGTCGATCTCATACCCTCTCCCCCCTCCCAATATAATCCTCTCTCCACAAAACTTTCATTGTATTTCGTCGATTCCAATCCAAAAACATAAATTTCTTGTGCTTCAAGTTGTCAATAGCGACTTTTCGCGGAGCCTGGCAACGCAATGCCGATTCCGCTCCGCCCGATTCACTTTTTCGCTTTCAATTCGAAACTTTATACCGAAAATGTTTCTCCAAGCGATTGGAAATGTGCACAAACGGCAGCGTGCGCTTATTAGTAAGATTTTCTGGAATTGTTTGAAAATGCTCTGATGAACGCCTTGCAGACGTCGTTTTCTGCGTACTTGTGAAAGTTTTCCTCCTCGTCGGCTATTTTACTATCAAACGAAATCGATATTCGACGGTGGACACGTGGCAGAGCGCCCAGGAGATTGCCACGAATGCGACGGCCGACGCGTTCGCCGCAAATTCGACGGTACAATAGCGGTTACAGATTTTTCGGGGTTTACTATGAAACATTAGCGGATTTACTTCAAAATCTGTGAATTTCACGTAAAAACTCAGCCATGTGTTTCCGGGAAAAAACACCAATTTTACTTGCAGACACTGAATTTCACCCAAATTCTGTGGGACGCCGACTTGGCGCTCGTCTACACAAACAAAACGATTGTCGAGGAGCCGGAAAAGGACATTTTGCTCGTCGTCAATCTTTTCGTCGGCGTTGGTAGGCTCTTTTTACGGGAAATGTCACGGAAACGCTGGAGAAATGATGCAATCGCGTTCTGTCGCTCTGCGGCCGTTTGTCCGTTTTCAGAGAATTCTAGGCCAGCGATGGCGCTGAATGGTTTTTTTAAACTGTATTTGACACAAAAATTCGAATTTGCAGCCGACGACGTGCACGACAAAGATTCGTGGTACGTTGTGCTCTTCTCATTCTTCGGCACTCTGATATACGGATGGAATGTGCTGCGGCTCGCGATTTGGATCGACCGAAAACTCGAGCATTTTCTCGGTATTTTCTAATGAGAATTTCCTGAATTTGTATACAATTTTTGTCAGACGACGTGTCGATTTACGAGCGATTGGGCGATGAAAACGAGTTTACGGATTTCGTGCTCGATTACCGCAATCAGAAAGATCGGAGACCGGTCGAAATGAAATCGGTTCGTCGGAAACTTTTGCTTTTCCATTTTTCAACGATTTCTAGGCCAGAAATGCCGTAAATGTCTAAATTTCCGAACTTTTTAGGTTGACCACCGATTTTTCGCAAAATTTTACCGCTTCTGGCCTAGTTTTGCGGAAGAACCGGTAAAGCGACTGAAAATCATCGATAATTCCAGACGCTCTCGATGGAATACGACATAAAACAGTCGTGGGACACGCTGACGACCAGCAAACTGAAAGCGTTCCTGCCGATCGCGCCGTCGCTCATCTTCCTCGGAACCTACGCGACGCTCACGTTCTTCCTCTCCGCCTACCACACATGGATGCGCGAGCCGCACGAGATCAGCGAGAACATGCGCGCGGTGACCAACTTCGTCTCGGGCCTCGAAGCCTCGATGATCGGGGGCAAACGCGACGTGAACAGCTTCGTCTTCGTCTTTTGGGGCCTCGTCTGTCAGATACTCTTCTTTTTGACCGTCTACCGATGCTCTGAGCTCGTGGTTCGCATCTATTGTGCTCTTTCGGGAAAGGAAGATCCGGTTACACCGGCGTTCTTGGACTCGATCACCGAAAAACCGAAGGAGGAAAAGGAGGCGGAGAAGAAGAACGAATAGTTTCTGCTCGATTCAAATGAAGAATTTGCTTGTTACTAAAAGTTTATTAGAATCATCATCATCTCAAATTAGTTATTCTGTGGGAGTTGAAGAGCTGGGAAGGCGTAGTCCCCAGGCACGAGATCGCCAAACTTTTTCACGAGGTGAATCTGCAAAGCGAAGGGAATAAAACTGACCATAAAAGAGTCGCTGCTGTTCGGATTGCTGAGCACCGCCAATTGCAGCCAAATCGTTGCGAGCAAGTAGCTGAAGGGCAGCGGTGGCAATCGTCCGGTCATGTGCACGCCATTCTCGCAGTAGGCGTACATGTCCTTCACGAATCTGACAAAGTCGGTGAAGACCGTTCCATCGGACGCCGGGTCGACGAGCATTCCCTGGCCGTCGACGAATGGAAGAGTTCCAGCCATTGGCGTCCCGACCTCGGCCACCAAAATCATTTCGACAGTGTGCGGCAGCGTGTCGAGCATCGGCACTCGGAGGCCGAGCAGTGCGGCCTGTTGCCGCACCAAATTGTAGCCCATCACGAAGAATATTGGGATTTTGATGTCGGGCTCGCCGAGCTCCACTTTGTGCTCGATAAAGTTGGCGGCATCCTGGACGAGTCGAGTGATGGCCAAATCGATTTGCCCCTCGTCGAGAATCGAAGCGGCCATTTTGGGCGGGAGACTGGTGAGTGGAATGAGCGAGAATGTGCGTCGTTTGGTCGTTCGTCTGATGAGGGTGTGAGACAACAATGAGACTATACGAACAAAGAACGGCTCCTTGGGAATGATTGATTTTGGACCAGTCCCAGGTAATTTCTAGGGAGAAACTTTGTTTGAAAATTACATTTACAGAGAAAAAAACCGATGACCTTTGAATGGAAATGCAAATAACACTGTCATTTTCACTTTTTTGCCTGCGAAATACTCGAAGAAACGGGAGAATTCGTAACATTTATAGCCAACTCGGAGCGATGATTTCTACGAAACGCGAAGCAGGTTTGTTTTAACAAGACTTGCCAAATTACGGGCCGGCCCGGCCCGGTCGGCCCGGCTCAAAAGGCGCGAATTCAAATTTTTGGGGGAAATCTATTTTTTTCGTTTTTTTTTGCGGGGATCAAAATTTAAAAAAAAAATTCTACTAGTGCTCAATAAAAAGCGTTATTATTTTCTTCTTTTTTAATTGTTACTTTTGCTTTGATGCCAATAAAAACTATTTTTGAGAACTACATTTCTTTTTTATGCTCGATACTTGCAAAGTTCGTTAGTTCTACGAAAAACAAACATTTTATTTAATCAACAGTTCAAAATTTGGATTCCCGCTTTTTGAACCGTGCCGACGGGCCGGGCCGGCACCAATCGATTGTTCTCCCCAAGTTTTCGTTAAAAATGGGTCCGAAGCGTGCAAGTTTTCTGTGCTTTTCGGCCTAGAAATGCGTTTTGAGCGATTTCAATGGTAAAATACGAAAATTCCAGAGAAGCTCTTGAGCGAAACTGATGAATACGACGAGGAATCGACGGCGAAAGAGGGCCGCGTGCCTTCGGAAGTGATAAAAGTGGAGGAAGAGCTGAAGCACTCGAGCGAACGGTTCCGCAATCCGAAATCCTCGGCGACGACGTCGGCCGCCACCGAATCCGGTCAAATGCGTGCGAAGGCGAACGCGAAGAAGTTGACGTTTCACAATATCGAAGCGGTGGCGGTGAAAAAGAAGGGCGATCGACAGGAGATTCTCAAAAAGATCTCAGGAACCGCGCGTCCCGGAGAGCTCACTTTCATCATGGGCTCGTCGGGCGCCGGAAAGACGACGTTGTTGAACATTTTGACGGGACGTAACCTCAAAAATATCGAAACCAAGGGAGAAGTCGTAGTGAACGGGTGGGTGTTTTCACGATTTTTAGAAAAAAACCGAAAAACAACAATAATTCAGGCGAGAAATGCGTCCGGTGGAGATGAAAAAGCTGAGCGCGTACGTGCAACAAGACGACGTCTTCATCGGAATGCTCACCGTCAAAGAGACGTTGCGATTCGCGGCGAAATTGCGGTCGCCGAACAAACTGGACGAGAAAGAGTTGGACGAGATCGTCGACGAGCTGCTCGTCATGATGAGCCTCAAAAAGTGCGAAAATACAAAAGTGGGCTCGATGACCGAGAAGAGTTTGTCGCGCGGCGAACGAAAAAGGTTGGCGTTCGCTTGTGAGGTCAGTTTGTTCAATTTGCGAATTTTCAATCGAAATCTGTCCGTTTTAGCCTGATTTTGAATTTTTTTGCCAAATTGCGGTGGCGTGCACTTGCTCTGCTGCAAAAATTATGTAAAACTGTGTTTTTGAGCATTTGTTAGACTCGAACAGACTGAAATTTGCGAATTTTCAATAAAATGTTTGCAGATCCTGACGGACCCTCCGATCCTTTTCTGCGACGAGCCCACTTCGGGCCTCGATTCGTTCATGTCGCATCAGGTGATCAAGGCGTTGCGCCAACTGACGAACGAGGGAAAGACGGTCGTGTGCACGATCCACCAGCCGAGCACGTCGGTCTTCCAGCTCGCCGACCAACTGATTCTGCTCTCGCACGGCCACGTCGCCTACTCGGGCGCCGCCAACGCCGTCGACGAGTTCTTCGCGCGGTGCGGCCATCCGTGCCCGCAATTCGTCAGCTCGCCCGACCATTTTATGCGCGTGCTCTCGCACAAAACCCACGAATCGGAGACGGACTACAACGAGCGTGTGGAGCGCGTCGTCGCCGTGCACAACGAGCTGCGAATGTCGTCGAGCAGCCAGAGCTCGTCGCGTCGCGAGCAACCGGCACTCGCCCGCAACTCGTTCGCCCGCACCTGGTGGTGCCAGTTCTTCTACATTTTCCATCGATCCGCCGTCCAACTCTACCGCGAACGATCGGTGATTCTTGTCAAATTGATTCAGACCCTCATCATGAGTGTGATGATTGGAAGCACGTACTTCCGGATGGACATCAGCAAACAGTACCTCGCCAGTTTTCGCGGATTCGCTTTCGTCTCCGTCCAAATGATGCACATGCTGTTCATGATGCCGGCGATGACAGTGTTCTGGAAGGACTATCCGGTCGTCGTCAGGGAGTTTCAGGCGAACATGTACTCGCCGAGCGCCTATTATCTCGCCAAGACTACTGCCGATGTGAGTTGGGAGGGTTTTGAGCGTTTGGTTAGTTCTTACGACATCTTTTCAGAGCGTCCAATACCTCATCTTCCCCGTCATCTTCTCTGCGATCCTGCTCGCAATGACCCATCTACCCTATGCATTTTCTTCCATCGCTCACTATCTGGCCGTCAACATTTTGCTCAGTATGAATGCGTGTTCGATCGGTGAGCGTGGCCTCACTTTCCCCCTTAAAACGCTGGCCTAACTTTTGCAGCGCAAGCGTTTGCGGCAATGTGCGGACACCTGGCGACCGGAATGACGGTCCTTCCGATCGTCGTCGTTCCGCTGATGGTTTTCGGCGGGTTTCTCATCGACTACGACTCGATCCCCGGCTACTTCAAGCCGCTCGCGTGGATCTCGTGGTACAAGTACGGATTCGAGGCCATCACGATCGCCTACTTTCGCGACATTGATCGAATTCCCGGATGCACTGGCACTGGCGCCGCCTCCAATTCCTCGGCCGCCAACCCGTTCGAGGAGTGCTCGACGGGCGCCGCGTTCATCGAAAGCGAACGGTTCGACGAGGCGAACTTGTGGCTGGACTACACGGTCATTGTCGCCACGATGCTCTTCTGGAAAGTGCTCGGCGTCGTCGCGTTCACGTGGCGCATTCGTAGAACTTGATGGATGATGACGTGGAATAAATGTTGCGGTAGACTCGAAAGTATCCAGTGTGTCGGCAGAGTGTGGAAAATTTAAAAATTAAAAAATAAAATTAATCATTGCGCACATATTGGGCTCAAAACGAGCAAATTTCGTTCAGAAATGAAACAGTTGAATCGATTTACGAGTTTTGTGCTGAAAATGCTCGATTTTCGCTGTTCGAACGCTCAAAATGTGTGTCTGTCCGTGCATTTTCTTTTCCGAAACTCATTTTGTCGGGAAACTGGCCAGTTCGGCCGGTATGAGATTTCCGAACTTGCGGCGTCGAACGGCTATTGCGAATATTACTTCTGTACTATTTGTCTAAAATCAGAAATGCCTGATTTGATCAGCAAGAACAAGGTTAGGCATCAAAAGACACCAAAACGTTCAAAAAACGATAGGGACTGTAGAAAAGTTAGAATTATATTGAATTGTAGGCTAGTTTTCATTTTTTTTTCCATGCCTACTTGACAAAACAGTAGGCTTCATGGATTTTACAGATTTTACGGAATTTACGGCGTCTTGAAACTGTAAATTTGAGTTTTTTCGGATCGAGGGTATATAAGGTCGATGACACTTGCACCGTCTCGCGAAGGCCCTGAAAAAGGATGGGACGGTTGTCCTGAAAAGGATTATCCTAGGAGACCGTCTGGTATGGACTATAAACTCCACATGGAAGTCGAAACATTTTTCGACTCTTGGTATTTGTTGTACACTTCAGCCAAGTCGTACAACTTTTTCAAAAGTAGAAAGATATTCCCTTCACATTTTTTCGGGATTTCACGCTGATGCTGTTGCTGCCAAGTGCAAATTTTTTTTTGATAAATTCTAAAATGATATGTACTTTTTCAGTCATGTTTAAAGATGACAAGTCAATTCCCGGATTGGAGGTCGGATGAAGGGCTGGGATTTTACGGATTTTACGCCATTTTCAGCGGAAGTGATATTTTTCGGACGACCGTAAAAAAAACATCCGTAAAAACCGTAATTATTTTTTGTTGTGAAAACAAGCAAAATGATGAATTTCTCAAAAAAAAAGCAGCAAAAATTTGGTGGTTTTTTACTTTTTTTGTGATAAAAGTTATTTTTCTCGAATCTATTACTTTTGTACTTTTCATGTAAAACGTTGTATTCTTCAGAACTACACGGTTGCTCAGGAGAAGTAAAAGACGGTGATGGGCCAAGGCGTTTGCTTCCGAAAAATCGCGCGCCAACGGAGAAATGCTTCTGGCGGAACTCTTCTACGAAACGGCCGTTGTGAATAGAGATATCGAAAAGGAAAAGGCGTTCGGAAAAGTGCTCAAATTGGCGAAAATCAGCCGCCCACACATTCCGCACATTGATTTCCAGCACGACGGACAGCAGAACATGGACTACGGATGATTGTAATAATGACTCGATTATTCTCCTTGTATTTTTGATCCATGTGCCCGTGTATAAACTGTTATTTCGAAATTAAAGCAATTTTGGAGACTAACATGCTTATCACTATTTATTTTTTCGTTAAGAATGAGCGAGTAATTGACGTCATTGTTCAAACACTTCGCTCTCTCTCTCTTCTCACTTTGCTGATACGGCAATGTTAGTCTTGCTTGCGGTTTCTGTCACTGACTACTCTGACTCCCGCCTAAACTCTCTCTTTTTGTTGATCTCGCTATCTCCCCAATGGCTAATGCTAAATTGAGCACCGCGTTAAAACGGAGTGTCGTTGAAAACAAAAGCAGGTCCGAAATTTCAGGTTGTTTTGCGAAAACCCGAAATTTCATCCCAAAATGAGGAAAATTAGGTAAAACAGGAATTGTCAGAATAGTTTATGACGGCTGTGATCTGAAATTAGCGTTTGCCCACGAGAAAGAGCGCATTTTTTTTTTTAAATTTTTCTGTGAATTTCAGTTCCGAACTTCAACAACTGGAATTTCTCAGTCATTTTTGCATTTTATGGGCTGTCTCCGTGCTCAAAATGACCGCCTTTGTCTGCTGAACAATCGTGAGGCAACTGTTTTCTCAAAATTTCCGAAAGCTCGTTTTTTCAAGCCAAATTTCGAAAACGAAATTACTCTTCGAATTTTCACTTTTACACGAGCACATCATTTTGTATCTATCGGTCATATGAACAAACGTGAGGCAAAGGTTTTGAAGGAAAACTGTGCATAATCCCAAAAACTCGAGAAAACAGCGTTTTCAGTTGAAAAACCGAATCCCGTAAATCGACACTGAGAGCCGCACGCAAAAAAGCGCGCGAAAAATTTTTTTCGCCCAAGGGGAGACATTGCGATCTACTTATGTTCTCTGAATTTTGCTGCATTTTTCAAAAAAAAGCAAAGGAGACTACGAGAAGTACACGCGGTTATCGATTTTTCGTGCGGCACTCGACTGAGATTCGGCAGGATACCGAAACGAAATTAAAAACCTCGAACTTGTACACATTTGGCGGCCGGTGGACTAGAAAACTCCACTTGCCGTGTACTTCTCGTGGTCTCCTTCAAAAAAAAAATCATCTTCCTAATTTCTGACTGATTATGCACACAATAAAACGTTTCTTATCAAACGCTTAAAACATTTTTTTTTGCAAAACTCTCTCGAAATTTCTCTGCAATTGCACTCTGTTCCTAATCTGGCCGAATTTCTCGGCCGCGAACTGATTCTTAGTTGTTTTCCATTGAAAATGTGGCCTAATTCTTCAAACTCGGTCCTGAGGCATTGCAATTTGCACTGCAAGAGGAGTTTCTCAACAGAGCGCGATTGCAGTGAAACTTTTGCAGTTTTTCTAACCACTTGAAAATGAACGACGCCTGTACGATCGAAGATGTGGGCCCTAGAAGTTCAACCACTGAACAATTGTTCGGCGATTTCAATAAAGTAGCAGCAGGAAGGGATGTGGCTGACGGTTTGGAGGTTACTAGATTTGACTTGCGAAGAGGACATAGAATAGAGGATAAACTTTCAGAATCACTTGATCGAAGAGAGGAACAGTTATGAAGGGATGCTCATGGAGCCGTCTAGTGTCGTCTTGTACAGTTCTAGAGCGCAGTTTATCACTGCTCTTTGGGCAGTTAGTTTATAAATGGACTCGAAACAGCTGTGAGAATGCATGTTCTTCCAGACTCTTCAAAACGAGAATGCCTTGTTGAAACTGTTGAGACGATTCTCGTTCAGCGGGAAAAGAGACGGAAAAGAGTGGGATGAAGAGTTCGATAAGCTGATCCGTCTTCGAGAAAACCTGGTCGCAAAGTATACACGTTTACTGAATTGTTTCGTCGACGCACTGAAACACAGTGTGGTCGACGACGCGACCTTCTATCAATACGTCTACGATTTTGCGGTCGTTGAGAACACGATCAAGTCCGAGTGGATGTTCACAGAAATGCTACAACACATGGATGGGAAGCTGAGCATTATTGTGAAGAAAGGTTTTCAAGACGACGACGACTCTTCCCTGTTCACTGCCATCCGAAACATTATGGCCGGCTTCAACAGTACCCTTTACAACCAGCAAAAGCCTGGCAATCGGAGTGAGCCTATAGGCAAGCTGGTTTTCGTTATATGCAAATGAAATGATCAATTTCAGGTCAATGTCAAGTCGACATTTGCCAGCAACAAGACGCCCCACAGTCTCAACCCTGTTTCGATCAAGCAAATGCCCGAGTCGACGTGGTTCCAGTACACGGTGAGTTAGTGGACTTGGATTGAAGTATCCTAGGCATCATCTGGTCCCGAGATATATAGATCAGATGATCCGATCCAAGTCCAAGAATCCTGCTTAGTTTGAACCCAATCAGCCCTGAATATAAATGAGAAAAGTTGCAGCGAATGTTCCCGACAACTCGGCTGTCTCGAACCATTGCTACGTTGAATATCGTGAACCGAAAAGCATCGATTCTCGTGGCACAGAAGCGTCAAGTCGCGCATCGACGCCCGGAAAGGGCAGACACGTCGTGGAGACGGATGATGATTACGGGGCGCCTCGCAAAAAGACGCGTATCACAAAGGCGGATAAGGAAAAGTTGGTAAGAAGCTCACTTTGATAGTAATATTATAGGGGCACCACCGCACAGAAATGGCGCTCTGTTGAGAAACTCTTTTTGCAGTGCGCAAATTGAGCGACCTCGGGGCCGAGTTTGAAAAGTTAGGCCACGTTTGCAGTGGAAAATTACTTCGCGGCCTAGAAATTGCCCTTTCTGTCCGGTGGCCATATTATAGTAAACCATGAACTTGACAGAGGCAGACTGACGAGTGGATGATGAGAAAAAAGGCGCAGGACCGGATCAATTCTCAAAACACGTTGAGAAAGAAGAAGATTGAGCTGCAAAAACTGGCGGATTGGATTCATAGTCTGCAAAAATTACTCGACAGGAAAAAGAGAGAGAATGAGAGTGCCGAGAAATTGATTTCGACGCTTATTAGCTCCGGTGAATTGCGAGAACATAGAGAGAAGGCGAAGAAAGTTGCGGAAAGAGGAACAAAGTTTATAAGTGCAAGTGTTTGTGTGAAAGTCGCCCGTCAATTTGTAAAGTGTTCAGGAGGTTGTACAGACGAAGAAGCGCCTATTCGACAAGTTATTCGCTGACCGGGTGCCGACAAGAGCCGAGTTTATTTTGGAAGCCGAACACGTACCGCTTTTTGTTGCCAACACACTGTGTCCCAATTTTGCGTTTAGAACAAAAACGACGAGGAGAAGATGCTCGAACAGTTGCGGCGGGTACCTAAAAAAGGCAAGAAGAAAGAAGGAGACAGAACTTGGATAGAAATTGCCGAAAAGTTGAATGAACTTCTGAATAATCAGGTGACTTTCTTGCACTCTTGAATGCAACTTTTTGAAGGCAAACAACCATTTTAGACTAGCATTCGTCCGGTCAAAAAAAAGTTGATAGACATTTGTCGAATGCTCGAACGCGACGACTGTGACATGTCGCGAACTCTTCCATCGCAGAAGAATCGTTCGAAGAATGATGTCGACTTGTACTCAAATGTACTGGAAGCGGCGCGTCTCGAGCTCGCACTCGAGGAAGAGTTCATTCTGCAAAAGAGCTTGGAGGCCTTGATGGCCCGGTTTGGAGTACGTCTCGATGATGATCGCGTCGAACCGATTCCACAAATCCGTCGAGTTGAAAATGATCACGCAGTTGCTGAAACTTGAACATTGATAAAGGAAATTGCTTCAGTTGAATAAAAGAGCGAAAAACTTTCAATTTTCGCCCTGAACTTCAGAATAAACAAAATGAACGCAGTGATAACAACTCAGACGGTTGAACAAATTAAACAATGATAATGCAATGTGCGTGTGGAAATGTTCGAAAAGAAATGAGATCAAAAAGATGATTCAGCAACAGTCTCGGGTTCAAACGGGTTGTCTGTTGAAGTGCTCCGCCTCGATTTCTTCTTCTCTCCCTTTTCCAGCGTCTTCCTCCTCTTCCACCGGCTCTTCCACTTGGCTCGGAATCAGGTCCATCGCCCGTTCGAGCACCGTATCAAAGTTGAATTTGTCCAGCTAAAAAAAACATGTTAAAAACGAATCTCCACAGCTTACTCTCAACTCACCGATCTTGCCCCCGCTCGGTGTTTGCGTACTCAAGCCTAATTTCAGGAAATGTTGGCTTGAGCCTGCACACGCCGAGGGGCAACAGCGATGAATTGACTAAAAAAAACTGCCTTACGCGTTCTTCGAGAATAAAAAAAATGGCGTTGAAGGCGCAATGGCTCGTCCATTCGTGCACATTGGTGCCCGCGTGCACGTGTGTCACTTCGGCCGGCGGCTTCGCCATCTTACGCACCGCTTTGCGATTCTGAAATTGAAAAGTTGAGTAAAGTGCCGCCGAAAACAAAATTTGTAAGGCTGCCCAATTTACCCGGACTGTAATAGGTTGCCGAAATCAATTCGACCGCCAGATCGGAAAAATGTTTCGGCGTTTCTCAAACATCCCGCAGCTATGCCAAAAATGTGATTTGTGCAACACACATTGCGGAAATAGTGCCGCCCTTCTTCCCGCTTCTTGGTCCTTGTGGCAGTGGTATAAAACGAATACCTGATGCGCGAGGAAATTGATGACGAAGAAGTGTTCGCCGCGATTGCGAGCGGCGCCACTGATCTGGAATCCGGGCGAGTCGGTGAGACAGACGACGCGGATGCGTTTGTCGTGTCCGTACGTGGCCAGCACCGCCGACATGTCGTACCCGCCGCGGCTGTGCGCCACCACGAAGATGTTCTTCGCCGACGACTCGTGCACCCACCACTTCCACGCGTTCGACGCGTGCTCCACCGGCGTTCGCGAGTACTGCAAATCGCAATGAGAATTCGAGTTCGTTTTGTTGAAATCGAAAAAAAAACCTTGAGCTCCTCCTGCTCGGAGCACGTGTGGTTGGTGTTGAGCACGACGATGCCCCAATCGTTGCGGAGCGCCCGTTCGATGTACGGGATCTGAGTGCCGCACTCCAGGTTCTCGTTGATGATGAGCCGACGGGCCCACTGCCCCGCACGGACCACTCCGCTTCCGTGCACCAGCACCAGCAGGTTCTCTTTCTTCTGGCACTCTGGCGAGACGAAGATGAAACTCACGTCCTCGTCCAACTCTTTGCCCTCTTTCGGCTTCAGCTGCAAGTTTTTTACGTTGAAAAACGGTTGAGACAGCGAAAATACCAGGGTTTGTTTTGTACTTTTTTTGTGCTATTTTTGCTGATTTTCTACACGATTTTGACAAGCACTATTAAGCTTAAGCGCCTTTTATTAAAAACGAACGAAAATTGTGCCAGAACCACCCAATTTTCCACATTTTTAGGCAAACTCTCAATTTACCGGTGTTTTGATCAATTTGCAACGTTCGACGAGCATAGTGTAAATTTCTTCATCAATTGCTTCGCCTAGTGCTTCATACGCCTCCTGATCGGTGTATTTGAACTTGCTATTGGTCTGAAAACCCGAAACATTGTTTTTCCTTGAAAAATGCTAGTTTTTACAATTTTATTGCGCAAAACGCCTTCACTGTCGAAAAAGTAGCCGAGTTTCGCCAAATTCGACATGTCTTTTGCTGAAATTCGGAAATTTGCGTAGAAAATCGAGGCGAGTCGATGAAAAACAAAAGGCGAGAAAAAAACAAAACAGTGGTGGCCTAGGATTCGACAATGCAAGTGCGCTCCATTGCTAACCTGGCGCACTGCCAAAATTACACAAATTCCTCCGCAATTTCTCGTCGTTTTTCATTCAAAAACCCTTCAAATTCGCACTTTTTTACAGGTCACATGTCAAAAATTTCATAAACTATTGATTTTTCGCACTTCTTCGTCAATTTTAGGCTTGCAGATGGCTCTGGCGCTCGCTGAAACACAAAATGAGACATTTTCGCGGGCGGACTCGCCGACGAGCGGACCATCCGATCAACTAACCACCCACGACCTTGATCGGTACGTTCTAAGCATAAATTATCGAAATTTTCGGCGAGAGAATGCATTTTTTGCAGTCACATTGAAAAACTAATGAGATGCGAGCTGATCGCCGAGCAAGACGTCAAAACGCTGTGCGCAAAGGCTCGCGAGATTCTGGCCGAGGAAGGAAACGTGCAAGTCATCGATTCACCAGTCACGGTACCAAAGTTCACGAAATTTTTACTGAAAACAAATTTTCGCAGATTTGCGGCGACATTCACGGACAATTCTACGACCTAATGGAGCTGTTCAAAGTTGGCGGTCCGGTGCCCAACACCAACTACTTGTTCCTCGGCGATTTCGTCGATCGCGGATTTTATTCGGTTGAGGTGCGATTTTTAAACAAATACGACAATTTTTTGATTTTTCAAAAATTTCTGATGCTCGAAAATTTGTAGAAACTGCCTGAGAAGTTGCAAAAAATTATTCAATTGGAATTTTTCACCCACAAACCATTACAGACATTCCTCCTCCTTCTCGCACTGAAAGCCCGCTACCCGGACCGAATGATGCTGATCCGCGGGAACCACGAGTCCCGGCAGATCACGCAAGTCTACGGATTCTACGACGAATGCATGCGGAAGTACGGAAACGCGTCCGTCTGGAAGCACTGCACCGAGGTGTTCGACTATCTGGCTCTCGCGGCCGTAATCGACGGAAAGGTGTTTTGTGTGCACGGGGGACTCTCGCCCTCCATCAGCACTATGGATCAGATACGCGTCATCGACAGAAAACAGGAAGTACGCTGCTTTTCTTAAACGTAAAACTTGTAAATTTTAAGAATGTTAGTGTAATAATCAGGGCTGGACAAATTTCGTCCCAGGCTTTTCGAACGCTTTTTGAGTACAATATTCTCTTACAATATTTTTTAATGTTTCAGGTGCCGCACGACGGACCGATGTGCGACCTTCTGTGGTCAGATCCCGAGGAGGACAACGTGGGCTGGGGACTGAGTCCGCGCGGCGCCGGATACCTGTTCGGAGCGGAAGCCTCGAAGACGTTCTGCGAAACGAACGGCGTTGATCTCATTTGCAGGGCCCATCAGCTCGTCATGGAGGGCTACAAGTGGCACTTCAACGAGAAAGTGCTCACTGTCTGGTCGGCGCCCAACTATTGCTATCGGTAGGGAACACATTTTCTAGACGAACTTTTTTAAATTCGCAAAAAAAAACAATTTCTTCTACAATTTCCGCTTTTCAGGTGCGGAAATGTGGCGGCGATTCTGGAGTTGGACGAGAATCTCAACAAGGAATTCACAATTTTCGAGGCGGCGCCACAGGAGAATCGTGGAGCGCCCGCCAAAAAACCGCATGCCGATTATTTCCTCTAATTTTTTTCTTTGCCCGACTTGTGACCCCACTTTATTGCACTCTTTTTCTTTATCTAATTTCTGTCCATTATCCCATATTCCTGATCCTCGTCTCCGAATTTTTTGTGCTTTTTTTTTTGCAGGCAGCTGTCCGTTGATTTAAAATCAAATGCTTTAGAGACCGCCGGCGTGTTGAAACCTATTTTTTCTCGAATTTTCCTCCCGAAAAATGATTAATCTTCAGTAGTTTTTATTGGCTGTAAATGTATTTCCTCCTCGATACGGATTTGTTTCATTTTTATTCTCTCCCTCCCACACCACCACAATTTTCCCTCTATGAGCACTATAAATTGGTTTTTGAGGCTCTAGAAAATTCCGAAACTTTTTTTGACTGTTGAATCGTTGAAATGAGTTGTAAAAACGCTCTGAAAATGTTTGAAGATAGCGGGAAAAGAATATTGAGCATGCACCTCTAAATTTCAAATGTTGGCGCTGAGAGAACACTGCCGTAACTAACGTAATACGATTCTATCGATAATTTTAGGATACCGTATTTACAGTACTTTTAAGACCCTTCAACCACTCAATTACCCTCTCACGCATGCGCAACAGGACTGAAGTTTTGATATGGAAAATGAGAAAATTCAAACTTTAGGTTACGGATTTTTTAGGATACTCTAAAAATTTTACCATGAAAATCTGGTCTCGATCTGTTCACTCTGAAAAAGGAGTACTGTATCTACAGTAACTCGAGATTCAGACAGTATTTTTATAAAGCGCTTCGAGAGTCATGACGATGTGCCAAGTATGGGACACATCAGAAAGTTATCCATGAGAGAATCTTGTACACACACCCAAAACCTCTAATCGTTTAGTAAGAAGAAGGATTGCAATTTGATGCCCCAAAATTAGAGCAGAACGCTTAAAATTAGGAAATTAAAAGGCGCATGCGCAAGCGTTCTTTTCTCCGCTCTTTCGTCTGATCACGCCGTGTCAGGTGGTCCACAGTTGGCACCAAAACAAGGTTTTCCAGAAAATGTTGCGAGCAGTGTCGCGTCAAGCGTTCTCGCTCCTCCGTTCGAATTATTCGACGGCGCCACCGGCGGCCGGCGGACTCAGTGACCAATTGCGAAAACGGATCGACGGACTCGTGCAGAAGGACGACGTCGTCGTTTTTATGAAGGGCACGCAGCAGGAGCCCGCGTGCGGATTCTCCCGAAACGTCAAATTGGTACGGGCGAATGACGGATGCTTTGAAAAATCGCCCATTTTTGCAGGTGCTCGACTTTCACAACGTCAAGTTCCAGGACTACAACGTGCTGTCGGACGCGGAACTGCGCGAGGGCGTCAAAGTGTACAGCGAGTGGCCGACGATTCCGCAGGTGTACGTGAAGGGCGAGTTCGTCGGCGGCTGCGATATTCTCGTCTCGATGCACAAAGACGGCGAGATTAGCGATTTTTTGGACGAGAAGGGAATTCCTAACAAATACGGATCGAAATAGATGTTTTTTGTTAATTTTTTAAAGGAGTTTTTAGCCAATGAACTACGAGAAAACAATAATTCAACAATGAGATGAACACGATTAAAAAGAAAATAATAAGATTAAGGTTAACAAAATATGGACAGAGAAAAAAGGAAAAAGTAACGATACAAGTTTCTAAACTCTAGCCTACACAGTACAGATCATTGAAATGAATTTTTGGAGGTAATGTTTTCAAAACAGAAAATTTATGGCTGTCCCTCGAAAGCCTTGGCAGCCGGATTGTCTTTCGGCGAATTGGAGAAGTCGGGCTTGAGGCGCTTCTCGGCGAGCTCTCCGTACGGATTGAAGCCCAGCCGCTCCATTTCGGCCTTCATCAGCTTCTTCTTCGATTTTGGATCCTTTTCGGCGTCGGATTGCGGCGCCAGCACGTCGGTGAACACGCCCGTTCCGATCGTCTTCGTTCCCTTTCGGATCGTGAATCGCTGTTGCGGCTCGATGAACATTTGCTGGTTCAGCGAGAGCTCCACTCTGCAAATTTCGCGTGTTTAAAATGACTTTGCTCAATTTATAAAATAGGCTCATTTTCAAATTTCTTTGGCGTTGAATCATTTTTAACCAAGAAAAGGCCAATTTTGAGAGAATCCATTGGCTTTCCGTCAAATTGCCGTTTTTTAACCGAGAGAAGATCCCAAACTCACTCAGCGGACTCTCCGGGCATCACAAAGTCCTTGCCAACGATCTTGACGCTCGCGCCGCTGTCCCAGGTCAGCGAGAAGACGTGCTCGGAGAAATAGTTGGCGATGGGCGTCTTGGCGCCGCCTTCACTCTCCTTCAGCACATACAACTGTGCCTTTACCTTGTCCGTCACCTTGTGCTTGTGTCCCTGCGGCAGAAGGACACATCCGCGTCGCACGTCCTTTGGGCCCAATCCTCTAAGGAGCACTCCAAGCTGATCTCCCGGCTCCGCGACCTCGACCGTCTTTTTGAACGATTCCAGGCCCGAGATGACCGATTTGACGGTCGTGCCGTCTTTCGTGCCTCCGACGATCTCGATCTTGTCGCCTCGCTTCAGCACACCTCTCTCGAGCTTTCCGGTGATCACGGTTCCGCGACCGACGATCGAGTAGACGTGCTCGGCGGCGAACATCGGCTCCTCGTTCGTCTTTCGCTCCGGAATCACGAATTTGTTGTCGAGCACGTCTAGGAGCTGCTTGACCGCCTCCTCGCCAATGTCCGGCTGTTTTCCCTCCAGTGCGCACAGGGCGGATCCGAAAATAACTGGGCAAGTGTCGCCGGGATATCCGAACTCGTTGAGCTGCTCGCGAATGTCCATTTCGACGAGTTCGCGTGTCTCCGCGTCGGGCACCTCGTCCACTTTGTTCATAAACACGACAATATTCTCGAGGGGCACTCCGACTTGACGCGCGAGCAGCAGGTGCTCCTTCGTCTGCGGCATCGGGCCGTCCGTCGCGGCGACGACGAGGATCGCTCCCTCCATCTGCGCGGCGCCCGTGATCATGTTCTTGATGTAATCCGCGTGTCCGGGACAGTCGATGTGCGCGTAGTGCCGCTTCGCCGTCTCGTATTCGAGGTGGAATGCGTTGATTGTGATTCCGCGCGCCTTTTCTTCTGGAGCATTGTCAATGTCCTCGTATTTGCGGTATTTGGCTCCTTTCGACGTGGCGAGCACTGAAAATTGCAAAGAATGATACTCTAATCAGACAGGGACGAGAGATGATGCAAAAATTTGCTGCTAGAACATCATAATTTTTTAAAAATCCGCGGTACAAACCTTTGGTGATGGCCGAGGTGAGGGTGGTCTTTCCGTGATCGACGTGTCCGATCGTTCCGACGTTCAAATGCGGCTTATCTCTCTTGAAAACGGCTTTTCCGCCAGGAACGGCTAGGTGCCGCGCCTGAATCATGGCCACCTGCTGCATTTTCTGCTCGCAAAGCGACGCATTTTCTGAAAATTCACATTTGGGGCCTGCTTTCGTTTAAATCATTAAAAACGTACTGAATGCGCCGGGCAGATTGCGGCTGAGAAGATTGAAAATCTGCATTTCGGCGAGAGGCCCAAATTTGTCGTTTCCTGTGAGAGTATGCAAATTTTAGGCGGAGAAATAATAGAAGACAGTGAAAAACAACAAGTTTATTAAGTTTTTACACGAGAAATGGAATCATCTGGAATTTTAGACCTCAAAATCTGAATAAATCGCGCAAAAAAAGAAAAGCCCAAAAGTCCGCAATTTTGAACTGAGCCGACATCACATCCGACGCACAAATGCACGCAAAACACCGCGGGGCATTGTCGACCGTACTCCTCGTCTCGCAGTCATTTGCCCGCTTCTCGTGTCCTTTTTTCCAGTTTTCAGCTCAATTTTCAGCATTTCTTCGGCATATTTTATTGATTTTTAATTTTTCGCATTGTAGACATTTGTGTCGAAACCCATTTTAGGCGAATTTCCATCGAAAAACGGCGTCTTTTGCATATTTCGGAATTGTCTCGAAATTTCACTGATAACGGTGCGGTTTTCGTGTAAAACGTGACGATAACTGGCTGACCGTCTTATCAGACCGATAATTGTAAGAATTAACCCAAAAGTTTCGAGAATTTCAGGGGTTTTGCGATTTTATCGGAAAAGTTGCAAGATTTCGAAATTGGTCACAATTTTTGCGAAAAATTTGAATTTTCCGCTGATTCCAAAGACATTATTGATTGATCTTGCAATTGCGCAGCTGATCGTGCTACTTGCACCTGCCGGGCGGTGATTTAATCCATTCGCATCTAGCCTCGCCGCAAAATTTTGTTTTTCACTTTTTTGAATTTGAATTTCGCGCGGAAATTTGCCAAATAGGATTTTAGGAAGATTTTCGGTCTCACAAAGTACAATTTTGGCTTTGAAAAGTACATTTTCGTATGCACTTTGGCGCTGTACAGACTACAAATTACTAAAAACTGCCTATTGTCAATTTCTGAGAAGTATACTCTTTTCTTTGACTTTTTTTCGATTCCACAGCCAAAAGTGGTCAACTAGTGCTCAGAGAGCCCAAAAGACCGCCCACCGTCTTATTTACCCTCCATTTTCGTCGTTCCATATCCTGTTTACCCCCAGTCAGGTTCCTGCCACGAAAACTAAAAACTGCAAGTTCTTCTTCTATTATAACTGTTCGTTTCAATAAAATAATACAATAGAAGAGGCCATTGATTTGAAAAATATCAAAAATGTATTTCATTGCGTTCCCCTTGTCTTCCATTGTGTGTCCGAGACACCAAACAACACGGAATCGATTGGAATTCAATTGGCGCCGTTTCGTCCGAAATTACGGGAATTTTATCGGCAAAAATAGGCGAATCGGTTCCTTTTTGTCTTGAGAATCTGTTTGAAGGAAAAACTTTGACGTTTCAAAACCGCTTAAGATGTGTAATTTTTGAGTGCATCTTGAGAAAAATCTAATTTTGCCAAACTGGAGCCAAGTTAGTAGAGATGACTCACAGCATCAACAGCATTAGGAGGTTCTGAATATTCTATGGTGTTTTGATGAAAACTTGGGGATTTCTGTTGGTTGTAAATATCATCGGATTAACATCAACTAAGGAAAATTTTGTTCGCCGCGGCCTGTGGTTTGGCCCATTTCTAGTTGACCGATCGGACCCAAAAAAGTTTTGGACATTGTTTTTGGTGTGAAGTGTCTCCAGGACTAATTTGGGCCCAAATGGATCATCTCATCTAGCGATGAACTGAAACGCGGCCGCGTTTCAATTTATCTGCAGATCAGATTATCCTATGGAGCTGAAATTTGTCCTGAAAATGCTTCATACTAGGGGCAATGTCCAAAAAATTTTTTGGGTCCGGTCGATCAACTGGAAGTGGGCCAAAAACACAGGCCGGCAAAAATCCTTTTCTGCCTGATGACTCACTGTTTTCAAGTTGCAAAACAATCGATTCTGGCCCGAATTTCGTTCTGACCAAACGTCTTTCGGACCTCTTACAAGAGGTTTTAAAAATCTCGAGACAAAACTTATGTCAACCTCCTTCTATTATCAAACAAATTGTCCTCTATTCATTGTCCGAAACAGTTTGTCCAGAAAACTGGCCAGTTTCCCGTTCTTTTCACTTTTTCTTCCTTCAGACCTCTTGTATGGTTGGTTAGTGCTCAAATATTGCCGCAGCTGTTTTGACTGGCGTGCTCCAGTAGAACTGACCATTTTGATTGGCGGTTAAAGATACTTTTTTTTTCAAAATGCTCAAATGTAGCGCCATCACATCTGAAAATCGATCCTCCTCCTCCGTGTTCTTGAAATCGATGAAGAAGGGATCAGAGAGAGAGAGAGAGAGAGACCTCTTTCTATTGTGTGTTCCCTTTTCTCGTCGCTCCCCTACCGCCTTCGTCTCTCTCCCTAGCCCTTTCTCTCTCTCTGCCGCCCGCAATTTCATAAACACACACTCGTTTGCCCTCCGGTTCCCCTCTCGTCCTTTCCAGTCATTTGTATATTGTTACTTGTTAGCGAAACGTTTTCCTTAAATTTAGTCCTAAAATTGCGAAAATTGGCGAAAAATCGATTGGGAAACTTGTTTATTTCGTCGACTTGTTCCCATTACTTTGCCTTCTTCATCACATGTTCGCTCATTTCAGGTATGGAAGTACCGCCAGAGGACCGGAATCTGGAGACGCAGCCGCTCATCGATGAGGGGTACGAACTAGATTTTGGCGAAAAGAACCGAAAAAGCTATGCGAAAATTGCAGAATCGGATTGTATTCGGAGGATTTGGAGCGTGGCGAGCCGGAGGCCGAGTACATCACCGAGTACGGCGACGGAACCGAATCGGCGCAGAGGGCTCAGAGACCCAATGGTCAGCCGGAGGCATTTTTGACATCGCACGGTCTCCAGAGCTTACAATGTGGGCGTGGCCTCTGCCACAATTATTTTTCCTGATTTTTGTGGTTGAAAGCGATGAAAAGTGATAACTTGCGAAATTTCTGTCATTTGGTTCCTAATTTTCGCATCCTTGACCGTTTGCCGACAAAATTGGTTTCGAAAATGATAAATCACGTGCAAACAACAAAAAGCATTAAAAAACTATTGAGATTCATGCAATTTTACCCAAAAACCTCATACGGATAAATCTCGATTGCGAATTGGCCAAATTTGATGCTCTCGCGCTTAAGATATTAGTTTTACTCGAAATTTGAGGTTAGCATGTTAACATCTCGCCAAAATGTCGTTTGTAAGCTCTGAAGACAGTGGTTGAGAAATGAAAGAAATTGATTGAATTGGTATTTGCAGGAGCGACAGTGCTGTGCCGAGTGTGCGAAGTGAGCGTCTCTCTGGAGGGACGCAACCAGCAGCACGTGGTAAAGTGCCACAGTTGCGACGAGGCGACTCCGATCCGACCGGCGCCGCCCGGCAAGAAGTACGTGCGGTGTCCGTGCAACTGTCTGCTCATCTGCAAGGCCTCGTCGACGCGGATCGCGTGCCCGCGCAACAACTGTCGCCGCGTCATCACGTTGGGTAAGCGCGTGGAAGGCCACGAGTCGTGTTGCTCTTCCTCCCCGCCCTCCTCCACTTCTAGACGAACTTCCACCGCCGCGGGTAGGTACTGTACTGTGCTCAATTCTAGCCGCTTGCTTCTTTAAGTCGGAAAATTTGCGCCGAAATTTGGCGGTTCAATGTTGTTTTTGTGCTGCACGTGTCGGGCTGGAGAGCACAGTTGCAACAGAGCGCATTCACTTTAAAAAGCCCTGATAGAACTAAAAATCAGTCTAAAAACCGTAGAAAAAACGAAGGAAGTTCTACAGCTAAACTTTGTGCGTTTCAGTAAACATTGTGCTTCCCCAGCCTTCCCTAAAACCCCGTCCCTCCGTTTTACCCCATTCTTCTCCCAAAAACGTCCACCAGTTCCCATGGTAACTTGCAGCGGGCCAACGAGATCCGGGGACGGCGATCCGTGCTCCGACGGGAAGCTGCCGCGTCAAGTGCTATCACTGCAACGAGATATTCCTGTTCAACACACTGACGAACGCACTGGCCAACTGTCCGCACTGCAAGAAATACTCGACCGTCGGCAACTTTGCCCGTCGTCGCGCCCTCCTCTTCTTCGTTTTGGCGGCCACCGTCGCCGTGCTCGCCGTCATTCTTACCATGCTCACCAACGCCTCGGTACGTCTTTTTTTGGAATATGAACTGCTGAAGATTCGCCCCCAATTCTGTGGTCAGTTTTTTCAGAGTTTCAACAAGTTGTACATGTACCCGATTCTGGCGGCACTCTACGGTTGCGCCCTCTACACTGCATACAAATCATTCAACTATTACACGTGTCGAAAAAGCGAGATTATCGGGCCAGTGTGAGTTTTTTCTTCAATTTTTATATCAAGGCCGGCCTGGACTTTTGTCCCAGTTTCAATAATACGATCGGATCCAAACTTTACAGGATTATTGGACTTGGATTGAAGTATATTGGTTCCAAGTTTCAGATCGATCCGATTATCGGGTCCCGAGTTATACTGGTTTGAGGCCGGGCTTGCGAAAATTGCGGCCCTTTCGGCCTCTGATCCACATATCTCGAGACCAGATGATCGGATCGGTCTGAAACTTGAACCCGATATACTTCAATCCAAGTCCAAAAAGTCTGCGAAGTTTGGGTCCCAATCGGATAATTGCAAAAGTCCAGGCCTGGGCCGGTATTTAGCCCTTTTGACAGAAATGTCAGACTTCTCAAAAAAATTCAATTTTTGCAGCGAAGGATTCGACATACACGAGTAGTTGCACCACCAAAATCCATCATCATTCGATAGAAAATTTGTAAACAAAAAAAAACTATATAATTTGAAGAGCTGGGAAATTTGATAGTCATTTTGCATCCAACATATTCTGTGATAAACTCTCCCAAAATACCTCCGATTCGTTGCTATTGTCTAGTTTTATTGAGCGCATTTTTGAGTGGGAATTGTTCCCTTATTCCCCTAGAAAATCCCTCCAGAAATGCCCTCAATATTCCCCCCATTTGCACCCATTCTTCCAGCGAATTCAGAACCCATAGAAACTGGTATTTCCGACCCCAAATATTGTCCGTTTTCCCCCAATTTCAGCATGTTTTTCACCGTCTCATCCCCCGTCCCCCTAAGAACGTTTTCAATTCACATTAATCACTTTGAGAGACTGGTGCTCAAATCAAAAAACACAATCGATGATTTTTGCGTTTTTTTTCTTCACTTCTCTCCTCGGTTTCATTCTTGTAAATGTATTCTCCCACCACGCGCACGCACACCTACTTTTTCCTTGAAAAATGATTCTTCGGTTTTCCGCCCATTTTTGCAGAAATTTGGCGATTATTTATGTCTGTCTCTATTGTCAACATGAATATTGTGCGAGAAATTGTAAAAGAACACTTTTTTTTTTGTAGAATTGATTGAGTTTCTGGTACTTTTGATATCTTTAAAAGTGTGTTTCATTGGCGATTTTCTTTATGTGCTCGTTGTGTCTAGTATTGTTGTATTGAAGCAATTGCTTCTTAGTTGACCCTTTGTCATAAGCAATTGCTTTAATACAACAATCTTTGAAAGTTTTGTATTAAAGAAGAAGAGCTAGGCAATCGGCCGGCCCTTTTAAACCACTTGCAATGATCCGATGGGACTCGAGCTTCGCAGACTTCTACGACTTGGATTGAAGTTTTTCGGGTCCAAGTTTCACCCCAATCTGAGCATTCGGTCCCGAGTAATGTGGATCTTTGGCCGAAACTTGGATCCAATATACTTTAAACCAAGTCCAAGATGCCTGCAAAATTTGTGCCCGATCGGATGATTGCAAGTGATTCAAAAGTGCAGTACAAGGGCCGGCCAACGAAAAGTCCTGTAAAGAAGGCATGCGGGGATAAAATTGAAAAATAATCGGACACTGCAGAAATGTGCCTTGACTTTGTTCCGTATCAACCCTGAAAAGCACAGATTTTTACAATTTCTCTCGTTTTTTCCAGATTCCCACGCTCAAAGGGGGTGGTCTTTTTGGATACCTGCCGCCGTGATTTCTGCAGTGTCAAATTATGTTTCAATTTTCTACCCGTTCCCAACTTTCAGGGTTTTATGCAAAGGCAGCGAGTCCTCTCGCTCTACCGCTCACTTCTCCGCTACTCGACGGGCCTAAAATACACGAATCGGCAGTTTTTCGTCGAAAAAGTCCGCTGCGAATTCGAGAAAAACCGAAAAGTGGGCGGGGCGACGGCCGAATTGCTCATCGACTGGGGAAGCAGCATTTTGACGGCGAAAAAAGTGATTTAGACGGAGAATGGTTTGCGTACTTGGCATCGAAGGATCCGCCAATAAAATCGGGGTGAGTTTGTTTTTCATTAGCACCACCACGGTTTCTAACCAAATTTAGGTGGGAATAATCCGCGACGGCGAGGTGCTCTCGAATCCACGTGCCACATTCCACGCACCGCCGGGCGAGGGGTTCCGTCCGACCGAAACGGCCCAACATCACCGCCAACAAGTGGTCCGACTGGTCGGAGAAGCACTCAAACTCGCGAATATTGTGGATCCGCGCACGGAAATCGACGGCATCGCCTACACAAAAGGACCCGGAATGGGCGCTCCTTTGCAGGTCATTATTAGGGTTAAATCTACAATATTCATACTGAATTTCACAGCGTTCTTCTTGGTGGGCGGTTTGCACGTGAAACTACATAAAAAGAGCGATCTTAAGTAAACGTTAACATTTTACACTGTTTTTTAGCACTTTTAACGAAAATGCGGTAACAACACAGTGTAGAACGCCAAAGTTACACTCAGGATCGTTATTTTAGTGTAGTTTTACGCACAAAACTTGCTTCGATCGATTTTCACCGCCCACACACTGATCCAGAAAAAACATTTGTGGAAAAAATCCCCTTTCAATAATCCGATCGGACCCAAACTTTGAAGACTTCTCGGTCTTGGATTCAAGTATATTGGGTCCAAGTTTCAGACCGACCGGATGATCTGGTCCCAAGAAATGTGGATCAGCGACCGAAAAATCCGCAATTCGCGAAATACCTCGTTTTTCGGCCTAACACCAGTCTAGGGACCAGATCTGCAAAGTTTGGGTCCGATCGGATTATTGAACATTGCAAAACAACAAAGAATGATAATCTCAAAACTTTTTAGGTGGGCGCTATTGTGGCGCGGACGTTGTCGCTGACGTGGCAAGTGCCGATCATTCCGGTCAACCACTGCGTCGGACACATCGAAATGGGCCGTCTGATCACGGGCGCCGACAATCCGGTGGTGCTGTACGTGAGCGGCGGGAACACGCAGGTCATCTCGTACACGAACCGCCGCTACCGCATCTTTGGCGAAACGATCGATATTGCGGTCGGCAACTGTTTGGACCGGTTCGCCCGAGTCCTCAAACTGCCGAACGACCCGTCGCCCGGATACAACATTGAGCAGTTGGCGAAGAACGGAACGAAACTGATGGAACTGCCGTACACGGTCAAAGGAATGGACGTGTCGCTGTCCGGAATACTGTCCCTGATCGAGAAAAAAGCGCCGAAATTGATTGAGAGCGGAGAATTCACGCCCGCAGATCTGTGCTTTACCCTTCAGGAAACTGTATTCGCCATGCTCATCGAGATCACCGAACGAGCGATGGCACACACGGACAGCAAGGAGTTGTTGATTGTCGGAGGCGTCGGATGCAACTTGAGACTTCAGGTACAATGTGCAAAGAAGCATTTTCGCAGAAATTACGTTTTCCCGCTTCAAATAGCAAATACTAGTGCCCTGAACGGGTTCCTATCCTCCTCGGAAACCAGTCGAGTGACGGTCTTTTTGTAGGAGATGGCGTCAGCGATGTGCGCCGAACGAAACGCCCATTTGTTTGCCACCGACGAGCGATTCTGCATTGATAACGGAGCGATGATTGCGAGAGCCGGAGAGTTGATGCTCGGTACGACAATATCATTACGATTGTGCCATTCATTTCAAATTTTCAGCCGCCGGAATGCGCTTCGACTTGCGTAAAACGACAATCACGCAAAGATACAGAACCGATCAGGTTCACGTCGTCTGGAGAGATTAGAAGCGCCCCGCTTCCCTCTTTTTTGTTGAATTTGTTGTTAATCTTTTAAATATTTTGTACGTGAACCTTGTTTTTTCCTAACTATTGCTCGCTTTTCCCTCTTCTTTTTTTTTGTCTTTGCACACAGCCGAAAACGATGTCGGCGTCGTATCATCAAGTATGCGCTCAGGTTAGTGAAATTTTTCAATTTCTTCGGGTTTCTGGACCAAAGCCCAAAAGTTTGCCTAGAAATACTTTGAAAAAAAACGCTGTGGAGCGCATCTGTAACACTGTTAAGCGTTTGAAAAGAGATTTAAGAAAACTATTCAATTTTTGGCGTTTTACACTGAAAGTACTTGAATAAGTCGCTCTTTTGACACGGTTTTCAGGAAAAAATCTGAAAATCGATCAGAGAAAATAATTTAGAAAGTGAGTTGGTTGGGCCGGGCTTATTAAAATTAAAATTTTCCATTTCAGCCCTCTCCGCCCCTTCTAGAACAACTTTTATTGCAGGAATTCGAGAAGATGAGCCAATGGGTGGTGCTGATCTCGATCGTTCCCCTCCTGGTCAGCCTCCTGACCGTCATTCTGATCTGTTCGTCGTTGCGGAAGATGAAGAAGATGGTCTCGGTGTGCGACGGAATCGCCACGTCGGCCCACTGGCTGAGCAGGACCGCCGTGCGTGCGGGCGTCGGCGACACGGCCCGGAGCACGATCGCCGAGTACGCAAAGACGAAACCCGAACTGGGCCGTCTTTTGAAATAGAACACCCACTTTTTGTTGAATTTATATAAATGTTCCTCTTTTGTTCTGGACTTTTTCTAGATGTTTCTCGGTCTTGACCCGAGTTCGATATCTTTTTCTCTTGGCCTCTTTTTCTCTGATTTTTTAACATTCTACCGCCATTCCAGATGGCTCTGAAACACTACACGGCGCAGGGATACGAGGCGTTCCAGGAGGTGCTCCAGTCGATCGGAAAAGGCCAGAGAGTCGTCGCTCTCTTCACCGGATCCAAGAATCTCTCAACCGGACTCTCGTGGTGTCCGGATTGTGTTGTCGGTGAGAGACATTTCGCAACCGTCTTTTAAAATTCATATCTCCCGAAGTAGGTATCCAAACAGTTGGGACGCGGGCGAAGGGAACCACGAGACGGGACCACCCCGTCCCAAGCCGTTTGGATACCTGTGAAGCCGGAAATAGCAATTTGCAAACTCGAAATTACGAAAACTCACAACACAGCATGCGAACGGTTCAGAAAAGCGCATTCTCAATGTATTTCTGATTTCAGCGGAGCCAGTGGTCGAATCGGTGCTCGCGGATCCGGCGGTCGCCTCGCAAGACGTGCACTTTGTGACGGTGTTCGTCGGGAACCGCGAAGTGTGGAGAGATCCGGCAGTGGGATTCCGCACGGATCCAAAACTGAAACTGACGTGCATTCCGACCCTTTTGGAAGTCGGAAACAAGGCGAAACGGCTTCTGGAGGCACAGGTCGCCAACAAGAACCTCGTCAAGGACTTTTTCGTCGAAGAATGAATTTTCAAGATTTTTAACGATCTTTCTATATTTTTTCATTGTGATAGTAACATTTGAATTTGGGAAATAAATTATGGTGTGTGGGAAATGAAGAGAAATTGACAGTTTAAACGGATGTGACCATTTTTGGATTACTTTTTTCCATGTAGACGAATTTGAAAAGAAAGGGAAGTTATTCAGATGAACGACGAGATTTACCACGAAAAGCAGCGACTGCAGTACTGTCTCATCCACACAGTCAACAATATTCTGCAGAGAAACGAGTTCGACGCCGCCAAAATGAACGAGATTTGCTATTCGTTCGACGACAGCCGCTGGTTCAATCCGCACAAGTACGCGACACTTTTTTGCGAGCACAGTTTTTGAGCAAATTTCAATTTACAGTTGCTTAAACGGTTCTTAAAGTGTGCGCACACTTTAAACACACTTTAAGCAACTTTTAAACGAACTTTTCGAGAACAAGTGTCAAAATAGTGGAAAGCGTGAAAATAAAAATAAAAACGCGTTTCGTGCGTGCGCGCACCTTTAAACGTTCCGTTTTTTTTCAAAAAAAAACGGAAAACAATCATTTTTTCACAGTCTGAATAGCCCCATTAGGCAGGCAGTCAGCGAGCTGGCAAATTAAAGGCGCACGCAGAAAGCGCGTTTTTTTACTTTCACGCTTTCCGCCGTGACGCAATTTTCTTCTATGCACAACCGTTTTTTTTTGGCCCATTAAATGTGGCTTTGCTGCAAAAATGAGTGCCATGGAGTGGGAGAGAAGAAATTGGAATTTTAGTTGCGAAACGTCCATGCGAAAACACTTTTCAGATCATGGATCGGAACCGGCAACTACGACGCGAACATTCTGATGGCCGCCCTTCAAATGCACGATCTCAAAGTGAGCAAATATTGAAATTTTAGCATTCCACAAAAAAACCCGTGAAATGTCGCCTCTTTCGATATTTTTCAACGTTTAACCCAATTTCACAGCAAAATGTTCATTCTGAGCGTAAAAACATAAAGTGTTATGGGGTTTTTCAGGCTGTGAAAAAAATGAATTTTTTTCCGTTTTTTTTTACATCAAAAAAACCCAATTCAGCGGTGTAAAAAAACGAAAAAAACGGAAAACAAACATACGCTGAATAGCCCCATTAGGGCTGCAGTGCTGAAATATCTCAAAAAATGACTAAATTGGCTCAAAATCAAGTTTGGCGCCGGCTGTATTTTTGTATAGCGAACTTGCAGGTGATGTGGTTCGACAAGCGGGCGCCGATCGAGCGGATCCACGTGGATCGTGTGAAGGCGTTCGTGTTCAACACGCCCTCCCGCACACTTTTGACCCTGTACCGCGGACGGCACTGGTTTGCGGTGATTCGCAAAAACGAGCGGTTTGAAATGCGAAAAATGTGGAAATTATCGACTATTTTTGCAGTTTTTACAACGTGGATTCCAAATTGAACGCGCCGGAACCGATCGACGATATTCGGAAATTTCTGGAAGAGCACGGTCACGCAAAAGACACGGAAATGATGTTGGTCGTGGAAAATGCTGTGGAAGAGGGAAGCGTCGTCGAAAAATGAGCTTTAACATATTTTTTTTTACAATAAAAACTGGGATTTTTTGTGATTTTTTGTACAGGTCCAGGCAGTTAACAAACAAATGGAAGAAGAAGAAGAAGAAGAGGGAATATTTTGAAAATTAGTACCGTAAGAAAAGGTAAAAGCCCCGGAAGAGAAATGTGGTGGCCCGGGACAGAAGGAAAATGGATATTATCGAATTCCCCGATCCGATTGTACCGAAACAGCGTTTATCGGAAAATAATGGCCAAATTTGGGAAAAAACCTTGTTTTTGAAACGTTTTGATTGGAATTGTTTCTAGGCCGCTGTCGGATCGGAAAATTGACGGAGGAAACGCAGAAAAGCAGGAAGAAGTGAACAAAACAGGAAAACACGAGAGAAATGAAGAACCAACAAAAAGCTAACCAAAGAAAGAAAAGAAAATAATTCACAGTATAGCAATGGAAGTTTCAGGTCTGGACTTTTGGACCACTTGCACTAATCAATCCGATCGGATTCTTGAATATTGCAAGTGGGTCAAAAGTCTAGCCATAGAATTTTTACATACAAATTAGATGTGCTCGTCGATCTGCAAGTATCCGACGAAGAACTGTCCGACAGCACGACAAGCGGGCGGGGACCGCAAGGAGCTGCGAAGCAAGAGCTCGATGAGTAGCTCGCAGCACGGCAACGGAATGTCGACGAGTCCGACGGAAGTGTCCTCACCGTTCGCACGTGGATCGCTGGCGGCCGTCTGGTTGTTGAACACTTTGTAGAGGAGTTTGATGGCCGGGAACGGCACCAGCACGGTTCCTTCCTCTTCTTCCGATCGCAATCCCTCGAGGGTCCCGTTCGCAATGACCACGTACGAATCGAGCAGCCAGACGAGCATGTACGGCACTTTATCCAGGGTCCGAATCACCAATTTCATGCTGGATTGGCCCTCGCAGCCCGACAGAATCAGTTGGGACATGTAGATCGAGAGGGCGCTCGGATCGGTCTTGTCCACGAACGCCAACTTCTTGGGACCGGCCGTCATGAGCGTGGCGATGTGGTTGAACGAGTAGAGCTCCGGGTGGTCTGCAGCATTTTTATTGTTTTTAGGGGGAAATGAATGAAAAAAAGCGTACTTTTCTGAATGCGTCCCAACTGGCACTTGCAGCCGGCACACCGAATGTTCTTCCGCTCGTCCACAATCACATTCTCCTCGAGCACACTCGTCTTGTGCACCACCGAGTTCGCATAGCTGATCATCACTTTTTTCTCGTCCGGAAGCCACGTCGGATCGGCCGTCAGCTCCTGACGCTTCCGAGCGTGCGCGTGTTTTTCGGGGTCACACGCGGCGCCGCACGAGTCACGGCAGTAGAAATCGGCGGATTGAGTCGTTTCGAGAAAGTCGTCGTCGGGCAGACACCCGATTTTCATGATGTACTCCTCCGACAGCACCGCCATTTTGCACCGGGCACACGAGATTTTAGGCAGCGCTTTCGCGGCGAACTCTTCCAACTTCTCCTTTTTGCACACCTCTACCGCCAGCCGATGGGCGGTCTTCTGGACCAGCGGCCCGTCGTCCGATGGCTCCACGCCCACTTTGCACATGAAAATGCGGCCAGAGCTGTCGGCGAACGTCGCCGAGCAAAGCGTGGATGCTTTGATCGTCACGTCACGGACAGTCGCCCCGTAACGCATCGGTTTCGACGGTTCCGGTCTGGAATACGATAAATGATCAATTTTAAAGATTTTTTCAATAGGAAAGTCGTTGTTTTTCATTGAAATCAGCAAATACTAGAGCTCAATAAAAAAGTTCACCTTTCATTCTTCTTGGCCGCCTTCTTGTTATTTCCACTGTTATTGTTGCACTTTTTGGTGGGACTGTTCTGTTGGGACCCTCCCCTGGCGGATCCGGCACTGCTGCTCCGGTCCCTTGCGACGGATCCGCTCTGTTTTTGCGGGTTCGCCGCCGATTGGGCCGCCTCTCTTTCGCGTCGGAGCAGCGATTCCGGAGTTGGCGGCGCTCCGATCCGGATGAAATTGTCGGTGATGTTCACCACGTTCAGGTCCGCGTACTTTCTGAAATAGGAAAGTTAATAATGCAAACTTGGGATGAAAACTCTTGCATGCTATCAGTTTGGAACCCGCAAATCACAGAAAACACGGAAATGTCAAACTTCTTTTTTACTTGTTTTTTGAAAAACCGTACATTCGTCTATTCTCCTCGTTGCCGGTCGCCTCTTTTTCCCGGAATCCGGGCGGTACGTCGACGAACAACGACGCCAGATCGTTGCGCGGCTTCATCTCGAGAAAAACCGACATGTCGGCCCACTCGCCGAACGTATCCAACGGCGATTTTATCATTTCTGCAACCGACGACACGTGGCAACTTTATTGATTGAAAACGGCGAAGAAACGAACGAAATAGGGCGAAAAACTGTCAACAGAACGGTGCGAATGGCCGGCAAAAAAAGGAGGTGGAAGAGAAAACGCCACGCGAGTTTTCTAGACCATCCCCTTTTTTAGGCGGGATATCCCGCCTAAAAATCCGGATCTTGATGAATGTTCGGACGTTTTTGCAGGTTTTCAGGTGGAAAAAACACTGGAAAAATGGTATTGAATTAGAAAAACATGTTTCACGATTGGAACTGCTCGAATCTGCCCCTAAAATGTTCCGAAACAAGCCTGAAATTAGAAAAAATCGCAAAACCCCTTATTCTAGTTTTTCAGAAGTGTTATTGTACTAAAACTGTTCAAATCTGTCCCAAACTTGCAGAAAATCTGAAAATTCGGTTGAAGACCGCAGAAATTGATCGAAACCTGAGCGGAAATGGTAGAAAACCTTTCGTTTCTCCGAATAAAATGTTTAATGGCTTTTCGGAATGGTTTCGCAAGTTTCCATCTGCAAACAGTCACGAAAAACAATAACGTTTCTCGATTTTAGAGATTTGATGTCTGCAAATCGGCACAAACGAGCCGGAATTCTCTAAAATACAAAATGAAGACGAAATGAACGAATCGAACAAAAACATGTGCCCTTCTCTTCCTTAAGGACACAAAAAGAGGACGGAGGAGCGGGCGCATGGAAGGGGAAGTGACCGCGAGAGACGCTTTCACGTGACACCGGAGAGAGACAGAAAACGAGAGAGAGAGAGAGACGGCATCCGTCCATTCATCCGACGTTCTTCTCATCTCTTTTTATCTCACTTCTTCAGCGGTAACATCCATTTGATCGAATGGCAAATGGCATTTTTTGTCGACCACAAAACAAAAGTGAATAGGCGGCGTTGGGAGCGCTGGACGACTTGAGAGAACAAAATTTAAATTTTTTACACACATCGATCTGGCTCCAACTACATATTACAACATGTTGCCGACATTGATGACCCGTGGTGCGATGTACTTTTTTCTAATCTAAAACAAGACTTTTGGAACACGCTCAGGAAAAAGAACCGCCAATTCGGCTCAACTTCGGCGCCATCGCCGGCGCCTAGTACGCCAAGAAAATCATTACTGACTCGCAATTCTCTGGCGCTTTTCTTTTTCACTGCCACATTTTTTAGTTTTTTTCACAAGTTTTTCGCCTTGCTCTCATTTACTTGCAGGATTGAGAGATGATCAACTTTCAGAGCAGCACATGACAAAAGAACAAGCGACAACCATTGGATACCGGGAAAGGTAATGGGGCTATTCAGCGTATGTTTGTTTTCCGTTTTTTTCGTTTTTTTTACATCGCTGAATTGGATTTTTTGACGTAAAAAAACGAAAAAAAAACGGAAAACAATAATTTTTTTCACAGCCTGAATAACCCCATAATGAATAAATCTAATCCGTGCTTTCATTTAATTTTTTTTCTATTTTCAGAACAGAAAAAACAGAGAAAAATGCAAGGAGACGTCGCGTGCATCAGTGCTAGTGAAGACGTAAACGAGCGGCGGAACCCGAGTACGAGACCACCTTCGTCATACCCCGGTTTCCCTGCAAAAAGGCGCAAAATCGGCTTTGCCGGCGTCGAAATGGCGACAGACCGGCGTCAAAACCGGCGCCAAAACGGCTCAAAAAAAGCAAATCAGCGCCGGCACCGTGCCGTAACGGCTCCACCGTGGATTTTTGAGCCGAATTGGCGCTTTTTTTTCCTGAGCGGACAAACGGAGAAATAGACCAAATCGTTCTTTTAAATAATCGATTACACACACACTATGTTCTAGCCTTAAATATTTGCTCACCCGTTTTAGGCCTATCGATACTTTTTATGGGGTTATTCAGGCTGTGAAAAAAAAGATTGTTTTCCGTTTTTTTCGTTTTTTTACGTCAAAAAATCCAATTCAGCGATGTAAAAAAACGAAAAAAACGGAAAACAAACATACGCTGAATAGCCCCATTATTGCTCTTTCGAAATCATCACCTAATTTTTTCAATTTTTTAGTGAATCGCCGATCGCTCGACGTTCCACAATGAGTAAATCAATTATCGGAATTGTTGTAGGCCAGGTCAATCACCAATTGAATATTTTCTTTTCGCAAAACACTTTTTTTTTCAGGTCGACCCGCAAAAGTACTATGTGTGGAGCAACGAAACGTACGTGGGTCGGGACGGAATGATCCTCGTTCCGTTCGGCGTGCGCGTGGATTTGGGCGATTGGGTCGTCGTTTCGTTCGGCCCGATCCAGGCGGCCACCTTTTTTCCGTCGCAAAAATCCGAACACACGCCGCGATTCGAGTCGTCCGATTTTCGAGTGATTCGCGCGATTTACGAAACGACGCCGATAGGCAAAACGGTGCAAATCAAGTTGAATCAGTGTTTGACCGCCGGACAAACTGTCATTGAGCACCACTTTTTCAAGAAGATCTAGTAAGTGTGCGTCATCGAGCAAAAAGTGTGCGATGTTTTGATATTTCAGCAATGACACAGTACTGGTCGGAGACGGCGATTGGAACTTGACAATTCGTAGAGTAGAACCAAGAGTCGGGTACGGAAGAGAGTCGGTTTGGATCCTCGATCGAGTGGCGTCAATACCAGAACGGCCTAAAACTGGAAAAGACGTCATCGGAATAGTGGTCGGCACGAAGAACGCGAGCGAGAATTACGTGTGGTGCAAGGAAACGCGACCGGGATTTGACGGAACAATTGTGGTCCCGGATTCCGGTCCCCTTCCGTCCGGCACCTGGGTCCGCATGAGTTTCACGCAGCAAGAAGTGGACGTTTATTTTGAGAATGAGCAGGAAATCCGATTCAAATCTTGGAACTATTCAATACTAACCGCTTTGCATCCGACCGAACCGTACAAGCAAACAATCAAAATAAAATTGAAGTGTTTCATCGATGGAAACGAACAAATTAAAGATATCATTCATCCATTTGTGGGACTTGTCAAAAATGACAAACAAATCGAGAATTCTGGAAAGTATGAAATAAGGATTACACGCGTCAAACCCTCGCTGGCCAGGGATTCACACATCACCAGTGTTTGGGTGGTGAGCGAGTTGAAGTTGGTAAGAGTCTTGAGCCTGCGGTTGTTTTGAAATGCTAATATTTAAAGGTACGCGACGAACCGTCAGTTTTGACTTTAGAAGAACCTATCCAAATACTGCCTAGTTTGCCAGAGCAGGATGTTAGGGTGAGTCACTCACACTAGAGGATTGCGCTCTGTTGACAAACTCTTTTCGCAAGTGAAAATTGCAATGCCATCGGGGCCGAGTTTGAAAAGTTAGGCCACGTTCTTAGAAACTCTGGGTGAACACACTCATTCAGCCATCACCCGAAACTTCTCATCGTCCTGTCGAATTGCCAAGACACGCTGGTCAAATCAAGAAGGCAATAATCGTGAACATAAAACGAGTAAAGGATAGGGATCAAGTATTCGTTTGGCTGTTGGATGATCACAAGTAAGAGCAGCATACTTTTCGCTATCTATACAAAGACTTCACACCTCGTGAAGCAATGTTTCATTTGTTCAGAGACGGACTGCTTCGATTGGACGTGGATGCGGCCACGTTGGGTCTGACGGAGGGAAACGTGTTCACTGCCGAGTTTACTGATGCGTCTGAAGGAGTGCGTTTCTTGCATTTTTGTTGAAGACAACCACGGTCTCCAGAGCTGACAATATGGGCGTGGCGGCCTCGGCGCCAAATGGCGTTTTCATGAATTGAGCACGTTTTTTCGGATTTTTGTGCTCAAAGGCGATGAAAAATGATCGTTCGACATAAAAACACACTAATTTTCAGAATTAATGACGTTTTGGCGCATTTTTCGCGGACTTTGCTTTTTCGCCTTCGCCGCCGATCGCCGCCGAAAAACCGCACATCTCATTTTGCGCTTTCTTGACCGTTTTCAGACAGAATTGGTTTTGAGAATGATAAATCACGTAAATACAAGCATTTTAAGCGCTCGAACCTCGAAAATTGCCGAAAAGCAACTGAAATTCACGCAGTTTTAGCCAAAAACCTTCAAACGGATAAATGTGATTTGCGACTTGACCAAATTTGACGCTCTTGCGCTTAAAAAATTCGTAATAGCCTATAAAATCGGTCTGGCGAGAGAAAAATGAGAAATTATCGGTTTTTCGTGGCTAATCTGGCAAAAAAACACAAATTTGGCTGTTAAAATTTGAATTTCGCGCCAATGTATCGCTCTATTGGGCAGGGCGCACTTGCGCCCATTTTCAGCTCTGGAGACCGTCGACAGTGAACAATTTACTCGATTAGATTTTCATTTGCTTCTAGTTGAGCTCCTTAGAATTCATAGAGAGATCTCTACAAGTTGCACTCCTTTTTTTGCAGAAAGTAGAATCGCGAGGACCTATAACCAGAGAATACGATTATTACGAGACAAGAGGAAAAGGGAACGGAAATGGAGTGGAGTTTAAGATTTTCGCGGAAACGTTGGTCGAATCGGACCCCAATAATGAACCGATGAACTCGAGTTACCCCTCTATTTATCATCATCATTTCGGATACGTGGTAACTCGAGTGTTTTTGTTTGTTTTTTCAAATCATATGAAGCTTTAGGTGGACAACTTTCGAAGATTGAAGAACCACGAACATATAAAGTATCACATGTGGATCAAAAAAGCGAGAGTTGGCGACGTTTTTCGTTGGGTCATCGTCGAACAAGTCGGACATGGACAATAAGAAACAGAAGAAGAACGAGTATAATTTAATGCTTAACCTGTAAGACCCTACACGGAGGAAATAGAAAGAAATCAAAAATTTTACACTCCTCGATACCAAGTGCCGTTGCTTAGTTGATAGGCGCACGTGAAGTAGTAGTAATTGCTGCTACTCGTCAAATTCGTACCCCACAGCCCGCTAGTTGTGTTACAGGTCAAAAGTGCAGAAATTGAGCCGGTCGCGCTTGTTGATACCTGAATGAAAACGTCACTTTTTCTTCTCAACACCTTCCTACCAAATACTGTGTGTCGAGCACCGAATACAAGGTGGTGGCATTGTCGTTGCCGGCCACTGCCACGTCGCCGTATATGGTCGAATTGATGATGGAGAAGTTGCAGATCATTGTGATCGTTCCGTTGCAACCGTTCCAGTTCAACGCTGTCGGAATGGCGGTGTTGACGCCGATTGCGGACACCGGGTACGAGCAACACACTGAAAGCGATTGGGTTACAGATAGGAAAAGTGTTCTTTGGAAAGTTCAAAATGTCACTTTGCAAGGTTTTCTAGACTTTTACTCAATTTTTGCGCAAACTGACCGTAGGCGGCGGCGGTCGTCGTCGTCGTCGCTGCCGTTGTCGTCGTCGTAGTCGTGTTGACGGTCGGCGTGCTGACCGTCGTGGTCGGCGCGCATCCCTGACAGATGACAAGAAGAGTGCCGATGATCAGAGAGACGGGTAGCATTTCTCGCCAACTTTCCTCGTTTCGATCCCAGTTTTATACACGCGTGCACACATCCGTTTGACCTACTTTCAACTCCTCGCAACTTTTCAATTTTCACACGAACGACTAATTGGTTGGTATCCGCTTGACACTAATTAATGCGGCAACTACTTTCACTTCTCGGAGCTACAGTACGCTTGTGCGTGGGTGTATCGAAAAGTGGTCAACTGGAAAAATGGTGTAAAAGAGGTGTACTTTAATTTTGTAGTTGACAACATTTTTGTAAAATCACTGCGAACAGAGATATGAGGCGTGGAAGTGCACTTCCGTCCGCGTATGTTCAATTTGCAATCGTTCTTATCGGAAAATCATGAAAGTGATAATAAAAGCACTGTTTACTCACCACACTCTTCTCAAACTTTCGTCTTTCCTCCCTACAAACCCATTCTAAAATGGAACCGCTCAAAAGTATCATCGGAATAGTTGTCGGACGGGTAAGAGCCTAAACATCTCGCATTTCAACGTTTTGCCTCCAGGATTTCGACCCGCAAAAGTACTATGTGTGGAGCAACGAGACGTACGTGGGTCGGGACGGAATGATCCTCGTTCCGTTCGGCGTGCGCGTGGATTTGGGCGATTGGCTCGTCGTTTCGTTCGGCCCGATCCAGGCGGCCACCTTTTTTCCGTCGCAAAAATCCGAACACACGCCGCGATTCGAGTCGTCCGATTTTCGAGTGATTCGCGCGATTTACGAGACGACGCCGATAGGCAAAACGGTGCAAATCAAGTTGAATCAGTGTTTGACCGCCGGACAAACTGTCATTGAGCACCACTTTTTCAAGAAGATCTAGTAAGTGTGCGCCATTTTTGCGCGTCGGTGTGGCTGTGCGTACAGTGCATTTTATGTTACGCGCAAAGTTCAATTTTTTAGTTGTTGATGAATTTTCTCCAAATATTCATCTCTTTAAAGCGTTCTTCTCCACTTTCTACTTTAATTAGATCTTTTTACAGATTTCAGATGAAGTACCACGCGAAAAGAAGTCGATGCGATGAAAAGAAACGCGTAAATAAATAGAAGTAATGTTTTGTTCAGAAAATATACGATTTCTCGAAAAACGTCTCTAGATCTTCTAATCTTTTGATTTAAAAAGTTCACTAACATGACTGTGAATGTCTTCGAATCAAAAAAAAGTAGAATGACAGCTCGCTTTCGCGTAAAAATTGGTCTCTTGCCGGAAAACAGTGACATTTCGTTGAAAAAAATTTTTTTCTCAAAAACTCTCTCTAGATTTTCTAATTATTTTGTTTAAATAGTTCACTTACATGACTGTAAATGTTTTGGAACTAAAAAAAAGTAGTGACAGTTCGTAGAAGCAAAAAAAAAAAATTTTCAACGAAATTTCACTGTCTTCCGGCAAACTATCGGTTTTTCCGCGAAAGCGAGCTGTCACTCTACTTTTTCTTGGTTCCAAATCATTCTCAAAAATGTAAGTAAAGTTTTTTAACCAAAAGATTAGAAAATCTAGTCGCGTTTTTCGAGAAATCGTGCATTTTCTGAATAAAACCTTACTTTCACTTACTTACGCGTTTCTTTTCATCGCATCGACTTCTCTTCGCGTATTACTTCACCTGGAATCTGTAAAAAGGTCTAATTGAGGTAGAAAGTGGAGAAGAACGCTTTAAAGAGATGAATATTTGGAGAAAACAACTAAAAAAAGAACTTGTACGCAGAGCAACACCGGCGTGCAAAAATGCACAGACTGAGAATAAAACGTTTGGCGAACGTTGCAAAAGCCGTGCCGTGCGATGTTTTGATATTTCAGCAATGACACAGTACTGGTCGGAGACGGCGATTGGAACTTGACAATTCGTAGAGTAGAACCAAGAGTCGGGTACGGAAGAGAGTCGGTTTGGATCCTCGATCGAGTGGCGTCAATACCAGAACGGCCTAAAACTGGAAAAGACGTCATCGGAATAGTGGTCGGCACGAAGAACGCGAGCGAGAATTACGTGTGGTGCAAGGAAACGCGACCGGGATTGGACGGAACAATTGTGGTCCCGGATTCCGGTCCCCTTCCGTCCGGCACCTGGGTCCGCATGAGTTTCACGCAGCAAGAAGTGGACGTTTATTTTGAGAATGAACAGGAAATCCGATTCAAATCTTGGAACTATTCGGTTATGACGGAAATTTACGAAACCGAACCGATGGGGCTGACAATCGATATGAAGTTGAAGTGTTTCATTGCCGGATTACGGGAAGCACGGGACATCTACTTCCATTTTGTCGGACTTATTCAGTAAGTGCGCTCCATCGCAAATTTGAAATGTGTACATTTTCAGTAACAAAACAGTATTCGAACTGGGCGGAAAATACGAGATTACAATTCGAAGAGGATATGCAACGAGGGCCAGAGATGGAGTTACCTGGAGTGTTTGGTATTTGTACAATTTCAAGGCGGTACGGCAAGAAACGATAATATAAACTTTTTTGTTTTGTTTTGAAGATTCGAGTGTGTCCGCAGCCAGCACAACTACTTCCTTCTCCTTTGATGCTGCCGCCACTTCCTTCGCTTCCGAGACGTCCGCACTTCACTGCAATAATCGAACGCCTTCAAAGCCCTGTAAGTACTCTTACGCGTGGGCGTACGGAAAAGTTATCAACTACAAAATTAAAGTTCATTTCTAGTACTCTATTTTTGTACTTGACAACTTTTTTATACGCCCACGCAGAAAAGTATTGTAGCGGTTTGAAGTTAGGTAAAGTTGCTAGCGACTTTCTAACTTCGAACCGCTACAGTACTTTTCTGCGCAGGCGTACTACAAAATTGTCAACTACAAAAATACAGTACTAGACATGAACTTTATTTTTGTAGTCGACAGTTTTTCAGTACAACCACTCGCTGGACTACTGTAGCTCGTCAAAGTTTCGCGCCTAGCCAAAAAGTGTGGTCCAACTTTGCAGCGCTACAGTACTCTTTCGCGTGGGTCCACAAAAAAGTGATCAACTACAAAAACATAGTACTAACCGTCAAGATTTCGCAAAAAAATTTTGAGACCTCTTTGTCGTCTCCCGCGCCTACAGTACCCATTTCAATTTCAGCCACCTCCCGCTGCTCAACCGTCGCCAAAGCCCGTCATGGCAATTATTACAAGAATTGAAAAGAAGAGCAAAACTGAGCACATTTATTGTTGGCTTTTTGACAAGCACAGGTCATCAAGAACTGAAACGAACGAAACGAAAACATTTTTTAGCGACGCAAAACTGCACATGAAAATCGAGGCGTGGGAGATGAATCTTCGAGAAGGCAGCACAATTTCAGCCGTTTTCACGCTGACCTCAGAAGATGTGAGTCAAAGAGGGACTAGCAAAAGTTAGGCCATGCCCTCCGATTTCCAGAAATATCTATCCGAGGACAGAGATGTGAAAAAAGTGGAGACTGGCGAGTATTGCTATGAAACGCGTGATAACGGAGATGGAATCGATGTGAGAATGTGTTCGAACGAGCACAAACTCGGCGATGAATCGGATACGGAGGCGCGGGCGCTCAAGTGTCCCGTGCTGTACCATGCACACTTTGGCAACGTGGTAATACAGTTTTTTTTGCGGTACAGAGGGCTATGAACCCGAAATGAAAGAGAATATTGCAGCTCGACAAGGACCGGATGGTGAAGATGAGCGTAAGGGAGAAAATGCACATGTGGATTCGACGGTTCCGAGTCAAGGGAACGCATCGATGGGTTGTCGTCGAGTCGATCGCTTTTTGAACCAATCCGCTCAACTGCAAAAATGGTTTGAATAAATCGAATTATTAATCAAAAAATAAGTTTTGTTCAAACATAAATACTTTTCCGGTGATGGGGACGGTAATACATATAGCGGTTTAGGCTCTACGAGGAAAGGGGGGGGCACACATGTACAAAATATATATCACCGATTATTATCATAAATATAACATATATATAGGATCTGTGATGATGATTTCTTTTCAAGTCCGGGTAACAAAGTGCGGATGTACAAGTAAGGAGGTGGTGGTGGTGGTGCTGGGAAACAGGTCTTTTTTTTTTACAACACGACCCGCTTTACATCAAACTAAATGTTTTGAAATGTATGTGTGTGTGTGCAAGTGAAAAAAAAAACTACGCGCTATGGTTTCGAGAGAGGTGTTTTTTGAGGGGTGAAAGACCTAGGCTAGGGGTGGTTGATAAGGATGGGTGTGTGTTTGATATTGATTGATTAGCGGACCCGTTTGTGATTAGCATGGAGAAAAAACGGGGTTGCGAGGTGTGGAAAGGCAAAAACGAGAGGATTTGTGGAAGGAAAATGAGCTCAACTGCGCTTGAATCGAAAAAGTGCAATTAAGCGCATTCTGCTCTCCAACACATCTTCCTTTGAAATTGCAACGTTTTGGAGCATCAAAAAGTGGTCAACCGCTCAGAAACATTGCAATTTCCAAAAATAAACGAAAAAACGAGGATAAGAGTGGGGAAAAATAGGATAACAATAAAAAAAAAACGATGAGATTGAGAGGTGTCAGGTGATATGAGGTGTGCAGGAACGGAAAAGTATTCAGATGAGACAAAGAGCGGGAAGAGAGAGAGAGATTCGAAATTAGAGGTTATAAAGAGAGATGTATAGGGGGAAAAACAGATATACATGACAAAAATGGGGGGAATTAGGCGAGCGGATGCGGCTCGTTGTCCTCGGTCAGCTCGCCGAATCCGTTGCGTCCGTTGAAGCTGCCGCCGCGATTATTCGAGCCGCAGTACGGGCCGTTTCCGTTGCGCTGCAAAATAGTAACTGTTTCTGATTCGGACGGACAGTGCAATGAGCTCATTTTTACAAAAAATCTCGATTTTCTCCTGCTGAACGATGCCAAAATACAACGAAAAAAGCGTACCGATGGGGAGCTGTGCTTCGGCTCGCTCTCCACATAGTCTCCTCCGCCGCTGCTATTATGGAGGTGTTGAGTGCCTGGCAGATGGGTGAGACGGTCCCCGCGTCCGCCGCCGTTGCGTGGCCGCTCCGCGTAGTAGGCGGCGCCACGGTTCGACGTCCAGTTGGTCGTCGGCGGCATTCCGTACGACGACGTGCTCGCTCCCGTGCTGCGGCGCTGAAATTGAAGAGATATCGAGATTAGGCTGACAGTTGGTTTGGTGGGAAAATGAAAAATTTTAAGCAAAAAACCCATCGACAATCGCACAAAAGCGTACCGTATCCATCGAGAGATCCTTCTCGACGTAGTCCCCGTCGTCGAGGTGTCCCGATCCGAGATGATCGGTGAGTCGCAGCGATTCGGCGAATCCGGCACGCTCGTTCGATCCGCCGCGGTTCGAGAGGCAGTACGCTTGCGATCCGGTCCCGTAGCTCGAGCTGCTCGCGCCAGTGTTACGTCTCTGCAAAGAAATGAAAAGTTTCAACTAGAAATGACAATTTTGGCCCAGGAAACGCATACCGTGGGCACATCGTTCGACACATCCCTCTCGACATAGTCTCCATCGCCCGCGGACGCGTAGTGCACGACTTCCGGATCACTCGGTCCCCTGCTATGGTTCATCAACGCGTACTCGTCGTCGAGACTCCGCTGCCGTCTGTGCTGCTGCTGCTTCGGCAACAACGCCGTCGAGTCCTCGTTGTCCGTTGCGACCGAGAGAGTGCTGCGGCTGTTGAGTCCGTTCAGCGAGGGCTTGAATTCGCGCATCGGAATCGAGTCCGTGTTGCGGCGCTCGTCGGCGGGCTCTTCCTCACGGGCTTCCGCTCCTTGAGCCTCCTCCTCTTCGGGCGGAATTATTTCGATAATCTCCATCGCGTCCATATCGAGCACCTCCTCGTCGTCCGACTCTTGCCGGTTATTGAGCACAAACGACAGCTCTCGGAATCGGGGCGAGGCATTGATGGCAAGCAAACGGACGAGTTGCATGAAACTCGGGCGATCGCGCGGCATGTACCGCCAGCACATCGACATCACCTTGTACCAGTAATCCGTGCAGCACTCGGGCTTCTTTATCACTTTCCGGGCCATTCCAATGTAGTTGAGCACCTCGTCGTTGCTCAGTCCGATGTACGGTTGTGCTCCCAGAGTCATCATTTCGTAAAGAACGACTCCGAAACTCCAGACGTCGGATTTCGAGTCGAATTTTCCGTCTTTGAGGGATTCGGGCGACATCCAGCGGACAGGCATCATTCGTTTTCCGCTCGGCTTATAATAATCGTGATAGAAGAGGTCTCGCGCCATTCCGAAATCGCCAATCTTCACCGTCTCGTCCTTATTGATCATACAATTACGCGCGGCCAAATCTCGATGACAAAATTTGAGCGACTCGAGGTAGGCCATTCCGTCGGCGATCTGCGCCGCCCACTCCTGGAACTTCTCCATCGGAATCACGTCGTAATACTCGCAGTCCATCTCGTTGAACACCTCGTCGTCGCGTTTCGATCGCAGAAAATCGCGCAAATTTCCGAGCTCCATCATTTCCATCACGACCAGCGCCGGCGTGATCGTCGACACGACACCGTAGAGTTTGACGATGAAGTTCGTGTTGAAGTTCTTCATAATGTTCGCCTCCATCAGGTAGTTCATGCTCTCGCCAGTCACCAGTTCCGCCGAGTTGATCTTGATGGCGCATGGTCCGAAACGGAATCCGATTCTCGACATAACGTCGGCGCCGTGGCCGAGGAACACTTTTCCGAACGCGCCTTCGCCCATCTGCTCGCCGACCGCCACGTCCGCCTGCGACAGCTCCCACTCGTCCTGTTTGTACGCCTCGTCCTGACAGTACTCCGGATTCGACGACATGAAATCGGCCATCTGCTTCACTTTTTTGCCGTAGTGCTCCTGCACGTTGTAGTACGTCACGATCACGACGACGGCGACGACGATGAAGAAGATGGTCAGCGCGACGATGATGCGCTCGAGCGTCCAGAAGCCCGGTGTGTAGACCGTGAACGGCTCCTTCGTCACCGACGCGGGACCTTGGGCGTACAGCGATTGGGCGCGCAGACGAATTCTGCAAAAATTTCGGGTGTGGTCTAGAAAGGCGGTTTTCTAAGAAATCGCAAAATTCCCCGGCTCAAAAACTCACTTGTAAAGTCCGTCGGATGGCTTTTTGATGATGGCGCCGTGCTTGTGGGCGGTCCAGTTGGCGGTCGCTTGCACGCACGTCTGCGTGTGCTGGTGGCCCGTCAAATCGACCACGTAGACCATGTAGCCGACTATGCCGCCGTTCGTCAGATTCTCGTTCGGCGCCTTCCACGTCACGTGCACGTCGGCCGTGTCGTTCAGAAACTCGACGCGAATCGACTCGCCGTCCACGTAGTCCACGTGCGCCTGATCGATTTCGGTCAGCGCGCGCGTGAACCGCTTCTTCGACGCCTTTCCGCCGTCCGAGCAGTAGTGCTGCTCGACGCTCGTATTCTGGCACGCCATCACAGAGATCTGCAAGTGAGAAATGGTTGCCCCAGCCTATTGCGCGCAAGTCTGCCTCGTCGTGTACTCACCGCATAGGCAGTATAGTGTTTCAAATTGGTGATGGTGAACTTGTTGCCAAACATTTTCGCCGTCACGTTCGCCGTCTCGACGTGCTTCGAGACGAGTTCTGTCTGCAGTCCGACCATGTTCGGCTTATTTCCGACGCGGCCCACGCTCATCGAAGGTCTGCCGGGCGCCGGGCTGACGACGGAAACGGACGTTGTCGCGTCGGGCTTCCTCTCCGCTTTCTCCACCATTTCACTGATTTGGCCGGCGGTTTGAATGGCACGTCGGCTACGGATTGCGTCTCTAGAAAAGTTGGCGATGATGCTAAAAAAAGATTGAGATAGGTATAAGAAGAAGTTTCAGATTGATAGGAAAGGACCACACCCAACGACATCATCATCATCACGGAAGGAGTTTTTTTAGTGGGCAAACGACGGGTTAGGATATAGTTTTGATGAGGGTGCAGATAAAAATACATGCTTTCTCGGAAAACTCCAAAATTATTCAATTTGGACGGAAATTTCTTATCGCAAGATTGTTGACTTTTGTTTTGCTCAAAAAGAAGGGAAAAGAGTTGGGAATTTCGATTAAAGTCCAGCAATTTGAGCCCATGTAAAGTTTTCAAGCAAAAAAAGGTATAGCCAAGCAATTTAATGGCATGCAGACAGACGTGTTGAAGAAGAAGAAGAAGAAGAAGAAGAAGAAGCGAGCATCGAACCGAAAAAGGGACCGAGTCATACACAATCATATCGGAAATCTGTTCGTATTGCACGTCGCCGGGCGATCGACGGATCGCGTGAACTTGGCGATAAAGACGGCGGCGAAGACGGTCGACTGCTTCCGAAGCTTTGCGGATCCGCAAAGCCGTCGGCTCCTGCTCCTCCTCCTCGTCCTCTTCCAGCTCTTCGAGTTCGGGCGGCCGCGAGCGAAGAAGCACACACTTCATCGGATCCTTTGCCGCGTCACATCTGCACACACACACTAGCGCTAATCGGGGCAACTCTTTCTACTGCTAATCGGAGGGCGAGGGGGGCTTTTATTACGGGCGGTATTGAACTGAGGAAAGCGTGGGCGGAGAAGGGGGTGAACACACTGCACTCAATGCAAAACTCGCTAGTGTTTGATGGGCCTATTCAGTCGGCAAAACGCACAATTCAAAACAGGAAGACGACTTCTTTTTTGCCCCGAGTGAATAGGCCCACGAGCATCGCTTCACATAGAATTTGTACGATTTCAAAAACAAATTTTGGTTTTTTTCCGATCAAACCCAATGCCAATACTAATAATTGCGCAACAGAAGAATCTAATCGGAAGATAGAAAAGTCCTAGCCCAAAATTATCAATTTTCCACTCAAAAACATATGAAGCGATGCCGCATCCGTCTAAACTCAATCTGGCCCCCAACAACAACACCCATCCGTCTACCCACTTCCGCGTGATAATGTCGTTGAGCAGTTCATTCTCAAACTTGGCCGTCTCGTCCGTCTCCTCGATCACTGCCGTCGGCGATTTCGTCGGTTTCGGCGGCGGCGCGACACACTCGCAGCAGTCGTGCTTCGAGCACTGTTCTTTGCGCATGTTCGGCGCGTAGGTGGCGAAGAGCGACGGCGCGGCGGTCGTCGTCGATTCCTGGATAAGCACGTCGATGTGCTCGTCGCTCGTCGTGTCGATCGACGGCGCGTTCGGACTGTTCATCACGCAGTACTGCTCCGCGAACGCGACCGTATTGATTGGGAGTTCGCGCCACGAGACCACGTAGTGAGTGATCACTCCGTTCGGCTGGTGCGGCGGCTCCCATTGCACACTGAAATATTTCACCGATGCACGTAGCACTTTTTGTACAGACACTCTCAAGAAGATAGATTGTGGAAATTAGAGATTCTTAAAAGTTGTTGTACAAAAAAGTTGTCAATTCCGCTCACCTCATGCTGCTATGACCAATGTCCTTAATCTCAATGACGGGCGGATCGGGCGTGTAGAACTTGGTGGTCACGAAACCAATCTTGGTGACTCCGAAGCGGGCGCCGGGGTGATGCACCATCTGCGTCTGCACGTAGAACGCGTACGTCGTATGGGGTTTGATGGCCTGCTCGGTGTACAACATGTACGAGACGGTGAGATTGTCCTTGGGCACGTCGGGCTCGACGTGCGGCTTGAACGCCTGACTCCACGAGTCGACGCACGCGCTCCGATCGTCGTCGATCGTCATTTTCGGATCCGCGAAAGGCACCTCTTTCCAGTAGATCTCGTAGCCGAGGAATTTGCGATGATCAATGTCGGTCGTGTTGAAGGCGTTCCAGGTGAGCGTGAACGAGTCGTGAGTGACCGCCGTCACGTTGATCAGAATCTCGTCGTCCTGACAGACTGCCTTGTCGCCGTTGCTGCTCTGACTCTGATGGTCCTCGTCGGGCGGCCTGCCAGACACCGCCTTCATCATCGTCCGCACTTCTTTGTAGCACAGCAGACGATTGTTGTGGATTTGGACGAGTTGCGACGCAGTTCGATTCTGATTATTGCTCAGACTGATCGTGAAATTGTAGTGGGGGAACAGCTTTCGGAGGTTCGCATTTTCAGTGATCGACACAATGTACTCGCCGCGATACAGGTCGCGGCCTTCAATCAATCGAAGATTCTTGAACATGTGAAGTGTGAGGAAAAGCGGCGATCTCGAGATTTGGAGATATCCGCCAATCGTATGAATGTTCGCAAAAATCTGCTGAACCTCTTTGGCCATTCCCGAGTCGAGGCCGCCCTTCAGCTCGATCTTCAGACTTCCTCCTATGACGGTACACTTTCGGATCGCCTGCGCTTTCGGAAAACTGTCAACGTTGAAATCGCCGGGGCACACGACTTCGCACTTTCCGACGCACTTTTGACACTGCGTGCTGTTCGTCGGATGCTGTTCCCATCCGTCGGGGCATCGGTCCGAGCAGAGTCCGTCGATCGCCTTGATCTTCTTATCGACCATATTGATTCTCGGGTTCAGCGACAGACACGTCTGTTCCGTGAGGCAGCGGCGGTCGAGAAAACGAAACAAGTGGCGCGGACATTCCGCAATACACTTTCCCTTATAATGAAAGTTTTTGCACGCGCTGCACGCGGTCGCGTCGTTCGGCCGATCGCATCCGCCGATGCACTCGTCGTGGCACCTGGCGCCAAGCGGATCGCAGCCCGGTCCCTGAAGTTCGCCGTCGTCGCCCAGCCGATCGTAGTCGCACCTCTTCATGCACGTCGTGTCGTTCCAGCACGATTGCACGAGTCCCTCCTTCTCCGTGTGCGCGTACATGCACTCGTTCATGTCCGGATCGTCGTGGCACGCGCCTCGCAGACAGATCCGACCAGTGTCGGCCACCGCGTCGTCGACCGCGTCGTCAATGTAGACGTCGTTGATCGACGAGCGCGTCACTCGCTTCCAATCGATCGATTTCGCGTGGCACAGCTTTTTGTTCTCGGCGATTCGGACGCCGCCGTTGCGGATCACGCGAAGGCTCGTCAGACCCAACTGCAAATGGTGTTTTTGTTAATTTTTTCAAAAAAGTAGGGATTCATGTGTAACTTTTCCCGCACTCACCTCCATCAAGTCACGATTGCGAAAGATGATGAGCGCATAGTGCTGGATGAGTCTCGCTCCGCCAATCACACGAAGGTTCGGCAGCATGTGGCGCAGGGTGGACAGTCCGCTGAAATACAACTTTTGTGACGTAAAAAGGAAACATCGGGCAGCTTTTTTGACCCCCCCTAAAATCTATACATCTCCAGATAGGCTGTTCCAATGGATCTGAAATTTTCAAGGTAGACACTAGGAGCCAAAACTGATCATCTTGCAAAGTTAGGATCCTCAATGAGTCAAAGTCAAAAGTTTAGGGTCATGCTCTTCTTGCTATCTCTACCTCGTTTCGAACAACAGCACCGATCCGGTGACTTCTCGCAGGTACGGAAAGCGCGGATAGTCCGTACTCTTGTACTTGTTGTCCTCCAAAACGAACGCGATGGCGAGCGATCCTTCGATGACGGTGCAGTTGATTTGTAGGTCTTTGCTGAAAAAGAGAGGGATACGGTAGTGTGACTACCGTAATCTTACTGTTGATCGTAGTCGCGGATGGTGTTCGGATCGCCAGTGGACGAGAAAGGCGTGCGGAAACCGTTCGGCGAGTTGCGAATGTCGATCGGACCGCATCGCAGTTCGGTGATCGCGGAGCACGGCTGAAACCGAAAGTAGAGGGTTAGTGTAGCTCACAGCACTATCTATTTGTAAACTTTTGCGCGTTTTCCATGTAGATTACTAGCTACGTTTATTACTCAAGAAACTTCTGGAAAAAATCAAGGTTTTGGTGTCGTTAGAATCTAGTATGTTGATTTTCGAATTTCTGAACTTTGTTTTTCGCCGTCAAACATTTTCAGCCTTTCCAAACTTCAAGTTTTTCCGCTCGACGGCGCCGGATTAGCCGCGTCGGCGGCTGTTTATCATCCTCATCTCGACATCATGAGCTCTCTCTCTCTCTTTCGAGGCGGCTCATTGCCGTCATCATCGAGTGGCGGGCGCCAAACAAGTGATATCGGGCCGGCTTATCACCATGTCAACCCTTTTATTCAATCTCGCCAAATCGAATAAAATTCCACAAACTCTCTACTACTATCGGGGCTGGCGAGCGCATTCACTTTGAAATGCGGCGATAGTAAAAATAAATGTGGAAAGTTACCTGCAAAATGGCGCATAGGAAGAGGGCAAAGAAGGCAAAGGTCGGCATCGGAGCTCCATCGGATCTACGTCTCGTACGTCCGTTTCTCGGTGGCGGATGCTCGGTGAGGAGCATCGCGTCGGGTCCAATGCTGCAATATCTGGTGTGAATGAAGAGTAAATAGGAGAAAAGCTGAAAAAAGGAAGCGCACGCAGCTGGGGGAGGAAGAGCTCGAAAAGAGAAAAAAGGGAAGGGAAGAGCTGGCGAGAGCGTCTTGGCGCCTCGCCGTCTCTTTTGCCGTGCCCACCAAGGTGTGCGGCGGCTCATCTCGAGCTGATGGGCAAAAAAGAAGAAGGCAAAGAAGGAGAAGAAGAAGCACTTTTAATGAATAGAAAAGAGCACCTCTCTCCAGGGAGAGAGAGAGAGAGAGATTAGTGGAATATTGGAACGACACCTTTGGGATTGATGCATGACAAAAGGTTGAACTTTGCGAGTAGCCAAACGTATTCTACAGTATTTTCTAAAACTGTTTCGTGCGTCGTCGAGAGTCGTTGATGAAATAAATGTGTTCAGGTGTTACGGCCGTCATAAGTACCGTCTACAGTAATCTATAGAATTAGGAGAAAAAGGAGAAAAGCGTACGATTGCTGAAATCGTCGACTATCAACTTGCGCGGAAGCCGTCGATCGATTAGGGCCGAAAATCTGCGTGAAACTCGGGCTCGAACGAAAAATTGAATTTGTTTTCATCAAGAGTTGGGGTCGGTCGGTCGGTCGGCGACGGCTCGCGCCCCATTTCCGTCACTCTCACACTTTTTGCGGTGTTTCAGAGAGGGAGAGAGAGAAAGGCGAAGAAGAAGAGCAAACTGAAGACGAAGAAGATGGGGAGAGAGAGGGCAAAAAGGATAACAAATTATATACGAGGCGCCGCAGAGCTGCTTTTCATCAGATTAATCCGTACATCATCAAGGAGAAGGAGCAAGAGAGGGAGAAGAAGAAGAAGAAGTTGTTCAAAAACAGATTATCCCCGTCAAATCACTCACATTTCAGTCGATTGATAATATCCGGCCATCCTAGACCTTGTCGGGCTCACGATTTCAGGGGCTTCTGGTTCTGAAGACGTCGAAGCGGGAGCCGAAGAAGAAGAGCACGAAGGTTGATTCGAATAGTCTGAAAATGGGAAAAAAAATTTGTGGAGAACTCGGAAAAAAAAAGCGAGCCAGACGACTATTTCCGCCTCGACGCACTGTATTTGTGACAGTGCCCGAAGGAGGACCGCCGCTTATATTATTAAATTATCTGCTTGTCGTGGTGGGTCGTGTGTGCCTGGCACCGTCCCATTCGTATCGTGACCTTCCGACTCCGCCCACTTGTTTTTTTATGAGAGGGGGCAAGTAGGAATTTGGGATTTTGAGAGAAAAAGCACGTAGAGTTCGGAGCGTTTCCCCGTAGAATCAATCGAAAATTGTTTTGATTGTGCGATCGCCCCAAGTGTAAGAAACAGAAAATGTTCGGCGAGGAACCATCGACCACGTCTACGTTTTGCAACCGGTTAGAAGCGGTTTAGGTCCGCCTAACCTGTTCAGAAACCAGGAAAATGACGACCGGAACGGACCGACGTTTTGCAACCAGCGTCCCACTTTTCTCTGCGCGCTTTTCAGCCAATGGACGTTTCGCAACTGTCGGACACTTCGAAATCACTACTAGACTGTTCGCAACTACACATTTTCCAAGGATTTGAGAAAACAGACACATTTTCTGACTATCTATGAACACGCAGAAAGCTCAGGAAGGACATTTCGCTCTTCCACCTCAAACTTTTCCGCTTCGCAACTCTTTTCGGACAAAGAAACGCATCGACTAATCCGTTCTCGTGACTTCTATTCAAGTGTAAAAAACATGTATACATTATCATTATCTCAAAACTGCACGAAGCCCGAGTTCAAATGATGAGGGGACCAAGAACCGAAAGATCCAAGGCTTCTCCTCTACGTCCATCGCAAAAACAGACATCCCAGACAGTCCCCCTCTTTTTTTCCGACTCAATTATCGTTGTTTTCAATGTCTGGCACGATCCTTTGTGTCCGCGAGACGGCTACAGTAATCCTTCGGTAAGTGACTGCGAGAAGAAGAAGACGAGAATCGACTATAGTCTAATTGAAAAAGGAAGGAAGGAAGAGAGGAAAGGCACAAGAATGGGCGAAAAAACGGCTGATTCTCGGGGAACGACTGTAGTCATGTGCTCCGTGCTCTCTTGGAAGTGCCGATAATTTTCTGATTATGCGATAGAGAAGGAACCGACGCGAACAAAGAGCGGAGGTCGCCGAGAGGAAACGTCGCAAGACTTCCAGTAAGCAAACTTTGTTCTTTGCTCGGAGACGTTTCGCAACCGGTTGGCAACTCAATGGACGTTTTCCAACCAAACACTTTTCAATGTTCGTTCTGATTGATCCAAAAGACGTTTCGCAACCAGCCGCCACACGAAACAACCGAATATCCAACACCTGAACTTGTGGACTCGGTGGCCGGTTTGCAACTGATCTCCGTTTCGTAATCGAGACACTTCGCAACCGATAGACGTTTTGCAACCAGGACGGTCAATTTTTGAAAATTTTTGCGATAAATTTTCGCGAAAAAAGCCTCCACACCCAATTTTACCTTCCTCTTCCTCAATTTCGACCGAATCCGTGCCGCTCCGTCTCCATTTGTGCCTTCTTCGGCACCTGCTCATTTCTCGTCGATTCTCCGTCATCTCTTCGTCGTTTTGTGCATCTGTTCTCCTCGTTTTTTTTTGTGAAAACAAGATTTTCTTCACTGTTTCTCGCTTCTTCGGGGTGAGCCGTGCTGCAATGTTTCAACGAATTTTTGAGTGAAAAAGTTCAATTTTCTCGATAAGATTGTTTACGATATTATCAATTTTGTGAAAAACGGCATAGCGGAGGAGAGAGAGAGAGCAAATGGGCTCTAGGCCCCAAAAAAATTGTGGAAAGATGATAACACAGCAATCACATGACGTTGGCGCGAAATTTGGAAATTTTTTAGCACTTCTAATACGTCAGAACACTTTTTGAGGGAAAAATCTGGAATATCGACTGTTTTCAAAAATTCGACAGCGATTTTGACAACGTTCACAGAAAATTCGTAGTAAAATCAGACCACAAACCTACATTTGGACAAAATCCGTATAATATTGGATTTACAGCGAATAAACGACGAGGAGAAGTGAAAAAATTGCGATTTTTACCTGTTGCCGCCGGGTTTGCAAAGATTTTCGAAAAACAATGCAAATGCGCTCCGTTGCGAACTAATTTGAGCGATTTGATCGGCGCCAAGACTGTCAGGCGACCGGCAGCCACATTTTGTTTAGGCCCGGCTCTCCCGAGTCACTATGATATGCCGAGGAGTCGATTTCTGAAGAGACGGCCCGAAATTTGTCACGGCGGCCCTGACCTTGATCGGCGCAAAGTGAGCATTTCGAAACTCGCTCATTTTCGTTCGCAATAGAGCACATTTGCATTGTTTATCCAAGAAATCTCCGCAAATCCAGGTCCAAAATCGCAATTTTCCCGTAACTTTGCCATTCCTGTGTTACAAGACCCCAGAAAACCAAATTCCAAGTACGAGATCATGTGATTGCCCACTTTTCCTAATGATAACAAAGACAATGTTATCAGAATGGAAAGAAAGAGAGAAATGCTGTGGCCCTCACATATTTTTGTCTTGATATCGCCGAAAAAAATTTATATATATATATATAATTATCTATATTTATATAAGACGATTGGCGTCAGAAGGGAGGCAAAATCGAGAGATAGAGTGCGAGATAGAGTGCGAGAGAAAGAGAAAGGGAGAAATTAATATTAACCGATTACGTCTTTTTCGGGAGGTGATACCGCCCGTGTCAACCAGGAACTCTTTCTGGTAATGTGTAGCCGATACTTTAGAAAAATGCATTTGTTCGAAAATCAACTAACTTCCATGCTTGAGTGACTATTATAGGGGCATCGCACAGAAATGGCGCTCTGCTGAGAAACTCTTTTTGCAGTGCAAATTGAGCGACCTCGGGGCCGAGTTTGAAAAGTTAGGCCACATTTTCAGTGGAAAATTTCTTCGCGGCCTAGGAATTCGGCCAGATTGCGAACAGCGCGCCCTTTCTGTCCGGTGCCCCAATAATAGATAAAGGTTGAAGTCTCAATTTTCAGCACATCCACCGATGACAACGTTCTAACGTGTCAAACTATAAAACACGCCGGTATTCCGAGTCGCAGTTTTCTCGGAAATCCCAAAGCTAAGCAGAAAGCGTGGAAAAACAAAAATCCAATGACAGCCTCGGCCGGGGCGGCTATAATTTGTTGTCTACGACCATTTTTTCTAGTCAAAAATACCACGTTAGACGTATTTTATCAAGAAAATGACATTTCTGCTAAAAATGACACAGATCGACAGTTTTCGAACTAGTAATGTAAAGTGAAATGTCTCCTGATGATGGTTGGCTCGGACTTTTGATACATATTATCTGGTCTAGAGGTATTCTTTCTGTTTCAATGAAACTTTCGCTGCAAACACTCCATGCCAAGACTGATAATGATAGATAATTGAGTTCCGATCCGATCATTAGCTCCAACGTTCCCTGACAAACTACAAAAAGCACAATGTCCAGTTTTGTTTGTTCTCCAGCGTTCTGAACCTCAAACCAAAACAACATCCACTCCTAAACCAATTTTCCATGCATAACCCCTCGCATAGTTCAAAATGAGTCAGCTGAGAGAAAGAATGGCGCCGCCGGCACCGCGAGACGACAGAGAGGACAAAAGAAAAAAGGGATGGAGACAGAGAGGGAGACAGAGAGAGGAATTGGCCAAAACAACACAAAGTACTTGTAGACTTTCGGGTGCCTGGCACCACGTCCGGCTCTCTTTTACAGCACTAAATGAGCATATGGTGACGGAAAAACAGACCGAAAACAAAATTTATTGGGAAGAAAAACGTTTTCTTTGGTTTTCAATGTTGCGCGCACTGGCACGTGCGCGAGGCTCGCGAGAATCCGAATAAAGAGACATTCGGAGGGGACACGTGGGTCCGCTTGAGACCGAGAACGAAAAGGTCAAGTTTGAAGGAAGTTCAGATCGAAAGCGAATCGAATCAGAATGTGGCCGAGTAGAGCGGCTCAAACTGACAGGACGGATTTCACTGGAAAAGTTGCAAATGTTTCAATAAATCTCGGACACGACCGTAACAAAAATTGTGAACGAGCAACTCGATACAATAGACTTTCAGAACAATTTCGGTGCGAAATTACGGCTCCCCGACGTTTCGCAACTCGACATTTCGCAACCGCGCAGCCTCGATACCCACATGAAATTTGACAATCCAATCTACAGCGGTTGCGAAACGTCGGGGAGCCGAAACTATCGATTTATCAAAGAAAAAAGGGCTTCTCCTGATTTGAAGACAGCTTTTGCAAGTATAATGGAGCAATGACAACAATCAAAAAGACAAAGTTCAAGGAGGAGATTTCTACGGAAAAGGCAGTTGGCCAAAACAAATTTTCGTAGGAAACCTCAAGAAATATTGTGCAAATATTATGGAACCAACTGAAAAGTGACGAATCTCGATGAAATCGTCTCAGCAAGATCCAGAAAAGAAAAGTTCGCTCAAAAACCGAGTTTCTCACTGTTCAATGGCTCTAAAGCTTCCAGACTTTCAAGATCGGCTGAAAATGGTCCCAGGAAGTCAAATTACGAGAGGAAACTGAGATTTACGTTTCGCAATGGCTCGAAACCTTCCAGAACCTAGAAATCAGCTGAAAATGATACCAGGAAGTCAAATTTCGTTTAAAGACTGCGTTTCACCCTGCTCAATGACTCGAAGCGTTTCAGATCTTGGGAATCATCTAAAAATGACCACAGGGAAGCAAATGTTCGTCTAAAACCCCCCAACTCTCTCATTCACCGGAAATCCTACACATTTCCGTAGCGATTCCGCAAAACTTTAGAAATTGAGTAACTTTATCAGCCGAATTCCACTCCGTTCGGAAAATTCCGGATAAAAAGCGTGTGTGCGCGAGGGGAGGGGAGTTCTTCTGATAGTCGTTACTCTCTCTCTCTCTCTCTCTCTCTCTCTTTCCATTTCAGAGCAATAGAAAGAGAGAGAGAGGGAGAGAGAGAGAGAGGGAGAGAGAGAGAGAGAGAGAGAGAGAGAGAGAGAGAGAAAAAGCGAGGAAAAAGGACTGCCCAGCCACCGAATTGATAAACAACTCGCGGGCCGCGGAGCCACCCGCTCGTAAAGTGTGTGTGTGTGTGTGTGTGGAATAATGAGAAATTGTGTGTTTGCCCGTGAGAGAAATAGCGCGAGCACACACACACACACACACACTGAAAAAATGTTTCTTTTCTTGGGAAAAAAGCACTGATACAAGGTGGAAAACAACGACAACAACAACAATTGGCGGAGATCTCTCTCTCTCGATTTTTGAGTGATTGGTGGCTTTTTTCTCTCGCGAGCACAAAAGTGTAATGAAATGGAAATGTTGCAAGTTTCAGTTTTTCAAAAGTCTAGCTAAATGAGGACAACTGAAATGCCTAGCTCAAAAAGAGATAGAGCTCGCAAAAATCTGGGAAATTTAGGGAAAAATAAAGGTAGGTAGGCTCAATTCTTTCCAGAGAAACAATCTCAATCACATTTGAAAGGTTCCGCATCTCATCTCATTTCCACACTTTTCCAGGTCTAAAATAGTAAGCACAGGTGAATCACGGATCAGGTATCTAAAGAGTTAGGACGGGGGCGACGGGAACCACGAGACGGGGGGATGCTGTACTGATTACCATAAGCCAGGAAGAGTAAATGGCCGCCAGAAACTGAGACTAGATTAAGCGCAAAGTAAAATTCGTTCCGATACGTTTTCAACACGGACTGCCCACTGATCGGACCATTTCCATGATCCATCTTCGTACAACTTTGCGCTTGGGCACATTTTGATTGGACGAGAAATGGCGGAGAGATAAAAAAATCGAAAAATGGGAAATGTGACAGAATTCAAAAATTTGAAAAATGGCGGGAATAGGTCTCAGTTTCTGGCGAATACAAAAATTCGTGAGCATTCCTTGTCAGACACTTTGTTTTCCCGATTATTCGAGAACATCACACAAAAAAACAAGTGGGCGTGGGAAATGATAGTTTTCCGCCAGAAATGTTCATAAAATCACAGTAAAAAAAAGGCGAGAAAATGAGAGAGAGAAACCAGGGCGAAAATCATGTGAGGAGGGGTTGAAAAATGGCAAAAACAAGCGAGTTGGAAAACAGACAAAACAGAGGGCGACACAGCGGCGGCGGCGACGTCGGGGAAAAACAGAAAATGGCGCACTTGTTGTTTATCCATTTTATTCAGATTTTCTCCAGAAATACGACGGATACGACTTATCCACAAAAATGATGAACGAAAAAAAAAGAAAAAATGTTTGGCGGTGATGAGTCTGTTGTGTGCGCGCGCGCGGGTCGAGGAGACGGCCGACGAGCCGAGAAACAGATGCGTGCCGGCGAGAGAGCACGCGCAAAGAGGAGGGTGCGCAGGCGGGCGAGAGAGTGCGCGGCACGGGGAGACGCAGACGCACAGAGACAGAAAGGACACTTGTGAAGAGCGGACGGCGACGACGATGCCCGACCAAAACAACAGCCGGCCAATCGGTTTCCGGATTTTTCCAGAAAAATCCGCTTTTTCAAGCTTTTTCAATTTTCACAGTTGGGACGAAATTCGCATCCAAACTCTCAACCTTTCTTTTAAATTAATCGTAAGAATCGTAGCTGCATAACGTTTTCGTAGAAAAGCATGGCATTTTGAGGACTGTACTTTTCACGATTATCAGTATTGCTTTGGAGTTCTCTATTCTTTAAAAGTTCCAGTACTATTGGGGCATCTGGTCTGGAATTGAGGTCGAAAAAGTTGAATCAAAGTAGATACTCGAAACCAAAACTGATAATCGTGAACAATTAGGGTCCAGGGACCGTTTTGAGTCAATTATTAGGATGTTTTACCCGCAAATAGATAGATATGGCCTTTCCGTACGTACTATTTTTTCCATTTTCGAGCTAACGTAACAGAGTAGATCGAAATGAGTTTAGAATGCGAAAAAGTGAAAAAACTTTTACAGACTCTTGCTTCAAAACTAGACAACTTTTTGAAAATAGAGTTAACAGGGACAAGGTACCGATAAAACGCTTACAATTTGCCAACTTTCAACACAATAGAGCTAAAGACACTTTTCAGCAATAGAAAACCTTCCAAAAATACCCTAGAGCACTCAAAATTGCAGCAAACACACACACACACAATATCAGGTGTTGGCGCCGTGAGGACGGACACAGATAGTGACAATATCGCACTAAAAGTGCGCGTGGATCACGCGGATCATCCGAAGAGGGCCAGAGTTCGAAGTAAACAGAATGAAAAACCGATTGGGCGGAGAAAAAAGGGAAACGGAGGGAAGGGAAGCACGCTGTTTACACTTGTTACTGTCCTCCGACGTCACTGACAAAACGAGGAAGAGAGTGTGTCATTCGGGAGGGCGTAAAGAGCATTTATTTTGGAAGTTTAAAAGGCCTCAAGTACTTCGTTTCGCTTTTTTTTGCTGTTCGCACTCAAGCTTCTGTGACCCGCATTTCAAAAACGCCTTGTTTTTTTGAACTGTGATCAAAATGAGAGTTGTTGTAAAGCGACCCGCCTAGGTGATTGCTTTGAGCAGGAACTCAACGTCTTCGTTGTTCCGTGCCCTGCTCATTTCGTCTCGAGCCGTTAGATCTTCATAGACCCACGACTAGTAGCACGATCTGTCAGATTTGCATGGACCCATGGCTACTGGTTCGAAATGAGCAGGGAACGGAACAACGAGGACGATGAGTTCCTGCTCGGAACAGTCCCCCAGTTGGCAACGAGGCGCCCCACCTAGGCGGGTCAAAGAAGTTTGAGTGCGAACAGCGAACAAAGCGAAGCAAAGTACGTTTTAACGGAAATTATGAAATACACACAAAAAATGAATAAACTCAAAATTTCGGAATTTTGACAGTGTTTGAACAAAAAGAGCAAAAATTACACTAGTGTTCAGGATTATTTTCGTTTTTTTTTGCGCTCCGAAGCATTTGACGGATCTAAAATGGGAAAATTTCGAAAAAGTGTGAAATTGAACAGAACGCGTACAAATTTTTGTATTTTTGAGACCGTCATCACAATAGTTACAGATTTTCCGAAAAATCGATTTTTAACACGAAATTTGAGCGCAAATCGATCGGACAGTTCATTTTTGAGAAATTGTGAAACGGACCGAAAACTGTATATTAACAGCGAAGAACGCACAGAAAACTGTTGTTTCTTGAGGATTTTCAACAAAAATAGCACACAGCTGAAACGAGGGACGAAATTAGACGAAACTCGCAAGCAAACTGGACAAAAACTCCGATAAAACTGCAAAAAGATTCAATTAACCGCGGAAAATATTAAGAAGAAGACGAAAAACGTGCCGAGAAAAGCGAGAAAAACACTGGTGGCCACGACAGAAATTTGAGCGTGTAGCTGTAGATCAAATGGGTCTCGCAGCGATGCGACAAATTTGAATGGATGCGCGCGCGGCGAGGAAAAGAAGAGAATCGTTCTGCCGGAATGGACGGACCGTCGAGGAAAAGGACCGCAACGCGCGAACAAAGTACCAAAAGTGATGGCCGGGTCAGGGACCGTTCATCCTGTCACAGAGATCAAATGATGTTTACGAGTGTTTAATTGTCATTCAATCATCAAAACAACACATGTTAGTAGTCTGGCGTCGCGTTGCGCTCCTCTCCCTCGACGGTCCGTCCATTCTGGCAGAACGATTCTCTCTTTTTCCTTCCCGTCCCTGCCTGCCTTCCCAAAAGACCGCGTCGCGCGCACTGTAACTTTAAAGGCGCATCGCAAAGTTTCGGTCGAATTTCAGGATTGACCTACGCGTTTTCGCTTCTTTTCGTCGGCATTAGTGTCACTGCGAGCAATTTTTTCCGTGTTTTTTGAATCTCCGACATAACTAAATGTGTTTTTCAGCGTTGCGGTCGCTACTACGCTCGTCATGTGCAAAATTCACCGAAATTTCTGCGGAAATCGACTCAAAAATGCGCACATTTTTGTCTAATTTTTAGTGTCGAATAGTGTCGAAAGAAAGCAGCATTAGACTCGCTCGTTAGACTCAAACTACAAAGCCACGTGGGCCTAAGCTGCTTGTGTTTTCCTTTTTTTTCTATTCTCGCGCTCACATCACTGACCAGCAATGACCAAATCCTTTCGAAATTTGAGATTTGCGCCCGACACTGACGTCAATTTCTCGGAGGGAAAAATGGTGGTAAACAAAATGAAGGCAGTCAGTATTTTGTTTTGCGCCGAAACTAGAATACACTTCTTTTTTCGGGTCAAGGTTCTGTGATATTATTTCCCGCGCTACTAACTATACGCTAAATTTTGCGAATTTCCGCGTCGAAAAGTGCAAAAAACGACGTACCGGCACCGGAATCACTTTTCAAAGTTGGCGAGGTGAAGAAAATGAGAAAAAAAAACGGATAGCGCTCCCCTCTCCGACCGCGCCGCAAAATAACACGTTTTACGGGCACACTGAATTACTGCTGCTGGCAAGTGAGACTTGTGCAGTTTCCACGCTTTAAAGACCTAAAAAAGCAATGTGAGGAGGAAAATGTGCTCGAGCGCACAGCTCGCCAGCGGCCAGCGGATTTCGGAAAACCACCACCAGTTTTTGTCATTTTTTGCTCAAACGACGCACAAAAGTTGAGCAAATTTGCTATATGCAGTGGTTTTTAGCATTAAAATGTAGCTACGGCCTATTAGACGATCCAAAAAAAAGTGTCAGCTGAGAGAAAGACGGTTTTTCCGCGTGTCGATCCCTTCCTTTTAACCCCCGTGTTATCATTCGTCTGCTGGAATTTGTTCCGCCCAAAACCGTTTTTGTTTTTGTGTATTCCCGTTTAATATGATCCACAAAGGTATGCGATCAAGAGGAAAGTGCAAAAAATCGGGAATTGTGACGTTTTCTTGCGGGCGGTCGTCGGCGGCGACATCAAAGAAACGAATATTTATATCGTCGGAGTTACAAATGAGTCCAGTATTTCAATTTTTCCCAAAAATCACTTTTGGGGCCACATTTGAGGCCTCGACGTACTTTGGTTCGCTTTTTTCGCTGTTTGCGCACTTAGACTTGTGGAAATTTGTTGATTTTTGAATGTCCCGTCAGAGTTCGGTAGAGCGCACTTGCATTCGAAGACCAAAGTTTTCCAATGTGTATTGTGGCGTTTTCGACACCACCCCTCGTTTCCGATACACATATTTTGTGGTCAAAATGGCCTGATCTGATAGTGACCGCGGCAACGACGACGCGCAAAACTATTTTCTCGAAACGATGTGACGTGATAACAACCGGAAATAATGTTTGGACAATATTTACGACTGACAATACCGTAATCCGTAATCCTTAAGAGTACAGTAGGCGACATTTTTGGGGCGAAACTTTAATGCCACGTATCTTGGTCGGATTTGAAAATGTATTATATGTCAAACAATGAGTCGATAGAGAAATTTGTGCTCTACAGGAATTCCAAGTCCATTGTAAAAGTTCAAAAATCTATTCATTTCTTATTCCATTTTCATCTCGAATAGGCATAATCTTGGAAAAAGAGGGAGTGATGACGTCAGAAAGTAATAGTAGAAAAAGACGAAAAAGAATGGAGGGGTTGATGATGAAGATCATAAAAAAGAAGGAAAATTTATGAGAATTGCGATTTGTCGGTCAGTTTTTTGATATTATTGTAGGCTTTCTGGTTGCGAAACGTCCGCCCCGGGACACTTTGAAACCGACATTTGTGTTCTCTGCGCCTTTAATACCGTATCTTAAAGGCGCAACACAAGTTTCTTTTGACTTTTGAGAATAGGAACGATAAAAAAACGCTTTATTTACAGAAAAAGAAGGAATTGAATAGAAGTTGAGATTCGTGGAGACACCCATAATATCACTCAAAACTCGAACAGTTTTTGTTCAACATTTTGAGCATTTGAACCAGACAGTCGTGGAAATGGTGGCCAGATAGCACAGAATCATCGCCGACACTCCGATGCTGTAGATCGTGTCGGGAAAGCAGAATTGGGTGTCGACCAGCGATCGTTCCGGACTTCTTAGGTGCTCAAAATTGCGATGCCGCTCGATTTGAAACCGTCCGTTCACGTGGATGATGTCCGTTCGAGTGTTGTTGCCATCTGAAAAGTGGAGATGGCCTAGCTTTTTCTCGGCCACACCGCCCCCGTGATACTCACTCGAAAGTTGACGTCGATTTCGTTGATTTAGTCCGCATTCGGGTTGCGATACGCACAAATCCTCCTCGGATCCGTTTATGATTTCCAAGTGTTCAGTTCTGAAAATGTGGGGTCTCGCCACGAAAGGTACGGTATTAAAGGCGCGGCACCGATTTTTTCCTCAAATCTAGCTTGAAAATTCGCGGTTTTCTCATATTTTGCATGGCAAACCATTAAAATACGGTATGCAAGGCGCAGAACGAAATTTTGGGCGAGGCGTTGAATGCGAGTACCTTTTGACGCAAGTCCGCACGGCGCACCGAATGTAGACGACGTGCTCGTCGGGAAATTTGAACGCCAACGAATTGGCGAAAATGTTGGAGTTGTCCGGCGAAAACGTGGCGTCGGAAATGAGCTGCTCGTCCAGCGAGCAGCCGTTCTCAATGATCTTTGTGCCTTTTCCGGACGCGGTTTCCGCCGAACATCGCTCCAATTGGATTCCGAAGATGCCTAAAAGAAAATGTGAAAAACGAGCGAAAATGCCGTCGCACCATCACGCTCTCTTTCCATTTTCCATTGAAAAATGATCGGATCGCCGACTTTCAGCACTCGAGCACTTTCCGCAGCGTTCTGAACGGGGTTTTTTTTGTGAACATTTTGAAGGCGCATCATCGAAACGCTCACTTTTGCGAGCGACTCTTCGCCGGCCGACAAAATCGTCATTGTGACGGCGGCAGCGGCGGCAGTTTCAAAGTTTCCAGTGAGAATGTCGTGTTTTTCGAGAAGACTGCAAGAAAATTGTGATTTTTTGACGCTCGCTCTCTCTCTCACTTTTGAACGCCGATTTCGGCGTCGCGTCGGAAGTCGTCGAATTCGCAGTGCGCACGGAACGCGCGGTCCGACGGCGTCACCAAATTCCGATGAAACGCGACGATGATGTGGCCGGTGAGCAGCCATTTTTTCGAATTCGGCTTTGGCGACGCCTTGAAACCGCAAAGCAACAGCTGATCGGCGTCGATCTTCAGCTCGAGTGCCGTCGAATTCTCGTCCAACGTGTAGTGTTTGACGCAGGCGGGGTTCACGCGCGAGCCTCTCACGTAGATCTGCAATACGCCCGTCAGAGTTGATGTTGGCGCCACGGTCTCCAGAGCTCCAGAGCAATATGCGCGTGGGCTCGGCGGCCAAATGGCGTTTTCATGAATTGAGCACGTTTTTTTCTGATTTTTGTGCTCAAAGGCGATGAAAAATGATTGTTCGACATGAAAACACACTAATTCGCAGAATTAATGACGTTTTGGCGCATTTTTCGCGGACTTTGCTTTTTCGCCTTCGCCGCCGATCGCCGCACTTCACATTTTGCGATTTCTTGACCGGTTTCCGACAGAATTGGTTTTGAGAATGATAAATCACGTAAATACAAGCATTTTGAGCGCTCGAACCGCGAAAAATACCGAAAAGCAACTGAAATTCACGCAGTTTTCGCCAAAAATTTTCAAACGGATAAATGTGATTTGCGACTTGACGCTCTTGCGCTGAAAAAATTCGTAATAGCCTATAAAATCGGTCTATCGAGAGAAAAATGAGAAATTATCGATTTTTCGTGGCTAATCTGGCAAAAAACACAAATTTTGCTGTTAAAATTTAAATTTCGCGCCAACGCACTTGCGCCCATTTTCAGCTCTGAACACCGTGACGTTGGCGAATTTTGTAGCGTTTCGCGCGCAAACACACACAAACACCGCCACGTCCCAATTTTCGCCCATCCGTATTTACCTGTCCTTCGAAGAACTCGTCGGTTTGCGCGAAAAGTGAAATCGCGTCGGGGCGGCACGAAACGAATGGTTTGCCTGCAAAAGTTCACCCAATTACACACGCACTTTTTTCGTCCGCCCACCAACTATGCGATTCTCGAACGTTTTCGCCTCGACGACCTGCAATTTCGGACTTTTTTGGGGGGGCGAAAAGTGGAAAGAGACATGAAACGACCTACTTGTTGTTAGAAAGTGCGTGTGGTCATTTCGGGAAAGGGGGTGGGGAGGAGGAAAAAGTTAAGACACTTACCGATAGGAACGCGATGAAAAGCGGGAGGAAGAGCGCGAAAAACATCCTGAAGAGATGAAGTTGACCTGGGAGTAACAGAACTTTGAGCGCGTGTTGTAGACCTCAGAGGTGTGTTAGGGCTTTTAAAGTGTTTTAAGGAAAATCTTGACACCTAGACGAACAGTTTTGTAGTTGATCACTTTTTTGTACAACCATTCCGAAGAGTCCTGTCGTCGCCGAGAAGTTGGAGTCGCATCAAGATGACTTCTACGAGCAGCAGTACTCTGGGGAGTGGTTGTATAGAAAAGATGTCAGTTACAAAAATAAAGTTCATTTCTAGGACAGTATTTTTGTAGTTGACAACTTTTCTGTACAACGACCCCCCAGCGTACTGTAGGTCTTGAAAGATAGACGCTCTGTTCAGACAGCATTTCGGAGCCCTGACTTCCAAGACCTACAGTACTCTTGAAAGTGGCTGTACGGAAAAGTGATCAACTACAAAAAAAGCCCTTGGACATCTCTAGGCTCTACAGCATTCGCACAAAGTTGAAAACGATAAAATGAAGAAAAAAAACGGCGTCGAGTATTCGGTATTGCTATCATTTTTAAGCAAGGGTAGAATATGAGTCTAGAATAAGAAGATTTGCAAAAAAAAAAGAAAAAAGTGTTGACACAAACACTGCTAAATGCTAATGCCCACATGCTGAGAGTGAGACCTAACCGCACGGCCCCAACAACAACAAAAAAGAGAGTATTAAGCGAGAGAGGGGCAGTGTCCTGAGGAGGTGGTGGGTGTTCCGTCCTTGAACTGTCCTCCTAGCTGGACCAAGACACCTCAGTTATGCAACACACACACACACACTGCTATTCTCTCTTTCTTTCGCTTACGACATAAACGACCCAATGTGAGCGGCGGAGGAAACATTTGAATGAAGGACGGACGGGACGGATCGAGACGCACAAATAACGGGGTGCTGAGAGCGATGGGTGGATGGATGGATGGAGGAATCCTCGATAGGGAAAGGGGCGGGATTTTGAGTTTGTGAACCAGTGAACTTTTGAATGATATCTTCTTCTCACGGTCTCCCAGGGGGCGCTAATGCTAAACACAGTGCGCTCGTAAATTGCGGAGTGTCGTTGTAACTTTTTAAAATTTGCAGGTCTGAAAATGCAGTTAAATTCGAGTTTACGACCTTTATTTCTTTTTTTTTACTTGAAAAACGTCTAAAAACAATATTTTACTGATTGGAAACCGTTCTTTACAGAATTTAGAGTTTTTCATGTTTTTAGCGTCAATTTCGCATTTCGTCAAAACTTCAAACCTTTATATTTCAGCTCATTTTGCATTTCATGAGCCCAACGAACGATAAAAATGTTCGCTGAATCTTTTTTCACAAAATTCAGGTTCCGGCGGTTAGTTTTCTTGAGCAGTTTTCGAAAGCTATTCGAAAAACATCAAAATCCAGGCCAAAACCTTCAAATCGAAATAACTCGGCTAATACTCAACGATATGTGAGATTTCTGTTACCAAAACGTAGCTAGTGCTCTAATTATTCGAATCCAGGTTCCAGGCGTACGAAAAAATAGGTGTATTGTACAGAAAACATGGAAAGAACGCGAACTCCCGTTGAAAATTAATTAATCGGCCGCCGCCGCGTAAATCGACACAGCCCGCCTGTTGCAAGTGCGCCCCATTGAAATCATTCGCGCCGTGGGAGACCGTGAACACACTAATTCTCAGAATTAATGACGTTTTGGCGCATTTTTCGCGGACTTTGCTTTTTCGCCTTCGCCGCCGATCGCCGCCTAAAAAGCGCACTTATCATTTTGCGCTTTCTTGACCGTTTTCAGACAGAATTGGTTTCGAGAATGATAAATCACGTAAATACAAGCATTTTGAGCACTCGAACCGCGAAAACTACCGAAAAGCAACTGAAGCTCACGCAACTTTTTTGTATGAAAAGCTAAATTTACAATTATTTTTCTATGAGCAGAGTTCACTTTGCTATACATTTCGTCAGTTGATCACATGAATGAAACAATGAAACAATGAAACATGAATGAAACAATTCCAAGAAACAATTTTCTAAAAAAGATAAAAATTCTTCCGTGTTCTTCCGTTGAAACCTCGTCGTTCTCGCCGTCCCTCGGACGTGTCGGTTGCGCGCACTGTTGAAGAGCGGCGACGCAGCGTCAGGGTCGGTTTAATTACCCAAGTTTGAGGTGCGAACCTGGGAATGACCTAAAGAAATTTAGCGTCAGCTTTCTAATTTTGGACTGTCTCCTTTCGGGGAGACAAAGTAACTAAAAGTAGAAAAATCGGATGTGAATTGGTGGAGTTATGCCAATGATTTGGGATCAGGGCTGGGATTTTACGCTTACGGTGGTCTTTTAAAAAAATTTTTTTGTGTTTAAAGTGATTTTTCTCTGATCAGGCATCAAAAGACACCAAAACGTTCAAAAAACGATAGAGACTATAGAAAAGTTAGAGAATTATATTGAATTGTATGCTAGTTTTCATTTCCTGACAAAAATAGCACGCTTCATGGATTTTACAGAGCTTACCGAATTTACTGATTTTACGGCTTCTTGAAACCGTAAATTTGCGTTTTTACGGATCCGTAAAAATAAAATTTTAAGCCCCGCCCTGACGGTGAGAACAGTTGGCCACGCCCACAAGGTCGGATCTGCTCTGGCGGAAAGCCCGAGCGCTGAAAAAGGCTCGGAAGGTTGTCCTGAAAAGGACTATCTTATCTTAAACGTTTGAACATCATTCAACAGCACTTTCCCGGGTTTTCCGGTGAAAAATCACAATTTTCAGCATTTTCGAGACGTGCCAAATAAAGTTGTTCGAGGGATACGGTCAGCAAAACACGGCGACGCAAAAATGCGGACGCGCGACTTTCCACAACTCGCCGCCATTTTTTTGCAGCCTTTGTCCGTTGTCCGACCATTTTTCACAGCTCTTCGTATAATTTTCGACGAAATCTCGACAATTGGCCCCTAAGCTTTCCTATTCTGATTCGTTTTTGTTGATTTCTCTCGAATAAAAGGCGGTTTTTCAAATTTTCGTACGGAACGCTGTTTTTCGGTTTCATGCTCAAATTCTGTGGTTTCTCTTGAATTTTAGGCAAATTCAAACTGCACTGGACTGATTTCCACGTCTTTACCTCGCTTCAATGTTTTCAATTTTCCCTCAAACACTATATAAATTTCCTTGAAAATTGGCTAAAATCACACAAACGTCGACTGATTGGTCGCAATTTATCGTGTCTTTCTCGAATTTTACGCATTTCCCTCCATTTTCGCCCCCATAATTTGCGAATTCTTCCAGAAATGGCTCCGTCGTCAATTTTGCGAAAACTACTCGCTGAGCGCCTTCGCCTACCTCTTACCGAGGAATCGGACGAGGAGACGCTTCGAATGTACTTCAAATCAAAACTCGATCAGGCGCAGGTGTGTAATTCATGAAAAAATAGGCGTTTTCCCACAAAAATCGGTTTCGGACCAGAAAAAGTGAGAAAATTGCACTTTTTACTGTGTTTCCGATTTCCCCGCTGTTATCCAGAATTTTCCATCATAAACTGCCCATTTTTTCAGCAAGAGGTAAAGGAGAAAGAGCAGAACAACCGGCGGCTGCAGGCGCGAATGCAAGAGCTGAATCAGAAGGTGCGTTCGCTGAAGGACGAGGTTCGGCAGCTGCACAAGCAGGCGGGGCACGTCGGAGAGGTCGTCCGCATGATCGACATCTTCAAAGTGCTGGTGAAGGTGGCGCCGGAGGGCAAGTACGTGTGCGACATCAGCAAAAGCGTCAATATCTTTGCACTGAAGCCGGGCGTCCGAGTGGGACTGCGCGCCGACAGCTACACGGTCAACAAGATCCTGCCGAACAAGGTGGACCCGCTCGTTTCCCTTATGATGGTCGAGAAGGTGCCGGATTCGACGTACGAGATGGTCGGAGGCCTGGATCAGCAGATCAAAGAGATCAAGGAGGTGATCGAGCTGCCCGTCAAGCATCCGGAGCTGTTCGACGCGCTCGGAATCGCCCAACCGAAGGGAGTGCTGCTCTACGGACCGCCCGGCACCGGAAAGACGCTGTTGGCGCGCGCGGTCGCCCATCACACCGAGTGCACGTTCATTCGCGTCTCCGGATCCGAACTCGTGCAGAAGTTCATCGGAGAGGGCGCCCGCATGGTCCGCGAGCTATTCGTGATGGCCCGCGAGCACGCGCCCTCGATCATCTTCATGGACGAGATCGACTCGATCGGATCGAGTCGGCTGGAGGGGTCCAGGGGCGGAGACTCGGAGGTGCAGAGGACCATGCTCGAGCTGCTCAATCAGCTAGACGGATTCGAAGCCACCAAGAACATTAAGGTGTGTGCAGGGGTGTTCAGAATGGGCTAAAATCAAAGTTTGAAGACATTTTGTGAGTCTTTTTCTCCATTTCACTGTTTCGTAGCCGTGAAAGCTCCATAGCACTGGGAATTTGGTTTCCCCTCTCAGATCCGTTGAGGATTGACAATACCTCCCAGTTTTGTCGTTTTCCATCAGATTTTCCGCAACTTTTAGAATTTTCTACCTGAAAAGCAGTAACATCCTTCCTGAACGAATTTGCCCGGGGAGAAAGCGAGAAAATGGTCAAATTCGGAGAGCAATTATACTTTTTCAAATAAAATATGGTTCTCAATTCCAGGTGATCATGGCCACGAACCGTATCGACATTCTCGACTCGGCTCTCTTGCGTCCGGGCCGCATCGACCGTAAGATCGAGTTTCCGGCTCCGGACGAGAAGGCGCGCGCGGACATTTTGAAGATCCACTCGCGCAAGATGAATCTGATGCGCGGCATCAACATGAGCAAGATCGCCGAACAGATTCCGGGCGCGAGCGGCGCCGAAGTGAAGGCGGTGTGCACGGAAGCGGGCATGTTCGCCCTCCGCGAACGGCGCATCCACGTCACGCAGGAGGACTTTGAGATGGCCGTCGGAAAGGTGATGCAGAAGGACTCGGAGAAGAACATGTCGATCAAACAGTTGTGGAAGTGATCCCCCACTTACTATCGGGGGCATTCTAATCTGAATGCGCTCTGCTTAGAAACCCTAATTTTGCAGCCGCGATTTAACACCGTGAAAATTCGCTTCGCGGCTGTAAAATTAGGGTTTCTGAAAAGAGCGCATTCATATTGAAATGCCCCTACAGTATGATGTTTTATTTGTAAATAACGACATTGCCTTTAACTTATTTTGTATCGAAACTTGACATTTATTCAACTTGTTATGTGATTATTCTCTTCATAAACTTGTCTCCTAGTAGCCCATGAGCCACGAGAAGAAGCCATTCTTTTTCTCTTTCGGCTCCTCCTGAGCACCACTTCCGGACGACGTCAACTTCAACGGAATGGAGCAGAAGGAGGCGTCGGCGGCGGTGGAGGTCAGCGTAAAAATGGGATTGGTGAATTTGGAAAGAGCCGAAGTCAACGATCTTGCCGTCGTGGTGCTGACCAATTTTTGCGAAAATCCGTCGGACGAGATCAAGTACATGACGACGTTTGTGCTGCTCAAACAGGTAAGATTGAAGTCGGCGGCGGTGGTCGTATCGACGGAAAACGATCCGGAAAGTTGCCAGCGACAGTCCGAGTTGGCCGGCACCAGAGAACTCGCGGGCACCGTTTGATTGTAGCCGCTCGAGTAGAGAACACCTTGGGAAGAGGTGGCGTTCACCGTGAAATTGGTTCCCGCTGCCGAGCAAGCGACTGCAAAAAACAGGCGAAATTGGAATAGCGATGCAAATGCGCTCTACCGCACTTATAAAAACGGTATTACAGGCTTTCCGTTTTCGCGGCGAGACCCAACAACCACTCACCGCTATCACAATGAGAGTATCCGTTGAAATTGTCGACACAATTCGTGCAGTACGGTTGGTTCGTGTTGTCGAGAAGGCACGCGCCGCCGGTCTCGTCGCCCGGGCACGTAAAGTTGAGGCACGGACTCGGCGGAGTCGTCGGCACCGGCGTCGGTGTGGTCGCTGCAAAAAAAACAGAAGTGTGAACAACGTGCTGCACGGTCTCGAGAGCTGACAATGGGCGCAAGTGCGGCGCCCCGTCCAATAGAGCGATACATTGGCGCGAAATTCAAATTGTAACAGCAAAATTAGTGTTTTTTGCCAGATTAGCCACACGAAAAACCGATAATTTCGCATTTGTCTCTCGATAGACCGATTGTATAGGCTAGTAAATTGCGGAGTGTCGTTGTAACTTTTGAACATTTGCGCAGGTCTAAAAATGCAGTTCAATTCGAGTTTACGACCTTTATTTCTTTTTTTTTTTTGACTTGAAAAACGTCTAAAAAACAATATTTTACTGATTGGAAACCGTTCTTTATAGAATTTAGAGTTTTTCATGTTTTTAGCGTCTTTTTTGCATTTCGTCAAAACTTCAAACCTTTATATTTCAGCTCATTTTGCATTTCATGAGCCCAACAAACGATAAAAATGTTCGCTGAATCGTTCTTCACAAAATTCAGGTTCCGGCGGTTAGTTTTCTTGAGCACTTTTCGAAAACTATTCGAAAAACATCAAAATCCAGGCGGAAACCTTCAAATCGAAATAACTCGGCTAATTCTCAACGATATGCGAGATTTCTGTTACCAAAACGTAGCTAGTGCTCTAATTATTCGAATCCAGGTTCCAGGCGTGCAAAAAATAGGTGTATTGTACAGAAAGCATGGAAAGAACGCGAACTCCCGTTGAAAATTAATTAATCGGCCGCCGCCGCGTAAATCGACACAGCCCGCCTGTTGCAAGTGCGCCCCATTGAAATCATTCGCGCCGTGGGAGATTTCAGTTGCTTTTCGACAATTTTCGCGGTTCGAGCGCTCAAAATGCTTGTATTTACGTGATTTATCATTCTCAAAACTAATTCTGTCTGAAAACGGTCAAGAAATCGCAAAATGTGAAGTGCGGCGATCGGCGGCTATCGGCGAAAAAGCAAAGTCCGCGAAAAATGCGCTAAAACGTCATTAATTGTGAGAATTAGTGTGTTTTCATGTCGAACGATAATTTTTCATCGCCTTTGAGCACAAAAATCAGAGAAAACGTGCTCAATTCGGGAAAACGCCACGCGCATATTGTCAGCTCTGAAGACCGTGTGCTGTCAAAAGTGTCTTTTTGCAAATTTCGTCGACTTTTGCCGAAAAACGGGGCAAAGAAACTTACTCGGCGGAGCTGGAGTGGTCGCTGAAAAATGAAACATTTGTCTCCAGAATCTTCCGGAAAATGGACGTACGCTTCAAACACTTTTGGTACAAACAGTTGCTCGGCGCCGAGTTCACATCCGAAACGAACTTTTCGACGAATTGCAAAGTGCTCTGCGCGTCGAGCTGGCTCGCCTGAATGACGGCGATGTTCGAGTGAATCGAGTCGAGGTTCGACTGAATATTGTCCAAAAGCGTCTGAAGAGCGCGGATCTTGGCGTGCGCCGCGTCGCTCGCCTTCTTGATATTGGTGTCTTTCGCGTCGGCGGCCGATTGCAACGAAACGTACTGGGTACGGTCGTCGGCGATCGCGGAACTCTCGGTCGCCAGGAACGATTGATCGTTGCCCGGCGCCGCGAATTGGTAGGTGCAGACGGTGTCCGAGCAGACGGGCGCCGCGAATTCTGGAATCGTTTCAATGAAACGCGAATATCTTAAAACAGGAGAGTTTTCATAAAAAGTAGTCAACTGAAAAGTTGTAGAGAATGAAACAACCTTTCGATTCGTTTTTTAAAAGTTGAAAAATCTTCAAAATTGACCGAGATACGATGCAACTCACGAAGAAGGCTAACAGTGACATCGGGAAGCGGCGCCGGGGTCGTGGATCCAGGCGTCCCAGTGGTCCCGGTAGATCCACCGGTTGGTTGAGGTTCAGTGGTGGCGCCGGACGGAAGCGTGGCAGCACTCGGGGTGCTCGCAGACGGATCCGGAGTGTTGGAGGTTCCGGCGGATCCGGCGGGGGTCGTAGTGGAGCTTACAGAGGTTACGCTGGTTCCAGAGGATCCAGCGGCGCCAGTGGTCGAGGATACGGCCTCGGAGACCGTAGGCGAAGCTGTGCCATCATCGCTGGACTCTTTTCCCTTCTTTTTCCATGCTTCAATCGAGCTGACCAGGCTGAAATCCGCATTTTTCGGGTCTTACCATACTGCCTAGTTACAGCAGCGCTTACAGTAAGCCGACGAGTAGAATAGTAGCGGCAAACCGGAGGTTCATCATTGAAATCGAAACAGAAAGACGGGAGGCTCTTATCGTTTGCCAATTTAAGAGTATTAAAATGATTTACTGTGTGTTTGCTAGCCCCCTCCTCCTTCCCCACCGTTTTGGGCGTCATTTGAAGCAGCAGTGATAAGGCAAGCAGATTGCATTTGGAAAGACTACAATTGATGTCATTGGCGTGCGATTGGAATCTGAAACAGTTTCTCTAAAAGAAAAAAACCGTAGAAAGGGGCGTGGCCTAGCCGTGCACGGTTTTGCCACCATTTTGGCGCTTTTTTCATGTTTTTCGTCAAAAATCACACAAATTTTGTGCGATTTCGACGATGTAATTGCATAACTTTGTTAAACTAATCGTCGCGCGCACTTTTTCGAGCTGAAAACGAGCAGGTTTCATAGCAGAAATGAATCAATTGATGCGATTTTCAAGTTTTGTGCTGAAAATGCGTGAATTTCAGTCATTCGCCGATACTTTTTGCCGTTTGAACGCTTAGAATACTTGTATTAACGTGCTTAATCACTTCCGACACTCATTTCGTCTCAAAACTATCCAAATGAGCCGGTATGAAAATTCCGAAATTACGAAATATGCCAAAAACGTCTCAAACGCGGCGTTTTCACGAAAATTTTAATGTTTTCTCTGTTTAACAGACTTGCCAAATTACGGGCCGGCCCGGCCCGGCCCGGTCGGCCCGACTCAAAAGGCGCGAATTCAAATTTTTGGGGGAAATCTATTTTTTCGTTTTTTTTGCGGGGATAAAAATTTAAAAAAAAACTACGACACTCCGACATTACGGTCGCGCGCGCTCTTTAGCCATTTTTTTCCAACTTTCGGAAAAATCGTTATTATTTTCTTCTTTTTTAATTGTTACTTTTGCTTTGATGCCAATAAAAACTATTTTTGAGAACTACATTTCTTTTTTATGCTCGATACTTGCAAAATTCGTTAGTTCTACGAAAAACAAACATTTTATTTAATCAATAGTTCAAAATTTGGATTCCCCCCGCTTTTTGAACCGGGACCGAGCCGGGCCGGTCCGGCCCGGCCCGTGGCAACTCTGCTGTTTAATGTATCTTTTTTCGTTGATATCAACACACAAAAATATCGGAAAAGTGTGCTGGAATTGCGGCAATTTTTAGAAAAAAGGCGTCTCAGATTAGGCGACGCCCCCTTTCTACACTTTTCGTCGCCGTGTAAGTGGACTTCCCCCGTTCGATCTCGAATCTCGGACAAACCCTTGAATCTGTCAGTGTTCATATCCTCATTCCTGGCGCGTCCATCCTGTTTCGGTCCACAAAGCAAATGATCTCCGTGGCGGACCGACAAGATACGAAAAAAGTTGGAGCCTGAGCAAAGAGACGAGACGAGAGGAGAGAGAGAGAGAGAAAGAGAGAGAGAGAGAGAGAGAGAGAGAGAGAGAGAGAGAGAGAGAGAGAGAGAGAGAGGTGTGTTGTGTGCTCTCCGGTCGGACACGACATAAATTGTGAGTGGAAAAGCTTCATTACTACTGCCGTCCCTCTCTCTCTCTCATTTTATTGACAGGGGGGAATCACTTGGAACATTTTGGGCCCTATTTCAAATTGTGACCTTACGGATATTGTGTAACATTGTGGAATGTGTAGGTACGTAATTTAAGAACGTGCCAGCTGATATTTGCGATTTTTTGAGTGTAGACTCAACTTTAAACCGATATTGTAGGATTCTGAGAGTCCAAAATGTTTTGAGCATAATCTTGACACCTTTTACTTTGATTTTGTAGTTGACAACTTTTTTGTACACCCACTCCCTGAGGTACTGTAGCGCTTAGAAATGACGGCGCCCAAAATGCGTACCAATTGTACTCACCAACTTCCAAGCGCTACAGTACTCTAGTAAGGGGTCGTGGAAAAAAGTTGTCAACTAAAAAGTTGTAGTACTAGACGTCAAGATTATGCTCAAAAATGTTGAGCGCCAGAATACGTCTGTGAGCTCGACAATATAAGTTCGACGGACGGCAAAACAATGAATCACTTTTCTACTCAAATCGTGCGAGTGATATCACTTGTTTGCCTTGACAGATTGAGCAAAAGCCGCAGCTATTTCGCAGTTTTTTTTAAAAGCTATTTGAGGGCGTTTGTTTGCCTCATTTCGATGGATATAAGCGGCTCGAAAGTTTGTGAACAATCCTAGCTGGCTCGCTTGTTGGTGGTCCTCAACGGATCGCTCTTTAAATTGTTCTTTACACGTCTCAAGTCTCGTCAGATCAAAGAGTGTCTCATCGGGTTTTACACACACAAAAACCTTTTTCCTTTGTCTAAAAACAAAAAGTCTCGAACTTTTCGCTTCTTTTCTCCTTTCCACTCTTTGTGCTAATTCACATGTTCACCGCTGCTCATAAAATCTCTGTCTCTTCGTGCTCGGCTCGGCTCGGCTCGGCTCGGCGCCGCCCGTTCCGCAGTCAGTTGGCGCGGCTGTGCAGAGCAGCAGCAGCGAAGAGCAGAGAAGAGTGCGATTTTCAGTTTAAAGCCACCTCTCCACTCTATTTTCGAATATTGTCGGCTTTGTGCAGCAGCAGCAGCAGCAGAATGGTCGGTTTGAGACGCGCGACGACAATCAACGAGACGACGGCCACACGTCGTCACAAGTTCGCGTTGAAGTACGATTTGAACAATAATGGCGAGAAGAAGGAGCTCGACGCGCAGGAATGTCCGTCCGGAGCCGGCCAGAGCGAGACGTTCGTCTGGGATTGGCCGTTTAGCAATGACGGTGAGAGGACTAGCTTTTTCTAGGCCCCATGCCTCGGCTGCGGGTAGAGATGCCGAAAAGTTGTCAACTGATAAAATGTGTAAAAAATGTTGGCCAACATTATTGTAGTTGACAACTTTTTGATATCTCTACCCGCGGCTGAGATAAATCGTTTTGAATAAACACTTTCTCCAGTGTTGACGTTTTAGCGCTTCAACTATTGTCTAGTATTCGGCTGTGGCCTAGCTTTTTCTCGGCCATTGGTATAATCCCAATTCTGCTTTCAGGCACTGCTCCGGGAGCCTACACGCCGGAAAAGTTCCTCGTCTGCTTGCCGTTCAACAAAGGAGGCACCGGAGAGAAAAACGGAACGGTAGGAACGAGTATTGTAGTCTTTTCAAACGTTTGAGCACAATTTTGACGTCTTGTACTATATTTTTGTAGTTGAGCACTTTTTTCTAGGACCACAATAATGTAGCGCTTGGAAGTTGGGAGCTCTTTTTCGGGTCATGACTTCGGAGAGCTACAGTACGCTGGAGAGTGGTTATATGTACAAGTTGTCAACTACAAAAATATACTACTTGACATGTACTTCATTTTTGTAGTTGACACTTTTTTTGTACAATCACTCCCTCAAGTACTGTGGCTCTTGGAAGTGATGACCCAAAAAGTAGCTCTCGTTGCCACCCCAACTTCGAAGAGCTACAGTACTCCAGGAAGTGAGGCTAGAAAAAAGTGATCAACTACAAAAATGTAGTACTAGGTGTCAAGATTATGCTCAAATTTTTTCAGAATCATAGAGCATTTCAAAACTCCACAATATTCGTTTAAACTCGACAATTCATTTTGTGGCCTAGAATCCGACCCTTGCTGTAATATCAATATCAAATTTCGTCAGTTGTCGATTGTAACGCGTCAAAAAAGTGTACCATCACGGAAAAAGAAGAGAAAAAACGAAGAAGATATTATCCAATTCTAGAACTCGATCATTTCAGACAAAAAAGTTCGAGCGCATCGCCGAGTCGGATTTCTCGTGGAGCATGGGCCTTTCGCGTGACGCCGAGCTCGGCTCCACATGTTTTTGGCGGCTCGAAATCGAGATTATCAGAAATATGAACGCCATTGTGCTCATTGCTTCCAGGTGAGTTTCAGGGCATTCTTCCGAACCTACAATAGTTGAAGAAACGTTCACTTTTTTGCGATGCACCATAGTAAAATTGAAATATCTGAGCCTAAACTTATTATCATAAAAAACTATCAACTACAAAGTTGTAGAGCTGGAAATTTTCTTTCAAATGGTTGTCAGAACGTTTGAAAATCTTGAAAAACAACCGAGATACATCAGCTCAAAGTTGATCAATTATCGATTGCAGAGACATCAGCCGCTACTACGAGAACACGAAGCGTCTGAAGCGAGTGCGTAAAATGTACCGTCTGCCCGACTACTACGACGTCTCCACAGTCACGACGGCCATGTACGACTGGGCGGTCGTCGTCGAGGCGCAGAAAAAATCGATTAATCGGCCGACGATGCGCCGGGCCTCCACTTTTATCTAAATTAGTTCCTTTTTTTAGTACTTTTTTTGATTCGACGATCATTAATGTAAATAAATATTTATATTGTGCAATTTGTTTATTCACAACCGTATAGCCCACACAAAAAGAAGCGATCGAATTCAAGAAGACTCGTCATCGGTGTCGGAGGCCTCGTACCAAAAAACGTCCGATCCGCCGCTGATCTCGTTGTCCGCCGCCGCCGCCGCCGGCGCTGCCCGGCGTTGCTGTGCGCCGTTGGGCATTGGGGCGCGGCACAAAAAGTCGCGGGCGAAAAAGTAGGCGCCGTGCTCGCCGAGCACAATAAACGTGTTGGTCGTGTCGAGGTGGCGGGGGAAAATCGGCATCGCCGACGGCGTTTGCGACTTTAAATGTCTCAAATAGCCCATGACTTGACGGTCGGTCAACGAAAAGCAGCGGAAGATCGCGTTCATCGACGGCCACGATCGGTTTTCCGGCGATTCGGCGCTCAGTTTCTGTTTCAGCGACGATTCCCCGCACTCTTCGAGCTTTTCGGCTGTGGCGGCGAGTAACGACGCACTGGGGCATGGTGGAGGACGAAACAGCTGCAAATTTCAAGTTGAATGGCTTTTAGAACGTCTGAAAATGTTGAAAATTGACTAAATTATGACCATTTTTGCCATTGCCTTCAACTAAAACCGAACGCGCTCTAATAAATTGAAAATTTCTGGGTTCATTCTTAAAATCATGAAAAGCAATCAACGGAAGAGTTGTAGAGCATAAAATTGTCTTTCGATTTATTTTTTAACATTGGAAAAATCTCGAAAATTGACCAAGATACGTGGGTTTAAAGTTAAGGAAAAGCTATCACTTTGGCGCTCTAGTAAACTCAAAATATCTGGGCTCACTCTTAAAATCATGAAAAGCAATCAACGGAAGAGTTGTAGAGCATAAAATTGTCTTTCGATGCATTTTTTAACATTAAAAAAATCTCAAAAATTGACCAAGATACGTGGGTTTAAAGTTAAGGAAAAGCTATCACTTTGGCGCTCTAATAAACTCAAAATATCTGGGCTCATTCTTAAAATCATGAAAAGCACTCAACTGAACAGTTGTAGACCATTAAATTTCCTTTCGATTTATTTTTTAAAATTGAAAAAATCTCAAAAATTTACCGAGATACGTGGGTTTAAAGTTAAGGAAAAGCTATCACTTTGGCGCTCTAGTCAACTCAAAATATCTATGCTCATTCTCAAAATCATGAAAAGCAATCAACTGAAAAGTTGTAGACCATTAAATTTTCTTTCGATTTATTTTTTAACATTGAAAAAATCTCAAAAATGGACCGAGATACGTGGGTTTAAAGTCAGCTTGGCGCGGCTCTCTCTTCTCCCCATTTTTTTCCCACAATCAACTGCGTCCATTTCGTATTCAAATGGTCGTCGTGTGCCGGCGCGTACCTTTCAAATACCCACAAAAGTGCACACATACAATAATGATTCATCGCCTCCCTCTTCTGTTCTTTATGATATTTGCTGTTAGGGACAAGGAAGGGGGAGAGAAAGAGAAAGAGAAAGTGAAAGTGAAAGCGCGAGCCCAAAGACACAAAGATGGATAATAACGCTTGGCTTCGACAATATTTACCTCCAATCCGTGCTGAACCTTCTCGTGCAACGCCGCCATCATCGGTTGAATCGTCTCGAAGGTGGCCGACAAAAAGACCGACTGTTCGATGGACGAGGTTGACGTGCACGGCCGTCCGCTGCAAGCAAAACAACGAAATGAACAAGCAGATATTGTCGCGTACTCACGTGCCAACATTCTGCAATTCTTGCGTCATTTCGCTGATATTCTGCACCATTTCGGCGATGACCGAGTCCAACGTGGCGAAATCTTCGAACGAGTGACGACGACGATGCGCCGACGACGACTGAAATCGGGACAGTTTGCAACTGCTGGCCGGCGGACACTTTGCAACCCAACCAACCATTTGAACGCGTGAGAAGACGGACGGTGCGAGTGGCGGAGACGAAAGAGTTGGCGGCTGTTGAGCCCGAGGCTCGTCGACGGCGACGGCGGCGGCAAAAGTGGGCGGAGCCTGTCGAGGCAGCTTTCGGTTGCCATGGTGCCGCTGCTGCTGCTGCTGTTGGGCGAGAAGACGACAATTCGAGACGTGTCTGCAATGCGAGCGAGATTGATAATATGGGAAGAGAAGGGGGGTCTTATGGCTTTTTGGGGGGCAATGCGAATGAGGTGTGTTTTTGGAATCCTACAATATTTATATGCTCTTTTTGAAGCGTCTAAGGTTTGCGTGGATGATACAGTTGATCGTTGAGGTCTAGCGGGATGGCCTAACTTTCTCAAACCGCAATTCTAGGCCAGAATTCTAGGCGGTGGCCTAACTTTTCACTTTTTTGGATTCTTCGGCCACTCCCATCAACTTCTTATGAATAAGTCAGTGCTCCGTTGCTGCCAGATGATTAGTTGAGCTCACGCACACACACCTTGTCCCTGAATTCCAATTCCAATTCCGTTTTAATCTCTCCTCGCGGCTCCACACACCCCTCCCCCCTTTCCTCGTTTCTAATGAGCAGGCTTCATCCGCATTTCCGCCGGGCTCTCGCAGATTCGGATTAGCGCGAGAGATGGCGAAAATCGCGGGCGGAAAAGGTGTAATTGCGGGATTAAAATGGTCCCCCACGGACCGATGAGACTTCGAGTGACACGCGCGCCACCGCTCTTATCACCGCCCTGACGCGCAGCATCTGATAGTGGTGCGCGTGGCGCAGTGGTTGTGTTTTGGACTGATAAGCGAGGGGTCGCGTGGTTCGAATTTCAAGAGGGAAAATTGCATTTTGTCCGAGCCAAATTGATCGAAAATTCGATCCATACCGTTTGTGTGACGATGAACTGAAACGTGGCATGATTGGTGGAAGGTGGTGCCCGACCCGACCTGAAAAAAAAACATAAAAATATTATAAATTTCTCAAAAGAAGCCAAAAGCGAACAAACAGAGAATGACCACCGCGACAATAGAATGGGGATGGGGGGCTCATAAAAAAATGATGATTGCGGAAGAAGAAGAAGAAGAAGAAGGGGGGTGTTTGGACAGTCGGGTGCTTGGTTCGTTTGGGGGGGTACTTGCCAAGACCCTGATACGATAAGTCACAGTGTGAGCGCGTTTCGGAGAGAGAGAGCCACACGTAAATATGTACTTTTAGTGCTGTTCGTGGTCGAGTCGAGACAGATAAGATTGTAAATATATTGTGACGGCGGCGGAGAGATGGCCTAGGAGGTTTCTAGGCCATCACGTCGTGGCCTAGCTTTAGCTGGCGATGTGAAAGTTAGGCCACCAACCAGTGTCAAGCTGTTTTCGAGAAGGACAGTAAAAATCATGGCCTAGGTTTTCCCAAACGGTAAAGTTAGGCCATTAGTTAGTGGAAAACGTGGCCTAGGTTTCTCCGTCTGTAAAGTTAGGCCACAGCTCACCTCTTTCAGCTATCGATCGATTGAAAACTGAAAACGACGCGACGAATCAATGCGACAATATCTGTTCTTCTAATTGAGGGCGTGTAGGGGCTGACGGACGGCAAAGACACGTTATCAGAAGAAGAAGAAGAAGAAGAAGAAGAAGGGGGACCAAATCGATAACACTCTCTCTTCTTCTTCTTCTTCTTCTTCTTCTTCTTCTTCTTCTTCTTCTTCTTGTGACTGACTGACAACGATCACAAAAAAAGTGGAAGAAGGCGACGATTACAAACAAACAAGAATTGGAGAGGGGATAAAACGGCTACAGTAACCCGCCGATTTCACTGTAAAAAGGGTACTAAAAGCGACCAGTTGATCAGGGCGCAGAAAAGTGGAATGAAAGGAGTGTATGTCTGGGAAAATGTGAAAATAGATAACGAACGACGAGGAGAGCGCAAATGAAAATGGGTTTGGATTAGATAAGAACGGTTTGGAGCGCGAATTGACGGCACAATTGTACACTTTTGGCCGGAAAACGGGTGTTAGGATGGGGGGTACGGTGGTTTTGAGAATCGGACAATATTAGTGAACTTTGAACGCTTGTATCTCGTGAACTATTGTATGTTTCAAAAAGTTGTCAACTAGAAAAGTGTTGGAAATTTTATTCTTAACAACTTTTGTATTAAGAGTTTTGTCTGAAAAGGCTTTATTCTCAAGTTATGAGCTGATGAATGAACAAGCCTACAATACTACAAACGTTATCTTTGACGGCCTGTATCTCACGAACTATTGACTTTCTCAAAAACTTGTCAACTGCAAAAATATTGGAAATTTTGTGCTCAACAATTTTTAAGTTGACAGTTTTATCTAAAAACGTAAGATTCTCAAGTTATAAGCCGATTTATAAACCTTGTTTTCCATCAATTTGTCTCAAAACTCACTTATCTTTGTAGGCCTATATCTCAAAAACAAATGAATATCTAAAAATGTTGTCAACTGCAAAATTGTTGCAAATTGTCTGCTCAACAACTTTGCATTTGATCATTTCGTCTAAAAATGCTTCATTCTCAAGTTATAAGGATTTTGAGCAAAGCTATCGTTATATCATTAAAATGACGGCAAACGCGGGCAAAAGTTAAGATAAAACACCAAATTTTGTCCAATTTTTGCCACCGCCCGCTCCCGTTTTTCTTTTTCTCAAACAGATCGTGCCGACTGACCGTCGTGTCACCTCACAAACAAACAAAACGGATTTTTAACTTTTTTTTTTTGGAGTGGTCACACAATTTCCTGGGTCACAAAAGTGTCAATAGTTGAAAAGAGGGATTTTTGGAGGGTGTAAGAGATGTCAGTAGTAGTAACTATTATCCATTTCTTCGTTTCGAGCGCGATATGTCCGACGTTACTTTCTAATCAATCAAGGGGCGGAATCTGGTCAAAACATAGTAACCTAGATTACTTTTCATTAGAACTTGCAAAAACATTGGCGACAGGTTTTTCAGGGGCCTAACTTTTCACCTAAAAAGTTAGGCCACCACAAAACGGCCTAACTTTTTAGGTGAAAAGTTAGTTCGGCCACCACCATTGTTTCATTGTTTGCATGCAAGTGAGGTGGCCTAACTTTTCAAGCCAGCGAAAGCTAGGCCACCACAAAACACCTGCAGCCAACTGTTAAAACAAAAGCTGCAAGCAGGTAGGTGGCCTAACCTTTTAGGTGAAAAGTTAGTTTGTGGTGGCCTAGCTTTCGCTGGCTTGAAAAGTTAGGCCACCTCACTTGCGTGCAAACAATGAAACAATGGTGGTGGCCGAACTTTTCACTTAAAAAGTTAGGCCGTTTTGTGGTGGCCTAGCTTTCGCTGGCTTGAAAAGTTAGGCCACCTCACTTGCGTGCAAACAATGAAACAATGGTGGTGGCCGAACTTTTCACCTAAAAAGTTAGGCCGTTTTGTGGTGGCCTAGCTTTCGCTGGCTTGAAAAGTTAGGCCACCTCACTTGCATGCAAACAATGAAACCATGGTGGTGGCCGAACTTTTCACCTAAAAAAGTAGGCCGTTTTGTGGTGGCCTAGCTTTAGCTGGTTTGAAAAGTTAGGCCACCTCACTTGCATGCAAACAATGAAATCATGGTGGTGGCCGAACTTTTCCCGAGAAAACTCGATCGTAGCTGTTGTGGCCGTAGTTTAGTTGGCCTAACTTTTCGCCTAAAAAGTTAGGCCACCTACCTGCTTGCAACTTTTGTCTTAACAGTTGGTGAGAAAGTTAGTCCATCTGAGCTCGTCTTGGCCTAACTTTTCGCCTTGGAAAACTTAGGCCACCGCTTTCACCGCCCTTTCAATCATACAATATCAAAATCGGAGATCTGTGACGAACACCGGAAACGAACAATATCGAAACGGACAAAAGTCTCGGGCGGGCGGCGCAAAAGAAATCAAAGAAAGTAGTTTGGGAATGGGGGGGGGGTATTGTTTTGAAGTGGCGCAAGAAAGAAAGAGAGTATAATTGGGGTAATTGGGGTGGGGGGTAATGCGAGTGATACCCGCCCGCCCACGCACCACCGATTGCGACACGCGAAGAGAAGATCGCACCTCGAGATTGGTTGGTGCGCGCCGCAATTCTCGATGACCTTTTTTGACCGGACGCACGGACGGCCGAGACGCTTGATAACATTATTACGAATTGAGGATGTGGTGGACGTTTTGCAACTGAAAGGCACGTTTTGCAATCATATCGGGTTTGGGTACTGATCAGAGTTGAGCGGAAATGGAATTTTGAAATCCGGAAGAACATTTTTTTTTGTACGGAAGACGGAAGACGGAAGACGGAAGACGGAACACGGAAGACGGAACACGGAAGACGGAATTCCGCTCCAACACTGGTACTGATGAAGCAGGAGAACAAATGATGGACACTTTGCGACTTGCTACGAGGCAAGCATCGGACGTTTTGCAACCAGTCTACAATTTCCTAGAGCTACAATATCTACACCCAAAACACACGCTCGCAACCATACAATACCGCCAATTCTTCCGGTGCCTATCTTGCCACGTCATCTCTCTCTCTCTCTCTCTCTCTCTCTCTCTCTCTCTCTCTCTCTCTGTCTCGATCAAGACAGACTCAATTAGATTGTCATCGTTCAAGGACGACACAAAATGCGTGGGCGTAGGGTGTGCTGCACCTGGGGACAAGTTGCGTAACTGTGAAGCAATACGGTAAGGGGGAGGGTCTAGTTCTGAAGGAACCCGGAATCCGGAATTCCGCTCAGCACTGATGATCTTGAACAAGTTTAGGATGAATGAAGAACAAAAAGGCGCGCGTTTTATAGCGTGTGGGCGGAGCTAGAGCGCTGTCCAGACACTCGAAGATTTATTGTCAATTTAACAATATTTGATGCGACATTAGAAGAGGAACACGTGACAAAACGTTTATAGGAGTTGGAATCGAATCGAGAAATGAGCGAATCGAGAAATGCGTATAAACAAATCGGAGCCGGCGGTGCGCTGACAACAAGGTGTAAAAGAGAGAGAGAGAGAGAGAGAGAGAAGAAGAGAGAGAGAGAGAGAAGAAGAGAGAGAGAGAGAGAGACAACTGACCAGCGATAAATAATTACAACTTACACAGAAACTCTCGAAAAATCGTCGGTAGGAGACTGGCACTTGGCACACCTCAACTCGTGACTCTCGCTTCTCACATTTTCCGCCAATTTTTCCCGAGTTTGGAAGCTTTCCGGAGCTTTTTTTCCATGGTTCTGGAAGCTCGGGAGAGCACACATTTCCGCCAATTTTTTCCCGAGTTTGGAGAGCGTCTACACAGCTCTAGAAGCCCCCCGAACTTTTTTTCTTTTCAGACTCCCCCCGCCATGAACTTGTTCCCCTATCTCGCCCTGCTTTTCGTGTCTCTCGCGCCGCCGTGTGCCTCCAGACAACCCGCTCGATACACCATCGATCTGGACGTCTATCCGACGAGACGATGGGACCAGGTGATTGAGGATCACGCACACCTCCTGCCCGCAATTGTCGACGAGAGCAAGTGAGCGTTTTTGGGGGGCAAACCTTCGTTTCCATCGTGCCCCACCACCAAAAAGACCTTGAACGGAACGAAGTTCGCCACACGATGGCGCCAAATGATACGACTTCCAATTCGTTTTCCTCCTCAAGATGGCCATCCATCGTGATTGATGCGCGTTCGACTTTTTGATTGACTTGCACTGCTGATTCGACAGTCAATCATGGGCCGAATTGGTGACGCTTGACGCGCATTTCGAAGTGGAAATGGAATGGGGGGTGGGGAGCGGTTGCGAAACGTCCTGACGGTTGCAAAGCGTTCCTAAGCGTCATTTGATAGTTGCGAAACGTCCAAGGCGACTAGACAGCTACATGGAGCGAAAGGAACGGAGGGGAGCGGTTGCGAAACGTCTATTAAAGCTTGGGCGCGTATCTGTGGAAGTATGTTGGTTGCAAAGTGTCCTAGGACTTTTCGATAGTTGCCAAACGTCCGACTTTTGTGTGGATCGGTTTCTAAGCGTCATTTGATAGTTGCGAAACGTCCAAGGCTACTAAACAGGCTACCGTAACCCGAATTCAACTTCAACTATTTTTCCGAGACAACTTCAGGGCTAAACTCATAAATAATCCGACAGTTTTGGCCCGTTTTATCCGATGCGATAGTATCGGAAGGTGACCAATTTGAAAAATGATGTTGAAATTGAGGGAGACAAGTGCGCGAATGAAACAATCAATCAAGGTGTGTGCGGGGAGCGGATCAGATTCTGATCAGGGAACTCGTAGCGTGCGAAACTTTTTTACGGGCAACTTTACAGGCCTATATCTCAAGAGCTATTGTATGGTTCAAAAAGTGGTCAACTGAAAAGTTGTTGGAAATTTTGTGCTCTACAACTTTGTAATAGAACGTTTTGTCTGAAAATGTTTCACTTTCAAGCTAGAAACGTTTTCCAGAAAGTACATCCCAAAACGATTGCAACCGTTTGTTTGGTGGGTCGCTTCGCAGGTTTCCCGATTCTTTCCGGAAGACACCAGGAAAGAGTTGGAAGGTATAATAATTTTTTTAAATTTTCACGTTTAGCACCTTATTTCTAGTGGATTATTGTTGCTACAACCACTCCTTGGCGTTTGAAGTTGGGACAAAGAATTGTAAGAAAGGCCTGACTTCAAAGAGCTAAAGTAGGCCAGGGAGTGGTTGTACGATAAAGTTGTCAATTAGAAAATTGAAGAACACGTCTGGAATAGCATTTTTGTAGTTGACCACTTTTTTCTACAACCACTCTCAGGGCTACTGTAACTCTTGGAAGTTTGCGTCTTCAAAATTGCTATCAACCTACAGTACTCCAGAGAGTGGTCAACTTGAGAACTCTACAATATCGATTCAGGAATCGCCGCCGCCTCGGGTCTTCCATTCGGCGAAATTGTCGGTCTTAACATCCTCTACGACATTGCCGCTTTCGACAGACGACAGTTCGTGTTCTGAAACTACAGTAATCCCAAACCCCCCCTCTTTTCAGCATCTTCGGTCTCGGCTGCACGTCAATTGTGGCGCAAAACGCGCGGGGCGACATATTTCACGGTCGAAATTTGGACTACGACATGACAGATTTGCTGAAGAACATCACAATCTACGTGGATTTTGTGCGCGACGGAAAAGTGCTCTATTCGGGCGTCACGTTTGCGCTCTACAACGGCATTCTGACGGGCATGCGGCCCGGAAAGTATAGTATCAGTTTGAATGCCAGATGTCAGCTCACAATTGTTGTTTTTTTCGGCGAAAAATCGATAGCCATTTGCAGTCTCCGGCGCGTACATTGACAATATTCTAATGGAGTTGTACACTCGATTCAGACGTCCGGTCAGCCACTTTATCAGAGAAGTGCTCGAACACAAAGAGAGCTACACGGACGCCCTCGAGGCGCTTTCGACGACTCACCTCTTCTCGCCCTCCTATATCATTGTGGCGGGCACTCGACACAACGAGGGCGCCATCATTTCCCGGTTCATTTTCTTATGTTTTCTTCGCAAAACAATGATACATTGGCGCGAAATTCAAATTTTTACAGCAAAATTTGTGTTTTTTGCCAGAAAAATAGATAATTTCTCATTTGTCTCTCTCGATAGACCGATTTTACAGGATATTACGAATTTTTTAAGCGCAAGAGCGTCAAACGCAAATCGCATTCATCCGTTTGAAGGTTTTTTGCTAAAACTGCGTGAATTTCAGTTGCTTTTCGGTAATTTTCGCGGTTCGAGCGCTCAAAATGCTTGTATTTACGTGATTTATCATTCTCAAAACAACGGTCTCCCTCGGCGCGAATGATTTCAATGGGGCGCACTTGCAACAGGCGGGCTGTGTCGATTTACGCGGCGTTTCAACGGCAGTTCGCGTTCTTTCCATGTTTTCTGTACAATACACCTATTTTTCCGTACGCCCGGAACCTGGATTCGAATAATTAGAGCACTAGCAACGTTTTGGTAACAGAAATCTCGCATATCGTTGAGAATTAGCCGAGTTATTTCGATTTGAAGGTTTTGGCCTGGATTTTGATGTTTTTCGAATAGTTTTCGGAAACTGCTCAAGAAAACTAACCGCCGGAACCTGAATTTTGTAAAGAAAGATTCTGCGAACATTTTTATCGTTCGTTGGGCTCATGAAATGCAAAATGAGCTGAAATATAATGCAAAAAACCTGAAAAACTCTAAATTCTATAAAGAACGGTTTCCAATCAGTAAAATATTGTTTTCTAGACGTTTTTCGCGACAAAAAGAAAGAAATAATGGTCGTAAACTCGAATTGAACTGCATTTTTAGACCTGCGCAAATGTTCAAAAGTTACAACGACACTCCGCAATTTACGAGCGCACTGTGTTTAGCATTAGCGCCCCCTGGGAGACCGTGACAAACACGTTTTGTTTCCAGAAATCGCTGGTCGGCCGCCAACGTCTATCGCCTGAACTTCGAGGCGAATAAGTGGTTCCTCGTCGAGACGAACTACGACAACTGGAAGCGGCGACAGGGCGACGCGCGCAGAATCACCGCCATCCGCGCGCTCAAAGCGATCGGCGCCGACAGTCTGAGTGCGGAGCGCGTGGCGGACGTGCTCCGAACCGAGCCCGTCCGCAATAATCTCACCGTTTTCTCTAGTGTCATGTCGCCGAAACACCCGCTGCTTTTCGCCAATTCCACCTGGATTTGGCCCTGATTTATTTATTTTTGTTGCGATATAAATAATAGTTTCTGTGAAACCGAATAAATTGTGTTGTCTCGTTCCGCCCGCCGTCTGCGTCTCTCGTGTTTCCCCGAATTATCGATCGATTTCGCCCGCACTTTCAATGTCTGCGCTTCGCGTTACACTGCGGTGAGCCGATGGAATTTGTGCGAAAAGCGATCATTATCTCGACGAATGCACATCCAGTACTTTCCGAACGTGCCGCAACCGTCGCGCGACGCGCGGACCATCATTCGAACGCATCGATTGGGTCTCAGCGGAAACACACTTTTTCTCTTCCTCGAAACCGCCGATTTCTTTGAATTTTTCGCCGTAGACGTTCGGTTTCCGCGCCGATGGATCCCCGTCGGACGGATGGATCGCCAGGACGTTTCCTATTCGTTCGCCACACTTTCCGAGGATGCTCGCCACGTCTATGTGCTCTTTTTGCGGTTGGCCGACGATGTTATGTTCGGAATTCTGGAGTTTGATGTGTTTGCGAGGACCGAGACGTTGTACACGTGAGTTTTTGAGTCGCTTTGATCGAAATGAAATGCACCAAATTCAAAGCGATATATCTCAGCTGTGAGTAGAGATAGTGAAAAGTTGTCAACTACAAAAATGTTCATTAAGACATTTTGCACATTTTGTCAGTTGATCGCATTTTGCTATCTTTACTGGCAGCTGAGATATATCGCTTTGAATGAACAACTGGCTATCCGCCTTGTGTGTAACTTTTGAACCGCACTTGACCCTTGATTTTTATACTTTTCCAGTATTTTGATAAACTAACGAGATTCTTAGAGACTTATAGCTATTCAAAAAGTGATTTTACACAATACAAATATCACTTTTTACAGATTCGACACCCGGAACGATCTGAACCGTGTCGACGAGATTCCACTGGAGAACATCAAGTTCCGTAGCGGCGCCGACGGCCAATTTGTGCTCTACGATCGGACGATTTTGAAGGGGGAGATCCCTTTTTGGACCCTCCGGCTCAATGCGCCCGAACAAACGTTCACTATTCTCAAAAACTCGATTCCGGACAATGGGGACCACGAGGCGGAGGAGGGCAATAGTTATTCGTATCCGATTGCCTTCGATCCGATCAACCGAGTTTTTGCGAAGCTTATGGTAACTAGTTTTATGAAAATATTGTATCCTCAACTTTCAGGGACCACGTGTGATGTCCGTGTACACTGAGGACCGTAAAAAGTGGGTAAACTACGTGCTGCCGGCCGAGCATTCTCTGGAAGAAGTTTTCGGATCCATCGGATTTCCGGTCGGCGACAATCGAGTCATTCGCGAAACTTACGGATCCCATGGACATCGCGGCGGCGCCATGCAGACCAAACTCACTTTTCATGATTTGGACGGAGCTGTCGTGGCCCGAGTGCTGCACAATGACAAGTTGCACACGACTGCGGTCGTCGAGTTGGGTGAGTGACTTGAAGACGGCGTAACTCAGCGCGGAGTAGAGATATGAAAAAGTTGTCAACTAGAAAAATGTTTATTAAGAAATGAGGCACATTTTTGTAGTTGACCACTTTTTGATATCTCTACAGACGGCTGAGATACATCGCTTTGACCAAACGGTATTAGTGTTGAGCCGTTCTACGCTGTGTAAGATCTTTGTTGAGGCGAAAGAATTGCAGAGTTGTAGAGTCGATATAGTTTTCAGTTGCGAAATGTCCTGTTTCAGATCACGAAAAGCAAGAAATTCGTGTTCGAAAACTGGCGACATTCGGTCTGGACGAGAACGTTTCCCGAATGTTCTACCTGATCGCCGCCCCGCATTTCCACGTATTTCTAGGCGTCCGAAAAAGTGCGATAGTATTCATTCGGGTAAGCTCTTGATCTATATTCAACCTACAGTACCCTACAGTAATCCTATTCAGAGTCCGACACTCGAGGAAAAATGCGGTTGGGCGGTGCAGAAAATGTTGATGGGCGATGGATTTGAGGAGGAAGTGGCACGGGTGTCCGATGTGAATCAATTGAAGACGTTGGCATTCGCAAAGTTCACGGAGCACGATGAGCACGTTTTAGAGCAGCTGGGAAGAGTTGGAATCAGTGATACGGAGTGATAATAAACATGTTTTATTTTGAAAATCCTTTTCCGGAGATCAGCGTCTAGTCAAAACGATATATCTCAGCTGTGAGTAGAGATAGCAAAAAGTTGTCAACTACAAAAATGTTCATTAAGAAATTTTGCACATTTTGTCAGTTGATCGCATTTTGATATCTCTACTCACAGCTGAGATATATCGTTTTGAATTATTCGAATACAAATATACATTTATACGTTTGCCTCAACTTCCAGACTCGCTCAAGAATGGTGAAGACGGTCTTCGTGGATGTGCTCATTGAGCCAATAGCAGTTGACTTCGCCTAAACATACAATAGAATGTTTTCCGATATTATCCATCTCTAACCTTTTCCCTTGACGTGCACAATTCCTCGCTTCACCAGTTTATACTCGTTTGTGGGAATTAGCAGTCTCGCCGTGATTTCGCTCGTCTGAATCTGATTCGGTGGGCAATTTGATTGCATTCGCGACGCAAAATTGACCGTATCACCGAACAGACAATATCTGGGCGCGCGGATTCCGATCACGCCGGCGGCTATGGGTCCCGCGTGGAAACCGATTCGAATTCGAAGCTTGTACTCCTTCAAATGGGCCAACTTGTAGCCGTACGATAGTTCACGGATCTTCAGACTAATCTCGGCCACTTCTATTATGTGACGTCCACCGTTTTCGTGGGGTACACCACTCGCCACCATGTACGTTTCACCGGTTGTCTCCACCTGAAAAAAGGCACCTTGTTTTTAAAACGTTCTATCTCAGTTGTAGTTTAAGATATCAAAAAATTGGCAACTACAAACATGTACACAATATCTTGGTGAACATTTTCGTAGTTAACACTTTTTTGATATCTCTTACGACAGCTGAGATAACTGGTTTTGAATGAACATTGGTGCTCAAGTTCCAAGCCATGCATTCCCGACATCATAGCTCAGCTGCGGTGCAAGATATCAAAAAGTTATCAACTACAAACATGTTCTCCATCAAATTTTGCACATTTTTGCAATTGACACCGTTTCAATATCTTCATCCACAACCGAGATATGTCGCTTTGAATATTGAAACTCTACCTTATAGGCGTCGTGTTGCTTGAGAACCGCGTCGAATTGATCGAAGATGTCGTTGAGGAAAAGGATGACTTCTTGCGGTTGCGACCGTTTCATGATCGTCATGAAATCGCATATTTGGACGAACATTACCGTCGCCGACTCGTAGCCACGTGGCGGTTTTATGATCCCGTTTCGAAGGTCTTTTGCGATGCTTCTGGATTAATCTTGTTGTCGGTGTTGAAAAATAGTCAAAACTAGTTGTAAAATAAGCAAAAGTGTCTGGAAAATACCAGAAAAAGTGCTGAAACTCACGCCGGGAGCATTTCATTCAACAGGCGCATCGTTCGCTCCTGAGCCCCCATCAAATCGACCGTTTTGGCGGCGACAATGTCCTCCAGCGCGTCCGCTTGCCTCTCGTTTATTCGAATCAGTTGATCCACGAGATTTCCTTGTCTAAAAGTGATTTTATTGTTGCAATTTAGAACTTTCAGTCTTCTAAAAGCCATTTTGTTGAAAAAAGCGCTAAAAACCCGACATTTGTCGGACATGGACTATTAGCGAATGGTTCGACCTTCTTTTGTACTGAAAATTTTTTTATCTAGAATCTACATGTCTAGTACTGTATTTTTGTAGTTGATCACTTTTTTCTACGACCACTTCCTGGGGGTACTGTAGCGCTTGGAAGTTGGGGGCGCTTTTGACAGACAGCGGTCACTTTAACGCGCAACGGTACTTTTAGAAGTGGTCAGATCAAAAAGTTGTCAACTGTAAAATTGAAGCGCACATCTGGTACTGTATTTTTGTAGTTGATCACTTTTTTCTACGACCACTTCCTGGGGGTACTGTAGCGCTTAGAAGCTGGGCGGGCACTTTTGACAGACAGCTGTCAATTTAACGCGCTACAGTACTTTTAGAAGTGGTCCGATCAAAAAATTGTCAACTGTAAAATTAAAGCGCACATCTTGTACTGTATTTTTGTAATTGACAACTTTTTTGTACGACCACTCCCTGGACTACTGTAGCGCTTGGAAGTTTTGGTGTGCAAATCGATTATACCCCAACTTCGAAGAGCTACAGTACCCCAGGGAGTGGTCGTACAAAAAAGTGATCAACTGAAAAGTTGAAGTACTAGACGTGAAGATATCACAAAACAATTTTCAGAATCTTCCGACGTCTTCCAAGCCGAAAAACGTACGCAAACGGATAGACACTCGAAATCGCGTCCTCAAGAGCCCGAAACCCGGGTCTCTTCTCCGGATCGCGGTTCCAACACTGTTTGCACACTTCCAAAAGTGGCATTTCGTCGCCCGACTTGTCACTGATCACTGGCATCAAATTTTCATTGATAACTTGTCTAAGGACACTTGCTGTAACCCATTTTTTGGCTGGAAAACTTTGAAGAAACAAATGTACACTCTTTCACGACGCCGCTGCCGCTGGGGATGGGAAATATCCCGGTTCGCTGGATCATCATGTAGAATATCATGCCGACCGAATAAAAGTCGCCTTTCGGACTTCCGCGAAGTATTTTATCGCCGTCAAACATCTCGTCTTCGTACTCTTTCAGGTGTTCCGGCGCTAAACAGGCGTACTGTTGAAAGTTGACTGAAAATGATCGATTGGGTCAAGTTTGAGCGGCTATTGTAGAGCTCTTACTTGTCCTACAGCTCTAAGCTGTTTTTCTGGTGAATCTTCACGTCTAGTACTTTAGTTGTTCAATTGTGCATTTTTTTGTAGGACCACTTCTAAGGGTACTGTAGCTCTTGGAAGTTATGGCTCATAAAGTGCCTGCCAATTGTGCCCTAACTTCGAGGAGCTACAGTACCCCAGAGAGTGAACGTACAAAAAAGTGGTCAAGTACAAAAATAGAGTTCAAAATGCGCACTTTATTTTTGTAGTTGATCATTTTCCTCTACCGTCACTCCCCGGGGTACTGTAGCTCTTAGAAGTTAGGGCTCCCAAAGTGCAAGCCAATCGTACTCCAACTTCTAAGAGCTACAGTACTCCAGGGAGTGGTTCTACAAAAAAGTGACCAATTGAAAAATTAAAGTACAAGACGTGAACATTTCGCAAAACAATTTCTAGAACAAAAGGACAACGTTGAAGTCTACAATAGTCGTTTGAAGTTTGTCGATCAAAAGCAACTATTGTACGCTTCTATAGGTCAACCAACTTTTTATAGTGAGCTGTGCGTCGGTTTCAATGTACCCCCCGTCCCATAAATCCCGAACAAAGTTGCAAACTCCACAAAGTGACAGTTTCAGAACCCAATTCACGTCGATGAGACACGTGGCAGCCGTCAACAAGCCGTGCATTTTGATTTGTGTGTTGTGGATGTATTTGAGACCCTGAAAATGGAAAAAAATTCGAATTCTCGGTGGAGCGCACTTGCTCACCGACAGAATATCTCTCATGAACGCCGATTTGAACGTTTCGTCCATATTGAATTCGTGGTCCAGACAGAATTCCTTGAAACAAATAAGTTTGCTGTTTGAAGTGGTATATCTCAAGAACTATTGTAGGTCTCAAAAAGTTGTCAACTGGAAAAATGTTGTAAATTTTATGCTCTAAAACTTTGTAGTTGAACACTTTGTTCCAAATCGAGTTATTTTTGAGTTATAAATAGTTTTCTGAAAGCGACCTGAATTTTGGGGCCAGGAAAGCAAAAGTCGCTAGAAAATTACTCATAACTTGAAAACGAAGCATTTTAGAGCAAAATGTTCAACTACGAAGTTGTAGAGCACAACATTGCCAACATTTTTTCAGTTGACAACTTTTTGATATCAACAATAGTTCACGAGATACGCAACGAACCTCCAAAGTGCCTCTCTCCACAAGAGTATACAAAAACGTGAAATTTTTAGAGTCATTGGCCGAAACTCCATAGAGTTTGGTGAGATTGTCGTGTTGCAACTGTTTGAGATTGTACACAAACTCGCACATTTCCGTCGTGAAACGCACTTTTTTGATCTGCTTAAAAGCGAGCACTTCGGCTCTTTGTGAGCCCAAAACGGCGTAACGTCCGAAGACGCGACGTCTGGAGATCAACGCGTTCGCCGGATTGTCGTCGTCCTTGTCCACCTTTACAGATGTCCTAGTAACTAGTGCGTTCTGAAATCTTGACATTTAATACTGTACTTTTGTAGTTGATCACTTTTTTGTACGCGACTTCCTTGGGGGTACTGTAGCTCTTGGAAGTTGGAGCACTTTTGGCAGACACTTTGGGTGCCCTAACTTCCACGCGATACCGTACTTCAGGGAGTGGTCAGATCAAAAAATTGTCAACTACAAAAATAAAGTTCTAATTGTGTTCTTCATTTTTGTAGTTGGCAACTTATTGATCCGATCACTTCCTGGGCTACTGTAGCTGTTTGAAACAAGGCTTCCCTTTGGCACCTTCCAATTTCTCCCCAACTTTCCAGAGCTACAGTACCCCAGGGAATGGAGGTACAAAAAAGTTGTCAACTACAAAAATACAGCACTATTTATGTGCTTTGATTTTGTAGTTGACACCGTTTTTGTACCTCCATTCCCTGGGGTACTGTACCTCTTGAAAGATCCCCCCTCCCCAATCTTACCGTATTTGCTGCTAAACTGAAATCATCGGGCGCATTCTTGTTCATAATGATTTTCAGCCCCTCTTTTTTGATGATCCATGGCGCCATAATTTCCGGCGGTCGTCCAATCCAAATCATTCTGAAACGGAGCGAAGTTTGAGACGTTTACAGCATTACAATGGGCCACTATTTTTAGTGAAAATTTTGGTCAACTTTGAGTAGATATTGTAGAGTTTGCAGTTAAGATATTGTCGTGAAAAATGTTTTCTGAATTCTTGACACCTAGTACTGTATTTTTGTAGTTGATCACTTTTTTGTACGACCACTTCCTGGGCTACTGTAGCTCTTTGAAGTGGGGGCTCCCAAAGTGTATGGCAATCGGGCTCCAACTTCCAAGAGCTACAGTACCCCAAGGAGTGGTCCTAGAAAATAGTCATCAACTACAAAAATACAGTACTAGGTGTCAAGAGTTCACAAAAACATTTCTAGACCTATTGGACTACTCAAAACTCTACAATATCCATTCAAAGTTGAGCACTTTTTCACCTAATTCAAAAGTTTGACTATTGTAGGTTTGCGAAAAGAGAAAAAACGACTCACAGTCTGTAGCGGTTCCAATAGACCAAAAAAGCGGCCAAACCAATTAAAATGATCACGAATAAAAGGATAATAGCTGAAATGTGTGGGGCGATTCGGAAAAGTTCATTGAATTCGCACACTTACGCAGGTAATTCACATCCTCTAACATTTTCGGTGAATTGCTTCGGCGGCAGGGGACTCGTCAACTATTTGTACCTGTTTGAATATTATAAAATCACTTTTTTAGAGTAGATATTGTCAATTCCCGAAGCAAAAGCCCAGAAAATGCTCTGAATCACTCAATTGTGGACGTTTTGCATCTAGGACACTTTGCAACTGTTTGTACTCTTCCGCAGTGTTCGAAAGTTGCGAAATAAATCGGTTGCAGAGTGTCCTGGATGCAAAACGACTCTATCTGAGCAAACAGGTTGCAAAGGAAGGACTTAGAAGAAGTTTTTTGGTCGAGAATGTTTGTATGCACTTTTAGGGGCTCAAACGCAATTGTGAGACCCTATAATACTATGAAATACAAGTATTATCCATCTACAAAGCGGAAATGTTGAGTATCCATCGAGATCGTGTCTATTCTTGACATTTGGGACCTGATCACTCAGATAGAGCCGAGAAAAAAGAAGCGCGCCGTTTTCAACTTCTAAGAAACGCATCTTATGCTCCAATAAGCATTACACCTACACCAGTATCGATAAATTGACCGATAAACTTATATATATAAATGTATCGAACACTTTTTCGATACATTATCAATGGAAACACGCTTATACTAGGAAATCTATCGAGAAAATGATTCGCGTCTCGATGATAACCGCTCAAAAAGTGAAATGATATGCGTTTGTCGAAAATTCTCAAAAAGTCATCCGACTCGTGCTCTTTTTCGCGCTAATTGGACGAGCGGATTGTCATCTGACTTGGGAGAGGAAGAAAGAGAGAGAGAAAGAGAGAGAAAGAGAGAGAAAGAGTGAGAAAGAGTGAGATGGAAAGAGAGAGAGAGAGAGAGAGAGAGAGAGAGAGAGAGAAAGAGAGAGAAAGAGAGAAAGAAATAGAGAGAAAGAGAGAGAGAGAGAGAGAGAGAGAGGGAGAGAGGAAGAAAGAGAGAGAGAAAGAGAGAGAGAGAGAGAGAGAGAGAGAGAGAGAGAGAGAGAGAGAGAGAGAGAGAGAGAGAGAGAGAGAGAATAATCAGAAAAGGAAGTTGTTGGAAGAAATTTTAGGTTTGGCCAAGAGGAGGAAGACGATAATGATAGGTTTTGGAGCAAGTGGGCGGTGGATTCGAGAAGATTGTCGGTTGGCAGAACAAAGAGACGGTTGCGAAACGTCCATCGGCGTTTTTGAAGAGTTCCGACACAGAGTAGGCTTTTGGTAGCGTATTTGCAAAAGTTCCAGCAGAAAAGCACTGAAACAACACTTGTACGGTTGCGAAACTTCGTATTGACGGTTGCAAAGTGTCCATCGACGTTTTGATCACTTCTAACCGAGATGCGGGGGATAGTGATAGAGACTTGAGGGTTTGGCAGTAGATTCCGAATAATTCCGTTAAAAAAGAGTGAGAGACGACATTTCTACGGTTGCGAAATGTCCCAAAGACGGTTGCGCAGTGTCCATGCCCGTTTTAAGGTGCTCCAGTCAAAAAGACGCGGAATAATGGTGGGTTTCAACTGGAAATTCGAGAAAGAGAGAGAGAGAAGAAGGGAAAGGAGCCAAAAGAGCATAACAAATGCGAGTACGGGTTGGAGCGGAAAGGTGAAAACTAGAAAAAAAGGGGCTTGATGAGATTAGGGGGGTAATCTTCAATGATCCTGATCCTGCCATTGAATTGAGCCGACAAATGTATCGGGACAACGATTCTGGACGTTTCGCAACCGGTTACATCAGTTGCAAAGTGTCCAGACAGTGGCGAAACGTCCTAGACGCTCGACTTTGAAGAGAAGTAGACAGCAAAAGCAAAAAGTGTGATGAGAAAGGTTCATTAACCAGAGACCAACAACGTAGAATGCTCATTATGATCTGACGACGGCCATCAGAGTCGGTCGAACTTTGCGAGCGGATTCTTGCACTCGGGGCACCGGTGCTCAATGTCCATGCAGCACGGAAGCCAAAAACAGAGGACGAGGCACGGCACGAAGAGGCACGCGATGAACAGCACAAAGTTCGCCATTCCGCACACGTTTCGAGGCGTTGTTTGTACGATTTTCTGCAAAACTGATGTTGGTACTTAAAAAAGCGAAAAAAAAGTGAAAAACAGACGGTCCCAAGTCAATTTAGCATAAAAACCCGTTTTGGTTCAGTTCGGGCCAAACTGAGCCCGTCCACATCACGCAAATCTCTTCTTTTCTAGTCATTAAAGAAAACCTACATTGCATTTGCCACACCACTCCTCATAGCTCCGCTTGTTCTTCGTGTACTTTGGCATTTCCGCTTCCAATCGGGCGATGGCCGCCTGCAGCACGTCGGGACTCGGAGCAGGATCCGAAGGTTCCGAAGGTTCCGAAGGTTCCGAAGGTTCCGAAGGTTCCGAGCGAGCGCCAACTGAGACAGAATCGACGTGTACGTGCGGCATACGGCTGAATGAATGAATGAAAAAATAAAAATTTACGAGCGTCGCCCCCTTAACAAGCTCCCTCCGGACGCCGCCTGTTCTTTTGCTCTCGGAGCTCTCAGATTTTCATGGGAATGAAAATAGAAAGGATGGGAAAGCGTGAATGTCGAAAATAATTGGAACCCGGTCGCCCCCCGGATGGATTACGTAGCCTTCTTGTACTTTTCCAAGAAGATCCAAGAGAAGATCATCAGACCACTGTTTATTTGAAGCGATGTATCTCAGCTACCGGTGGAGATATCAATAAAGTGTCAACTACAAAAATGTGCACAATTTCTCAATGAACAATTCTTCAGTTGACAATTTTTGCTATCTCTATCAGAAATCATTGTAAAGAAAGTTACTTGACATTCAAATATTAGAAGAAGAGAGCAAAAAGTTAGTACAGACGTCTTCTCTTGGGGTTTGGCTGCGTCTTCACCTCCTTCAAGGAGTGGAACAGAATTGTTGCGAAATGATGTTCCGACAATTACACAAACAAAGTCGGCTGGAAGAACAACAAAACGAGGTTCAACAACTGTCTTCACGTCTTCAGAAGGCGAATGAACTGACAGCGATCGCCGTCGTTCCCTTCTATATTCGCCCTCTCGACACGCATCCCTCATCTTCGCGTGCCGTTCCGTCTTTACGATCCCCCCTCTCGTATACCTTCTACCAATTCCTTCCCAAGAGCCACACGACGGATTGCTGCAAAGGGGCCGGGCTAAAAGGAAGAATATATAAGGGGGAACGACGGCAATCGGAATCAGTTCATTCGACGTCTTCTGAAGACGTGCACACTTTTCACATCTCTCCTTTTTTAGTCAATTTGCTCACTTTTGATCGTTTTGACTCTCTATTTTGCTGGAATGCGTGTTTTTGCACTAGTTTTGACTCAAATTCTGGCTCAAAAACAGTTGTTGAACGCCTTATTGCTGTTTTTCAAGCCTACTTTGTTTTCTATTCCACTCCACTTGTACAACTTGTACCAATCCTCTAATTTCAATTTTAACTTTTCCAATTTCAGATTTAAACGAACATGCAGTGCCATCAGATCGAGCGCAAGGTCAAGTACCTGTCCGCCAACCTGAAGGACGAGTACGATGTGAATGGCAATCTGGAGAAGCTGGAGTCGATGGAACTGCCGTCCGAACTCATCGAGCAGTACAAGCTGAAGGAACTCGCTCAGTCGTACCTCTCCATGAAAGAGTACCGAGTGGCCGCCGGACGACTTTTGTCCAAGTTCCGGCGTGCGGAGAAGGAGGCCTGGGAGCGCTACCAGAGATCGATTGCACTCCGATCGTCCCCGACGTCTTCGGAAAGCAGCAGAGATTCGCCGTCGTCGTCGTTGTCGCCGGAAGAAGACGACTGGATGGTGAGAAGGAAGCGGACGGCTCCAACAATGGTCAGAGGATTGCAAAGACGGTCACCGGATGCGTTGGCTCGAGTGGAAGATCGGTGCGGCAAGGAATCGGACAAGGAGAACAAGGCGGCGGCCGAGAAGAAACTAGAGTCGTTCCTGATGAGGAGAAGAGAGGCGACGGCGAAGTTGAAGGAGATGGCGGAGGCTTCCAGGACGAAGACCCTTTCGCAACTGGAAGTCGCCCGTCAGAAGCGCATCGAGAACGCCAGACGGATCAAAGAGTGCGGCGAGGAGGAGCAGAACGAGGTGAAAAGGCAGCCGAAACCCAAGAGAAGACGTTTCTACTAACTTAATAACCATTTATGGCAATGATAATAAAAACATGTTTCTCAGAAAAAAAGTTGATTCACAGACTTTCATAACGAAAGAAATGCGTCACGATGACGTCAACGAACAGAGTAGGCGATCCTTCGTTTGCAATCTGGACAATTGTGGTGAAAATCTTTGAAAAAGTCGATCCAGAAGATCAAGAGCAGCGGGAACAAGCCGAACAGACCCAGAAAGCAGAGGGTCCAGGTCCAGCAGCCGGCGTACCGAACCACGTAAGTGGTGACGGTTTTCTGGAATTCAATGCGATGTATCTCAGTTGTCTTTGGAGATATCAAAAAATTGTCAATTAGAAAAATGTTCAAAATTTCTTAGCAAACAATGTCATAGTTGCATACATGCGGAAAGGAAGGGCCAAAACTGAAAAAAATTCGAATTCGAAAGACACCACGCTGGAGGTACAGTAACCCGACTTAAAGGGAGGTAGGTAGAAACCACAATTTTGGAGCTAAATTTGAATGAAATTTGTAAGTAATTAGTTTTTCGCGGTAGAACACTAATGTCAGTGAAGTTGCTTCGATCTTAGAAAATATCATTATTAAATTTTAAATTTTAATGGGAAAAAAAGACTCACCCGAAAAATTAAGAGAAAAGAATATTTTCTTCAAAGGCGCTTTGTTTTTTGTTTCGAAACTCAGCGGGTCCCGCCACGACACGACAATGACCGTATTTTCAGATTTTGGGACTTTCGTTAGAAATTATCGGGTTTTCGTGGGATTTCGCCGTATAATTTCAACAATTTGACTTTTTATTCGCCCTTTCGGGAGAAATTATTGGGTTTTCGTGGGTTTTCGTGGGATTTCGCCGTATAATTTCAACAATTTGACTTTTTATTCGCCCGTCCGTTTCGACTGAACCGTTTATTTTCAAATACGAAACATTTCAGGCACTGATGGCAAGCTTCTCAACCTGTAGTTACATGGTTTGGTGCAACTTGTTCGACATCTTCCGGGCGCTCACCGACGGCGAAGCCACTATGGACGACGCAGGCGCGCTGATATGCCTAGCAGGGACGGTGTGCACAATTGTGGTGGGAGTGCAACTCATTATTTGGTATGTTTTTATTCAAAAAGTTTCGCTAGGTTCTTTTGTAAATTTAAAAAGACATTCTGCGAATGTCTTTTTATTTTTTCGTTTTGCGGCAGCAAAACTAGGAGATCACAAAAAGAAGGGTTTCTCAACAGAGAGCTCATTCGCATTGAAAAGCCCCGATAGTATTTTTCCTAGAAAATACAAAAATTACAAAAGTGTCCATTAGTTTCGTCATGTTGACTGATTCTCTCGCCGAATTTCCATAGAATTTCCATCGGATGCCGTGAAGTTTTCATAGATAGATCTTCTTCTCTCTAACTCTTCTAGCTGGTAGAAATTCGAGCCGATATTTGAGCAGAATGATGAAAGTGCTGAAAAATGGAGATGTTCGGAGTGATTGAATAGAAGAATTGCTTACCAAGTCCCGTGAAAAAGAGCTCGTTCGATTGTGTTTAAAAAACTGAGGACGGCCATAAAAATAGCGTAAATTCTCCATAAAAGGAATTGAGTTCCGATCTAGAAACATTTCAGATTAGGAAAAAAAATTGCTTACCAAATTGCAAAAATTCGTTTCTCCAAAAGTCGTCTCCAATTAGATTAATCTCCACTTTTAATAATTTCTCCGACTGTCATCCGATTTTCCACACGAACAACTCGAACAAATAACTTTATGCATGAATCTGTAAAACGCTTACATTTTCCTCTGCTGTCACGAAAAAGTAAAATAATCAGGAGACAAATTAATAAAAATAAAAAGTTCCGAGAAAGAAAAGTGAAAAAAAAGTGAAGTGTTCGCCACATGACAGCACGCCCGCGTTTGATCCTCATGTCATCATTCGTCCGCGCTTCGTCCCGCTTTTCGCCATCAGAATGGACCACCGGAGGCCCAGTTCTTGGCTTCATCCACAGTTCGCCCTCTGTTCATTCTCTTTTCGTCCAAATTACGTTCTCCACGGCACTGGTGTCCAATTTTGGTCCTAATTTGGCCCAAAGTTTGGACTTTTTGGCTTTTCACCCTCAGCTCGTTCTCAATTCGCCGTGGCGGTTTGCCTGTGCGGTTGCGTCCACATCACGCAAATCTCTTCTTTTCTAGTCATTGACGAAAACCTACACCAAATGAGTGAATGAAAAAATAAAAATTTACGAGCGTCGCCCCCTTAACAAGCTCCCTCCGGACGCCCCCAAAATATCATGGAAATTAGAGGATTGGTACAAGTGGTACAAGGAGTGGAATAGAATTGATACAAAAGGATGTTCCGACAATTACACAAACAAAGTCGGCTGGAAGAACAACAAAACGAGGTTCAACAACTGTCTTCACGTCTTCAGAAGGCGAATGAACTGACAGCGATCGCCGTCGTTCCCTTCTATATTCGCCCTCTCGACACGCATCCCTCATCTTCGCGTGCCGTTCCGTCTTTACGATCCCCCCTCTCGTATACCTTCTACCAATTCCTTCCCAAGTGCCATACGGCGGATTGCTGCAAAGGGGCCGAGCTAAAATAAGGATATATAAGGGGGAACGACGGCAATCGGAATCAGTTCATTCGACGTCTTCTGAAGACGTGCACACTTTTCACATCTCTCCTGTTCAGTCAATTTGCTCACTTTTGATCGTTTTGACTCTCTTTTTTGCTGGCTCAAATTCTGGCTCAAAAACAGTTGTTGAACCTCGTTTTGCTGCTTTTTTTCAAGCCTACTTCATTTGTGTAATTGTCCTAGCATCCTTTCGTATCAATTCTATTCCACTCCTTGTACCACTTGTACCAATCCTCTAATTTCAATTTTAACTTTTTCAATTTCAGATTTAAACGAACATGCAGTGCCAACAGGTCGAGCGTAAGGTCAAGTACCTGTCCGCAAACCTCAAAGACGAGTACGATGTGAATGGCAATCTGCAGAAGCTGGAGTCGATGGAACTGCCGTCCGAAGTCATCGAGCAGTTCAAGCTGAAAGAGCTCGCTCAGTCGTACCTCTCCATGAAAGAGTACCGAGTGGCTGCCGGAAGACTCTTGTGCAAGTTCCGGCGCGCGGAGAAGGAGGCCTGGGAGCGGTACCAGAGATCGATTGCACTCCGATCGTCCCCGACGTCTTCGGAGAGCAGCAGAGATTCGCCGTCGTCGTCATTGTCGCCGGAAGCAGACGACTGGATGGTGAGAAGAAAGCGGACGGCTCCAACAATGGTCAGAGGATTGCAAAGACGGTCACCGGATGCGTTGGCTCGAGTGGAAGATCGGTGCAGCAAGGAATCGGACAAGGAGAACAAGGCGGCGGCCGAGAAGAAACTAGAGTCGTTCCTGATGAGGAGAAGAGAGGCGACGGCGAAGTTGAAGGAGATGGCGGAGGCTTCCAGGACGAAGACCCTTTCGCAACTGGAAGTCGCCCGTCAGAAGCGCATCGAGAACGCCAGACGGATCAAAGAGTGCGGCGAGGAGGAGCAGAACGAGGTGAAAAGGCAGCCGAAACCCAAGAGAAGACGTTTCTACTAACTTAATAACCATCTATGGCGATGATAATAAACATTTTTATCACTATCAGACAAAAATTGATTCACAGACTTTGATAACGAAAGAAATGCGTTGTTGAGCCTCCGGTTTAACAGGGAGGAACGACGACCCCGAAAGACTCCGATAGTCTTGGGTCTGATGGACTGCTTGCGGAAGAAGGAAAGAAAACGAGTAAAAATTGTATAAGATGAGCGTGGCGAGACAGAACACCAGTTAATAAAGAATTAAAATTTATTCAAGTCGAAAATGTAAGAGGCAAAGGGCCCCGTAGGGCAAAAATTATCTGGGACGTGGCCGACACGTGGTCGACGAACGGGGGCGAGGAAACCTGTTGGTAACAGGGGAAAAACCTCAAGGGAAATGCATAGACGGTTTGTTCGCAGCTGACATCGCCCGTAGTGACGACCCGTGGCGTCACGACCGTGGAGATCGTGGGCCTGGGCACAGAGAGAGTTTTGAGCCGTAAACTGGCCCAAAACGCGGCAAAAGAAGTCACAAAAAAGGCGGAAGGTTTAGCGGAACAAAACCGGAAAAATGTAAGGTAAAAAATGTCAAGTTTTGACTGAAAAAAAGGCAGCAATTAGCTGGGAAAAATTGTTGTTAGTGAATTAATTATCGAAAACCTAGTAGGATTTTGGGTCGCGGGTCTCGCCACGATAGCCGCGCGCGCGGACGAATGTCGCCGGGCGCGGCGCGTTTAGGAGCGTAGAGAACACGCACAACACGCACTATCAGCTGTATCGATTATTTTGAGGGCGAATTCGCCGGAGAGAAGTGATGAAAGGATACAAAATTATTGAATTGAAGTGAAAAGAAAGAGAAAGACTTAAATAATGGGAGATTTAGAGAGAATAAATCGACTATTTATTGAGCGCTCGGTTCATCGGCCGGTGGAGAACGGGGGGGGATAATGATAGATATTTAGGGGTTTGGCAATAGATTCCGATTAATTCTGTTAAAAATGAGTGCGACGACATTTCTACGGTTGCGTCCAGATCAAGCAATACTTTTCAATTCAGTAATTTGAAAGAACCTACATTGCATTTGTCGAAAAATTTGTCGAAAATAATTGGAACCCGGCCGCCCCGGATTTGATTGGGATTACGTAGCCTTCTTGCACTTTTCCAAGAAGATCGAGAGACCTCTGTTTATTTAAAGCGATGTATCTCGGCTACCGGTGGAGATATCAATAAAGTGTCAACAACAAAAATGTGCACAATTTCTCAATGAACAAATCTTCAGTTGACAATTTATGCCATCTCTATCATAAATCATTGTAAAGAAAGTTACTTGACATTCAAATATTAGAAGAAGAGAGCAAAAAGATAGTACAGACGTCTTCTCTTGGGGTTCGGCTGCGTCTTCACCTCCTTCAAGGAGTGGAACAGAATTGATACGAAAGGATGTTCCGACAATTACACAAACAAAGTCGGCTGGAAGAACAACAAAACGAGGTTCAACAACTGTCTTCACGTCTTCAGAAGGCGAATGAACTGACTCCGATCGCCGTCGTTCCCTTCTATATTCGCCCTCTCGACACGCATCCCTCATCTTCGCGTGCCGTTCCGTCTTTACGATCCCCCCTCTCGTATACCTCCTACCTATTCCTTCCCAAGAGCCACACGACGGATTGCTGCAAAGGGGCCGAGCTAAAAGGAAGAATATATAAGGAGGAACGACGGCAATCGGAGCCAGTTCATTCGACGTCTTCTGAAGACGTGCACACTTTTCACATCTCTCCTTTTTTAGTCAATTTGCTCACTTTTGATCGTTTTGACTCTCTTTTTTGCTCTCTCAAATTCTGGCTCAAAAACAGTTGTTGAACCTCGTTTTGCTGCTTTTTCTCAAGCCTACTTCATTTGTGTAATTGTCGCAGCATCCTTTCGTATCAATTCTATTCCACTCCTTGTACCACTTGTACCAATCCTCTAATTTCCATTCTAACTTGTCCATTTTCAGATTTAAACGAACATGCAGTGCCATCAGATCGAGCGTAAGGTCAAGTACCTCTCCGCGAACCTGAAAGACGAGTACGATGTGATCGGAAATCTGGAGAAGCTGGAGTCGATGGAACTGCCGACCGAAGTCATTGAGCAGTTCAAACTGAAAGAACTCGCTCAGTCGTACCTCTCCATGAAAGAGTACCGAGTGGCTGCCGGAAGACTTTTGTGCAAGTTCCGGCGCGCGGAGAAGGAGGCCTGGGAGCGGTACCAGAGATCGATTGCACTCCGATCGTCCCCGACGTCTTCGGAGAGCAGCAGAGATTCGCCGTCGTCGTCGTTGTCGCCGGAAGAAGACGACTGGATGGTGAGAAGGAAGCGGACGGCTCCAACAATGGTCAGAGGATTGAAAAGACGGTCACCGGATGCGTTGGCTCGAGTGGAAGATCGGTGCGGCAAGGAATCGGACAAGGAGAACAAGGCGGCGGCCGAGAAGAAACTAGAGTCGTTCCTGATGAGGAGAAGAGAGGCGACGGCGAAGTTGAAGGAGATGTCGGAGGCTTCCAGGACGAAGACCCTTTCGCAACTGGAAGTCGCCCGTCAGAAGCGCATCGAGAACGCCAGACGGATCAAAGAGTGCGGCGAGGAGGAGCAGAACGAGGTGAAAAGGCAGCCGAAACCCAAGAGAAGACGTTTCTACTAACTTAATAACCATTTATGGCAATGATAATAAAAACATGTTTCTCAGAAAAAAAGTTGATTCACAGACTTTCATAACGAAAGAAATGCGTCACGATGACGTCAACGAACAGAGTAGGCGATCCTTCGTTTGCAATCCGGACAATTGTGGTGAAAATCTTTGAAAAAGTCCATCCAGAAGACTAAGAGCAGCGGGAACAAGCCGAACAGTCCCAGAAAGCAGAGGGTCCAGGTCCAGCAGCCGGCGTACCGAACCACGTAAGTGGTGACGGTTTTCTGGAATTCAATGCGATGTATCTCAGTTGTCTTTGTAGCTATCAAAAAATTGTCAACTGGAAAAATGTGCAAAATTTCTTGGCGAACAATGCGACAGTTGACAACTTTTTGATACCTCCACACGCAGCTGAGATACATCGATTCAAGTGAACAGTGCACACAATTCGTAAAACAAGAAAACTCACCTGACAATAGGGGCAGAATGCCAAGTGCGGAACCTTCAAGTTCACGTGTTTCGGCATAACAGTACGCGTCGCATTGCCCCGCACCGAATTGGGTCCATAATAGTTGGGCAGGGAAGCGGGGTCCGCTTCAACAACTGGTTGCGGTTGCGGTTCGTCTGGGACTGCCACACGTGGAGCCAGATCGGCTGGATCCGTGGCCTGTCGTGGTCCCCGCACCGGTTGAACCACAATAACACGTGCAGTTGTCGGAGCTTCCGGCTGCTGCGACATCATCGTCAAGATCAAGACGTCAAGTGAGGCGAATGTATGTAGGAGAAGTGTGTCGAAAATAGCCGGAATACACTGATTAGCTAGGGCCTGGCGTGCACTTAAGACACTAGGGACTAGGTGATTGTGACATTTACACACTTTATTCAACTCTCGTAAACAAATTAGTCACTCGCTTTACATGAAAAATCGGGGCGGAATTGCACTAGAAGGGCACGGGGTGTATGTGTTGTTTTACAAAGTCATCGACACTTGGCAACGCACAAAAGGAGATGAAAGTGCTTGAAAGTGATGCGGTTGCAAAACGTCCCGCCACCAATTGAATCGGTTACGAAATGGTTGCAAAGTGTCCGGTCACGAGAAGGATCGGTTGCGAAATGTCCGGCTATATATTGGATCAGTTGAGATTGGATGGGTATATAATGTTCGGTTACGAGTTGCAAATCGGTTGCGAAATGGTTGCAGAGTGTCCAGTTGCAAATTGGGTTGATTTCAAAACGTACGAGCACGATTTGAATTGGCCATGGATCAGATTGGTTCGGAATCGGATCGGGAACAGCTTAAATGGTTGCAAAACGTCCCGAAGCCTAATGGATCGGTTGTGAAATGGTTGTGAAATGGGAAAAGGGGTAGGGAGGCATATCGATGTGAATAATTATCAAAAAGCGAGTGGACGAGGTGTAGACGATGAAGGAATGCTTAAAGTTGAGCGCGTTCAATTGTTTGCCCCATTTTCCGAAACTCACAATATTCAATCGTGCGTCTGAGTGTAGGAGAGGCTTTTTGAGCAGACGGAGCACGAGTGAAGGATCCGCTTGTCGCGCCGACAGCAGCGGTTGAGCACCGGCAGACTGAGCAGCCAGGGACCGTCGTGGTTTAGTGTGGAGGTGCGGGTTCGGACCATGCGCTGAATATCGATTGATTTGAGCACATTCTTCTCGAAACCGACCTTGCAATGGGGACAGTAGGCTCCGTACGGCTCGGTGTTGAGCACAAACTCCAAATGTGCCGTGGAAACTGTGTTTGTAGTCGGATCGTGGACCTCTATGGTCATGAATCGATTGAGACCCGTCGGCGGTCGAGGGGGACCGCCTGGTGGAGGAGAAGGGGACTCTCGTGGATCCACAGGTGGTCCCGGAGTAGCGGAAGGGACCGGAACGGCCGGAGCCACAAGGATCACATTTGAAGGAGCGCCGTTCGAGTTGTTCGAGTCGCCCGGGACCGGATTCGGAGAGTCTGCCATTTTGTGCAGCGCCAAGAAGGAAACGACGAGAAAAGATGGAAAATGAGCAAATTTAGAGAGCGCTGGGACTTGGGGACTTCTCAAAAAGGTTACTCACACTTGATTCGCGGTAAATGTGAAGGTAAGACACGTGATGCCCCATAGGGAGTTCAGAGAATGAACAGAAATCGGATTCTTGACACTAATGAAGACTATCAGAAGACTTGATTGGATTGGATGATAGTCACGGCCACAAAGTGCATTTGTTCGAGCGGCGACACAAAAGAGTGCATGCCATCCGACGGGGACCACTGGTTGAATGCAATGATCCAATCGGGTCCGAACTTCAAAGAACAAATATTCTTCCAAACATTTATATGGTTTCAAAATACGTGTGAGTGTAGATTAGGATTGGGAGAGGTAAGGGGTAGCAAAAACCGAATAAAATGCAAGACTTTGATTCAATTGTTGTCGGCCACGACGCTGGAATCCTTCGGACCGGGCATGCAGATGAGCTGACGGATCCACGAGAACAGCGACACGGTGCCAGTAGTGGTTCCGACGGTTTGCTGAAAAGAAAAAGGTATTTTTCGAACTTTTCGGGGTCTAAGCTTCTTTTCAAACTTTGCAGACAGAACCCGACAATATTACCTGGTCAGCGGGAGCACTAGTCTGAGAATGAGCATCATCCGTGTTTGTCACGTTCTGGACGGTCCCAACCGGCTCCGGCACTTTGTTCGTCGCGCACAACCACGAATCGGGCGGGCTCCAGTCGCTCTCCGCCGGCACCGGGCCTAAAAACGCGTGTTGCGTGTTTCTCACCCCCGGAACAAGACAAAAACGGTCTTCCAGTACCTGGGTTCGGTGCGTCGAGCGGCTGGGTCCGTGGCTGACACGGTTCCACCTGGATGATGGCCATTTTACGTGCGTCGTCGAAGAAAAATAAACGAAGAAATGAGAAGAGCGCGAGGCCGTCGGATGAAGGAGCTAATCGGCATTCTCTGGGGAGCCCGCGGTATCAAATCACACACTTTTTCTTTTCCATTTTTATTTTCGACGGACAACATCGAGAGAAGGTGGTGGTGCCTCTCCAGACTTTAAAAGTTAGAGTGTAGGGAATGTACGAGAGGGGGGGCATCAGGATTTGGTGAAAATTAACGGCGTTTGTAGGAGAGGATGGTGCCGCAGTTGGGGCACGAGTGACGCGAGTCCTTGAAGCCGTCGAGGCAGAAGCAGCAGAGGAGCGGGAAGAAGACGAAGAGTCCGAGGAAGAGCATCGTCCACGAGCAGAAGCCCATCGTACGCTCCACGCGCGTCGTCACGTTCGTCTGCAAAAACGTCGGCGGCGATAACTCGAAATTGAAGCGTTTTGGGGTTTGGTGGTCAACTACAAAGTTGTAGAGCATAAAATTTGCAACA